AACCAGACCGTTTATTCTTTTATTCTGGGGCAGTGCTCTTTCCCGTGATCCAATATCAACTTTGCGAGGCCAACCGAATGATTGTCATTTACTACACCACGGAATCCATTTGCATAGGTCGACCGAACTGGGAAAGCCCTCCGCGAGACTTCTCTGGCATCATACTCTCAAGACTGGACCCAGCCGGAATCATTGTGGTTTATTCCATCCACAACAAGATCCATCGCAGTCAACAGGAGTCCGTTGTGGTTATGGTTGGCCATTCATATTTTTGCACCTGCCTCTTGCTGCAAAACACGGAGATTGTGTGCAGGCACTTCTTTTGCGTGATGCAAGGGGACAGCAGGTGCAAGTATTTGATCAGCCTCGTTCTCAGGCGCTGGTTCAAGGAGCAGTGGCAGGATCTTGAAGGTTTCGAGACGAAAATTGGTTCAAAGCTTCTAGTCGCCTACCCGCATTACATCGCCTCCACCAGGACCGAGGATCACCCCGCCAGCGCTTGTACGAGGATTGTGCACACCTTGTTCTCTACAGGATCCTCGACACCACAGCCAAGAAAGGAAGAGCGACTGAGGATAAAGTGGCACACAGATGTTACAGGGATCGCGAGAGAGCTGGCCATCATGGGGACAGCCGGTCCAGCAATGCGATGCAAACGCTCAACAACCTCTCAATCTCGCTGAAACGGAGACGGGACTCATAGAGCTACAGGACGCGTCTGACAACGAAGCAGGTCTTAGTGTCACTAAAGACCCACTTGTGGTGAAGCCGAAGGGGCGTCCAGGAGCCAAACGTATCAAGAGCAGCAGTGAGATGTCGCGACCATCCAAAGAATTCCATCCTGCTGAAACAGACCTTGAACAATAAACGAGTGATTTTTTTTTTTTTAAACGAGGCCCTACAGACTACCCCCGTGAGAATATGGCGCTCACCTCCCCGTGAAAAAAAAAAGCTTGAATTATTCTTACCGGGATGTAAGAATAACCCGCTTACACCTCTGTGAAATGACAAAACGGGGGATAATCTCACGGGGGGGTGAGATTATATTCTTCCGGGCAATAAGCCAAGAAAAAAACAAAAGATGCTCATTGCAGGGATCGAACCTGCGGCCTTCGCGTTATTAGCACGACGCTCTACCGACTAAGCTAAACGAGCTCGATTGATGATTGGAGTCTCAGAACTTCTATATATCGAAATTCTCCGCAACCTTTTATTCTATAAGTGCAAGGTTGACTTAATTTACGATCTCTAAATGCAGCATTCCTTAAATGCACGGTCTTTAAATGCAAGGTACAGTTAGACACGAGCCTTAGAAAGTGTTCTACATAGCAAACTGACCCCAATTGTTCTCTTCAGAAGACCATCCTGGGCAAACAAATCTTCTTAAAATAAAAGCCGCTTATCAGAATCCTGTTGGAGGAGGACAAATGACCCCACGAAATTTCAGTATCAGGAACGGAATGCTGCGCCCAGTAAATGAGTTATTAAGTTTAGCACACTCCGGAAAATCTTATATGTATATAGCCCAGGTATATATGTCACCCATACCTCCTTTACCTATTCCAGAGCCCCTCATCCGATCATCACCAGAACTGACACATTGGTAGCACCGCCTCCGATAAACATCCTCATCAGCTATCATACTAGTCAAGTTTTATGGATGTCCGGGTAATGAAAAAAAAAAAGAGAAAGAACGCTAACTTATTGGTCCCAAATCAAAGCGAAAATGGCCTAGGTTCATTTCCAGTAAGATCCTACTTCGAGACCTAGGCAAGACAACTCTCCCTGAGTTTATACCCCACAAATCTATTACGACTATGAAGCTATGCATTAGTGTGAAGGAAAAGTATATTAAGAACCTCTGTGTTATGAAAGTTAATGTGGAGGGAAAAGTAAAGCTCACAGTTGTATATCTGATGAGAAACGAGAAAAACCTCAGTGTGATGGGGTGGATGCAAGAAAAAGATAAAACTCGCTGGCGTGACAACGTCTGTGCGTTCCAGCCTCAAATCAATAACCCCTTTCGAACGGATCTCAATCATTCCTTGGGGAAAACGCAGAGTGCGAAAAAAGGCCCAGTGGCACTATTATTCTTATTGTTTTATTTTCTTCTTGACATAGAAATTCTTCTCTCCTTTTCTCCTTGGTATCATCTTAAAATTGGTTCTATTGCGCCTTCTATTGTCGTGGCGCTTTTTGCTGAATTCGCTTTCCTTCCCTGCTTGCTTTGCAATGACATGTGGGTTCTGTGAGTCCAAACACTTTCAGTACCACCTGGTGATTAGGTATGAATTGAAATTTTCATATTCTTTCTACTTGACAATGTAGCATACCCCCTCCATAAGTTTGTGGCCAGGATGGCTTCAAGCTCGTACGACTCATCATTACAACCATCTAGGGCCTGTGTGGGAGGTTTGAGCCGGATAGAGTGTAACTGCGCTCTAGTTTCTGATCCGTGACATCAAATGATCCAGCAGAGCGTAGGCCTTATTCTTCGTGCTTCCATGACCTTGTAAAAACCCTAGTACGTTAGTGCAAGCTTCCTTTCTGATAGTTGGTCTCTGGCCATGACATGGCACCCAAGGAAAAACCCCATAATGCGGTGTGAACAATTGACAAAGTCGCTGACTTGTGAACACTTCCTGCTCGCACATTTAACTGAAGTTGGATCGAAGGAGAATAAGTATTCTAGAAGTCAAGATGACTCTCGAATTGCCTTTGAATACTCTCTTTGAAGGCTCTAATATATATCTTTGCAACACTATTAGAACCAGGATGATATACTTTAGACAGCTTATGTTCAGTTTGCAGCTTTTGCGAAACGAGTTTGGCTACTTCTTCCACGGACTTGGTGCCGTTGTCGCTTTGAGTAATCTTTGGAAACACGCCCCACTGGTATATATCCTATCTACACCTAGAGCTAAATGGCAGCATTCGACCCAATAAAGCCATTCATCCTAGATTTGCTTTCTCGGCTCCTCATCGCTTAGAATTTAGTAGCCCTGTACTATAGACACATTCGAAATCGCAGTTGAGCAATATCTCTTTTTGATTCATAATGTATGCCAAATGTCTGTGATCAATATTCTACCCCACAAATAATGGCGGAACCTTATGGGAGCAAAGATAATGCCTAAGAGGCTCACACTTGAAAGCAGGATGGTTCTTTTCGTGTTTGTACTGCACAGCGCGCGCTTGAAAGGAAATGTTACTCGCCTTGGAATCGCCATCTTTCCCGTTCGGCAACGAGTACAAGGCCGCACCGATGCCTACACCAGGATCATCAGCGGGGAGATAAAAAGGCTCTTTAAAGTTCATGGGTGTTTGAGGAGCCAGATTTCTGATTGTGCTTTTCAGCTCGAATGTACATGTACCTTGGCATTGTGCAACTGATTTAGCGGTGCTGTGATAGTGCTGTAGAGCGGGATGTAATCCCTAAAGTAATCTTTATTCGTCGGAAGGACTCGCAACTGAAGGCTGGCAACCTTTTCCGTATTGACGCTGCGTCCTTCTCCGTTGATAATAAATTCTAAAAGAATGCCTTCAGCACTTACTTACTCGATTAGTGATTAGCTTCGCTTCAGTTAATCGATTGACGACCACTCTGGCGTATGGCAGATGTTCTTCGATTGACCTGAACAATAATGTTACTAACATTGATTGTTGTATGGGCTGCCTCTCGGGACAAGAACGACGACTCCTATATTCCACCACTTCAGCACTGTCTGCTATATATTTAGCAAAGTCAACTGTGCGCTAAACCTAATATTTCATTTTTTAAACGTTCTTCGCACCTCTTTCTCATTCATTTTCGTCCTAAAATATCGTTAGACATCCTCTAAAGCTGCTCCAATGAACAAAGTCAATTGCATCGCTATTATGAGAGCTAGCGATATAATGACAGGTGAAGGTGGTCGCCAATATCACTGCTACAGTTGTCTACAATTATATCAATTTTAAGAGTAATCTGAGAAGAGACTCTGAAAGTGAAGAGGATGTATAATGTAGAGGTGGTTTTGCGCAGCACTGCATTTCCATATGTCAATGCACTCATCCAGGCTAACAGTTTCTCGCTACGTGAATCGGGGAAATGTAGGATCTTACAACATGGCGAATATTGGGCTCTCCTATATACCGGATCAGGCTCGTACGGAGTCGCTCCGTCGGCCATCTCGCCCCGTACCCGCCAATCCCCAATAGTTGCCTCTTCCGACTACATGAATCTCGAACGGTACTTCTAGCCTGTACTTAGCTCACTTCTCTAGTCGCAAAATTAAGTTTCCTCATTTGCATGGAGCTTCTACATGTTACAATGGTCAGATCCGCATGGTCTTCATGAGAACGCGAGTACGAACGCGCTGGCCAAGATGTATGACGATCAAATGGGCTGTGGTGAAGTGGACGACCGCTGCACACATTTTGATGCCTGCTTTCAGGCGGTATAGATGCGTCCTGACATGGTCATGTTATACATGGGCAGGTGTGTATGGATAGGTACCGGTATTTGCTTATGGGTACACCAATGCAAAACTGAGATAGATAAATTGCTGACGAGACTATTATTCATCTCAAACGCACAAAGAGTTCGAGGAATGGTCAATTTGAGCGTCCGGAAAAGCATGTGGGTCGAGCTGGGGTAGACGAGAGAGACAACAAAGAATGCTCTCGAACGGTTATTTACCTTGCACCTTTCGAACAAAGTTATACATGTACATACGCGATGGTATTTCCATAGGGCAGAACTGAGCACATGTTTGGTGCCTACTGCCGAGTGCCCCGTGGGCGCGTAATAATAATAACAATAGAAGTATGTATCCAATGTTTGGTCCCTGCGCTGTGTTTTCTATGTTTTGTCGGATCCACCTTGGAGCCTTCCTTCGCGGCTTCCTAGACATTTACGATGTGGATGCAACGGCTTGGCGTCTATTTTTTGTTGTTCATTAGACATTAGACAGAGGAGGACACGAGGGACATGCAATTTAAATTTTGCACGCTTTGTCCTTTCCTCGCTCTCTATCTCTTTTCCCTTCTCTTTCACACACACACACACTCTCTAGCTTGCTCACTTTGTCTTCATTGCATTCCTCGCTCATCTACATCTCTTCAAACCTCATTCAACTACTATTTGGTTTCCGTTGACTCGTTCGCGCTCTTTTTTGTACCATCACACGGGTATCATCATCATTAAAGAAAAACCAGGGAGGGAGACCGATTTTCTATTTCTCCACATTTTCACACTTTCACACCTTCACGCTTTTTTCTTTTTTCCTCACATTCCTCATCATACTCACCATGCACAAGATGTTCAAGCTACACTCAAAGGCCTCCTCGGCCACCTCCTCTAGCACATCCATCAGTGCCGGTTCCTCAGGTGGTTCAGGAAGCATTAGTGGCTCTGGGTGCAGCGGTAATCAAGGACCCAAGACCGGCATTTATCTAGTCGGCGCTACGTACCTGGATATAATTATGCATGTCCACTCCTTTCCAGCAGAGGACACCAAGCAGAAGGCACAGAAGGTTGAACAAAGACGCGGAGGTAACGCTGCCAACACAGCTGAGGTTTTGGGACAGGATCCGAGGACCAAGGTCTGGTACATGAGCAGCATGCCATCGCCGGCCGCTTCCAAGTAAGGGCTGGAACAAATGAAAATGTATTGTTTGTATGTACCGAGCTTACTGGGGCGGCGGCTCTCCATGGGCGTTGATCGAACGGCATTTCGACCAAACGACAACCGTATTCATAGTTATCACATCGGCATCAACAACTCTCGCTCTCCGTCGTCCCCTATCGCCGCCTTGCCTTGCAGTTATATTTTGTTCACTAAAGTGTGATAAATGAAAAAAAAAAAATCGGGTCGAGCAGCTGCATAGGCCATGCATACTAAAGCTCTGCCAGTCCTCTCACGGCTCTCTGCGCGGGTCGAGATCTTTTTTGTTGTTGTTATTGTCGTTGTCGTTGTTTTTCCATCTCTCAAAAGCTCGCGCTCAATTTTTCTTTCCCACCATTCTGTAACATTTTGTTCAGCACACTAAACCTGAAATTATTGTTTCTTGTATCGCTGTTTTTATCATTCATAGGGTGTTACTTCGGTCATTGGAAGAGAGTAATGTCAAAACGGAAGCATGCGTCTTTCATTCGTCCCAGCTCACTCCTCCGCAGGCATACATCATCTCTTCCCTCGATTCTGGGACACGCACCATCATCAGCCATTCAACCTTGCCAGATCTCACCCTCGAGGAGTTTATCAAAAAATTCGATGCGGCATGCATGAGGGCGGGCGTCTCCGATCTTGTGCAGATGAATTGTCCGTTCCGCTGGATTCATTTTGAGTGTCGTGGCCTGGAGGTGTACAAAATGATTGATTATGTCGAATCGGTCTATATCCGGCAGGGCTGGCGACAAAAACTGACAATCTCGGTCGAGTTTGAAAAGGGCGACCGGCCAGGGATCAAGAACCTGCTTCAACAGGCCGATGTGTGCTTCTTTTCAAAACTATACGCAGAGACACTTGGATTCGATCGACCTGAGGATTTTTTGTCAAGCATCGGAGACTACTGCAAGCCAACGTAAGTGCCAACAGCTTCTTGTGTCCATGATCTATAGAGACTTTTCTGTTCTTGATCTCCATCTTCATTTAATCGACGCCTTATTGTCCCTCTATCTGATTTGTAGAGCGACGTTATTTTGTTGTTGGGGCGCAATGGGTGCTGTTGGTCTCCATCTTGAGAGTCGTACAAGGTTTAGCGCTGGCGCAGGCAAAATCAACATGGTCGTAGATCCTATTGGAGCTGGCGACACCTTCATCGCAGGCATCATACTGGGACTGGGCGTACGTGGATACGACATTGGGCGAGGGTTGAGATTCGCATGTGAACTTGCCTCATTAAAGTGTTCACAGTATGGGTTCCAACGAGTCTTGAAATCGATACCCCCAGACCTGTAGCCCTTGCGTGCATTGAAGCTTTGTATACCCTTCTTTACCTTACTATGCATAATAATACGAATAAACCAAACGTGAATATAAGCAACCAATAACCGACTGTCGTATGTTAGATACAAGGACGCTATTATAAATATACAGGCATCTCAGGAATGTTGCAAGCACAATCTCTCCATGCGACCTTTATGCAGGCAGTAACGGTCGTTATAGTGAAATAGCACAGGTCATTCTCAACGTTAAATTGCTTTGTAGAGAACGCCGGATTTGCACGGTCCTCTATGCGCATAGGATCGAGGGATGCCTTCAGATGTACATATTCCTCATTTGTTGAATGCGAGCAGGTGGAATGTGACCGGTATGTGGGAATAAGGCGAATCTTCATTGACTACAGGAGATACGGATGTTAGAAAAAAAAGGGTGATTGGTTATCTACAGTTGCCACCAATTTTTTAAAGCAGCCAAAGATAAGATTTCATTTGGCACTCTTGTCGGAGTGCTCAAGTGATCTCCATCATTGGCCGCTGCCAGACCCAGGGGTTCCAGAGGCTCTAGAGGTTCCAGGGGTCGGTAGTTATCGCTCGGCATTGCACGGATCTACTACACACACGTGTGATATAGCGAGCAATGGCTACTTTTGGAAGTATATGCCGTAGCGGGATCCAGAGGGTCCAGCCCTGGATGGTTCTCTTCCTTGATTGGGGTGTCGAATGCTGTGGCTTTTTGTGAGTCTTTCGATGGCGGGAGATTATTCTTAACTAACCTTCAAACTCATCCCGCATCTCTTCTCCTCATTCATCCTTCACAACCCTCCATACTCCTGCTCACACCCACACCCCGGCCGTATACCCGCCCCATTACCAGTAATATCGAGCAACAGCGCAACCAAGGCTTATTCAACTAGCACACTTGCCTCACTCAACATGGTTTCCTCAACTCAGAACGTCCTCCGAGTTGGTTTCGGTACGACCTGTGCTGAATATTACCCCCTGGAACTGTTTAACAGCCTCGGTAGCGAATTGACATGTTGCAATTGAAGAGTGATCCATTAATACTGCATTCTTTTGCCTTTTTGTGCGGCAACAACAGTGCCAGAGCACTTCTCCTCTCCACTCCACATGGGTGTTGAGCTCGGCTTCTTTGAGAAGGAAGGCATCGTTGTCGAAAGGGTTTGCTGCCCTAGCGGTACAGGAGAGGTAACGATCTACAATCCTGCTTGAATGTTTTTGTGCCCCAATCATCCGAACTGGTCACTCTCTTTCCCCCAATCCGCTGCTTGACCGAATCGCAGAGGGATGAAGTGAAGCATACCTTCAAATGGATAAATTCTTCAGCGCAGTCAGTTCCTGGATCCATGACTTATTTTCTTGTTCACATTTAATTTTAATTTTGTTTGGATCCAGATGACGGCAAAACTTATCGACGGATCTTTGGATGTCGCCATCGCTCTCACGGAAGGACTCTTGGCCGGTATTGCAAAAGGCCATGATGACTATAAGATTATCGGCACTTATGTCGAGTCCCCACTCTGTAAGTAGATCATTTTGGTGGAGCTGCCCTGACTATCGATCATCTCACTCAATATGGATGCCTTCGTCATTGAACAACTGCAATTATAGGCTGGGCGATCTCGGTTGGCCAGAACTCGAGACATGTCGACCGTAGCACACTTCAAGACGGAAAGATTGGTATCTCAAGGATCGGTAGCGGAAGCCATATCATTCCTTATGTGCTGGCCGAGCAGGAGGGATGGTTGAAGGGAGCCTCGCCTGCTGATCCCGAATACAAGGCGCCATTTGGTTTTGAGATCCTGAATACCTTCCAACACATGAGGGACTCTGTCAATGACGGATCAACGGATGCGTTTCTTTGGGAAAAATTCACGACTAAGGTACGGTGTTGGCCATAGATTCATCTCAGCTGCATATGTGAATTCAATCGGAGGCGTTTGGCAGGATCATTGGTCCCGTTCGTTTCTTATATGGCACCTATCGGGTCATTCCCTACAACCGTTCCTACTTTGCCCTTTTTTTACCTGATCTGTGCATCTCATAACTAGATTATCGTGACCGATTATTAATACTAGTGGATTTTTGTTCGTTTAATAGCCCTATCACGATTCCAGGGAGGTACGCTTGGTCGACACAATCACCCCACCCTGGCCCGCATTTATGATTGCGGCCTCTTCCCGCCACCTGCCCATTTCGGAGGATCCACAGAGACAATCAACATTGGCCCGGTTCTTGAAGGCGCTTTCTTCTGCAACAAGGCATTTTGTCGATCCAGCGAACTACGAAGAATCGGTTTTGTTCGTGAAGAACAAGATGTCGTACACAACACAGGATGTCAAGGACTGGTTCAGTGGCGTCCAGTATCCCGAGGAGGGATGCGAGGTCATCAACCAGGAATCGTTGATCACTTGCGCAAGGATATTGCTCAAGGCTGGTGTCTTCCAAAAGGAGCAAGAGGACGATGTCAAGGCAAACCTGCGGACCAAGTTTATCGATACGAATGTTGCACTGCTCTCGTAAAGAAAGCACGCGACTAGAAATGGGAGGGCAGGGGCCCAAAGAACCATATTTTTATCCCTTTACATAATTATAGCCATTAAAAACACATATCCCAACGCTTAGCGATGCGATCTACTGTCGAGATTATTATGTGTGTTTTTATTTGGTGATTATCGTCTAGAAGTTTGAGAATTGTGGTATAGGCACCTTCATCCGTCTATGGACACTCTTGCAGCGCAAAGATCCTGCTGTCGCTGAAAATTGCTTTTTTTTTTTGTGATTATCTTGTTATAAGAGTGGTTTACAGACTCTTGAAGATGTTCTCGGGGTCCCACTTGTTCTTGGTGGTCTTCAAGGTCTTGTAAGTCTTCTTTTCATAGCACTTGCTCCAGTAGTTGCGGTCCTGCAGTTTCTTGGGGCGCAGCTCGTTGGCATAGTAACCCAAGGTCCATGGCTTGAGGGCCTTGACAGTCTCGTCCACCCAGCGCCTGTTCGTCTCATCCCAGGCAGCAGTGCCGTTGCGCTTCCAGGTCGAGTAAATGCAGAGAGAGTATGAGCGATCATAACCGAGAGCGCTCTTGGTGGGCGCATCCCAGGTACCGGTGTTGAGGGCCATGGAGGACAGGGCCGAGGGGACCTTGTCCCATTGCTTAATCAAGACCTTCTGAAGACGGGGATCCAGAGGAACGGGGAACCACAAGTCCTCCGCATAGTACGAAAGGTCAGAATCAGCCCAGCCAGCATCGGAGCCGTGGATGACACCGCCATAGGTGCTAGGGTCCGAGGTGGCAAAGTTGGTGGGTAGGGTCTTGTACCACTTGGTGATATCAGCCTGGGCCTTGGTGACAGCAGAGGACGTGTTGAAGGGAGCAGCCGAGACGGAAGCAAAGAGGTACTGCTTAGCATTAGTCGCGGCATCGACGGTGAAGACAACCTTGTTTTCAAGGGCCTTGGGAGCCTTGGGATCGAACTTGCTGTAAAAGTTCAAGAGCTGGTTGCCTTGGGGACGATCAAAGATGGCAAAGACCTGGTCAATTTGGACAGAGGTCTCGTTGTAGGTGGGAACCAAGGTAGGGTTCTTGACCATGGGAACCAGGCGCAAATGAAACTTGGTGACCACGCCAAAGAACTGTCCGCCACCGCGGACAGCGTAGAAGAGGTCCTTGTTATGCTTAGCATCGGCATAAACGGTCTTGCCATCGGCCGTGATGATATCGAAACCAATGACATTGTCGACACCAGCGCCGTGCAGGCGAGAGCCGATACCCATGCCTCCCTGGAGAAGGAAACCACCGATGGTGACACGGGCGGTGTGAGGACCAGCAAAATGGAGACCATACTTGATGGCCTCGGTGTAGAGCTCCAAGCCAGTAGTACCAGGCTCAGCGGTGGCGGTGCGAGCCTTGGGATTAATGGTGACCTTGTTAAGTTTGGAGAGATCCAGGAGAACAAAGTCCTCGCGGTTGTTATCGACAGCAGCCATATTGGAAGAGTATCCAGACTGATAACCGCCCGAGCGCGCAGAGACGCGGAGACCAAACTGCGAGGCGACCTTGATGGCCTTTTCCAGTCCCTTGTTGTTGGCCTTTGAGGGCGTGACAATGGCGAGAGGGAGGGCCGACTCTGGGAACTCTTTGGGCAAGATCAGGTTGTTGAAGGTCTTGAGGGCATCATAGTATGAGTCTTTGTTCTTTTGCTGGCGGAACTGGATGTCAACAGAGTCCCTGGGAAAGTCTGGGGAGGTGTAAGACTTGTAGACCTTTTGCTGAGTCGCGACGTCGGTGGCAGCGCAAGCGACCGCGGCCACTACAGAGAGGATGCAGAGAGAGAACTTCATGATGGCTGTAAGACGGACGTGAAGTGAAGACAAGAGTAAGAGGAAGGCGGGTGCTTGGTGGTTAAAGGAAGGATGGTGGTTAGGTGAAGAGGAGGGAATGCAGGGAAGAGGAGGGGGAGCAGGAGGCCGAAAGGACGCTGAAGGAATGGGAGTGTGGGGAGTGCTAAAGGAAAAAGAAGAAGGGCGAAGGGAAAATGGTAGTTCATAAATACTAACCGACATAGCAACGCAGTAGTCTCCTTCCATACTGCGACGTGTGAGCAGAAGTGCTGGAGTTCATTGCTGGCACTGAATCCCCGACCAATGGTGGTTTCACAAAAAAACAAAAAACAAAAAAAAGCCGTTGAGAGACAAGCAACGAAGACAGCCGACGTTGCTCCCCTGTCACCGCTGTTCTTTCTTTCTCTACACTTTATTTGGGTTATAGGAAGGCGGGCAAATATCTGGGCTATCTGGTGCTGAGCGTGCTGCCCTCGTTTCTTTTTCTCTGAATAACGAGTCGATCTTTAGACAGAGCCCTAATTGCACTCGGCACAATGGGGTGTTATAGCCGGGAAGAGAAAGTGGGTGACCATGCATCTCTGGATAAGAGCGCTCACACGCAGATGCATTCGCAGACAAACGTAGACCAGAGAAGAGTGAGAAATAGAGAGAGCTCATCTCTCGCTTCAATCTCACTCATCCCGCTATTTATTCGTCTTCATATCATTCATTGGATGGCGCGATTGGAACCCACGGCAAATCACTTGCGACGACTCTGCTTAAAATAAAGTAAGGGCTTTGTCAAGATCGGAGGAGTAACACAGGAAATGCATTCAAGATCCCATTGATCATGATTGATCTTCAAGGCGTAGAACGAAGTCCTCTCTCTGATTCTACTTTTCATTCCTCGAACGACTGCACTAATTCATGCATGGAACTTTTGCAAAGAAACATGGCGACACATGAGCACTAGCGGCGACAGTTAAAGCACAGGTCTTTGAAATTGTGTCGCATGGAGGCCGCTAAATTCTTCGTCGTAATCTTTCTCAAGTAGTGCGCTAGTGTGGCTCCACACTGCTCTCGAGACGTGATCTTCAAAGGAATGTAAGCCGTCTTGATGCACGCTCACTTCCGCCATGATCCTGCACTTGTGCAATTGCACATAAGAAAGAAGAGGATGCAGTGCTTAGCAAAGGGTATTGCTTGTGAAGGCGTTCAACATCTCCAAACTATCAATTAAGGTTACGCGACAGTGCCGGGTTAGACATCATCTTCGCTAGATGGTAGCGGTGGTCATCTCTTTGGACACCAGACCAGAAGTCCTAACAGCAGCAGGTATCTCTTGATACATGCGCAGTACAAACTTTGCAGAGGAGCCTGTATCTATTCTCGTAGTCTCCGATTCATGGTCAGAGAAGTCCCTCGAAAATAGAAGCGGGATACTGTTGAAGCATGATTATGAAAGTCGGCCACAGCACACATCAGAATACATCCATGAGAATAAAAATAACTCAAGGCAAAGGACTGAGCTGGGGTTCAAAGAATTGAAGAAACGTGTCAGCAATGTCAGAAACTCAGGCAGTTCTCTGGTCTACTTTCTGAAGAGCAAAGTTCCAATTAAGGTTTAATAAGTACAGAACTATGGTGACAGGACACATGGCCAAGCAAGGTTTATATGAGTCTGAGGCGTACCGACGTCTTTGGAAATAAAGCCTTTTGAATGGGTTAAAGAACCTGAGTAGGAATATCAGCAGTGAAAACAGGCGTATTAGGATATGAATTCAACCGGCAATGATTTACACCATTAGTCCTTCCGAAAGAAACAAAATGGCCTCTCAACGACCTCTTGCGACCCGATGTCATGCTCGCATTAAAAATGCTCAGGGGCTGCATGGTGTCCATGATGTTGTTCGACAGCTCTTGCGCGCGAAATGTCGTAAACCTAATTGGCCCACCATGCAGCCTGATCCAGCGGACTTGCAATAGTCCCTTTGTCATACTAGACTAAGCTCTCAGCTAAATGGGCCTTGTGCAACCCCATTTTGAAGGCGTTTTTTATCATCATAAGTTGATTGACTGAGAAGGAGTAATTTAGAGCTCATATCTTGGCAGCTACGGAGAAAGTCCTCTCTTTGGCATCATCGGCAGGGAACCCCCACCCCTCCAAGCCTTGGCTGCACGCGTTACACCTTCATAACGGCACACGGGGAATAGGAAAAGTAGAGTATAATTGACGTGTACATGTATCTGTGAATAAAAAGAGAGTAAGGAATATCTCATGTCGTGCTGCGAGAACATGTACTGCATGCACCTAATTTAGATGCCTTGATAAAAAGAGCACTTTTCATGAATCGCGAAAGATCAAAATATCACTCTGCGTCACTTGTCTTCGTCCCCTTCGCCGCATGAAGGATAGCCTAAGTACCAGGTTCCGACTGAACGGAGAAAGCGAGTTGGATGATGAATATAAAAATGGAGAAGTATGGCACAGGCGGGTTAGTAAGTGCTTACCCTCTCATTGAATGATGGCCTGTTGACCCTGGGACGATGTACATTTCAGGCAAGGTAACAACGTCTGGATCTTAAGCAAGGTCAGTAAAAATGATTGTGAGATGTATCCTAATGGTCGTGAGCCCCTTGCAGGATACTCTTCGATGTCGTCTTAGGAAGTATTGCCTTTTATTTGTTTCCTTTGACTTTTACTGCTGCCTTCGCTAGGGGTAGATTAGTGTGCTGTTGTGTATCTGGGCCGCAGGGCATATTAAAATGGCTTTACTTTTCTCAGGTACAACGGGTACAAGATGGTCTGGTCACTGCGCGAGTGATTGTATACGAGCATTGGGCAGCCATGTATACTTGCAACTTCATCAATAGTGGTGCAACCAATGCAACCGATGCAATGAAAGATGGTGAAACGCGAGAAATGGTGAATATATGGTGCTTTTGAGGATGAACGCTGCGGAGGATAGACTAGACGATGCTGATTGTGCATTCGGCTTCAAGTCCGCTAGTCCTGCCTGCAGTCCGCATCTGATATCTATCTGATATCAAGAATGAATGATTTAACTCCCTCAATTGCTGACCTGGTCGCACCAAAGGACTTTAGATCCGGCGAACAATAATTGCTTTCCGCTCTTGCATGCTCCATCCCATGTTCGCACACTTTTCTTTTTCATATTTCTGTTCTCTTCTTTCATTTCTCGAAATTCCCTCACGACCATAAGACCATCAAATTTTTCATCCGACCCCTTTATACCCTGAACTGCATCGGCAACACCCAGCCGTTATCTTCACGCACCAGGGCATACATCCTGTCGGACCCTGACCCCCCTCCCCACTGTACCGACCCTCATCATATTCCGCAAGCAGGCTGATTTTTTTACATCGAAAGCCTAATCTTTCGCTCTTTTCAACTGCAACGCCCAACTTACTCAATTGACTCCAACCTTGAGCGCATCGTACTCGTCAGGGCACTCACTCTTTCTGTCAGCACTATCGCGATCCAGCACACGAATAACACAGCAGATCAAATAACGCCACGGATCTAGCAATGCCCTTTCAAGTTGGAGTGGACGATGCAGATGGGTTCGTCAAGTATCTAGTCAATGTCGTGGTAGTAACAGCGACGGTAGCCTGGCTGGCCATGCTTTTCGTCCGATCGATTGATGCGAAGGTCATCAAGTATAGAAAGCCCTTCAGCGTTGCCATGACGCTGCAGCTCTTCTTCGTGACATGTCGTAATCTAACGACCATGATGCTGTCCTCGGTGAGTGAATCCCAGCGGAATTTGTTCATTTGTATCTTTGGCAGTGGAGTCTATTTTTTTTTTAAGTTCCGGATGTCGGATTCACGGGCTTTCTTCGTGGGTCTACGGCAATACACGGGACAGAAAAAGTCTTCGCGGACACTCTGGGGGATGAGGTCTGGCTAGGCGTGTCTTTTTTATTTTTTATTTTGATGTGCAGCTTCATATTTCACCCGGTTACAGGTCATGCCAAAACCAGATTCCCGGCGCTGGTGCTCGTTTTTGTGCAGGACATGGTTTGATATGAAGACTCTTTTCGTAACCGGACCACAAAGATTTCATTTGTCCTTACTTTATTGTTGCTGTCATTGATGTGCATTGCAACTACAGCACAAATAAGTGGCACAGTCGTTTGAGTTTTCTGGAGCCCTTTTTGGTATGCTAGGATTGTCCTCAGTGACCCTGATCTACTGAAGTAAAATCGTAGAACCACCTTGTTTTTGCGTTTGGTTTGTTTACGTGTGTCATCCACCGTTTTATTCAATTCATTCAAGTAACAGAGCGTAGATAGAAGATGCAATGAGCGACCAAGAGCCATGGTGCAGGAAGTGAAAAAAGAGAGCGAGTTCGTGATTACGGGATGTTGCACAGAGGGGAACATCGACTCGCGCCAACCAGTCCGTTACACATCGGGATGCTTGCAGCCACCTGACCCGCTCTCATCTAATCCGCTCTCTTCTAATCCGCGCATGCTTCACATTAATCGGAGCTGTTTATTTTATTTTTGATGAGAACGTTCCACTTCTCCCATGTGTCAATTCATTTATCTTTTGGATCCAGCAGCAGCAGTCGTGGTTGCCAGGCTCAGATACAGATATTGATTCATCAACGTGTTTTGGCTCCAGTCCTCAAACAATTCCATTTCGCCTAATCTGTTCTCGGGTGCCTTACCCGGCAGTTGCTCTGATGCATGCACACAAAGCCGAGCACTAACATCCATTTTTTTTTTTTTCAATAGGGCTTCCCTATCCCTTGTCGTTGGGTGGCCGTCATTGGTGGTGTCATCTACCAATTGTTTGCTATCTCGGCCGAGTGTGCCATGTTGATTCGCTGCAGATCATTCACCCGGTACCCCAAGATGGTCACCTACCTGACTATCCCCACTTGGATCGTACGTTTTGGTCTCTGTATCTGGCTGGTGACGACTATCAAGGGCGAGGACAACGAGGCCGGCTACATCTGCGACACCTCGATGGACTACAATCTCTCTGCTATCATGCAATACATCAAGATTGCGACCGAGGTTATTATCCTCGTGTTCTTTCTCGAGCGCGTCATTGCCCTCCACCGCAGCTCCCGCGGCATGGAGACCGATGCCAGCCATAGCCACTGGAAGCGTCTTGCCCTCATTAACGCCGGTATCACCTTCTTGGTTATTCTCTTCGAGGTCCTGGTCGGCCAGGTCACCGTCTACTTGACCGGCTATTGTACGTTTGCAGCCTCAGCTTCAGCTTTAGCTGCCTTTCTTGGCACCGGCAGAGCCATACGCTGACAATCTTTTCCATCTTATCGTTTGCTAAAATAGTGTTCTTGACGTACAGCTTGGTCAATTTCATTCAAGCAACGCTTGTGGTCTTTATCGTTGAGGATACCAAGAACGTGTTCAAAAAGCGAGCTGCGACAAGCAATAGCGCGTCGAAGCAGAGCAACAGCAACAACCACAGTGGTAGCAACGCCCAGCGGAGTAATGACTACGACAGCTCCACTGTCAGCTACGCAGACGGTGTCGCTGCTGCCAAGGTCAATCGTCTCCACGACCCCAGCCAGCTGTCGCAGCAGCCGTGGTCCCTGACCATGCGCGCACCCTCCGTAATGCCCGAAAGCGTTCCTGTTCATTATAGTCCGCAGTCGAATGACCGTCCTTCGTCCCACTTTTACGACTTTGGTCAGATGGACCAGAAGTCGTCCTTGAACCGGCATTGGGATGTCGACCCCGAGTCTCAGGATACGATCGATGGAAGCAAACGCTGGAAATACAACAGGCCCGAAGATGAGATCCCTATGACCCTCGCCAAGAGCCGAGAGGACGCTCAGAACCCTAGACGATAAACGCTAATTTTTACCCGGTGAATATCGTTCCTCGAGAGTTCCTGTCTCCTTCCTTTCCCTCTCCCTCGTCCTGCATCGTTTTTTCATCTTCATGCTGCTTAAATACTCCTTGCTTCAACACACGTTGATTATACTACGCATAATTCATAATAAAACCCATAGTAATGATAGTAATGATAAGTAATTGATAGTTGATTATTGAATTTAGTGACGTATGGGTGACTGTTGCTCGCCTGCCCCCCAACGGCTCCTAAAGATGCCATCATCCCTTCTTCAGCTTTCGTTGTAAACCATCGCACCATACCCAATTCTCTCCAACCAACCGACCCATACACGAACAGGAACACAATGGCTTTCCGCAAAATCGATATTGACGCTCTCGAGGAAGACGCGTTCGGACAGGATGAGCTCGACTACCAGGAGATTGGCGAGGTGCGCCCTCAGCAAGAGGTTGAGGCCCAGGTGAACAGCCGTGCTCAGGAAGTCAGGTCCTTGCTCCAGCGGTACGTCTTATAGCCTGTCAAGGAGGGCCTCTTTCGCGCGGATGCGTAAGGGCCAGAGGGGGAAAAAAAAAAGAAGCGCCACCTCTACCAAATACCAACAAAGAAGGTCGATATAGTGACTAATCGGCTGTTGGCCTGGTTTTGCATCTCGTTTTTTTGTGTTCGTTGTTTTAGTGGCAACGCAGGCGGTGCTCTTTCTACATCACTTCAGGATCCACCATACGGTAACGGATTCGAGACTGCCAAGGTAAATACGGCAAATGCGTACAATGGACAGGGGCCGGCAGTTGTGCTCAAGGAACCTTTTTTTTTTCGATTTCAGGAACAGTTGTCGACTACGTCTTCTAATCGAGTTATCTCATTCTCAATTACCCGTTTTCGTCGCGGGACAAAACACGTTTTTGTTTCTTGTATATGTTATCTAGGCCAGAAATACTCAGACGGTCATGGAAGTCTTGAACTCGATCAAGGTCGCAGATGTCGCCCAATTGGTCAAGAACCTGACGCCGGAGGAACAGGATGTGCTGATGAAGTATCTTTATTCAGGAATGGCTGCTCCAGAACAGAACAACTCTGGTGTGCTCTTAGCTTGGCATGAAAAGGTACCGCAGCTCGCAAACAATTTGAGCGATCTTTTTTTTTTTTTTTTTTTTTTTTTTTCGCTGAAAGGTCGCTTGCTTCTGGGATAGTTCTTAATTACCTCACACTGCATTTTTTTCATCTCATTAATATTTCCTATGTGAATAGCTCACAGAGATTGCTGGACAAGGATGTATTGTTCGCGTTATCACTGACAGGAGGACCGTTTAAGCAAGCTGTATTGAGATGAAGTTAGGGACGGATGATAGTGACCAAAAATAAAAGAGGTTACTAGGGGTGACATGCAATTAGGGGCAGTTGACAGTGGTACAGATGATTGGCATGCTTTGTTCAACATGCCAGTAATGGGGAGGGGGGGGGGGGAGTCTTTTTCTTCTGCTCAATGATCTGTCAAGTGCTCCCTTCTCTCGTTGTGTTTGCGTGGCAAATCCATTGATCCGCCTCAATTAGTATTAGTTTTATGGTTGCATTGTTCAAGATCAATTATCCAATGCATGCAATTGTGATGTATCCAAGCGAGTGTCGCTCGGTCCGAATCTGAAGGCGAATGAAGGATGTCATTTTCCTTTTTGTTCCGCCAACTTGAATCCCGTCCTGCACATCCTTTGCCCTTATATTGTTTTACACCCGCAGCTGTGTGCCCATTCACCCATAGCTATTCCCATCCCTCCCCGTTCTCCACCCCTTTGTACCTCAGACATAAGGTCGGTCCTCCTGACGAAGTCAGCCGCGACACAACGTCAGCTTGACCAAACCTCGCCTTTTCACTTGCAGTTTACTCCCGACCTCTTTGTTGTTCTACTATTCCCACTATTCCATTCCACCATCAACTGTCCTTTCTACCAGAAAAAACTCAAAAAAACTTAGATATAGACCTGTGTTATTGAAACGATGGTCTGTTGCAGGTAAAGCACTATTTCGTCATTTGCTTGTTGTCTTTACGAGTATCGATTGAGGGGCCTCACACTTGTCAGGAGCAGTTCAGGAAGAATGAGGAAGGGACAATAATAGAGCGCCCATTGAAACAAGCAGGAGACAAAGAAGGAACGAAGACAATGAAGGATCGAGGAAACGCGATTAGGCTTGTTCACCACAGCACTGAACACCTGAACACCTGAGAGCGGGCGCGAATGAGAAAAAAAGGATCTTCGGGATTGGTGTTTGTCATGGTAAATCGGTTAATGTGACAGAGAGAGATGTCAGAGAGGATTCCTGTGCAACTGTGTGGAAACAGAAAAGGAACGCCGTGTCGAAGACTGCAGGCGTTATGGAGGGGATAAGAGGGAAAGTATACATGAATATGCAGAAAAAGAAAACCGGCCAGTGGGAAGGGGGAGAGTGGCATGTTTTTGTTGTTGTTGTTGTTGTTGCTTCTACTGCTGTGGGGGGAGAGGGGAGGACAGGCGGTGGTACAGTTGTGTACACGCCTTGACTTGTTGCTGTAGTTCAGAATAGAGAGAGAGGAATGCTCATTGTAAAAGAGAGTTTGACGCCAGTGGAGAGCTGAAGATGAAGAAGTGCGTGCGTGTGTTGGTGTTGGTGCGCGCTTTTCTGTAAAGTTGTACAGAGGAGTGTGTGCCATAGGCGTCCGCTTTAGCAGATTAGTCCCGACTGAAGAGAGAGTCAAGAGAGGGGGTATGTGAATATGCGATCGGAAGTCGAGGAGGAGTGGCGATGATGATGGTGATGATGATTGAGGTGTTCGCAGGTGGGTGCTGGTGCTGCTGATGAAGGTAGGAGGGGATGATCAGATCTGATGTAGTGCAGTGCAGTGCAGCCATGTTGTGATGTTGACTGTCTGTTCAAGAGTAATAAACCATATGTTTATTGCTTGTGCGAAGGCGTGTGCATGTGCATGTGTTGCTGTTGTATGAAAGTGAAAGTGCCGATGATAGAGAGAAGAGGAGTGCTCTCAATTCGCTTCGGTTCTCTCTACTTCTTTCTTGCTGATATATATATTTACACCAGCAGACATAGACCTACTCCCTTTCCCTCCCCCCCACACACTCTCTCTTTCTCGTCTTCTTCAGCTCCTTCGTCCCTCCCTCTCACTTTTTCCTTTCTTTCATTCTTTTCACCGACCATTGTCCTCCTCGCCCTCTTTTCTTTTCTTTTTTTTTCGTTTCTCATCTCAGTTTCTTCATCAGTTTCTTCCACTCGACTGAAACAAACGTACTCCCAGGCACACCAATCATATAAAAACTGACCTTGCCTGTTTCATTTTTATTCACACTCTCCTTGCACCTGACACCTCGCGCCGCTCTTACACATGTCCTCTCCTGCCACGTCCACGACGAACCCTTCCAATACCACCGACACCGCCTCCACCCGCGCCCGCTCCCGCTCCCGTACTGGCTCGGTTTCTGTCCCCGGTGCCGCGGCCCCGACCTCGCCTGCCCCGCCTGTGCCTGCGCCCAATGCCACTCATTCGTCCTTTATCCCCACCAGGTACATCAAGCATGCCTCGCTCATCAACAACTGCTACCCCTCCCGTCCTGACGAGAAGGGTCCAAAGTCCAGCGAGCTCTCCTACCTGGTCTTCTATGCCACATCCAAGCCTGCAAAGCTGACCAAAGTCGGCAACTTTATCGAGCGACGAGTCACCCGCGATTACCGCAAGAAGAAATACTCGTATGTCATGTCCTTTTCTTCTCTGTTATCCATCGCCTTGTCTATGTGCTAAAAAAAGGGTACGCTCAGACCAGGCAGCCCAACCAACAGGTCGTTAATACATCCGTTTTATCTACTCCAGAGATGTCCATTGCTCGCTCGAGATCATCAAGACCCTTCTTCTGTCCAGCAAGGCACACCTGAACATCTTTTCAAAAAACGTCGTCAGTATCCTCGATTTTCTCCTGGTCGACATCTCTGACCTCGACATCGTGCGTCACTGCCAAAACGTCTTTTCCTGCTTCTGTGGGGCCCATGATGGCTCCACCTTGGGTGTCGATCATGAATTCAGGACTCTCTACGACAGAGTCGTTTCTCGTTTCGCAGGCATCGCAACCCTCAAGAACGGCGACAACAGCAGCCGGTACGTATAATTAGAATGTTTTCGAAATGGCATGTGTTGATCACTGCAACCCCAAGGGAATTCAGTGTCTTGTTGTTCGTCCTTGACTGCTCACGCTCTATGATGCATCGTTGTACATGTCTATGCATAGCTATCGGATGATCGGCCTGAGAGCATTGGAGGGCGTGGTCTCATCTAGTGCCCTCTATGCGTGCGAACCCAAGGCCCAGCTCAATCTGGTCCTCCCTGCTATTCTCAACTGCCTAATCGACTCCAAGAACGGCGTCAATGTTGCACTGGACAACTCGCCAGGCTCGGCACCTCCTCTTCGCAGATCCGTTTCGATCCATGTTGCTGTACATCCCGACAATGTTATTACAGATGACGATATTACGGCCGAGGCTGTCAGATGTCTTCATGCTCTCTTCAACACCCCCAACGGTGGCAATGTCAAGCTGGCCCTCAAACGAACGTTCGCCTATCTGGATGAACACAGTCGCTGGTGGCCATCCACCTTTGGTGTCGGAATCGTGAAGACGGTCTTGAGCTTGATCTTGCCTCAATACCGATACATGGTCGTGAATGAAATCATCATCCGCATCGATAGTGTGGAATCGACCACAACGGATCTCACCCTTCGCCTTCAAAAGAGAGCCACGCTAATCTCTGCACTAGAGGCGATTTTGGTGTCTCCTGTCTCTCTGATTGGTATGCCGGTCCTCGAAGTTCTCAATTCATTGTTGGTGACGCTCACGAAATCTCTGGCAGCATCTGCTTCCATGACCAAGGAAGGTGAATCCAGCCAATTGCTCTCCTTGGAATCCGTCATCCAAGAGGGACTCGTCAAGAGTGTCGGTATGTCTGCAACGGTATCAGATCCAGCGTTGTCGAATGCATGGAGAACCATTCAATATACTAATCGGCATTTTTTGTTTTTATGTTTTGCACGGCATGTAGGTGGTCTCGCGACACACATCTACTACTCGAATCAAGTGCCCCATATTATTTCGCACATTGCAGGAAAGTTATCCTCCAAACTGGGAGCTTCACCACAACCCTCCATGATCGAGGGCGTGCCTACACTCGAGTATCGTGCGGCACTCTTGAAGTGCCTTTTGGCTGTGATCGAGACAAGCAAGCAGAGTGGACGCCAACAAGCCAGCTTCCATGCCACAGAAATTTCGTCCGATCTCTTGACGTCCTGTCTCGGCCTTTTGCTGGACGATCGCGTCGAGATTCGAACAGCATTTGCTAAGGCGCTGGTCACATTCCTTGTTGCCGAGGAAGAAAATGGCCAGTCGAGTACATCTCCTATCCCGTCGACCTCGAGCGATTTATACTTCCGCGCTGCCGCTCACCAGACTCTGCACGCCTATGCCAGCTCTCCCAGCTTGACGCCGGCGGATTTGATCGCCTTTTATGGCATCCTGAAGGCGCTGTTCAGTCACTTCCAGGACGATGAATTCATCAGGGTCGTTCCCATGCTTTTCTCGCTCCAAGATTGGTGTCTAGATAGCCTGCCTCAGGAAGGGCAGGAGCTTGATGCTACTGTAGTGACTCGCAAGCGCGCTGTGGCGGCTGCCATCGTGACTTATTTCCAAATGGCCGTTTCTACCTATGGTATGGCGGAGCCTCAGGAGTATCTCGAGAACATCAGGATGTCCAGAGAGAATGAGTCGCAGTGGATTCCGATCCAGTACGGATCAGTCGCGGAGTCATTGGCACGCACAAGTACATCATCCTGGGAAACGCCTTCTGAATCGCTTAGCCCCGTGCTGACGCACCCTCTTGCACGCGAGCATTTGGTTACGCTGTTGACAACTGTTTCGGACCGTTTCCGTGCTGGAGCCGATCGCTTTGGCGTGGTGTACAATCCCGAAAGCCAGTCAAGTTTGTTGTCTGGACACAATAACAGCAAGGATCTTGGTAGCGGCCTGTTCCTATCGACAGGCACATTGAACGGCACATCAAGCATTATCGGCCACAAGGCTGAGCGCACCATGGACAGCCGTATCAGAGTATCGCGTCATTTGGAGGACTGGGCATTGCCGAAAATCATCCCCCAGACATCATCAGGATCGTCGAGTGATCTGTCTGTGACCGAAAAGATGACGGAGACGACGCCGACAAGTGAGGGCAGTATGTTTGGACTACTGACCTTGAGCGACGGATCCATGGCAGGCAAGAAGATTGGCGTCGACAGCTTGAAGGCAGCCTTGGCGGCGGCTCACATGGCAGTGGATGCGACGAGCGATACCGGGAGCTCGACAGGAAGCGACACGCGCGGTCCATCCGGATCTGCAACATCGGCAAGGTTCTACCCTCTGTCGATCCATGCTCAGACGCTCCGCCGGCAGCATGGTGCTAGTCCATCCGGGGTGTCGACCACGTCGACATTGGCGGTGTCACGACCAGACCTGGCGGATTTGTTGAACACAATCAAGGTCGAGGGAGCAGGGAGCAGCAGCTCCCAGATGTCACTTGTGGTCCCACCATACATGTAATGTGGGCATTGAGTTGAGTGTATGGACTCAATTGCGCACGGAACGCAGACATTCCGGAGTGTTTTTTCTATTGATCGACGACTACCACGATATCGTGGAATACTAACGTAGCTTTTTTTAATGTTGCAGTAATGAATAATAAATACAGTTCTTATTGATGAACTATGAAATTAGCGATATGCAGTTTAGCACAGCAACAGTTTATATAGTTATCATCAGTAGTAGCAGCGGCAGCAACGGCAGGAACAACAACAAGCATCAATTATAAAGAGTAAGCAGATAGACGCGTGATATTCGGCCAATTCAAACCGATTGAATTTTTTTTATTTGGTTACCCGGGGTCGGTGTTCTGATTGGCTGAATCCAGTCAATTCAATTTGAGATAAATATGATGGGTGCACTTTGGCAGTGCAAATGACTAAGAGACTAAGAGACCAAGTGAGCGAGGGGGACGATTGACTAGACTTGGACTCTTTTTTTTTCCCATTGTTTGTTTCCTTTTTACACTTACTTTCTTTACTCTCTTTACTACTCTCTTTCTTTCTCTCTTTACTCTTTCTTCTTTATTCCTTCCCTGCCCTCTCTCCTGCTCACCCCAACTCACTCGTTGTAAAGAAAAGAAGAAACAAAGAAAAAAAGGGAAAAAAATAAAAAGAAAGTAAAGCAACCGGACAGAAAAGGTAAGGGGGGAATGTGGACTCACCCATTCACGCATTCACACATTCACACATACACATTCACATATACCCTCATTACAATCACACACACAACACAATACACACATACACACACATATACACATACACACACACACGCACACACATACACATATACACACACACACATACACACGTCGACCCCATCGACGCATCGGCACACCAACACAGCAACCAAACCTACCAACAACATCGACTCATTCTCATACTCCCAACCCCACTACTCACTCACTTCACGCTCACTCACTTTACATACCAACAACAACTCCTTCCCCCCCCTTCCCCCCTCTCGCAACCTCTCTCTCTCTCACACAAATTGAATACTGCAGAGAAGGGAGGGAAGGAACTAAAAAGTGCTTCCATACCACTGCACAGCAAAACAGCAACAATTGTAGTTGTATACAGTGCACAAAGTAACGACTTTGGTGATTGTTCCAAGGGGCGTATGAGAAACAAGGGAAAGAGAACACCTTGAGTGGATTCTTGTTCTTCTGTTTCGTGGCTCCCTTCTCTCTTTCCTCGGGGGAGGGTGTACTCTCAACGACCAACAGCCATGTTTGCTTTTTTCAGTCCATTCACACACGCTCCGAACCTGATGACATTTATTGGCAGGTTCAGGTAACTGAAACCAATGTTCGGTCTTCTTCAGAACTGGAACCGGAACCAGGGCCGCTATTTTTTTTTTTTTTTTTTTTTTTGTTTGGTTACCTGTGAGTGAAGACCGTGGGACCCAGAGTACGATCTTGGAAAGGAGCCCTGAAAAGGGAGCCCCTTCAGTTGAATACGTTCAAAGGCTATATGATTTAGCGACATCCGACACCTCTGTTATTCCGTGTGGACAGTCAGCGCCTGTCATACCGATCCTTCCCCCTCCCTCTCGGCTCCTCTTGTGCCCCATCTTCCCTCTCATATCCTCGGTCTTTTGAACACCACCGATACACTCTCACACACATCATTGCGTACACTAGCATTCACTCACACACACACACATCCCCGTCCATTGAAAACGCGTGCAGTATAACACGCCATTGCCAATCCTTCCTCTCTCCTGCTCTTGCTTGCTCCCGCGTTGTCTCTCAATGCTCAGCCGCGGTGGGCTGGGAAAGGGTTTCATCTGAACGGTCACGGCCAATTGGCTATTTTTTGTTTTGTTTGTTATTCAATTCAATCCCGCGGGTTGGTCAGGCGTCTTCCTTCTCAGCTTCAGCCCCGACTTTTTCACAGTTGACGCAGCCATCGCCATACTCCCTTCTCCATCACTTTCTTTGAACCTGCGCACGCCGGCGATCGCTCTCCTATTCATCCTTCCCTCCACCAATCTTCGTTAGAAAGTAGTGGGGCGCTTGTTTGATCGACTCTTTATAACGCCAAGCAATCGCAATCACAAGGTGTGCAACAGCCCTTGACTACACTTTACCCCACGAAGTGGTTGTGGGCACTATTCACTCATTTTTGTGTTTGTTCAACACCACAACGACCCTTAGGTTGTAGGCTGTCTTATTGTCTCCTTCATCTTTCAATAGGCGGACGCAGGGTTAGACGCGTCTTTCGATTGTATTGTTTTGAATAATCTGTATCGCCTGCATTTTCTGCGATGAGAAAACCAAATACCTTGTCCGCACTGGCAAGCCAATCTCTTGAAAGCGACATCTTTTTTTTTTTTTTTTTTTTCTTCACGCGAAGCGCGTTTGACGGATGGTTGTGCTCTGTTCTTTCTTTCGGATTCGTTGTCCTCCTCTCCTTTCCCCATCATTCCACACAACCTTTTGTATTGGAACTTTAACCGACACGTGTTTTTATATTTTATTTTTACACGAGTGAATAAGAAAAAAAAAAAGAAGTCAGTTGAGCGTTTAGAAGCTCTGGTGCAACCTCTGGGAAACCTGGAATAACCCTGGCCTTCCATTGCTTGGCTTGACCAGAGAGATCGATTTGCATCAGTGGTTGATTCAAGACTGACGCGTTCTTTTGTTACATTCTCGACTCGACAGGTTAGAATCCGGCGACAACGAGACAACGACAACGACAATACCCTTGGAGTGTAAACACGGGGGCAGGAGACATATCCCAGGTACAGGAACGCCATCGCCATGTCGTATCACGGACACAACCAACACGGGCAATTCGCTGGCTCTGCTGCCACACGACAGTTCGCCCAGCATCCACAGCAGGCCAGCAGCAGCCAGATTCCTGGATTGGCACAACATACGCAGCCGCAACAGCAGCAGCCCCACCAACACCAGCAACAGCAGTATGCAGCGCACCTTCAACACCACAACCCCAACAGCAGCAACTTTGGGATCAACCCCCTGACCGCGAACGGCTATAAGCTCGACAATACAAGGGACTCGAGGCAGGGCAGTGGTCTGCAGGGCTACAACATGTCGAGCGGTAACTGGAGCAGTCCTACGGACATGACGGGGTTCGGTCAGGCACACTCGAGCGGCCAGCTGTCGCACATGTTGGGACAGCCACACCATTCGGCTGCACAGCCCTCCCTGTCCATGTCGCAGTACTCGCAGCCTCAGCAGCAGCAGCAACAGCCTCAACAGCAACCGCAACCGCAACCGCATCAGCAACAGCAACAGCAGGCCTTCTTGTTCTCTGCCCACGGCCAGTCACCGACACATCTTCGTGTAAGGATCACTTTAATGGATATGCTGATTAATTTCTATCGTTCCCTGACTCTAACTATCAACGTTACCATTGCCATCATTCTTCCTTGTTCTCCGTCATGATGAAGGCCCAGCAGGCTCAACAGCCTCAGCCAACGCAGGCCCAGCAGACTCAGCAGCAGGCCCAACAACAGTCTCCTTATGGCTCACACCATTCGTCCAATCATCAGAGCTCTCAGCATTTCTCGTCTACTGTCGTCTCGCCTGCATCCCAGCTTTCCCGCCAGCAACAGCCCTCAGCACAGCCGGGGATGGTTAGTTCAGGACTGAAGCCGCCCACGTCGCTCGGCAATGTCAACCCAGTCAACCGCGGATATCTCGACCCTGCGCTCTCAACTGGAACGAGTGCCTCAAATTTCGGCTCCACCAACAACTTTGGCATGGCGGGTATCTCCAACCTTCGCAATGCTTATGGCGCTGAAGACGAGGTAGGCTGAGCAGGCATAAGAGAATAAGCTGCAATGGATATCTACCAAGACATGATGCTTAATATGTCCTTTTTTTCATTCTTGGTTGCAGGGAGGAAACCTGATCCCGAATGACGATGCCTCACTTGAGGTCTACTCACCCCTCAACAATGCCTCTCATGGTAATCAGGCCCAGTCTGCAAACCGGTATCAGGCCCCAAGACCAGGCCCCAATCCCGTACCGACTGGCCGGCTTGCACACGACATGAGACCCGGCTCCAACAGCCATGTTTTGAATAGCAACCCCACGACGTTGTCCCAAAACCAGCCGATCTCCTCGTACGACCAGCGGACGGCAACACCGGCCCTGAGCATCAAAGGCGATGTCATGCTCGGTGGCGGTGGAGTCGCAGGCAACAGCGCCCAGCACCAGCAGTCATCTCGCCATATTAGCCAACCACTGCCACAGTCGCCGTACTCATATCACTCCACTCAGCAATCTCCTCAGCAGCCATATCCATCTCCTCATGCATCTATCCTACCACAGTCTCAGCATCAACATCCGCATCAACAATCCACCCCCCCAGGACAGTCAGCAATCACGCCCAAGGAGTCTCCTCAGCTGCCGGCGCCAAAGGCTGCTGTCATCGAACCAGAGCCGAAGAAGAAGCAGCAGAAGGCTCCTAAGGCTGCTGCTGCCGCTAAGAAGGCGACTCAGGCCAAGAAGAACACCAAGGCCCAGCTCGATAATGTCGCATCGCCAGAAACAGGACGGGTGGATTCAGGATCATCCCATACGATGCAGTCACCTTATGGCGGCGTGGACCCGGCCATGACCGGCCACAACCGCATTTACAGCAACCCGTTGACCCCGGCATCTTTGGCGCAGCATCAGCAGCAGTACCCCAGCTTTCAGCAGCAACCGCAACAGCAGCACCAACCCTCGCCTCCCCATCTTTTGCAAAACACGCTGCAACAGCAACAACAGCAACAACAGCAGCAGCATCATCAGCAGCAGCATCATCCGACACAACACCATCAGCAACAACAGCCAGCGCAGCCTCAAGCGCCGCAACAGCAACACCACCAACAGCAGCATCACCAGCAGCAGCATCCACAGGCGCAGCAACATCAGCAACAGCAACAGCAACAGCAACAGCAACAGCAACAGCAACAGCAACAGCAGCAAAATCAGCAGCAGGCATTGCGGCAGCATCAGCGCAACGAGAGTTTTGATACGGCCTCTCGCACTGTCACTCAGCCTGCTGTGCCAGCCTCTGCGCCCGAACCAACTGTTGATAAGCCCAAGGGCAAAGGACGCGGCCGGAAAAAGAAGGTTGTTGAAGAGGCACCTCCACCACCTGCCCCTGAACCGCCAGTTCCCGCTCCAATGACCCGCCCGACGGTAATGCCTGCCCTCCCACAAACATCCTCGGCACCCAAGATGACAAAGCAGCAGCAGATGCAACAGCGTCAGCAGCAGCAACAACAACAACAACAGCAGCAACTTCAGCAACAGCAGCTTCAACAACAGCAGCTGCAACAGCAACAGATGCAGATGCAGCAGTTACAGATGCAACAACAACAGCAACAGCAGATGCAGCAGCGTCAGCAGCAGCAGGAGCAACAACAGCAACAGCAACAGATGCAGCCTCAGCAACCACAGTCGCAGCAGCAACAGCAGCAGCAGCAACAGTATTACAAGGCTCAAGCCTCGGTGCCATTGCCATTGGCTTTGTCTCAACCGGGTCTCCATCCGTCGGGCCGGCCCAAGAGACCGCCGAATGCCTTTTTGGTGTTCTCTAGTGTTCGACGACCGGAGCTGCAGAAGCTGTATCCTTCGTACAAGACCGCTGCCCTCAGCAAGTGCCTTGGTGAAGAATGGCGTGACATGAGTCCTGTAAGTATATTTCTTATTTATTTGATATGGTTATAGCTTGCTCCTTATCATGCCGACGTTCTAACCAACTCGCTACCTCGCCATTTGTCCTGCCCGTAGGATCGGAAACGACTTTATACCTCGCGCGCAAGGGATATCAAGGATACCTTCCAGGCTAACCATCCCGAATACGTGTATACACGGCGGTCCTCGAAAAAGCGTGCGCTTGCAGATGCGGACTCTGGCTCCTCCAAGAAGTTCAAGGGATCGGATAACGTACGCCTGAGTTTCTGCATCCTTTCAGTCGTGGTGATTCTTTTTTATTACGATTTTGATACTAACTTGGACTTGTACGTACACTCCTTGCTGATGGATATAGTATGGTGATGGCAACAATTACGCGACCAGCACTGGCTTGGATCCCAACCGACCAAGACGTCCCATGAACTCGTACCTAATTTTCAACCAAGAGATGCGCCACAAGCTGTTGCTTGAGAACGCCAACCTGACTGTGAGCGAGATTTCACGTGCAATCGGCCAAAAATGGGCCAACATGACCCCAGACATGAAGCGCGAGTATACGGAGAAGGCAGCGACGATCAAGGCCGATTTCCTAAAGAAGAATCCAGACTATGTGTACTCGCGCCGTAGCAAGGCCGAGATTGCTGCGTCAGGAGCGGCTCGTCGACGTGGTGGAGTAGCGCCGCCACCTCCGAGCGTACCGGTGTCTGGTAAAGCAGGGAACAGTAGGAACGGGTCTGGGCCAGGCCATGCAGCGGCCCAGGCGTCGACGGCGAACAGCAATCGCGGGAACGCATCCGGCGCGGGGTCAGCGAATAATGATGTGACGATCAATGGCAAGGATATCAAGTTGCGTGGCAAGAAGCGAACCAAGGATCCGGACGCACCCAAGCATCCTATTCCTGGGTTTTTGTTCTTTAGATCAGGCGAGAGGGCCAGGATCCGTCAGATGAATCCCAACCAGCCGATCCCTTCGGTGGCGGCGAAGATGTGGAACGAGATGACACCGGAACAACGCGAGCCATGGTTGCAGATGGCTGCTCAGGACAAATTGCGCTACGCAGAAGAGATGCAAGCATACTCGGCGAGGAAGGGAAGGATGGGCAAGGGCCGGTCATGAGGAGTCGATGCTGTGTTTAAAGAAGGATACAAAGGGCTATTGGTAATAAACTCAGTGCAATGGATGTAATTGTACCTTTTTTTTCGATGTGTTCATTTAGTATTGCTTATCATCTGTGTTGATATCCATGCCATTATCGTACCATGCAGCCTCCAATGCTGTTGGAGGGCATGGAAAGAGTCAGGGTGCCTCCTTCAGCGGCATTGGGAGAGTCAGCGACCCCTTAAAGAATCGAGCTCGAGTGCCAAAACAAATGCAGCCTTGCAGCCTTGCACACCTATTTTTCTCAGATTGACATATCACAAGAAAGCTAACCGACCACCACCACCACCACCAAGGACCTAGTCATGAGCAGGAGACATTCAGGACAGGAATCAAGTTTACTGGGATTCCGAAAGGCGATCGCGTCTCATCTCTCATCGGTGCTCGATCAGTCCAGCGAGACGCTCCTCCCGCTCGTCCAACAGAATACCAGCCACCGGAAAGGATCGCACAGTGTCTTTTCTGTGGCGATCAAGCGGCTCTGTGGAGGGAGTGATTTGGACGAAAGCATACGGGAGAAATGTCTGGAGTTATCGTTGCCGGAGGTCAAGGAGCTGATCGCTCGCGTAAGGCTGACGAAGGATATGATGTTGTTTGATCCAGTACCATTGCGGGTATTGCAAATCACGACGGAGAGGATTGTAGAGGATGCAGGCGGAGGACAGCAGGGAGGAGAATTGAAAGAGAGAGAGTCAATGGAGGTTCTGGGGAAGCGTGAGCGGGAGGTAAAGAAGAAGGTGGTGATCGTGAATGGGGCAAGGGTTCAAACGGATGAGAGTGCGTACAGCGGGTTGAGGAGGACGGTACTGACGGGGTTCGTGGCAAGGGTGTTGGAAAGTACCTCTCAAAGCGTCGTGAAGGTGATTGCGGAGGAAACTTGTAGGTCCCATGGATGGCTCTATCTTCTTCTGCTTGCAAACGGCAGAGTCGTTGGTTTTTTTCTGATACAAATGTCTTTTTTCTTTCTGAACATTGGATATTGTAGACGAAGATATAGATCCAAGGATCAAGACACTCTATCATGGACTCGATATTCTGAAAGACCATTTAATAGCCCCGACCGCGACAGCACCAGAAGCACAAACGCATCTGAATACTATCAAAAATGCTGTACAGAACAACCAGGAGATTCGTGCACAGGTCAAAGACAGTGCGTGGCTCGTGGACTTGACATCCCAGCAGCTCGGTCAGGCGAAACTTTTTACAGCATCGACAGATGGATCCATGGACAAGCCCACACCGCTCGTTCAGACCTTGATGTCCTTGGCACGACACTTTGTAGAGCATCCATGCGATCGATATATCTGGATGGTTCCCGATGGCAGGCGTCAGTTTGCGGAGCAAGTACTCTACCTCGCCAACATCATCTTCCCAGGCGAGGGACAGAAAGAGGACGAAGAAGAAGAACCACTCAGGAAAAAACGGATCAGTGGAGCCTCAGGAGGATGTTGGGCGCAGGATATCGAGGTTTTGTATTTTGGAGCTGCAACTGGTTTTGATATCTGGAACTCTAGTAGTAGTAGCAGCAGCAGTAAAGTGAGCACTGGGAGCTCAGAAATTGTGGAATATACCAACCAGAGGATGAGGGAGATCGTGACCAAGAACCGAGGCAATCCAGGACGTGGAACAGGATATAGTGAAATGGACGATGACGAGGATAATGATGGGGGAGAGAAGGAGTTGGTACTGAATGAGGAAGAGCTAAAGAGAATGGCAGGGATTCTGAGCACGTCTGCGTTGGCGGTCGCGAGTGTTGGGTGTAAGCGGATGCGGAAGTTGACGGTGGACATGAATAGGATCCTGGATGGGAAGGGTAATTCGGGTGTGTTTCTACAGTACGTGCATTCAAGGCTCTGCGGGTAAGTCTTATTTTCAAGCACACTCCAATCCACTAACTCTCTAGTCAGAAATGATATTCCTTTTTTTTTTCTGGGTATTTTGTAGTAAGAACTGTTGGCTAATAGTTTTTTTTTTCTCCTATTTACTTTCCACGACTCTCAGGATTGAACGCAAGTCGAAGACGAGACTGAACCCGGATGCCGATCTATCACTTGTCCAGGCATACCCCGAGGCGTTGAACTTGAGCATCGTACTTGCAGAATGGCACGACACCCTTTCGGCTCTCCAAGAAACTCTGGATCCCTACGCATTGGTGCCGTATCTATTCCATTTGGCGGCAGAGGTTGGTCAGGCGAACCACGTCTTGCGGGTCAAGGATATGGATACGGCGGTGGCTGAGGCCAGATGGTTGTTGTTCTGGTGTGCGAAGCAAGTACTAGAGGAGGGGTTACGGTTGTTGGGACTTGAGCTTGTGGAGCGGATGTGATAGTTGATATAACCGGATTTTTACATGGGCTTAGGTCAAAGGGCTTAGAATCCCAGATACCATAGTAAAGTTGTCCGCGCGCCAAAAACATTACTACGTTGCATAGGTGCATAAATATGCAACCAGGCTATGAAACATCGTTTAGCATTTGAAATGCTAAATCCATGCAATCCTTTTTGGGCCGCGCTCACGATGCGTTTATGAGAGGGGCGTCTCTGAACATCCATTATGCATTGTACACATCATTATGGTCTGTCAATGGTGGATTTATTCGAGTTATAACCTAAAAAAAAAGCTAGTGTTGGATTTGCATCGAAAGAGATTGATTGATAGCAAAATATTCCCACCAGGCCAGACATCATTTTTGTCTCCATGGCAGATTAGGATTCGTCTTTGTACTTGCCCGAGCCGGTGTCGACTCGGATGCTGTATTGTCAATGGGTAAAGACGATAAGATGGACAAATTAGTATGAGGATCCAGCGGAATTGGACCACAACTTCAACAGAAAGAGGGCGAAATGGACATAGACATACTTGGACACGATACGAGGACTGCCCATGCTATGGATTGCGTTGTGGCAGCATTTGACCGCATGCATCACCGCCATCATCTCTCCTTCGATAATCTGTATATTGAAACGAGCACGATTGATCAGTATCTAGACATAGTGATGTGTGTCGTGGATAGGGTGTATAGAGCAGAACAAATTGCAGTCATTTCCGTACCGTGCCCTGCTCATGAACCTTGTACTTCAAGCCTGTCAGCAAACAATCCCGAAAAGTCTGTTAGTGTTAGTGAGCGACATATGCCTTGAGATTTCTGAGATAAATAACAAGTTCAAATCACATACCGAGCTGCTTGAGGATGGCCTCGACTTGGTCGATGTACTCTGAAAAATGTTTAGTTGACCCAAGAGGATAGATCGCAAAGTCGACGCAGCAGGGCAAAGGCGTCTCGGGGCCGGTCCGCATCTTCTGCTCGAGTAACGAATGCTCTCCCACAGTCTGGCCCTTCCCTTCGCCAGATGGAAGTTTGGCGTCAGACTGGATCTTCGCCAGGTATGAATGCTCGGCCTTGGTAGGGGTAGACTGCTCAGGTTGGGACATGTTGAGTGAATAGTAGAGTAGCAGGAAGAACGTGGGTAGTCAAAGGGTGGAGAAGTTGCAGGAGGAAGAAAAAGGAGTGGAGAAAAAAGAAGCTGCATGCCGCTTTGACATTAAAACGCGTTGTTTTGTACCGTGCAACATTGCTCATGCAACTATGACGATTGTCACGCCACCAAAATGAGGGTACAGTATCGCAGGGTACATCAGTGTACCACATCGCCCTTTGTTTCCCCTCCATCGACTTTGCCGAGCACGAATCAACAATGGAGGTGAATCGACGGCCACGTGTTGTCAAGCGGCAACCATTCCTGAAGCGAATCATCAACGCACCCGAAGACTACTTGATGAGGGTCGAGAACAACATTAGGGCAATGGACTGGGATATGCTTCAGGAGGGATTCAGGTGCGGTTTGTTTGTGGCAGTGGCCTGACTTGAATGACATCGCCTCTTTGAAAAAAAAAAAAAAAGAGCCTGGTGCTAACTAGCAGGATCCTGTGTCAATAGCTGGCCTTTAGCGCTCGCACTGAATTTCCTGCTCATTTCGGTCAAGCTGGGATATTGGCTGGATGATCCTTTGGCTAACGTGCCTGCAGTCCTCAGGAGCGATCGCTCTTTATATTCCTCAAAGTCGATGTTTCCTGGATTCTCCACAGCGGTGAGAACCCTTATTCATGCGTGGGCTTGTTTTTTGTACGTTGCAACATTCATTCTGGCCTTTGGTATTTATCTGCTTTGTTTAACCTATCACTCTGTTAAATGCGGCAGCTCGTCTCTCTACAGTACATCTTGGTGACCATCAGCTTTCTGAACGCTCTCTGGCTCTTCCAAAGCAAGAAGAACTACAAGATGTTCAACAGAAACCTTGACGAAGAGCCGTCCGCATCACACGCCAAGATGGTTGAAATTCAGCAGGATGCGTCACATTGGTCATTCAAGTTTCCTGGTCGACTTGTGTAAGGACATTCGGTCTGGTATGCAGACGATATCGCGCGATAGCAGAGCCTTCAACTCATGGAATTATTTATTTGTCTATTAGCTATCCATTCATCGCACCATTCATGAAGGGTCCGAAGCCTCAAGAGCACAGACGTCATGTGTGGGAGATGTCTCTCTGGAATCCCTCGATCTTGAGTCGTAATTTGTTTTGGTACGGAACAGGACATTGTTTCCGCCCTGCAGTAATTTGGTCCTCAACATCTTGTGCAAGAATCTAATGTGCAATGCCATCTCCCTTTTTTATCTTAGCTGGTACTCGCCCGCACAAGTACTTATCTTGTCCGTCATGAACACCGACAACTTTTACATTTTTTTCCCACTTTCGATCGTGGTTGCCGCTCAAGTGCACTTTCTTGTATCAGTATACCAGTCCTATGTTAAGGTATTTATGACAGATGCATATACTGGCCCTAAAGCGCTAATTGACATATTATCATGTTATTGACCTTTTATATATCCCGATCGATCAATTCTAGGACAAACAAGTTCTTTACGGAGAAGTACAGCAGGAATATAACGCCAAATTTGTTCATCCCCGTATCTTTGTGCGGAAGTTTGACAAGCAGACTTCCACTGGAACCGATACGGATGACCTGAACTTGCAGTTGTTTCAACAGGATGGCGGCATGTTTCGGTACGAGTCTAAGCGCAATCCTAGGAAATTCCAGCACCTGAGCGTTCCCGCATCGAGATTCTCACCGTCCTCTCCGGCTGTAGTGTCAAGATTCAGAAGTTCCTCTGCACCAGGTCCCTCAATAAGCAGCTCTGAATTGTCCAGTTCTGCAGACAGTGAGAGTGAACAGAACGAGAGCGTTGACGAAGATGAAGGAGAGGAGGAAGAAGAAGAGGAGGAGCAAGAGTACGGCGAGGACGAGGACATGGACGAATTGGACAATGAGGATGATATAGAGAATGACCCGGACGTTGATTACGATGAGGAAGGTGAACAGCCTGCGGTTCCTCACCCTACGAACGCGCTCCATTTTGACGACGACTAGTATTCTTTCCCCCTCTATCCCGGATATGTGGCATACAAGAATAAAGTCGAGTCGACCAAATAGCCCGAACCACGACATCATCTTGGTGGTCGGGAAAGTAGCGAAGCATCCAAGTACAAGTCCATTAAGTCCATCATGCATCTTTCGCTTACTATTGTACACTTTTTTTTTTTATTTTTTTTTATTTTTTTATTTTTCCTTTAAACACAACTCTTCATAAATAGTTTTTTTTATCTCACACTCTCCAGAGTCAATCCCCTTCCATACACTCATTCTTCCATACACTCATTCTTCCATACACTCATTCTTCCCTCACTGTCATTCCTCGAAATAAGTATCATATTCCTCGCCTGTGTAGACTGCCATAGATATTGAGGGCCGGTGACCCTATCTAAGAAAGAAAGGGTATGAACCCGTTCTTCGCTATCAGTCCCCCCCCCACTTATCCAACCTCCCCAGTTCCATTGGTCACAATTCGGCGATTCGAGTCGATATTCTTGGGTCCTTTTATGTCATCGTTCGCTACACTTATTCCTCGCACCCTATGAACGATGCTCACCGGATTGTCGAGCGAGAGATACTGAAGCTTGAGACCCAGATGAGCTTGGTTTTTTGCCTGGACGGCCTTCCTTCGGAAGAAAAAGGACCCACTCAAGTGCACCGAGAGAACCTTCGCAAGAAAGTTGTTGAACGCGCCGACAAATGTCTGCGTGAGCTCGAAGTTCGCGTGGATAAAAAGCTTCGTGCCCGGAAATACCAGTTCATCGACATCAGAAAACACATGGACTCGGCCTTCTATTGGTCCTTAGACGTTTGATGCGCCATTGCCGTATACATGTGCAAGAAACAATGGAAGATCATCGAGTGCCCGACCGAGACAGATCACACGATAGGCCTTGAATGCAGGCCTGGCGACATCGTTGTATCAAGAGACAGCGACATGCTCATGCACAAGGACATCGAGACCATTTGACGACCCATCCCAAAAGGAAAACTTCTTGTGTACGATGTTCCAAGCGTTTATGCGACTTTAGGTCCAGTTTACAGTACTTGGTGTCGTATCAAAAACGACTACAACCGCAACATACCTTCTCTCGGAAGCGCTATCGTCTACAAAATCATCAAAGGGCTGGATGAAGAAGGTAAATAAATCAATCAGATCATCGTGTATATCACTGATGCAGGAAACGTATTATCAATTCTAACGTCTTGGCATTTTTTAATTTTTTTTTGGCTTGCAGACGCTGCGAAGTTGGCGAAGCATTATTTGGCACACAATCAAGTCATGCGCAAGAATACTGCCCAAGAGATGTTTGTCACTTCGCAGAAGGTTTTTGTGAACCTTTTACAGACTCCTGTGCAGATTGGCTCACTCCCTTCGTCCTCAGCTGCTGCCATGACCTATGACAGTCTTCGGAAGCAGTTCGATTGTCATTCTCAGCGGTACTCCCAAATGCAGAAGGATATGCGAGAGGCACGCGAGGCGGAGAGAAGGTATCCCTTCGATTGTCAGGGTTTCTGGTCGAGAAATCGACCACATTTTTCTGGGCATAAATCACGTGTAACTCCATATGATAACTATGCAAAAAAGACAACCACTTTGGAAGAGTCCAGGTACCAAGGGACCAGGCCTGGGGTTCTTTTTTATCTATTTATTTATTCTTTTTATATATGGGTATATTGCATTGTGGTTGGAAAGGGGGATGGGATAAGAGGATAATTATGGACGGTGAACCGGAATCTCATGGTATTCTCTGTAACAATTGCGTGTGAGAAGGCAAAGAGGCACATTACAGAACCCACACTTGAACGACGTCGACGTACGTTTCCTATATTCTGGGTCCTTTAGAACTGTGGCCTTGTGTCGACAAAGGATACAGTTGGGGTTTCCTTCTGCGCTGGTAGGGTAGTGTAGCCCTTTGTTGGTAAGGCGAATGGCGGGGAGTTCTGTTCGATTCTTGGTCACATACACTACCTTTTGGGAGCAAGATCGATCCTGTTCTTTCTGGTGGTGTTGACGAGTTGCCTTGACGTTGGGAGTTTGGTTCCTGCTGCCTTCTAACGCTAGTGCCCATGCCAATTCGATTCGATACTCCCTGTGGGATAGAGTGCCTCCTTGAGCTTTGTAGATACGGTAGGAGTTCACAATGGTTGTATCCAGAATCCAAAAAAAGAGTGGCATCCATGTCCTGAAAACAGTCAGCTGGGTGTTGTAGTACGATCTGTATTGGTCGCTGAGATCGACACCATTCATTTTATGATTATAGTCGTTGATGATGGCGGGGATCTCCAACATAGCGCTATGTCCACCTTTGAAAACCTCACGGACTTTGTTGTAGTTGGAGCTTGTGGTCCGAGGGCAGCGGCGGAGGCGATGAACACGGGCTTCGGAACCAGTAATCTTGTGAATGGTAGTGAGCATAGGAACAGGGGCATTGTCGACCCATACAACGGTGAGGACAGAGTTGTCAACAACCACTCCAGAGAGCGTGTCCCACTCATGCTTGGCCTTCTTGTCGACTTTGAGGGAGGCAAGAAACTGTTTGGAGTTGATACGAGCAGTACCACAAGCGCCGATTTTGAGGTCGCGCAGATGCTTAAAGAGAGGAACATTGTTGAAAAAGTTGTCCATGTAAATGTTAAATGGGTAGGTTTTGTGAGGTAAAGACTGGGCAAGCTTGACAACTGCTGCTGAAGTGGCATTCAGACCATCGATGGAAGGCACACCAGCGATAGACATGACACGGGAGTAGTAGAGGAAGGAAAAAGTGTACCCAGACTCACAAAGAGCATAGATCTTGTAGCCTTCGGGGGTGGGCTTGCACTTCATCTTAACGGTGTGAGCACTACGACCAGAGAAACGGACAATCATTTCATCGACGGAGACATCGGTGGAAGGAATGTAAAAGCGACTGAAGTCCTGGGAAAGCTTGGAGGAAAGGGGCTCGACCTTAGAGTACCAGTGCTCCTCTGGTTCATGGGGTGAAGATATGTGGAGGAAGCGTTTTAATTGCTGGAAGCGGGTAAGGGTCATGAAACAGCTAATGTCGTGCTTGGGAAAACGTGGTGATGTTGTCCAAAGTTCATGGACGGGGCTATTAGGACAGAAAATACCGAGGTAGATGATGATACTGATGAAGATACGGAGCTCGCCAAATGTTGTATCCTTCCACACGCGCGAACCCTCGTTCGACCCTGCTCCTTTCAGTGCAGCATAAACATTGGTGTTGGTGGCAATTTGGTCGAGAACAGAGTCGGAACAAAAGAGCGAGAAGATCTGCAGAGGAGGCAAGGCATCATTGAGAAGAAGCTCGGGTGGGAGTTTGGGATGTCCTCCATGAGGTGGTTTGGAGTGCAGAAAGATGTTGTCGAAGACAGGTGGATCAGGGAGCCTGGGAGTAACCTTCTTGATAGTTCGGGCAGGGGCTTTCCTTTTGGCGCCTGTTGAGGGACCAACATCTGCAACCTCCTCTACCTCCTCTTCCTCCTCCTCTTCCTCGTCCTCTAGACTCTCGGTCAACGTCGTGCGTGGGCGGTGAGTGATCGTGAAAACCATTTCCTCATCCTCCATCATATTGTTGGTGTCCACCTCGTTCTCTTCTACAGGTTTTGGAGCTTCTTCAACAGGTTCTGGAGCCTCCTCAACAGGTCCTGGAGCCTCTTCAACAGGTTCTGGCACCTCCTCCATAATATGACGATGGGCACGGGGCATGGGGGGTTGGGAGGTTAGGCGAAGTAAAAAGTGGGGGACAGTGATTGAGTGAGTGACAGTTGAATGGATGAAGGGAATCAATGCAATCACTTTTGACGAAGAAAACAAACCGCGGTCGAGCAGTAAACCACCTTTTCCAACGTAATTTTGAGCGGCGAATCCATTTTTTATGTCACCGAAGGGGGTCTCCAAACCTGTTTAAGAGTTATCGCAGTCTAACCAAAAATTTCGAAAAATGTGGTCGAGATCTCGACCAGAAACAATCGAAGGGATACAACGCCAAATACAGCAAAGAATTTCCACGTGCATGAAGGCATGCATAGAATTAACTCTAACTTATTGTGATCGCTATCAACTTTGGTAACTTTGACAGCGAGTCAATTGGTACTAGGACTCGGCGGTACAAGTCTTCGCAGACCTTCAACAGGTATCGCACGATCGATTACCCTGCTCCATACCAGGCAGAGGCTGCAAGTGAGATGGGCCCTGCCTAGCCTCGTATCAAAACCCCGCAACACTGACTGCGATATTCTGTCAAACAGCGCACTCGACTCAAGGAGCATGAACCGCTTGAAGCAATGAAGTAATGCGCATGGAAGACATGGAAGAAAGTGCCCGAGAATTCCTTGGATCCCGACGCTGACTCTTTCAAGAAACAGAGGGACGTGAAGAAGAAGAAAAAGAGGACTACGCCAAAGCTAGTAAGTACCTCGACAGGAAGGGCTGACTTGGTTCAAGTTATGAATTGGGAACATCCGATGGAGACCCTCGATGTTGGAACCGTTTCTTCCGATCTGAAACGAGCTTTGGGAGAGTTGGAATTGGGTACCCGAAATCAAGAGGTGTCTCCGGGATGTTGTTCGGGTTCCATCTGGCACCAAGCGGCAGGGACAGCGACTCATCGGGCGGTTCATTGAAAGCCTCTTTGCTTCACGCAAGCCTGATGCAACAGACAGAGATATATTGCGCAATATCTGTTCATGTGTCTCGTCCAAGATCGAAGTCGTGAGAAGGGTCGATGTGGGTGATCATGATGGACAGGAGGAAGAAAAAGAGGAGAAAGTGGACAAGGATGATGATGACCCAGGACGCAAGGACTCAGGTCACCTACGCTTCCATACTGTGCTACTCCAGCATCTCTACGCAGGCGATCCCATAATTACGACGAATGTAGTTGGTAAGCAGGTCCAGCAGTTTATCGATCGAGCAGCGGACCTTGGGCTGCTGCAGAGAAGGAATAATAGGGCTGTGGTCGTGACTAGGAAGCCATACCTTGATACGGTTCTGCTCCGCTCTGTTGCCTCGCAGTTGTCCAGTGAAATCACAGAAGCGGCAGCAGTGAGTTCGAGAAAAAGGAAGAGTACAAAATTTGTATTCTGTCGCTACATGCATGCCAGTAGAGGCCAGCTGTAAGAACGGCAATACTAATAGGCAATTCGTCTATAATAAATAAAGACTTTGAAGACGAAGGGTCTCATACCAGATGGATCACATACAGAGATCGATCAGGGCATCTCAGCAATCGAGAAATTCGTACTTTTGAACCATTCTACCGCCAGACGGCCTCACTAATGGGCACAGAGCAGCCTTTCATGTCGTTCTCTGAGCGAGAGCTCGGTACCTTGTTTTGGCAAAACGCTGCGCTGAAGAAAAAAACTTCAAGAGTTAGTACTGGTGGACTTTGAGAGCAAGAACACCATTCCCGCCTGGGGTGACCTAATCGATTGGTTTGGGCAGAAGCCTCCTGGGTTCCTTATCATAGAGAGGCTTTCGAATGTCGGCAGGTGTGAGCCACGCGAATGACCGAGGAATTTCTAGGATTCGACGTCCTTGATGGACCTGAGCATGATGCGAGAACACGTTTAATCCATCTGGCAGGCCAATTTCAATCCTATGACTTACGAGGGACGCAGCTATGTTCACCGAGGCTCCATTAGGACAGACGGTTTCCGCCTTCATCTGTCGGCTTTCAAGTTAAAAAACAGCAGTCTGCTAGATACAGGCGACTCCCACAGAATGTCTTGCCCTTTCGAAAATCACATCCACAGTTGGAAGAGTGAATTTTTACTTGACCGAGGTCCAAAGCATTGTGAAGACCTAGAAGGATGTCACCGACCTTTGGGGATGTGCACCAGATCAAACCAAGGTCCTGGGTCTCGATCTCGGCCAAGCCTGTGTTGTCGGAGCCAGCGCGTTACTGCCAAAGATCGATGATTCCGGCAGTACGACAACGGGGTCTGGAAGAATGGATGATGATGTCGACATGAGTAGCTCTTCCGAGGATACAACCCCTACTCCCATTCCTCCCACCTATTTTCGCAGCCATTTACTCCATCAACAGCGACCGCTCTATCTTCAGCCAGTAGCTTAGGACGGGTACTACCCTTGGATGTAAGATGCAAGGCCATACACAGATGCCGGTGCAGTGGCAGCATCAGTAGTAGCAGTAGCAGCGCGGCAGGGCAAGGACGAGCACAGGCTGGAGGACGCAAGAATACGTTCAGTGACGTATTTGAGCCTGAATTGTTCTGTACTCTGGCGGTCAGGCGAAATACACCCCTGACCAGCCCGCGTCCTAGTCCTTGACAGCGTTTGCTAACTTTCACCTGCATCACCATCCACCACCACCACCACCACCATGTCTGGCGCCAACAACAGATTAGCCGTCTTCCCAACGCGAATGTAATTCCACCCTTTTTGTTGGACAGCATGACCGACTGTTGCATATTTTTTTCATTCGATCGACTTACATGGACTTGTCTTATAAAATAGGACCTTGAGTGTCATGAAGCAAAAGCTGAAGGGAGCTCAGACAGGACACAGCTTACTGAAGCGCAAGAGCGAAGCCTTGACGAAGCGCTTCCGAGACATCGTTAAAAAGATTGACGATGTAAGTGCGTGTTTTCCTGAGAAAGACCTGCTTTGCACCTTTGTTTCTTTACCCTGCTGTGCACTCATGAGTTCGTACAAACTGACCGCCATTATCCCTGTATAATTTATCTATGGGCGTGATTGTAGGCCAAGCGTTTGATGGGCAAAGTCATGCAGGTAGCGTCGTTCTCTTTGGCCGAAGTCACGTATATCACCGGAGACATTGGTTATCAAGTTCAGGAGAGTGTCAAGAATGCACAGTTCCGCGTTCGTGCAAAGCAGGAGAACGTTTCTGGTGTCATGCTCCCTGTCTTTGAAAGTTACCAGGAAGGAACAAACGGTATGGCATTAACCCTTGATGGAACTCGATGCATTCGAAGAGTAGGCAGCATCAGGATCGAGTACGGATACTGATCACCTGTGGCAACTTTTTAATGTATTGCAGCCAACGAGCTCACGGGTCTCGGCCGAGGCGGGCAACAGGTCCAGAAATGCAAGGACACATACATCAAAGCTGTCGAGACGTTGGTCGAGCTCGCATCTCTGCAGGTATAGTCCTATCGCTTTATTTGAGTCAACGCTTGGCACTGCAGGACACTTGTAGTATTATCCCACTCACCCCATGATACCTTCGTTTTTCTTGTCCATGTGCTTCGCTGGACCATTTGGTCATGCACAAATAGACAGCGTTCGTGATCCTGGATGAGGTGATTAAGCTGACCAACCGTCGTGTGAACGCTATTGAGCACATTATCATCCCTCGTTACGAGAACACAATCAAGCACATTATTTCAGAGCTGGACGAACAGGATCGTGAAGAGTTCTTCAGGTATGGGCGTCAAGACCTGTTATTGAGATCCAGCCTAGTCACCCGTTATTACACAGCATGCAATGACTGACACAAGGATATTGCTGTATTTTGCGCATATAGGCTGAAGAAGGTCCAGGGCAAGAAGAAGGAGGCAGCAGCTCGTGATACCCTGGAGAGAGAATCTCGGCAGGCTGCAGAAGGTAAGAACACGCTTCAAGGAATGTCGCAGCTTGGTCACCGACACATTGTTGCTTGATGACTTACGGTATCCTTGTTTCCTACTATAGGCAAGAGCGTCGAAGAGACTGGCAAAGCCGTTGGTGGTATTGCTGATGCTAGCGGTGGTGCGGGTGTGGATCTGTCACTGGCACAGCCTGGCGACATGTTAGGAGGCGTGGACGAGGACTTAATTTTCTAAGAACGATTGTCGAAGGGTTGTATTTGACGTATAGATTCAGAGAGACTGGTCACTATGTGCGTGGCCCTTTCTCTGGCTATATGGGTACCATTTGGGGAGCCGTGCTGCTAATAAAAAGCTGAAACCGGATTCCTATTTCCCCACATGAGACAATTTTTTGTGGGGATGTGACGTGTCAATTGGATGGTCGAATCGTCGCGTCGAAGCGTCGCGTCTGTGCTCCCACGGTTGAGCTCGAGTTCCTCCTTCTTCATCCCGCTTTCTCATCTGCTCTCGCCATCACTCTGAGTGCTGATTTTCTCTTTGGACGAACGCGACCGCGAGACATGTCTCTACCCTATCGCCCTCCTCTGCAGCAGCAGCAGCGACAGCAGCCTGCCGAAGACGAACCCATTCCGTTCTTCGGTGGCCAGGCCGGTAGCAATGCATCCCCGGCTCACAGGAATGCTCCTCCGCCACGCCCACTGCAAAGAGGACCCAGTCATCAGCATTATCAATCTACTTATCATCAGCAGCAGTACCAGCAATATCCGCAGCACTCGGGAGCAGGACAGCAGCCACCAAGGCCACCCCAGTTTCAGAGACATCCACAGCAGCATCCAGATCCTTTTCCTCAGGCGCAAGCACAGCAGCAGTACCAACAGTCATCCTCACAACAGGCCCCACCACAACCACCAGCGCAACAACGACAGCAGCAATTGAACCCCTCCGAATTGGCGCCGGCCGCCGACCTGTTTGCCAGTCCTCCAACCGCTAATCGCCAGCTGCCTCACGGACCAGCCAAGCCTCAAGGATACCAGCCTCAAGCCGTGAACGATCTCTTTGGAGTGCAGCACCAACAGCACCAGCAGCACCAGCAGCAAACCCGCCAGCAAAGCCAACAGCAGACTCAGCAGAGTGCGCTTCCTCAGCAGCAGTCGCAACAGGTGCACTATGGACAGCCTCCAGTTCGACAGCAGTCGTTCCAGAGACATCCCCATCATCCGGTACCAGTCAACCAACCATCTCAGGGATACGGAAGCACTTCACCACTACAGACAGACAATGGCTCTATCTCATTTGGCAGTACTTCTGATCTGTTTGGTGTCTCTTCTCAGAGAACATCCGAGCACACGGCGTCTCCAAAAGTAGCAATGGCTGCAGCTGGCTCCTTTGCCAACACAGCTGGTACCCTAGGACTTCAGAGACTTCGACAGGGACATGCAGCTGCTCCTATTTCTAGTAGCTTACATCCCAAAGGCCGCCCACCACTTCCTCCAGCCTTGCAAAAGCGACCATCTCTGACGCCCGCCTCCCAGGCCCAGCAAACCTCCTCAGCGCAGTTAGTCCCACTCCAGCTTCAACAAAATAATAACCAGCAGCAGCAGCACCACCACCACCACCAACAACAACAACAGCAGCTACAACGGCAGCAGCAAAGTCACTCGAGGCAAGCGTCCCTGTCCTCCCAGTCCCCACTTCTTCAACGCTACAGTCCCAGTACTCCGGGTCCTCATGGCTTTCCAAATACTGATCAGGCTACTACTCAGCATCAGCCGCTCTCGAGAAACACGCCAGGAACACCTCATCATGGACCGATATCAGGTCCTTCCTATGGATCTCCTCACACTAACTATGTCCAGCCCAAGACACCATCGCTGTCTGCGTCTCGTGCCGCGTCCATTGTCCCCGAACACGTCTCTCAAGACCAACAGTTGACCCCGCCCCTTACGCAGACACCGTACATTGGTGCTCTTAAATCGCAGTTCGGATCGACAGCGCATCTTCTCGAGCCCTGCCCGTTTCCGGAATGCACTGGGGAGAATAAACCTCAGGCAAAATTTTGCTCGGAATGCGGTCGTTCTATCTCAATGGCCAGTCGTTCAGCTACCCCTTCGTTACTGCATCGATCCGAGCTCATTTCTCACCAGGAACCAGTGGCGACCAGTCTGGCTAGAATGAGCTCATATTTTGGGGACCAAAGCCAATACGAATCTCATCAGTCCCCTGAGAATCAGCAGCAGCAGCCGTATGACCCTGCTTTTGGACAATATCTGGACCAGCAGTCCTCGCCGTCCGATCAGTCCAACTATATACCGGAACCTGCACCAGTTGCACCAGAACCGGAGCGCATCAATGATTCGCTCAATAGGCATCTGGGGTATCCTATTGTTGCTTTCGGGTTCGGAGGTATGTGGATGATGCCTGTCTCTGTGGTATTGCTGCATGATAGTCTATTGCATTATCCCTCAGTTTGACTAATAGCTAGCCTTCCATCGGAACTATTCCAGGCAATATTGTAAGCTGGTTCCCGTGCACTCAACACAACCATGACTCCAGGGCATTGAAGGTTCAGAAAATCAGTGACCTCATTCCTGTTGATACCGTCATCGCCAACTATCCGGGGCCACTTTTGAACGACAGCTCAGTTCAGTTGAAGAACAAGCGGAAGGAACTGCTGAAGCTCATTGAAGACAAGATAAGCGAGCTTGGCCAGGCACAGGACAAGGGCATTTTTGACGCCCACCGCGTTTTGATTTGGAAACTCTTCAAAGTCATGTTTGAGCAAGACGGCACGCTCGTCGGAGGGTATGTTTCCTCGCGCAGCACCAGCAGGGCTGACAGAAATGTACACGGAGTTGATATGGAGTAACTAATTGGTGGCCACGTCCTTCCTCGTCATAGTTCAAAGATAGACGAGGCTGTAAAGATTGTTTTGGCATCCATTCCAATAACGAAGATTCCATTGCCATCAATACATCAGAAGAGCGCAGAGGAAATCTCGGCTTCTGTCGATGCTCTCCAAGAGATTCTTCGCCAGGGCGACCTTGCGGCATCAGTTCGACATGCCATTGAGTCGCATCTGTGGGCCCACGCTCTAGTGATCAGTAGCCATGGCGACCGCGAATTGTGGAAGGAGGCCGTTAACGGATTTGTGAGCCACGAGCTGTCTGGACAGGATGGATTGCATGCAAATGGGCGTGCGTCTTTGCGTGTCCTATATAGCTTGTTCTCTGGCCAGTCAGAGAAGGCAGCATTGGAATTGATTCCACAGGACTTAAGGGCACAGTACCTCGAGAACACTAGCGACCTTTCTACACAGACCAAAATCCCACCTGAGAGTCTTGTTCAATGGCGCGATACGCTGATCCTGATCTTGTCCAATCGCACCGAGGGTGACCAGGCAACCATTAACGCTTTGGGTAACTTGCTCATGAAGGAAGGCTGGGTTGAAGCTGCCCATATCTGCTATCTTCTCTCGCCTCAATTCTCAGTTCATTCAGGGCCCGACACTTCTCATGTCAGCATGGTCCTTCTTGGAGCGAGCCATAGCCCGCATACTATCTATCCGTACTACAAGAATGTCGAGTCCTTCCAGAAGACAGAGATCTACGAGTTTGGGTGCGCATTGAAGAGCTCAGGGGCGACTGGTGGGCTTCCCTTCCTTCAGGCCTACAAGTTGATCTATATCTGGTCCCTACTGGACCAGGGAATGTTTTCGGAAGTTGCAAGGTATGGACCATCCCAGCCAGGATGATGGAATATGTTTTTTATGCGGCGTCTAATTTGTTGTTGATTTATACCATAGATATCTTGAGTCAGTAGAGATGATTGTCAAGTCCCAAACAAAAGGATCGCCATACTACAACTCTACCTTCCATGCTCAACTAAACGATGCCATCGAGCGCCTGGCAGGAAGTGTGCATGCCGCCCATGCTGGGTAAGTTTTTGTGGTTTGTATACTTTTCACAACTTCTGGTTCACCATCTCATACTGCACATGTCCAATGCTATAGGCCCTGGCTGTCCAAGAAAACTCCTCAACCAACAACCGACACCGTCTTTAATGCCTTCAAAAGCGAATCAATGGAGCACAATGCACGAGCTCATGACCAGGCACAGCATGCAACTTCCGTTGAAAATTCACTTTCGGTCGACCCATCGCCTCAGATACTCGCAGGGCAAACGCACCGCGTTGATCCTAGTCCTGTTGCTGCTGGCGCTGAGGCTGGCTCTGAAGACCAACATTATGACGGTGACAATGCCAAATCTCACATTCTGACCGACCCTAACATGGGATATGAGCATGGCGAGCAAGGACATGCGTACGATGCTTTTCAGCAGTATGGGGCTGATTACGGTCAGGCATCTACAGGGGAGCATCAGGACCACGAACAACAGAGCCAAAGTGCGGTATATTATGGAGGAGAGCAAGGAGAGCAGGAACAGAATCAAACCTATGCTCAATACGACACTTTGAACGCCAGTCATGATCATCACGATGACAATACATCGGCTGTTCCCAATTCGGTTTTGTCAACGCAGGCCGTTGCAGGATCCGTGCAGCGCTCGCCCGAGGACCTGCATGGAACAGTGTTAGGTCATGAAATGCAGGACTCTGAGTTTGATGGCGGTTATGCTCCATATAGTGAGGGCTCGTATGACGTTACTCGTCAGGATACTGCTGTCTACCAGGATGGTGAATACCAAGAGCAGCAGCCCCATGTTGAGGCTGAACAAGCCCATGAAAACACCTCTACCTACGACGTCTCGAACCAATACTACCATCAGGACCAAGAACCTTATCAGGCAAATCTGGATTATACGACAGACCAGGATCTTGGTGCCCAGTACACAGATCCCAACCCTCGACGAGCCGACGACTACACCCACGTCCAAACCTCACAACAGGACCAGCACGATGCAGCCCCCCATACAGATGCCGCATCTGCTGATGAGCCGACAATGGAGCAGCAGGCTGCACATGCCCCAGAGGACGATCAAAAGTACGCGATCCAGGATAAGCAGTATCATCAAGGACAGGACCCACAGACCGCTAAACATGGATCAGAGCTACAGCATTCAGGCTACGAGGGAGCTGACCACGACAATGCAAGTTTTCAGCAGCAGGGCGGATACGATCCTCAGGGCTATAGCTACGAAGGACATCATCAGGATGCTGAACATCAACAGGGGCAGTATCCGCAGGGCGAATACCAGCAAAGCAGCTATCATGAGGGCGGTTACCAGCAAGGAGACTACGCGCAAGTCAGCCACCAGGGGGGAGAGTACCAGAACAATGACTATCAAACCGGAAACAATCAACAAGAGGACTACCAGCAGGGCGGTTATCATCAGGGTGACTATCAACAGGGTAACTACCACCAAGGAGAGTATCAGCAAGGAGAGTACCAGTCTGGACAATATCAGCAGTATCAGGAGGGCGATTACACCCAAGCGGAGCATCAGCACGATGTATTCTCAACAAGCGACTATCAATCGAACGACAATAACCAGCAGCAAGGGCATCTTTATGCCACACAGTCTTCGACAGAACCTGGGGTATTACCCGTCTCGAGCGAAGAAGACCCAAGCACAGCTGAATTTGCGCCTGCAGCGACCACCGGCACCGTACAGGACCTTCAAGAAGGGGACTATGAAGAAGGACAGTTCGTTTCCTTTGGAGCTATTCCATCGTTCCCCACCTTTGGTGGCCAGCAGCAGAACAAGCAAGTAGCGACATCTACATCGCAACAACCCGACCGACAGACAGCCGGTGAGGATGTGGACGACCTTGGTATGGGCAATCAATCTCTGAGAAGAGAAAAGATCACAGCTTCAGCGCCTCCGGCCGAGGGAAGTATCAGTGCATCGCATGGTCAGCAGTCTGCGGGCACCGATGGACAGCCTGGACAGGGATCCGAAGAAGGTATGCGTGTTTGTTTTGTAATACCATTCTTGCTGCGTTCCTACAGGCTACTTACATGAACCTTGGGTTGTCCTGCACCTACCAATCTATAGCGGGTTCCGGCTGGTGGCCAGTAATCAACCTCTTTGGCAGTGAGAAGCGCGAGCCAACTCCAAAGCCTGCCAAGGCCAACTTAAGCGAGGGATCCACGTTCTACTTTGATAATGAGCTACAGAGATGGGTCAACAAGAGCGCTCCTGACAGCCAAACTAGCACAGAGCCCTTGCCTCCCCCTCCAAAAGTACGCGCGCCTGCATCACCATCCACACCAGGACTATCTGGACCACCCGGACTACCCGGACCACTCAGACCAACTGGCGCGGCTGGTGGCCCACCACTTCCTCAGGCTAGACCAGCAGGTGGATCGACAGTACGTAGAGGTGCCCGCGCTAGATATGTTGACGTCCTCAACCCATAGTGGCGAGTTCGGCAAACTATTCAAATAATACGGCTTTGTTGATGCCAATGCATTGTGCATACAACATTAGACATGACGCTGAACTTGTTCCTTGCTATCTTTGACCGCACAAGTGCTTGATTTCATTTATTATTCTACATTCTCTGTTGCGATTGAACTCGGAGTGTTTAAGGCTCAATCCTGATCCTGGTCCCAACACAGATCCCGATACCAATTCCGATCCTGATCCTGATCCTTATCGGTAAATTGCCCATATTACCGAGCACTTTATTGTGCCTTAACCTCGAGCTCACTGACGCGCAAAAGGGTGTGCAGGGGCTTGATATGGTAACGTCTCTGGAAGTGCTTTCTCCTCTTCTTCTTGAAGGTCTCGACGATCTTCCCTTTGGGCTGCTCAATGACGGTAGCCTTGATGGAGTAGTACTCGGGTGAGATATAAGGCTTTCCTTGGATGGCATAGTCCTTTGAGCCCAATTCCTTGATCTGGTTAAGTTCAATAACATCGCCCAGCTGCACATCCTTGAGTCGATCGAGGACAATGATATCGTTTTTGGTGATCAAATAAGGGCGGTTCTTGATCTCGGCAACGGCATAATAACGAAGTTGATCACGGAGCAAGTTGACGGGTGACGATGATGATGAGTTGGATGGTGTGCTAGAGGATGTTGAAGGCACTGCTCCTGCTACTGGTGATGCTGTAGATGATGTTGGTGTAGCTATATCAAGGTGAAAAAAAAAAAGAAACCGCGTGCAGTGGTTAGATAGGGTTCCATACAATAGAAGACGAGGTTGACATGTTCCTGATGAGTTGTGGTTATCTTATATTACCTTGCGACGCAACAGAAGTAGTAGAGATGAGTCTGAAGGAAGAGGTAGCGACAACTAGTTCAGGAAATAAGCGATAGGCAGACCGGGTATCGATTAGCGATATTGTCCAAGAGTTCCGTGTACAACTTGGCACCACTGTGTCCTCCGGTGATGTCGACGTTGGCGATTCGCTCCGACAGATTTCTAAAGCCTGCGCAAGTTGGCGCGTGTCAATTACCGGTGTTAGTGCGTTGTGCAGCGCCGACCAGGCGACTCGAGAGCGTCCTGAGCATGGTTGTGGTTTGTGTGTGATGTGAAAGAAGACAACGGGGGCGCTTGCACCAGGGCGGAAAGCTGTTCAATTGTTTACGCTTGGTTGGATTTAAGGTATTAGTTGTGACCTTGAATTTATTTCCATGAACAAATTGGCAGTGATTAGGGAAAACACAGTGTGTCTCAGGCGCGTGGTGCGCCATAGCTGACCCCTAGACATTTTATGCACCGCCTACGATTCACTACCAAGATGTGAAGCAGTGACTGGCCGTATTGTTGTAAGAAAAATTGAATAAAGAAGTCGTCCTTAAAGGAGTCCTGGACCTGTTGGACCTTTGAGATCGATCGCTTTTCTTTCAATTTGTAGCAGACAGAGGGCCGGTCTAGACAGGCACCTCGAATTCATGGCTAGCAACGTGTCCAGCAGGAGACACTCCTTCTGGTTCATATTGTTTGCTATGCACACAGTCTGTCGCCGCTATATACAAACACAGCAATGGACACAAGTAATAAAATGCAGGATCAGTTCTTTAATCCAGTTGATGGCTGTACAAACCGGTACTTAATTAATAACAAGGAGCAGGAGTTGTCGTCCTTGTGGACACGGATAAAAAAATGACGTTACATGCCGATTGGAGATCTCGGAGCTGCGGCGTGCAGGCAAATGGAGCATTTTTTCCCTGGGAACACCAAAAAAAAAAAAAAAAAAAGCCATTCTTGGGATACACAAAACTTTCGCCATTCAACACAACAAACACTTCTTCTTGTCTTGGTTGCCCTATTATACCCCTATTATACCCCTAATATACCCCTAATATACCCTCTGCTGTCACTCTCCCGCCTATTACCTCTTTCAAGTCGTAAATAGCCGCAATCGCTTCTCATGAGTGCACCCTATTGTCGGGACCTGGAAGGATGGGTATGCGATTCATATCAGAGAGAAACAACCTTGATTTCATTACAGCCGCATCCTTCTCACTCGCAAAGCACCCTCATTATTCCTTTCAATCTACCACTAGGGACCAACAAGCCATACCAGAATTGATCTCACCTTCTGCTTCGAAAGCACGCAAGTAGCAACCACCTTGATCGCTGTCCTCTCCTAACAACGATTGGGTTCTGACACCCCGCTCACACATGCCTAATTTTCCAACTTGAACAGTATTCTTCTCGGGTTGCCATCCCTTCTGGCTATCCTACTGTTTGCTGTGCGGGTCCATAACCTCTTCAGGATAAACAAAGGATGTTACATTCCTCTGAATCGATGGTTATATTGGTCCTCATCAGCGTGCATGCTAATGGCCTGTGCAGCCCTCGTTGCTCGGGTCGTTCAGCTCGCGCAAGACAGCGGCAGTTCACCTTCAACCATGTTTGGAACAGTAGCCTTGCTGGTGGCATGGGTAAGGTTACATGCATTTGGTATTTTGTAACCATATCCCAAATTAAACTATGATGAGCTGATAGCATTCTGCGACAATAGGTTTTCTCTATCGGCCTGAACCACCTGGAGAACCAGGCAGACAACAGATCCTCGACCTACATTTATGCCTTTTACATTGTCTCCATTACCGTCTCGGCCATCAGTGTTAGGACCATGCACGATCTCACCATGACAGGGCAATCCCAATTCAGTTCGTTTTGTGTCTTTTTCGGAGCCATTGGTTGCGGATTTATTCTGGAGGCGTGGCCACGATCGTCTATTCCTAATCGTTCAGACGACCTCAAAAACGATGCAGCAGACATACTAGTCGAGGACTGGGATAAGCCAACGGCATACGACCAGTCCAACCTGTTCTCGCGCCTCACTTTCCATTTCATGCAGCACGTCATCTCGATTGGGTACTGTCGAACCTTGCAAAATAAGGATATCGCCAACATGATGCCCCGGAGGATCAGGACCGTTCACAGTTACGAGTTTGTCTTTCGCGTCTGGGACCGACACCTTCAAAAGTGCCGGCAATCCAACAAAATGCCGTCATTACTTTGGATTGTCCTCAAGGCCGGAGGGTGGTCGTGGGCACCCATTATCATCTATGCGCTTACGGAATCAGTCATGGAGTTTGTCCAGCCCATCCTACTGGATGTTATCCTCAATTTCATCTCCTCGTACTCGACTGATCAACCGCAACCCACAGCTCTTGGGTTAATCTTATCTGTTGGGATGTTTGGTGCCGCTATCCTGTCCTCCATGGCTAGCGGACAGTTTTTCCAATTAGGAACTAACTTGGGCATCGAACTCAAGTCCGGGTTGATCTCGATGATCTATCGCAAGTCCCTCAAGCTGTCCCCAGGTGCGAGGCGCGAGGCAACCTCGGGTGAAATTACAAACCATATGTCTGTAGACGCCGAGAGGATCGGTCAGGCGATCACCACTCTTCCCTTGGCCATCTCTGCACCTTTTGAGATTGCCATCGGAATCTGGTTGCTTTATCGTCAGCTGGGTGCCAGCGCATTCACGGGTCTGGGGGTGGTTGTGCTACTGATGCCTGTGCAAGGTCTCGTTGCAAAGGTGTTGAACAAGGCAAAAGACAAGAAACTGGAGGCGATGGATGGCAGAATCCGTTTGGCGACGGACATCTTGTCTGGGATCCGAGCTGTGAAACTGTACTCGTGGGAGCGCTCGTTCCGTGAGAGATTAGAGGCGTATCGCAATACGGAACTCAAGCATCTTCGACATATCGGGATCACGGTCGCTGTCATGATGATCATGTTCACCTCCATGCCCTCACTCATGACCTTGCTCTCGTTCGTGGTGTACTCGCTAGTGGGAGGTCCCAATGGCACGAAGGGGATCATGTCGGCGCAGGTGGTCTTTGTCAGTATCACACTCTTCAACCGGCTCTCGAAGCCGATCGGAAGAGCATCCGTGATCATTAGCCAGGCTATCTCTATGAACGTGGCGGTCAAGCGCATTCAGAGTTATCTGCTCCTAGAGGAGCTGAGCGAATCTCAGGTCGAATACTTGGAAACACCCTTGTACAAAGTGACATCAACTCCCGAAAAACCACTGTCCGATTGTGACAACAGCCCACCCCTGGCGATTCAAGTGCATGATGGCGAATTTTCATGGAACAGTCCAGTGGCGATTTCTGGGTCAACCTCTCCTGAGTCTAAAGAGCAGCGATCCGGTGCCGACTTGCGTCCGACATTGTCCAACATCAACCTTGCAGTACCTCACGGTAGTCTCACTGTGGTCATGGGTCGAGTCGGACAGGGCAAATCGTCATTGCTGAGCGCCATTACTGGTGACATGTACAAGCAGCAAGGGCGCATCCAGATCAGCGGAAAATGCGCATATGTGCCTCAACAAGCGTGGATTATCAACGCAACTGTCAGAAATAACATCGTCTTTGGGAAGGCCTTCGATCAGGAGAAGTACGACCGCGTGCTGTTCGCTTCAGGATTGCTCCCGGATCTCGAGATCCTTGCAGCCGGCGACCAGACGGAGATTGGAGAGCGCGGGATCAACCTGTCCGGAGGGCAGAAGCAACGGGTGTCGCTGGCGCGTGCTGCATACCAGGACGCAGACGTATATCTGCTGGACGACCCCTTGAGTGCCGTCGATGCACATGTGGATCAGCATCTCTGGGAGAACCTCATTGGGCCAAAGGGCCTACTCAAGGACAAGGCACGTCTCCTCATCACACATGGGGTTCATCACTTGAGTGAGGTAGACCATATCATGATTGTCAAGGATGGAGGCATTGACGAAACTGGAAGCTATGCGGACCTAATGGCTGCCCAAGGATCGTTCTTCCAGCTCATTGGCGAGTACTCTGTCAGCAAGAAAAAGGACCGCCATGCGGTTGAGGTGGGAGATAGCACTGGTCGAGAGGATTCTATGGCTATCGAAAGAGCAGAGTATGACAACGAAGAGGATAAGGCAGCGGGATTGACAGCAAATGACGAGGTTGCAAGGGAGGATGACAATGCGGACCTGACTCTTGAGGAACAAGCTGCGGAGGGAGCAGTCAGCTGGAAGGTATTCAAAGGCTACGCCAAGGCAGCGTAAGTGTTTTAAGTGTTTCTTTGTGTTAATCTCGATAATTCATTCGCCTTCGTAATAATAAATGAAAGATCCCTGACCGCTTTCATTACATTCCTCGTAAATTTCATATAGGACATACCCATTATCGTTCTTGAGCATCCTTGGCTTTATCTTGTCCCAGGTGACACAGATTGGTATGAACTTGTGGTTGCAGAGCTGGACGTCTCAGGAACAAAGTGGGCACCAACCTTCTATCGGGAAGTTCCTGGGCGTTTATGCGGGACTGGTGTTCCTTTACTTTTCTCTCGATTTTGGCGTCAACTTGACCATTTTCGTCCTGGCCGGCATTCGTGCCTCGAGAATCCTGCATGAAAATATATTGGGACGCGTTTTGAGGCTGCCGATGAGGTAAGGTGTCAAGTTCGTGTGCATTTTTTGTGCCCCACCGCGTTGTATAGGCTTGACTAATCGTTTTACCTGGTCACCATCGTAGTTTCTTTGACACAACGCCGTAAGTGAGAACGACATGTGTAGACAGCTTGCTATTTGTTCGATAGGAAGGCACTGTTCCTATTGCTAAACGCATTTTTTTTCTACTCTTTCGCCTGCTGTCTTCCACAGGATCGGACGCATTGTTAATCGGTTCTCCTCCGATGTCGACAACGTGGATGAACTCCTTCCGATACATCTCAGCGATTTTTATTATTTCTTGACCAGCGTTTTCGGGACATTGATTGTGATCTCGGTCTCTGTCCCTATCTTCATGGCCCTGATCCCCTTTCTCGTCGCTCTTTATTTGGTCGTCCAAGTTTGGTACATTCGCTCAAGCAGGTAAGATGTCGGTTTTGTAATGGGAAGTTATTCCTTTCACAAGTTCCTTCATCACTCGCAGGATCTAACGAGGCATCATTGCATCCTTTCCACTCTGATCAATACATACAAAATAGGTCGCTCAAGCGTATCCACTCCATCTCCAAGTCGCCGTTGTACCAACATTTCAGTGAGACCCTGATCGGTGCCTCAACCATCCGCGCTATGCGGGCCGATGATCGTTTCATCCTCGAGAACTCTGCCAAATCCGACAAATCCGCGAACGCGTATTTCGCGTACAAGATCGCTAATCGGTGGCTACACATGCGGTTGGAGTTCTTGGGAGCCATCATCGTCTTTGCCACATCTCTGTTGGCCGTGTTAGGCAGAAGGACGTTGGCACCTGGAATGGCTGGTTTGGCGTTGTCGTATGCACTGAATATAACGTTCATGATCACCTACTTAATGACCAGCTTCGGCGACCTTCAGGATCAACTTATCTCAGTGGAGCGGATTCAAGAGTACTCGGTAAAGGACCAGGAGGCGCCTGATGTTATGCCCAAGGATGACAAGCTGCTAACGAACTGGCCAAGTGAGGGAAAGATTGTGTTCAGGAACTATTCAACGCGATACCGTCAGGGAATGGATCTGGTGCTAAAGAATGTGTCATTCGAGGTCCTGCCAACGGAAAAAATAGGCGTAGTCGGCAGGACAGGCGCAGGGAAATCGTCGCTAACGTTAGCACTGTTCCGTATTATTGAAGCGGCCAATGGTCACTGGGCCAAGGCAAGCCATAATGGCCAAAGTTCTTACACAGCATCGACGAGCTACGGTCTTAATCCGACCGAGGAGGAAGAGTTGGGAACTATCGAGGTTGAGGAGGACGGTGGGTTGATAGAGATCGATGGCGTCGATATCTCAACGGTCGGTTTGAAACACCTCCGTCAGCGTCTGTCGATCATCCCACAGGACCCCACATTGTTCGCTGGAAGCGTGCGCGAGAACTTGGATCCATTCAACCAGGCCACCGATCCTGAGCTGTGGGAGGCTCTGGAGCGTGCGCATCTGAAGGGTCACATCTCGTCACTCGCTGGGGGACTCTCATTCGAGGTTGCCCAGAACGGCGACAACTTCTCGGTGGGCCAGCGGTCGCTGATCTGCTTGGCGCGGGCGCTGCTGCGAAAGACCAAGATCCTGGTGCTAGACGAGGCCACAGCAGCCGTCGACGTGGAGACGGACGAGCTGATCCAGAAGACGATCCGCAAGGAGTTCAAGGACAGGACAATCATCACGATCGCGCACCGGATCAAGACGATCATGGACTCGGACAAGATTCTGGTGCTCGAGCGGGGTCGTGTGGAGGAGTTTGATGCTCCAGCGACGCTGATGCAGAAGCAAGGGCTGTTTTACAGCCTGGCCAAGCAAGCAGGAGAACATTAAATTTTGCCACCAATTTTATTCTTTGCTGTGCGAAGCTGTGATACCCAGCCGCCTCTTCCGTTGAATGTGCAGTCACACTCCAGAGGGGCTGGGCGAGAATCTCTCCCTCACCCTTGAAGCACACTTCGTCCTCAACATTTCCTAAAAAGGATGGAGGCCTCCACAACCTCAGATGTCCGCTCTCTGACATGGTGCAGTCTTGGTCCACGGCGTAGCAGGGTGGGTACGAGATAAGAGACGGGTACGGAGAGAGTGAATGAAAGAGAATGTCCGCGAAGTGATATTGCGCATCTGAGGTTGTGGAGGCCTCCATCCTTTTTAGGAAATGTTGAGGACGAAGTGTGCTTCAAGGGTGAGGGAGAGATTCTCGCCCAGCCCCTCTGGAGTGTGACTGCACATTCAACGGAAGAGACGGCTGGGTACCACAGCTTCTTGCTGTGCCTATGCATGGTTTGAACGCGTAATTATTTTTGCGGTTTTATTCAATCTCGACAAAGTGAACTATTTACAATTCATGGTACGAAGGAGGTCTGATGATTACTCTCTGCCTGCAGCCCAGAGACCGACGAGAGACCATCCGAGGATACATGGGATACCAAAGACGCAATAGCTCCAGAAGAGCACGGAGGCCATCTCCTTCTCGAAGAAGCCCTTGATGGAGCATTGCTGGGTTAGATTGATAGCCGTGGGCGCTGCCATGATCAGAATCAGGGCCAAAGAAAATGTCGGGTCTGTAGCCAGGATGGGCGAAAGACTCTCAGGATGGAAGATGACTGCGGGCAAGCAGACCACAGGGATGAGGAGAAGTCGCGTGAAAAGAATGAAGGGAATAGGGGTGATCCAGCGGATCCGGTAGTGTGGTTGGGAAGCCGATTCGGGGGAGGACTTGAGAAGCGGCAGGGCCTCGTCCTGATCCTCATCACTGTCGTCGTCGTTGCCATCGTAATTGTCCGAAGCGTCGGAAGCGGTCAAGGGGACGGATCCGTAACGCGGAGTACTCTGAAGATTCGTTTCGGGATGGTTGAAGTGTAGAAGCGTGGCAGAGGATGAAGCGTTCGAGCGAGCGGACGCGATACCTTGGCCGTATGTCTCATTGGACTGTGCGGGGAATCCTCCTGTTCTCCTCTGATCCTCGTCGTCTTGGGCTTTAGAGTAGATGCCCAGTTCAGTCCTCGCAGGCGGAGACTCTGCCCGAGGCCTCTGGCTTTTCATCGGCGCCGATGGGGCTGAATTAGAGGAGGAAGACGAGGATGCAAAGTACACAACCTGAGCGCCAAGACAGAGGAGGATCATGGGGATAGCTGAAGCACCACAGCTCTCGATTGGGCGGATCAAGAACCGGTAGACGATCGACTGTGGGCTCATAAAGAGATGGTGGAGCGCCGGGACGAGTCCGATGAACAGGGCGACCAGCGCGGTCACGAGTGGTGGCGTCATCACCTGACGTACTCGCTCGTAGGTCGTTGTAGCAGTCTTCATGAGAATAGACTCGGAGATGCTTTTAGCGGAAATGGCGGGCGAACGTAAACGAGGAGGTACGGCGAGGTAAGTGAGGGAGCAGGTAGGTGGAGCAGCGAGGCTCTTGTTAAGTCTAGGGTTTGCAGTTGGATCGCTTTCGTCCGTGTCCGAGTGATGTGACGAGGAGGATGCCTGGTCGGATGCGGGCGCTGTGAGCATTGATGATTGGCCGCGTTTGGAGGGCGGCATGTCGACGTTGATGAGGACAGAGGGCGCGGGCAGTGACCGGTCCGATGCTTCCTCGGGCTCGCGCTTCTTATCTTGGGGCACCAGCAAAGTGAATCCATAAGACCACCGGACTAGGTTTCCAAAGATGGCATAGAAGAGGATATAGGAGATGCCTCTAGAGGGCGACCGATTATCGGTCAAAAAGGAGAAGCGTGTTAGGTTACGGACAGAGACTATAAGGAAGAGTCGATAATGACGGCCTCCATCGCTCTTACCTGGCAGCGACATCCTCACTGGTATCGTTCTCGTCCCTCATGAGCCGATCTCCAGCACCACTGTATGCCAGGGACATCAGAAGGGCCATGGGCAATGAATTGGTGTTGGAGAAGAGGACCGAGGCAGTGACAAATTTTTCTTCATCCTTGGAGAACCTAAAGAGACGCGACCCGGCCTTGGCGACGATCCAGGAGACGGCAGAGAAGAAGACGTAGAAGACAGGTATGGGCCAGAAGGCCTTGAACTGGGTCCAATTGATGGCCGAGGCGATCTTGGAGAAGAGCAGACAGGGCGTCATGAAGTACATGTTCACCTTGGATATTGACTAACACAAGAGACATCGTTAGTACGCCACATCCTGGTGGACATTGGACAAGTTACCCAGGCTCATGGGAAAAAAAATCAAATCTGATAAGATAACCAAGCACAAACAAGCATTGCGCCGACCGGCGCTTGGTGGTACAACGCCAAGGAGGACGAGAAAAGCGCTCATGCTCACCTTCTGTGCCGACTGGGAGAGATATCCTGACCTCGAAAGGACCACGCCACAGCCGACCACTACGAGAACCTGACTGACAGCCTAATGAAGATAATGTAGGGTTTGAATACGAAGAGAGAGCGGTATGAGGTCAGAATCGATTTTAATTGTGTCCTGTAGGGATAGGCCATGCATATATGGAAATATGAATACAAATGCACAGATCGAAATGGAGAATCATAGCATCATGCTATCCATTTGGGAAATGGCCCGGTATGTCCCTTCCCTCTGCGCTTAGCCATCTGCAGCCGTGCATGCACGCCCTCTCGTTCATACTCAACTCCCTGAGCCCCCAATGAGGTGGATACATACCTCGGCTGCCGCACCTGCCAAGATTAACAGATCCATGTGTCGATGTAAGAATGCGAGTGTATTTAGTGGACTTGTGTACAAAGAAGGGGCTGAAGATGCAATCGAGAGCCGAACGACGGTTGCACTAAAGGAAGAAGGAGAAAAAATCTGTCCTACTTAAAAAGAGAGTGCGAAGTGGTTGTGAAGACGAAGAGCACCGAGGGATGAGGCGATGAAAGTGAATGGAGGCAATGACGATGAACAGGAAAACGGAATGAGCAGTGAAAAGGCAAAGAAGGCAGTAAAAAGTAAAAGAAATAAGAGGTGTTCGATTTGTCTCGTGTAATATTTTTTCCTATGTACACTACGTCCATGTCATTCTCCTTCCCGTACACCCTCCTCCTCCATCGTTTATCCCCAGATGCATATCATAGTCTGTATGGACCTGGATGTAGCTATCTCTCGCCCATGGAACACCCAGATGAGAGCAAACAAGACGACAGGCATGGGAGAATTAGGAACAGGAAAGGTATCGAGGACAGCATACACGCGTGTACACCCACCCCGTCCACAAGCAGAGAAAGGCAGGAGGGACTAAGGGTCGGGCATCCAATCGCCATGGACAAGGTTTTCGAGAAGGCGCCTCCCAGAGATCAGCAGTCTGCTCTTCGCAGCTGGCCCCAGGTCCCTTTGTCTCCATGCCTCCCTGGTCCATGTCCATGCAGTTTATCAAGCGGTAGGGGGGGAAAGTGCGGTGGACATGGGTGCGACACACCCGATCACTGTGTACAGGAATAGCACGGGAATAGCACGGTAATGATAAAGCGGATTCGAATGAACGCACAAATGAACAACAATTAGTGTGAGTGGAATGCACGAGTGGCGTGTGGATGGATGTGTGAGTGGGCCGTGCGGACGCGATGATTGGACGGAGTCCAACAGCGGCTCATTCCTCCTCTATTTGGCGACTCTCCGTCATTTTTTTTTATTTCTCCACAGGCGGGCGAAACATAATTCCACAGCCCCCTTCTCCACTTTGGACTCCCTCGAACAACCAGACCGGCGAGGGGCGGAAGGACGAGGTGGGATCAAGAAAGCCGAGAAGATTCCTTTTGGATTAGAAAGCGAACACCCAACGATGGCATTCTATGTCATTCCCTAGTAGTTTCAGTTTTAATTATTAAGACTTGTCTATGGGGCAATTGGACAACTTTGTTTTTCTTTCTATGTATCTTTGCGGTTGCACAAGTCCTGGCTAGCATGAAGCATGGACCTGGGAATACATAGGCAGCCTTTGCCTAGTTCTCGATGCATGCACAGTTGCTTCTCCTAGATGGGGTTTGTGCATTTTTTTTTTTTTACCTTCAAGTCCTCGATCTGATCATCAGCAACACGAAGTGACGTTCGTGAGCAGATCGAGCACATCGAGGACTCTAGATCCAGTGGATCCCACGTTGCCTAAGCAACATGGCAAGGAGCTCCCTTCTCCCCTTTTTTTCACCGGTACATCTGGCATTCAGTTTGTAATAATGAATGATCCCTTTGGTCAGCATAGGAAAATAAAATAAAACAAAAAAGGTCTTGCAACGTCGGATAGGGGCGTAGCCCAGTGTTACGTACATGAGTTCGATATGAGTACAGGAAAAAGAATCCGTTTTCTGTGGTTTTTATATTTATGAAACTCGTAAAGGCCCTGTGCCTTTGTGAGTCCTTTAAAAAAATATGCTTGGTTGCTGCTTGCAGACCGATATGCAGTTTCTAATGTAAAGTATAAATTAAGTCGATCATTGTTCATGCGCGTCAGCGACTTCTCCTGCTTGCTTGGCCAGGCTGTAAAACAGCCCTTGCTTCTGCATCAGCGTCGCTGGAGCATCAAACTCCTCCACACGACCCCGCTCGAGCACCAGAATCTTGTCCGAGTCCATGATCGTCTTGATCCGGTGCGCGATCGTGATGATTGTCCTGTCCTTGAACTCCTTGCGGATCGTCTTCTGGATCAGCTCGTCCGTCTCCACGTCGACGGCTGCTGTGGCCTCGTCTAGCACCAGGATCTTGGTCTTTCGCAGCAGCGCCCGCGCCAAGCAGATCAGCGACCGCTGGCCCACCGAGAAGTTGTCGCCGTTCTGGGCAACCTCGAATGAGAGTCCCCCAGCGAGTGACGAGATGTGACCCTTCAGATGCGCACGCTCCAGAGCCTCCCACAGCTCAGGATCGGTGGCCTGGTTGAATGGATCCAAGTTCTCGCGCACGCTTCCAGCGAACAATGTGGGGTCCTGTGGGATGATCGACAGATGCTGACGGAGATCCCGGAGTCCGAGGGTCGAGATATCAACACCGTCGATCTCAATCGATCCGCCATCCATCGGCGATCCCGTCAGTGTCGCGTCCTCCCCGACTTCTTTCACGACCGCAGCCTGGTCCTGCTCACTAGCACGAGCCCAATAAGAGTCCGCGGCCTCGATGATTCGGAACAATGCCAACATGAGTGAGGATTTACCGGCACCGGTCCTGCCTACAACACCGACCTTCTCAGCGGCTTGGATATCGAACGACGCCCGTTTGATGACGAGATCGAGTCCTTGACGGTAACGAGCAGAGTAGTTCTTGAAGACAATACGACCATGCTGAGGCCAGCTCTCGGGTAACCTTACACCAGTGATCTCGGGGGCTTCAGTTGGTTTGTTAGAGTATTCGTGGACACGCTCGACCGATACAAGTTCTCCGGCCAGATCGCAGTAGCAGCGGAGGGTCCAGGTTACATGGCCGGCTAAAGTCACGGTGTTGCTAAGGAGTAGTCCGGCCATGCTAGGACTGAGCGAGTCCTTATTTAGGACTGCCAGCAATGTAACGATAAAGATCGTGATTGATGTCAATCCCTCGAGTCGGATGCTAAAAGTAGATAGAAAGCCGTGCTGTTAGTCGCCTGGATACTCCTGACAAATGCGTAGTGGGCCATTCTAATGTTCGCGATAGTCGTGTCACACTCACTTGAGCCAATAGTTGGTCATGGCCGAGGCGTAATGCGCATTGGCAGAACAATCAGAGCGGACAGCATTTTCCTCCACAAAGCGATCCGCGAGGGCCATCGCGCGGATCGACGAGACACCGTTCAGGGTCTCATCAAAATGCTGGTACAGTGGTGACTTGGACACGGATTCCAGGCGCTTCAGCATGCTGGATATTCTCACATAGCGTCGCTGGATAAGCACGTAAATCACTCCGATGACGGGCAGGGCGAGGACAAAAACTGGTGTTGCGACCACAAGGATCAATAGTGCTCCAACCAAGTTGCTGACACAGGTGAACAGGCCAATATAATTCCCTGCCACTGCCTCGTCAATTGCCGCGATGTCGGACGAGAATCTGTTCAGCACGCGTCCTTGCCTATAGATCATTAGGAATAAAACCCCCCGTTAATTGATCTTGTTGATGGGAAGTTGACTGGTCGGATTAAGAGTAATACGGGAGCGATAACTTACGGAGTGACATCAAAGAAAGACATGGGGAGCCGAAGGATATGCGCAAGGAGGTTCTCGTGGAGGACCTCTGACGCTGTCACACAGGCACGAACGAAGCACACGTAGGTCGTGTAGACATCGACGGTCATGTAACCCAGCACGAGTACTCCGTAGATGATCAGGAAGTAGTACAGGGAATGGGTCGTCGTGTCAGCAACTCGGGTCCAGTGCTCAAGCCAGATGGGAGTACTCAGTTGGAACGCTTCCCACACAATGAAGAAGATAACTGTCATGGCGACGTAGTAGTACGACCTATCCCAGGATGCACATGAAACAGCCGGTTAGAACTGTGTAGACCAGAACATTCAACTAATTCATAATAATGACTTACATAGCCTTGCAGTAAACTCTGAAGGTGTCCCACTTCACGACGCCAGTCTGGGCACCTTCTTCTTCGACGAGCTCGCCGTTGGCTTTCTCTTGATCCACCAAGCTTTCCTCGGACGTCGGTGTAATCGAACTGGCCTCGTCCTCAGCAGCGGCATCAGACACACGCTGGGTATGCTGGCGCTTCTTCTTGGAGCCATTGTTGACAGAAAACTCCTTGATCAGGCGATAAAATGTGTTTTGTGTTGCCATAAGGTCCGCGTAATGTCCTGCCTCCTCGATCCTGCGATCCTTCAAAACTACGATATGGTCGGCATGCTCCAAATGATGAATGCCGTGAGTGACCAAAACCCGAGTCTTGTCCTTGAGCAACCCATCGGGTCCAATGAGATTCTCCCAGAGATGCTGATCCACATGTGCATCGACGGCACTCAAGGGGTCGTCCAGCAGATATACGTCTGCGTCCTGGTATGCAGCACGCGCCAGCGACACCCGTTGCTTCTGCCCTCCGGACAGGTTGATCCCGCGCTCTCCAATCTCCGTCTGGTCGCCGGCTGCAAGGATCTCGAGATCCGGGAGCAATCCTGAAGCGAACAGCACGCGGTCGTACTTCTCCTGATCGAAGGCCTTCCCAAAGACGATGTTATCTCTGACAGTTGCGTTGATGATCCACGCCTGTTGAGGTACATAGGCCACAGACCCATAGACCTTGACGACTCCTTCACGCTTGTACATTTCTCCGATGATAGCGCTCAGCAGCGACGATTTGCCCCGTCCGACTCGGCCCACAATAGCGTTCAATGATCCGCGAGCGAACGAGAGGTTGATGTCGATTAATGCTGGCTGGTTATTCCTGGTGGCGTCCGAGGATAACAGCGCAGTAGTTTCATCCAGCTCCTCCTCTTCTTCCTCGCTGTTGTTCCCCTCAGTATCCATTTGAGAAGCACCGCTGCCCCATGCAAAGGTAGCTTTTTCAATCTGAACCACAGCCACGTTCGGGTCCTTAGGTAAGGCTGCGTCGCGTGCCACAGCAGAAGCATCGATCTCCTCCTTGAGTAGGAACTTTTGAATTCGCCTACTGGCAACTCGAAGGCTGACCGAATACTCGGTTACTAAGGACATGGCTCCGACTGGACGGCTCAACAGCGCGAACAAACTCAGACTGACAAAAACCACCTGGGCATTAATCTTTCCGGGAGTGAATCCAGGGCCGCCGAAGGCGGCAAAGACCGCAAAGGACACAAAGGCCATCATCAGAGGTAAGCATGTGAAGATAATCGAGAGAAAGGATTCGACCAGACGGGACTTGCGTAGTAGCTGGATCTCCTTGGCGCGATAGGAGTTGACTTTTTCCTTGTAGGCTGGCTCGTACCCATACAGTTTGATGTTCTTTATGTTGGATAGCAATTCGCCCATAAGACGCACGCGACTATCCATGGCCTCGTATTTCTCGTCCCTGGCACGGTCGAAGAACTGGCCTGCATAGCCTTGGATAGGCGTGACGATAACGATCATGGAGAGGCCGCAGAAGACAGACCATCCCAGGATGTTATACACTAAAGAGTCGTAATATACGGAGCATTACAAACGTTGAGTGGGATGAAAGACATATTTTTGGAGAGCATGACTGAAAGCGGTCTCCCCATAGCGTGGTTTTACTTACACATTGCAGTGGCAACTACGATTTCAAAAGGCACAGTGAACCAATATGGGACCCAGATCAGATCCTTGGTCCACTTTTCAGCATCAGTCGACATATGGTTGGTGATCGATCCCGTCGATGCTTTGGCTCTGCTATCGGGGGACAGCACCAGAGCCTTGCGATAAATCATGCCGACCAATCCATTCCTGATTTCGAGTCCCAGCTCGGAAGTAACCTTGCGGTACTGCCCCATCAGTAGAGAAACCGCAACGCTGACAAAGAACATTTCCAGCGCCAGGATTATGCCCCTGGCCCGAGGCACGTCTGTATTCTCTGACTCGATATAGATCAGGATCTGTTGGATGATTACCGGTAACAGGAACTGCAGCGAAGAGGCGATCAGGTGGATGGCGGTCGCGGTGAGGAAACGCCAGAAGAACGTCTTTGTAATGACCCATATCAGGTTCGGAGGCCTGGCATTTCTCTTGGTACCATTCTCGATATTGGAGGTCTCAACAGCTCTCTTGTGGACTTCCCAGTTGAGGACGAGCCACTGGTACGCGTGCGTAGTCTGAGCCTTCCCGGGCATGATATCCTCGATGTCGGCGATCGTCAACGTTTTGATGTACCCCAACGAGATAATCGTCTGCAGGTAATGAAAGGTCCATCGAGAAAACAGATTGGCCTTATCGTGCTGGTTGGCTGTGCTGAGCAGTTGGATGTGCGAACGACCACGCGGGAAGGCCTCGAAGAAGAACGCGGCCAGGATGGCGCCAAAGTAGGTGTAGAAAGCATGCACCTGTATATCGATCGGGCTCTCATCATGCTGATTACGTCGCGTGTAGTGCGAGTACAGGCAAATGGATGCTGCAAAAATTGAGTACAGCTCGAAAAAGAAGATAACGCTCGAGGAGCGGATCTGGTAGTTGGATTCCAATTTGCTGGCACGCATGGCCAAGACCTAAATGGCAATGACGAGTTTAGCATCACTAGCATTCTGGATCTTTTCGAGATCATTCATTCATGTGCGTCCTTGTTTATGCTTTTCTTTTCTTCTCTTTTTTTTCGCATAGAGACTGAAGCCTCTTTTCCTTACCCAGGCAACCAGCTGCCACCATGCCGCGAAGCTAGTAGACAGCGATGTGATAGGGGAAGTCAAGAATGTCACGATTGCACCGACCACGACGAGCAGCGCCAGCTGGCTCGGCCAGTAGGTGAAGACATGGCCTTGTTCATGAGGGATCCCATGGTGGCGAAGATAGATTGACCGAGAGAGAAAGGCGACCGAGGCTAGGACAGCGGGCGCACCCATCAGGACTGTACTCTGAAAGCAGGGCGTCAGCGAGATCTTGTCCTCGTTTATGGGGCCCTAGAATGACAGGAAGTTATTGTCAGGTGTCGGTATGATCCGCGAGTGCTGCAGCGGCGGACAGGCGGCAGAACCAGAGCGGATGCTTACCCATCCCTGGGAATCGCACCAGGACGACCCGGCAGCAGGAGAATGCATCGACGGAGGAGAGAGTTGCTGGTGTGAAGGATGGAGAAAAATGAAACAAAGATGGAATCCGGTGTAGACTAACTGCAGCAAGGTTTTATTATTTACCGAACGACAGGGTCCCAGCTGTGGGCATCATGTCATCACCACCAGGACCTCCCTTTCTTCATTACCACGTCGCCCCTAAACTGCGGATTCTGCTCCGAGAGCTCCAACTGTCATTACGGCCGCTCGTATTCGCGCTTTATAGTTTATTTTCAACTTTCCTAGGAGTACCTCGCACGAAATGAGCCTATCATCTCAACTTCCTCCGCCCATCCAGCCCTTCGTCCCACTTCCATTCTTGTGTGGACGAATACACCGGGTGGATCTCCGTTCCAGCCGCAATTAGTGCATCCTTGTGCTTGGACCATATCGCTCCGTATTGTGTGAAGGGCAGTTGTGGGTAGAGGTGGTGGATGTTGTGCAGGTGCTGGTTCAGCAACGGGATCGCAAGGTTGAGACCGTTCGAATACAGGATCCCGCCTGTCACGCTCGTCATCTTGTACACGTTATCCTTGGCATTGTACGTGTGGCCTCCATCGGGGCGATGGGGCACGTACGCAAAAAGCCACGTAAGCAACCAGTATGCCTAAGAGGAAAGAGAAGCTTTCGTGGTTTAGTCGCGTCGTCGTATCTATCGTATCAACTATAAAACATGAATAAACGGCGACTGAGGGTTAATTGTCCAATGAGAGTAGGACTTACAGTGCGCTGAGGAATGATCCAGTACTTGATAAAGGCCAGGCCCTTGTCGTTCATCTTCTTGATCATCCAGAACATGGACAAGTAAAAGAGCGCCGCATCCAGGATCTTGGCGTCCTTGACTTCGCCCATCAGCACAGCCTTGATCCAAAAAAAGTCAGGGACGAACCACTTGAAGAACCGAAGGACCATCGGTCCCCGGGCATCCCAGACATCGGGGTCCTTGTCTGTGTTAGTGTGTCGGTGGTGTAAGAGATGCAACTGGCGGTAAACGCCGAACGGAATGTTCAAGGGGATACCTGACAGGTACCCGACCAGGTTGTTGATCGGCTTCTTGTACACGCCCTTGGCGATCGATGAATGCGTACCGTCGTGTACCGGCGTAAACGACGCAAAGCAAGCCGCGGTCATGGCAGGGAATGTTAAGATGGCGGAGACCTTTTTCTTGTATGCGCCGTAATAGAGGACAGCTGCCCAGACCGCAAGGGACCCAGCAGCGACAGTGATCGTTGGGATGGCAATGGTCGGTGTCTTGAGGTCCTCCGAGGTGATCAGCGCCAGACGCTTAACTCTTGTTGGGGTTTCCGTTGCCTCGAAAGGTCTAGAGTGATCCCGCAGGGTATTCTTTTGCACGTCCTCAGCATTGGGCCTTGTTTGGGGCAGTGTAGCGCGATCAAGTGCTGTGATAGCCATGCTGCAAACTGTTTTTGGAATCGTGCTAGGAATATGTGTATGAAGCCGAACTCAAATGAATAAAGAAGGCGAATGAGATGGTTGAAAGGGAAGCGATTCGATTCCAACAGAGATCTCATTCATCCTCGCCGAGACCTTTTCCTCTTCTTAAAGTAGGACAACATATACACTTTACGCTGAACCACCACCGATCATGAGGATCGATGGCGTGGATACAATGCTGAGTCGCCACGCCTTCTATGAATGATCGATCCAAGTCGTTGGAACATGACATGGACCCTTGGGCTCGGGGGCCAGCGCAGTGTATGGTACGTAGATCGATACAAGCCGGTTCGGGCGAGTTCTCCTACCGTACCTTGATCTCCTCTTAGAGCTTTGTACTATGCACCCGAGCCGCGCCGCATCTTATCGCGCCGCCCGAAGCTACTTAGCCTGCGTCTTGCACGTAGACCACTTACTCAGTAGATATCTTCCCTTCAGAGAATATAGCCATGTATCAAACCACCGCCACGATTCTTGTACCGATCGCATAGGAATAGATTTATTTCGATGCAAGACCACTCATGAACAATGAAGCTGCACCCCTCAGAGCCATAACCAGACCGACTCGTTGTTGAGTTTGGTCAGTGTACGGCCCAGGGAGCGCAGATGCAGCTGTCTGTGAGAATAAGCCGTACCGCCGTGCCTCGAAAGGGTTTCTACCATGTTTGCGACCAAACTTATTTCCAACTTCCCCTTCGTCGTCCTCATCATCCGAACTCGCGTACTCTGAGGACGAAGACTCGTCTATTTCTCGATCGTACGCCTCAGTACCATCGTCCACCGTAGTGCTCTCCTCATCTTCCTCTGTAATAACTGAATATCGCCTCGTAAATGAAGGAGACGAGGCCTCCTTGTAGTCCACGATGGTCTGTGGATTATGAGACCGTTCTGCTTCTAGAGCCGGAAGAGCTGCCTGGACTTCATCTTGACTCTGATGCTGCTGGGTTACCAGAGCTTTAACGGTAGAATAACTGGGGGTCTCCTTGTAGGCGATTCCAGCCTTGACGAGACCGGTAACAGTGGCAAAGAACGTCTCGGTCATGACCTCGTGGATTGCGTACTGCTCGTCTAACTCAATCGCCTTCTCGATCGACTGCTTCGACAGCTGCCATGCCCTATCCTGAATATGAAACCTCTCATCCATTTTAGAGAAGATAGTACGAGAGGCATGGTAGCAAGTTTTGATCGCGTCTGGGATAGGAGACTGCTTGAGCCGGATGGCAGACTCGACTGCGGTGGCGACGATGGCCTCGCCGAGTGTCGGACCAGCATTGTCAGCGTCCTTTCCGCGTCGTCCTCGGCAAGAATTCCGGCTGCGATGACCCGACTTGCCATGCCGCTGCTTGCGCTGCGCACCCTGTGGACTATGAGGTGCATTGCTGCTGCTGCTGATGCTGGCGATGGCGCCAGAGTGCTGATAGATCAAAGACGTTGCCTGGTCGAGATGCTCGCGATGTCGTCTACGCCGACGGCGGCGGAGTTGCTTTGAGTTGATGTCATTCTCAGTTTCTCCATCTAGCTGGTTCTCTTGGAGGAAGTTTCGTAGTTGAGATTCAAAGGCTTCTCGTCGCAGAGGATCGCATGTCTCGACTGTTCGATAAAAAAAAAAAAGGAATGAGAATCTACGCACGATATATGCCATATAAGCATACTCACAAAAAAAACTACACTTACTTGGCAAAGCGTGCATCAGCATCGCAATAGCAGCTAGATAGAGCTCAAATGCGTCATCGCCAGCTTCATCGTCGATGGTCTTGGACTGATCCTCCCTCTCAATGGCCAACGCTGATAGGGTGATCGCCTGGTCGACCAGCTTTTTGTTCAGTTTACGATAATGAACGTCTTCTGGTGAAATAGCCTTGCTCCCTGCCCCTGCTCCACGTTGTGTCGTCTTGGAGGCGATGTAGGTGAGTGTAGAGTCCATCACAGGGTGCTTCAGGATGCGGCCGGCAACAGGGATGGACCCCAACTGCTCCTTGGACGGCAAGAGGCCAGAACCGACGGACGTGACCGAGGTGACTACCTTTTTGGCAGCCCGAAAGGGCATCAAAGGCGACGGCCTTGGGATCGAGGGAAGTCTGCCGTGCCATGTGGCCAGGAACGACGGAGATGGCGATGACGGTGGAGTTGTAGAGGGACTCGGACCGGCGGAACAACTTGTGGATGTCGCATGGAGTGCAGGAGATGCGGGCGGCGTGGCAGCAGGGGTGTTTGATGCAGACCTTGACCTAATAAAAAATAATGACGAAGTGGGCGTAGCTGTCGGCGCTGGTGTTGTAACAGGATCTCTGGACGAGCCATGAGGCAATGTTGGCTGCTGCAGATCCAATGGCTCGACCTCGCTCTCGAGCAGGACTGCGGAAGAAGATGCCAAAGACGTCAGAGACGGAGTGGGCGGTGTCGACGATGAGGGCGACCGCGGCGCTAGGGGAGGTGATAGCAGGAGCGATGGTGACGACGAAGATTTCTTGTGCTTTGATCTCGTAGGGGTCTGCGTCCTTGGGGATGGATAGGAGGACGAGAGGATGTCGGCGGGCGAAGGGTTGAAGTACCGTGCGTGATCGTAACTGTCCATCGGCACTCTGCCTATGGCCCTGGTGGGGGGAGTTGTATGGGAGGTCGGCGTGGAGTTGTTCCTTCGAATGGCATACCTTGGCACAATCATGGGTGAGGATGGTGAGGAGGCCATCTTGGAGCCTCTGCGGGGATGGTTTGAGGGCAGTGTGATAGTGGTCGTGGTATTAGCGTTGTAGCGATGGATCAGCTCCTTTGAATATTTTGAAGAGTGAAGATGTGTTTGAGAACGGCTTTTGTTGCTCCTCTTCTTGCTGGGGGTCCTGCTTTTGCGGTGGCAAAGGATGGAAGAGAGCTCAGGTAGCAGTGAGGGGATGTTGGAGTGAAGATAAGAAAGAGCCGAGAAGGGATTCATTATTCCCGGGGATCTACGAGGTGCCGGAGAAGTGATCAAAGGGAAGGGTGTGCTTTACTCTTACTCAGCCCTGGATGTCACTCTGATTCTTTTGTGAAGAGGACAAGGAATAGAGTGGGATGCGAGGTGCGTCTGTGTTGTTTTCGACCGTTGTGCAAAACCGTTTAAAGGGCCATTGACCTCAACATATAATTGCAAAGGAAAAGATATAAAAGGGGACGTTAGAACATGAAGAAGAGTCTGTTGGAGTTATAGCGAAGGAAAGAGAAAAGAAAAAGAATAAGAGGGATGAAGGGAACCGGGGGGAGGTGTTTCTTCTTCAACGGAAGGAGGTGCCAAGGCTGAGTTTCCGGAGAAGCGACGAAAAAGTAAAAAACAAATAAAATGAGTTGGGTGGGATAGGATGTTCTTTATAACTTCAGCTCAAACACCCACGAGATAACGCTGCGAGGAAGAGAGTGCTGATTTCAGGCACCACTGCCACAGAGATAGAGAACAGGGCCAGCACTACTACCGCTGTCATTACCACCACCACCACCCGGTTGAGACTGAGGGAATAACGCGGGGCCAAGACTGAACGATGAGCGTGTACCCGTTCGTTTCTTCGCTCGATGCACAGACACTAATTTATAACTAAACACATACACATGCAACACGGATCAACTTCCTTCTACTGTACCCTCTCTCCTCATCGCGCCATCTTTTATATATGCATCTGCAACAACGTGTGCATGCAATATGCAATGTATGCACGTACCCTAATATTTATGGCAACAGTTTAGCTTCCATCGCGAACGCGAACGGGGTACGGCTCTTGTTTACTTCGCTTCCTGCACTTGCATGGTGCATGGTGGTGCATGCCATATTGTCTCCATGCTCCCTCTCCAAGGTGCGGTTCCCTCCTCCACCTTCCACCAACCAAACAATCCTGATCCGCTTTGCGGGTAAAACCTCTCTCTTTCCACAAGTGTCATCTCCTCCCAGAAACAACATAGCCATGACCCCCCTCCCCCGACCCCTCCCCCGACCCTCCTACCCCTAATGAGCTTGCACAAAGCGAACAACTGCATTCTGGGATGGATTGACCTGGGTGACACATGTTTGCCAAGTTTTTTTTCCGAATTTGTATAGTTCGTCTCAAAAAAAAAAGACCTCAACCCCTTTGGTCCGTGTCTGCAGCCTGCAATGAACGATAACTACAAGAAACAAGAAAGAGAACTTTGGCTGCAGGTCTATTCTTGTCGAAACATGTCGGATACATGCGGTCTTGATCTCCTACTACGACATGTGCAAGTATTTCATTATGACACCGAGTATTTGACCAAGAACAACATAACCACGATGTTGATAAAGAGTTGAACGATGGACTACGGCCAATGGCGCGTCATTGAGAACAGAAAACAAATCAAAACAGGAGATAATTGCTGCTATCGTGGCAACGTAAGGAAGCGAGTCTTGGATCTCTCCTTCACTGGAGTGCCGTAATACTCCCCGCAAGCGGACCACTTTGTTCTACAGCCATGCGGCGCCTTCACGAGCATTTGCACGATATTCATTGCGAGATTATCGGAGTTGTCCTATCTTGACGCACCAATTATGGACGCATGCTTCGCCCTGGCCCAATAAACGTGAACAGAAGAACTTTGACCAGAAGGAACGAGTTTGGTTTTGTGTTCGATGGCGGGAACTCTATCGAAGCGGACTAAACAAGACATGTGCCTTTCTAGTCGGCGAATCCCTCGACGGCGTGTAAGTGTGAGAAAAGAAAGGCCCGAGTCAAGTACAGAGTCGGATCATATGCGATAGGCACGGTATCCATGTGGGTTGCCTCTCTTTGTATTTTAAGACGAACGGTCATGCTTGAGTAATCCTGATGCACGTCTAGATGGAAATGGTGTAGTGTATTTGCTTTCAGGACCGTATCGTATCGCAGTTATGAAATTTTATAGATTCCTCATAGATAAACCCTTACATCGAAGCTACTTTTTAACAGTGGGCTGCATGCATTTAGCCTTCCTCCTGTGCTTCAAGAAAGAGATCTATATTTCGACCCTCGATGACATGTGAAAACCATTTCGGTGTCACGGATCTGGCGCACTGGAAACCATACGTTCTGTACGTGACCAGAATCCAGTCTGGAGCTGGACACAAAGACCACAATGGTATGCTTCTAGATTCACAGATTCTGCATATTTGTATATTTATTGACAGACACGAACATGGCGCTACGAGTGTCGAAGAGAATCGAAGAGAATCGAAGTGTTAAACTATATATTTACGGAGACTATTAGGTGCGATTAGTGGGACCTAGCTTATAAAAGTTGAACTTGATCAGGGTGGGTGGGTGATGGCGGTGTCGATCACGGTTCCCGACAGACAGTTTCCTGATCGATCCCGTTCACCTTGTAGGAAGAGGCGCGCACGGTAGCGCTTCTTGGTAACCACGAACGTCAGCGGTGGGAAGGATCCCGCACCAGTCTGCAGCTGTGCAGGGCCCCGCTTTCGGGTTTCGCCGACCAGCCGATCCCATCTCGATAATAAAACCCTGCCTTTAATCTGTGAAGGATGAAAATTCCCATAGAGATGGTTCTTCCGACCGAGCAGTTGCAGGCATGATGATCGTGATGTTGTGCGACAAACTCACGGCCTCACAAACCATGGCGCTCAGAGTAAGCGCGGATAGAGTGCATAGAACGCAAAGGGAAAACTTATGTTAGCGCGGGAAAGTTCAAGTAAGAACATAAAGCCATATCGGCGTTTAGAATAACGAACGGTGAGTAATGGCTAGAAAGGGTCCAGCTTCAATGTGCACATCATACAAAAAAGCTGGTTCAGGGTACCCCGCCTGAACAGTGTCCCCAAGTGAGGGTGTACCCGCGAATGTCTAAGGTACTCTGCCGCCTACCTTATACTGCCGTCAGGATGACTGCACAGCATTTTGCGGCAATCCCTGAAGTCCCCTACATCCACTTCATATGATTTGCGTGAATGAAGAGGCCAGCAGGGGGCTGAGATGGAAGAAACACACTGAGTTGCTGTTTCTCATCGCACTCAGCGAATGCCTTTGAGCCCTCAGTTCGCAACCAGAGAACATACGGTGGGGGCGGTGGTGCTATACCACAGAGCTTGAACTACCATGCACTAAGAATCGGCGACTGATTACCTGTTTGTCTAAGGGGTCATTGAAGGCATATCGAGAAAGGTAATGTGTGTTGAACCCACAGAAGTTGCATTAAGGGCCTTACACGATGACATGTATGGTGAAGGTTTGATGAATCAACCATCAGCCGATCCATCCTACTCGATGAACATGTCACGAACCCCAATCGACCTAAGACCAAGCGACGCCTTGAAAAATATCAAGAATGAGTCCGTCCCAAATATTGCCCTGAGAACCACCTTTTTCCGAAATATGCCAGCCAGTTGCTGGACAGCGGAGGATTTCCTCCAACGAGGGTATCGGAAGCTGAGCGATTTTGTAGAGGACCTAAACCGCTTGGGCTCTATCAGGGCGCATACACCTACCGACATCTTGATAAGAAATTATTGCCGCCAGCTCGGGAACTATTTTACTACGGAGGACGGCAAACTTCAGTTGGGGAGAGAAGTCTGTCAGAGGCGAAGGCTACGATAATTGGCTATCGTGCTCAGCGACAAGGTCCGTGCTTTGATACTTCTAAAGCCAAATATAACGTAATCCAAGGCATACTAGTTATTTTTCTATGCTATGTATAGGCCAGTCAAGCTCCTCAGGTTTACCTTCGAAAGATACACCTATGGCAGAAGCATCAGCCTCATCTGTTGGCCAAAACACCTCATCCGCAGAAGAGTCCTCAATATTGGTCTCGCCGAGGGAGCAACCAGAGGACGTCGCTTTGAAAGAGCCGTGGAAATCATTGACACAAGCTGCGATAAACAAGATTCGTGGCCACAGCATCAACAGTCTCGAGAATTTGAGCTGCGAAGGCCTGTCTGGTATCGAAAGCCATCTGTTTGAACGGATTCTCTCCTACTTGGCGATAGATAACCTTTCCCCACTCGAGCTCAAGGACTTGTTGTACGTATCGTAGGCAGCCATCTTACTTGCAGTGAAAGAATGTATGTAGGGGTTGTTACTCACCAGCGTATGATTATTTAACGCGCATCTAGTGTGGCGCTCACCGGCATTATCGATCTCCGAGTCACAACGTATAAGGACCTCACGTCGGCCGTCCCAGCTCTGGAGGAGAAAGATCCGGAACTCGATCAGCTCCTGAAGCAGCTGTCCAAGTTCCTTCGGCTCGGTCTTCGGACATTGGTTTTGAAATGCGACGTTATGCTAGGTGGACTGGCAAAGAAGGAGCTTGAGGGCACCGACGCACCCCCCCAAATGGCCATCATACGTCTTGTTCGCTATCTGTAAGTTGTTTCTACACATGTATGGAGCTGTGACTTTTACACCACTCACCACTCAATAAATCTTTTGACATGGTGTTTCTTACTTTATCAAAGCGCAAGCATTATAGACGAAGGGAGTCAACCAGTCTCTGAAAGTGAGGTAGTGGCGGTATGGAAAGAGTGTTTGCAGATTCTGAGCAATGGGAAACTCAAGTTCCTGAGGTATGTGAATAGTAATGTTCGTGTTCTCAGTGTATGGATGCTTTTTCTGGACATATTGACAAACAACATATACTCTTTGACAATAGCGGCGGGCACGTTTGCAGAGCTACGCAGACGCAAAAGCGACTGTTTATTACTCAGTTCAAGGTGCATGAGGAAACTAAGAGTGGTCGCAAGGTCGATTTACTCCTCCGCGTCGGGAACCTGGAGGTCCTCAATACGGAAGTGAAGCCAAACGATGACCAAAGCGCTGGGGATAAACAGTACAAGAAAAACATCAGGATAAACCACACGACCTTTCAGACAGCTGCGCGTCGTGGACTGGAGCTCCCTCCGATGCTCCCCCTTGATGTTCGAGGTAAGGAGCTACATTGATATGAATGATGTTTAAAAAACAGCCAGTTGTCTTGTTCTAAGTAAGGTTTTCCTCTTCAGGTCTATGTGCGATCGTTTGCTGTATCAAGCAGGCAAGCGATAACATCCTAGTTGCAGGCCCTGCCTGCAGTAATTTGATAGTTCTGCCAAGCTCCAAAGAAGACCTCGAAAAGTTCTTGTGCGGAAGTTCACCCCAGATCTTTTGGCAATATGTGGTATGTTTATTTCTGCTGCACTCTTCTGTATTGTCTTGTGTCACAACTAAATTGTGTCTTTTGTAGCAACTATTGCTTCAATATCAAAAAGCAATAGAAGAACTATTGGACAAGAACCGGGCCATATCCATAATAAGGCCCAGTGGACATCAGTCAAACACATGTACTCCACCGCCAAGATTGCACAGTATTGGTGATATCACCTTTTTTACGCTCAAGAGGTCGACACATTTGTGCTATGCAGGGTGGACGATGGGTGCAATCGGACATTCTCAATTAACGCTTATGCTCTCATTCTGTATCATATGCCCGGTAGCCTTGACATTGGCGAGGAATCAGCGTCGGCGGCAAGGAAAAGAGCTCCCTCGTAGAATTTTATTTAGCTTATGAGGAATAAACACATTCCAAGCACTTCACAGACGGTGTAGCATGGCCAACGGTCTACTAGGATCTATGGAAAAGTCCATGAGTCGCAAGGCCGCAACTCACAACCTTGACAACCCCGCTACTAACACCAAGAAAAAGACATGCACCAACAGCAAAAAGGAATGCAGAATCGACAACAGACATATCGCGATCGAACGAATTGCCAACGTAATGTGGGATGCTTTACTAAGAGCGAAGCGATTAGACACAGATAATAACGATGGGTTGTCAAAACACATCCACTCAAAGTACGCCTGCATTCCAGGGCTCGCGGAGGACCTAATACCCTTTCTCGCAAAGAAGTGTCACCAGGAATGGCAATCTCAAAGGGTTCATGCTGGATCCCAGCTTATGATCCCTATTCAAAAAACATCAACAATCATGGAATTCATGTATCGATGCGAGAAAACCAGTTTCATTCAACTGCCGTCTTCCGAACCAACAATAACTAGTACACAATTGGTCGCACGATGACTGCAAAACGATCTTACAGCATGGGTTTGCTGTTTTTCAGCAAGAACGGAAGGATCCTCACTCTGGCAGCGCTATGGGTGGAGTGCATCAATTCTCTCCCGCTTTTTTTTCTTTATGGTAGAGTATAAACCTATCTCTAATTTCTCCAATCTAAAGGATTGGCATTGCATTAAACTCTTAACTGGTGATAGTGCTCCGGAAGAGCATGAAGCACACCTGACAGAGGCCATGTCACGGATAGCACCATAGTATCGTGCATATGCCAGTTGATCTTAGAGGTATATCCGGCGTAGATCCTTGGGGAGAGTAATCTTTTGGCATTGGGGACACAGCTTTTTGCTGCCCAGTGTCTGCATCCAACATGCCTCGCAGTGCACATGCCAGCACACGATCGATGTCAACGGAGCCGTATACGGCTCCAGACAGATCAAACACGTCGGCACATTCTTGTTTGCAGACTCTAGATGCTTGATCTTGGATCTCAGGGCGTCGATTACCAGCTTAGTGTCCCCTGACGCGAATGCCGAGCTGATCATCGCGTTAATCCTGAATGCCTCGTCCTCTGCCTCGTCAACTTCCTCCAGATCGATCTCTTCGTCTTCATCAACTTGCTCCCCATCCACGCCTTTCGTATTTGCACTTTCATCCACTCCGGTCCATGTCCCTGAATTCGGCTGTTCCCTAGTGCTGCCCCCGCTACCGCTACTGTTGGCGGATAACGGTGGTGCTCTCTGTACAACATGACTCGACTCTAGTACGATCTCCCTCAGTTCATCCACATCCGAATCTGCATCGTTCATCACAACATCCCTTTCTGTGAACTGTACCCCTCCATACTCGTCCTCTTCATCGTCCTCCACATTCAAGTCATCGTCAATATCCTCCTGGACAGACCGGGATCCCGAGCCCAGCGATCCCATTCCGCCCTCAAACAAGGCTGTCGCCCGAACTCTTGTCTGACCTGCCCATGTGTACTCCTCGAACGAATCCGTCACTCTGCTAATAGGTGTTGTTGCGATGGAGCTCCTTCCCGATGCACCCCCAGAAACAGGCGTGTTAGCTCCTGAAGAATTTTGTCCGGTGCTACTTCCGTGCCGCGCTGGCTGTGGGTTCGTCAGGCAGGCGTCAATGTGTGCGTTGATGTCATCCAGGGATCCAAAAAGCCGCTCGTTGCAAATAAAACAAGTCGCTGGTGAATCATCGCCTGCGAGGGCATCACCAAGTGTTCCCGCAAGCCCTAGGCCAAGATCTGCAAGCCCTCGACCTGATCCTGCCGGGGCATTGTCCTTGTTGTTTTGTCGAGCAGTTCTTCGCTTCTGTATATCTCGCAGCATCTATTGATGTTGATTTTAGCAAGTGTTAGAGTGAAAGAAATCATAGATCCATTGAAATATGCGGAAGCAGCCTTTCTGTAAACATACATCGCGCTTTTCATTGTCAGATGCAGACCCACGACTCTTTCCTTTAGTGAATTGCTTTGAGGCTGCAATAGCCGCACCTCTCTTTCCTCGGGTGCTATTTGCACAAAATAGAAAAAAACATCATGCCAGATCAGTTTCACGTTGCGTTGCTCCTGCGAGAACCTGATCTCCATCAACTGCCCCGAAATATGCATGCTAAATACCTTTCATTTGATACGCAAGCCTCCAGTTGATCAAGCTCCATACGATAGTGCTGTTGATACTGACTTGGGGCCACAATCTCATGACATATTGGACATTTGACAGACGGATTGCGTTTCGAGCGCTTGACAGGCGTTGACGACGCGGGGGATGACGAAGGTCGACCTTTTGCTTGAGTTGTATCATCCTCTGCTTCAATAGTGATATACTCGTCCTGATTCCCTTCCTCTACATCCTCGGCCTCCTCGTAGCGGACTCTTTTCTCTGTATGGCGTGTCTCTGTATCTAGAAGCCGATCGGTGCGTGTGACCATGGTAGAGTCCATTTGATTCCTGATCGCCATGAGCTGGTGTCGAATTCGAGATCAGTCCCTTGCTTGAGTGTTTATGATGGTGTGGGTCTCCTTTATGATGGACTTCGTGAAAAAGGCTGATCGTTGCAAGGTTTGGTCTTGGTGCGGAGGCAAAATAAGATCTTGCACTTCAGATTGGGGACGGCCAAAAAATCTGCGGAATATCCTCTATCCTTCTCACCTCGCTCACTCAGCCCTTCATCACCTTGCCCTCCGACATCCCTCCCTCTTTACTCACATCTGCATGGACAGAATGTTGCCAAAACTCAGTATAACCACACAAGCAGGTCCGGCGATACTACATGGACGGATATCGTGTGCCATTTCCCATTCTCTACATACCTTTTTTTTCAATAAAACAGATGGCGTATCTTGTATAGCGGCTGTCAATGGATCTGGATGGATGGGCAAAGCACGCGGGTGCTGAACCTTGTCCGTTCTCAGCATGCAGAAGATCCTCAGGGGTAGTGGAACTATGTATCTCCACGCATGGTCGCCTTCAATCCCCCCCAGATCTGTGCATGCTGTCGCAACTATTTCTGGTAACCTTGATTGTTTCCACACATTTAATTTAAAGTAATTTATTACCTGTTGTATCCACGACCACGACACGACCACGAAGACGAACAAGGACACGAAAGAAGTCAACAACGGCCATGAACAATGTGTCGATGACCACTACACTATCCCCTGCTTGGTAGTCTAGTGATATCCATCCACCACAGCACTCCCTTGTACCCACACTCCTACGTTTTTTCTTTCCTCCACCACGGGGCTGCACACCAATAACAGGGGTAGTGTTGACTTTTAAGGCGGCGAATAATATATTAGGCTATTTCAAATGCGATGATGATCCACAGAAGTTTTTGATGGGTCCCCTTAGGATCCGTGGGGACTGGGGACAGCTCGCTGGGGGCGCCGTGACTATCCTGTAAATGGGGCGGTGTTAAGGTTCTAGGCAATGGAGCGTCTTGAATCCTTTCCTTCCTTCTCTTTTCTGCACATCCACGCAACGCCCTGCACCCTTTCCCTTTGCTTCCCTGACCCCTAAAACCTTTTTTGACTCGCCAGCTGATCGTCACTTCCGCACCGTGACACCCTGCCCTATTGTATTATCCGCTCAATTTCCTTCCTCTCAACCAGCTTCTCTTCGCTCCGCTTCCTATACTTCTTCTCGCCACCGACCGCCGACCACTGCGTCCACAGCACAGGAACCAACAGAAGGAGCAAGCGGAACACGGACGCCGCACTCACAATGGCACTCGAGAACCTCTCAGAGGTCCTCTGGTCCACCCCTGGCGGAAGAGGCATCTTTGGGCTCTTTGGCCACCATAACGACAACAACAGCCCAGCCAACGCAACGCTCGCTCCAATGCACACCTACTACAACAGCCCCACCTATAGTCTTTTCGGCGGCGATACAGTCGGCGACGGCAGTAACGGGAACGGAACCACACCTCACAACTTCGTGGTCGGCATCTCCATAGCGGTCGCGACATCGTTCATCCAATCGCTCGGTCTGACCATCCAACGCAAATCTCATGTCCTCAATGAGGCGATCCATCCCAAGGAACTACGTCGGCAAGCCTGTCAACGTCCGCTCTGGCACCTGGGCTTTCATACCTATATCCTTTCGAATCTCGCAGGAACTATCTTTTCAATTGGATATCTGCCTGTCATCATCTTGGCGCCTCTGGGAGCCGTAACGTTGGTCTTTAATGCCTTCTTTGCGCGTTTGCTCTTAGGCGACCGGTTCTCGCGACAGAGTGCAGCAGGTAAAAAAAATATACATATATATTCTCTCCTATATCAAATGACCCCAACTCCCCTCCTCTCTTCATTACTATACCGGTGTTGTCAATGGGACTTTGTCATGATGCCCGGAATTTGTGCTATTCCTCTCTGCACTTGCAAGGCAATACGCAACACCGGTATATTTTTTTTTCTTGGCGATGCTGCTGTCGGGTGCGGTCTAAATTTATCATCGTACGATATGTGAATCTGTACGTGAGTGAATCATGGTTTTGGACCGGCCTCCCCACTCCAGACTCTTGGTGGATGCATTCAGCCCCTGCAAGGCTTAAAATGCGCTGTTATTAGTTGTTACGAGTGGCGAAGAGGTTGACAGGATTGCGATTGACACTTGCACAGGACTCAATATGGACCACGGACCACGAATGATTCGTCTAGAGATTATCTATTCCTTTTCTTCATATGCAAAAAAAAAAAAAAAAAAAAAAAAAAGGCATGCATGGAGGAACGTGCAGCAATGACACATCGACGCTGACTTTACTCGTTACCCTTTCAACCTTGGCTGTGGACACTTCTTTTTTTTTTTTATAGGCACATTTTTGATTTTGTTGGGCGCCATTACGATCGGACTGTTTGGCATCGTGCCTGAGCCGAGCCATTCACTCGAGGACTTGATCCAACTCTGGAAGCGACCGGCGTTCATCGTATATTTCTCACTAATCGAATTCACACTCGTCAGTCTGCTGGTTGGAAACAGGATTGTGGAGCAGATTCTTCAGCGGAACGCCAAAGCCAACCTTGCAGCCAATAACCACCATCGTCTTCGCTCGGGATCCGCCGCCGTCAGCAGTGTGAACCCCAATCTGAGCAGTGTACATACGACATCGTACCTCAGCAAGCTGATCGGCGGCAGTAGATTGTTTGGCAAGCTGAGTCCGACGAAGATCAAGACCATGCTCGGGATCTCCTATGGCTGTGTGAGTGGCATGCTCTCAAGTCAGGCCCTACTCTTTGCAAAGAGTGCCATCGAGCTGTTGATGCTGACTATCCTGGAGGGAAAGAATCAGTTCGAGAACCCGTTGAGTTGGTTCCTGGTCATTGCTCTGATCTCAGCAGCACTTCTTCAGGTATGGATCGATTTTTTTAGGAACTTTTTATATAACGGAGATAACGGAGACAAAAAAAAAAACTCTGGCGTGATCAAGGATATTGCTTTACTTTTTTTTTTTTGTACGCAGGCAGAAACTATCCAGAGAACGTTAATTGATTGCTCACAACCACCCAACTTTCCATCCTATATTCTTATTTTAATTACAGTTGTATTACCTGAACAAGGGCCTCCGACTCTGTGACACCGTGTTGTTGGTGCCGCTCTCGTTCTGCGCCTATAATGTCTCGTGTCTCTTCAACGGGCTCGTTTACTACAACCAATGGGGTCGACTCTACTGGTGGCAAATCCTGTTGGTCCTCTTTGGCATCAGCCAGGTCCTCATCGGGGTCTTGGTTCTGGCCTGGCGACCTACCTCCGGCGAAGAGTATGGCGAGGAGGTCAATGAAGATGACGAGGCTACATTGTTGCTGCCGAATTCCTCGCGTCCAACCACACCAAGGCACAGCAGGGTCTTCTCCTTCAAGGGTGTCTCTGGCGAAGGTGGCGGAGGTCATTTGCAGCAGAATCCATCGATGGATGCGCGGAGCCTTATCCAAGGATTCGAGATGTACGATAGCGATGAGGAGGATGAATCTAGATGCAACTCACAGCAGGATCTCCCACAGACACAACATCAGCAGGACCAGCAGGACCAACGTCTCATCACTCTTGCTTCAGAAGAGAACCAAGGTGAAGAATACCCGTCGTTAGTCCAAACGCCAAAAACACTGACCTTCGCACCAACCAACCGGGGGTCAAAATGATCCAAAATAAAAATAGAGGTCAACGTGTTCTTTCGCTCATCTCTCGCTTGCGTTTATGCTCGTGTACGATTATTCTTTCTAAAGCTTGGAATATCGAAGTAAATCCACAATCGGATATGGCGCTCGACTTAGCTCCAATCCTGCCTTGAATCTAACCGCATCCTTCACAACCTCAGTTCCTTCCCTCAATGTGAGTTCGTCTCCTTCCTTTTCCTCGCCTGATGGAGGCAGATTGAGCGATCGAATGTGAACGGACACCTTCTTGATTTGTGGGCTACCCGGTAAGACCCAGCGCTGGAAGAATATGCGGGTCATGTCCAGCGTGATATTCTCGATCTCCTTGACATCTTCCTGGGTCTCCTCAAAGTCATAGTATCCCGAGGTGATCTGGTCCCAATATCTAGTGGTCTCCTGCTTCAAATTCTTGTCCTTCTCCAGTTTTTTCTTGATCAGAGATTGGACTTGTTTCCGGTAGGCCGCCTCGGTCATAGTCTCCAGCAGCGTCGCTAACCTAATTGTCAAAAAGCTCTCGATCCGATTCTCCACGTGGACGGGATCTCTCTCCGATTGCACCGAGATCCTGATCCCGTGAGTCCCACCAGGACAGTGAATGCCGCTCTGAACAATGTAGCCCAGCTGCTCGATCGTCCGTAGTTGGCTGAAGCACGGCTCCTGGATGATTTGGGCCAGAATCTGAACCACAGCTCGCTCTGTTCTCCGAGCTAGCTCTGGTCTGGAAGCAGGTATTTCGATCTGAACATAGTAATCAACGCCCGAATTGAGATTTTTGGGGTCCATGGAATCGCGTTCATAAACTGCCCGACATCCCTCGGGTACCGTCAGGGATCGCAAAGAGATGAGTTCCGATGGCACAAGCGGCCTCGGTGCAAGTCCGTTCTCGACAATCTCGGCGATCGAAAGCGCTTGGGCTTGATCTATGTTTCCATGTACCAGTCCCTCGATATGAAGACGATCTAGCATCTCTGGGTAGAACTGCTGCAAGCTCTCGGGCGTGATCGGTTCTAGCTCGTCCAGTCTCTCCAAGTACGTCCACATTTTCTCTTGGTGAAGATATCGCATGTAGTATTTTGCAAGGACATTGGGGTTGCTGAGATTGGAGTTTCGGAGGTTCCGCTCCATCTGCTCCTTGAGTCGCCAGAACGGGCCCGAATCGATCGTCAGGGTCTTCATGGTGCGGATGATTTTTTGAAGCAGAAGATGGGCCTTGTCGTTGTAGCCCTCAACTTTGAGGACGACTCCATCTATGGTGCAACTGAGGGAATAGTAAAGTCCCGCCTGTTCAGCATTGTACGCTTCCTCGTTAAGCGCATCCTTAACTAGCTCGACATAGAGCATGGATCTTGCTTGGTGGCTCGGTGACATCGTCATCATGGGTGATCTCAAAAGAAAGCAGAGATGGGCCCTGGGAATCCAGAAGACATCGTCCTTCTTGTGCCAGAGTCGAGCCAGAGGCGTGTGCTTGACCAGGACCGGATGACTGAGCGGGCTTGGCGTCGGTACCTTTCCTGTCTCAAAGTTCTTTGGGATATATTCGTTCGGGACAGGGAAGTGTAGTTCTGGATGGGGTTCGAGCTGCTCCAGCCTTTTTAAAAGTGATGGGGAGACGTTCGCGACATGATATTCTACACCATACCATCGCTCTGTCTCTGTAAACGCTTCCCCGGGTACAACAGTCGGGTCCTGGCTGACAACCTGCCCACACCATCTGTCCACCCGCAGTTCGTTGATATAGTCCATCACGAGATTGGGGTCATTGCCACGTACCAACTCTGATCCAGAGAGAATCCACTCAGGAGCATAGCCCTTCTGCATCTCTTTAGTTGTCCCAGTCACATATGCGGCAGCAGGTGTCATTTCCTTGAATCGGAACCCTATGCTCGCCAGCGACACAATCTATTAAAAAAAAAAAAAAAAAAAAAAAAAGCTAAACGACTATCATCTTGGCTCAAGAGGTCACTTACTTTCATGTTTTGTGCCAGCAAATTCATACCTCATCCCAGATGTAGGGCTTTACGCCTTCCTGTCGAAGGAGTTGAATATACTGAAAGACGATGACAGCTACGTCCTCGTGGTGATGCAGACCTTCCCTGGACAGATCAATCGTAACCTTAAAGAACTCGAAGCCAATCCCTCCAGGGTAGCTGCCAGCTGACAAGCTGTTCGCCCATCCCTTTCTCTTCAAGAGCGAAAGAATGGATCCGGCGCCCTCGTGGCCGATGAGATGGCTGATGTAGCGAGTCGGTTGGACAGTATAGTGCCGCGTCGCATCCGGAAAAAGGAACTTGATTTCCAAGGACCTGGTATCTTTCACCGGCTTGACATAGACCGTCGTCTGATCAAGGAAAGAACATAACAAGGATGTTATTAATGGAGCAAGGAAAAGACTTTCTCAAAAGCCATGGTGTAGTTGAGTTGGGTAAACGTTACCAAGAATTCCTTTGATGTCAAGGGCGGGTTGGAGTAGGCGGGAGGTAGGATGTCAAGGTTTTTTACATCCGAGAATTTGTCGACAGCCCATACAGCAAGCTGGTCCAGCGATTCTAAAAAAGATCTACGTTAACTTGGTCTGCATTATCACATTTACCTTTGCACGCCTTAATTAAAACAGCTGTCGCTACCCTACCACGTCCAAGAATGACCAGCTTCATGATGTTGGCAGAGTAGTATTTGTGATAAAACTTGATCAGCTCATCTCTGCTATCGATTCCCTCGTCCTTGGGACCTTCCTCTAGAGTCAACAGGTTGCCTGTTCCAAAATGCCAGTAAGGGTGATCGCGACTTGAGAGATGTTTGCCAATTTGAAAGAGTCGTCGCTGGTCCAATTGTAGGTTTCGCTTGAATTCAGAGTCCACTGCACGGATCTCCCGTTCCTTGCAACTCTCGTTGAACAATGGAGATATGAAGAACTGGGAGAATCTATTTGCATGAAAACCACATGGGATAAGCTTAGTCATCTGCCCTTGCTCCAACCAGGCATATAAACGAGGTGCCGTTTGTGCAATACCTATCGAGTGCGCCCTCAAGATATTCGTGGCCAACCTCAAAGTGATAGTTTGTATGGTCCAGAGAAGTGGATGCATTGGATTTTCCGGCGTGGAGCGACAAGAACTCCTTGTATTCGTTTTCACGCGGATATTTTGTAGTTCCAAGAAAGAGTAGGTGCTCCAAGAAATGAGCTAGGCCTTGAAGATTGTCCTATTTATCATAGCCATCCCACAGTAGGGCACATTACGCAGGGAGCAGGAAGATTGAAGGAACTAGGGTGTTAACAGAATATATAAAGAGAAGCAATTGAGTGGCGAAGGGCGCTGAAGGCGACACTTACAGGGTCGCTCAGATGTCCGACATGTACATCCAATCCAGCTGCAGACTTGTCAGCCTTTGGATCATGGATCAAGAGCACCTCGAGCTCATTATTTAGTCGAAGAAGGCGGTAACTGCGCTCATCATTGGGAGATGACTCGATAGTCTTTGTTAAGACAGCATGGGTGCCATCCTTGGAAGGCTCGAACCCTTCAGAAAGGGCTATTCCATTTGCCACCATCTTATAAGCTAGTATAAGCCATGAAGCGTATCAAACATCCTGTTAGGCGTGCTGTAACGCGTAGTAGTAGCTCAAGCACTAAAACTTCATTCGGATCACTCATTGAAGGTAGGTCATTCATTCGTTTGGACGATGTGATGCAATGGTAGTTACCTTTCTAAGGGTGGCGAGTGACGAAAAGAGCAGAAGACCAGTATCGGCCTCGCACCGTGAACTTTGTATATGTATTTTTTGTCAGATAAATGACCACAGCACATTGAAACGAATCACATAGTCCAGTTCAATGTTCATTTTCTTTTTATTTCAAGCGAGTTGCATAATATACAAGTTGTTGTAGTGTACATAATACTAATAGTTTGTGGAGAGGAAGTAGTGAATGGCATTGATGACTTTAAGCAATGGTCGACTGCCAATTGCGGGCGCGCTCAAATCCATTCTGACCATACTGGTAGTCCATAAAGGTCTTGTAGATCTCCTCCTGAGAGTTCATCACAAATGGACCGTGCTGGACAATGGGCTCCTTCAACGGCTCGCCCGCGATCACCACAAAGTGTGCGTCCTCGCCCTTGGTCTTGATCTTGATCTTCTCGGCACCATCCTCTGAGAACGTAAGAGTATGGTGTGCCTTGCCCTCAAATTCCTTATCACCAATGAACGCTGTACCCTTGAGCATGTAGATAAATCCGGTGTAGCTGGCAGGGATCGACTGCTCGACCGTCTTGTTCTTGTCCATCTTGAAGTCCAGATACATGGTGGGTGTGCGAGTGTAAACCTTGCTCTCTACGCCATGCGATTCGCCCGCAATGACCTTGATGGTGACACCCTCCTCAGGTGTAGCGCGAGGGATCTCCTTGTCGAGTAGTTCCTGATATTGGGGCTCGCACATCTTGTGCTCCTTGGGCAAGTTAATCCAGAGCTGCAGACCGTGGGCACGGGTCTGAGACTTGACTGGCATCTCCGAGTGAACAATACCGCGTCCAGCGGTCATCCACTGCAGGTCACCAGGTCCGATGGTTCCCTTGTGTCCTGCAAAGTCCTCGTGCTGGAACTGACCCTCGAGCATGTAGGTCACGGTCTCGAAGCCGCGGTGAGGATGGTCAGGGAAACCACCGTTCTTGTCGACATTGAACTCGTCGAGCATGAGGAAGGGGTCGTGATTGCGAAGTTCGGGACGACCAATGGATCGGCGGACTCGTGCACCGACACCCTCGCCTTGTTCACGAGAGAGGACAGACTTGACAATGGATCTTGAAGTTCTGGCGAGAGTTGAAGCCATAGTAGAACTGGTTTGTTGTGGGATGTGTGTGAAAGTGCTTGTAGGGATGAAGTGTCTGAGTAACAGAGTGAAGTGCTGTGTATCGATGTTAATGTCGATGTCGATCTGAGAAAACTGGTTGCTTTTTTGATGAGAAAAGTTGGTGTCGGTCAAACTGTGGGGTCTCTTTATACTTTTTTTTTTCCTTCGAACAAACTTTCTGACCAATTGGCTTCTGTAAGCAGCCCCACAAACCGAATTTCTCTTTCTCGTAAGCTGGGCCAAGCCACAGCTTGCGCTTATCAATTCGCAATCCATTTAAGCATTGCTTTCCTTTTTTGGATTCAGAACGGAAACCAGTTGCTTCTGCAGGTCACAGATCGATATTATGTACGTGTCAGCATGCTCCTTACCTGACAAATCTATCGGCTGCCAGAACTTTTGGCACCACCCCTGAGTGTATAGGCGCTGCTTATGTTCTAGCAAATACTACAAGGGAGGAGAAAGCTGTAGTCAATCTAGGTTTAGGTCCCGCGTCGCGTCGGGCACCTACATCACGGGCAATACTCATCGCTGTCGCCGCGAACACGGGCAGCTGGTACGTGAAAGAACACTTTTATTATATACATGGCTGTCTTAAAGGCATCGCATTCTATGGGTGTGCTGGTGATCAAAATATCTATTCATCGTCGTCGTCGTCCTCCTCCAAGGGCTCGTCATCTTCAATATCGCGACGGAGGAGCGACTGGATCAGGGGCAAGTATGGATGGGGCTGGCCAACTGGGTTCTGTTTCTTAACCTGCTCAAAATACTTCTCGTACACGTTTCCGTCGTACGCGCCCAAAGGAGAGTTGATCATGTAATCCGAGTAATTGAATGAATCGATCAATGGGATGTACTCCTGGCGAACATCGCGGCAGAGAACATTAACTTGGCTACGAACATAGTCCATCTGCGAGGGAGTGAAGTAGCGGTACTGCAAGAAGAAGCCAGAGTTCTGCTCGATCGAATAGAGACCGTAAAGGAGGCAGACCTTGGTGAGAACGGGGCGAAGTCCCTCGGGAGCATTCCTGACAGCCTGGGCAAAGCGACGGAAGACATAGCCGAAAGAGTGAATTTTTGCAGCAGCGAGACGCGCCTGAGAGCATTCCTCGTACGCTGCCTCGGGGTTCATGCCTTGCTTGAGAGAGGTCTCAAAGTCATCTCCAGCCTTCTTGACAACATTAGCAGTAACGACACCCCAAGCCTCCTGAATAACGCCAAAGTCCAGGATTTCATCGTGGGTCTTGACAGCGCATCCTTGAGTGAGAAGGGTATCGAGATGGTTGAGGTACTCGACTCCCTCGGGCTGAGACTTGCCACTAAGCGCTTCACGGTAACAGTTGACTAGGTAGCGTCCCGACTGAAGTGTCAAGATAGTGTTGTCTCCTTCCCAGGTGCAGTGAACTGCAAAGTCGTTGTAGGTCGTAGCAAGGCCGGTGTAGGAGGAGTATCCGTGACCGCCGAGGGTCTGACGACAAGCCTCAATGGCGTTCAAAGTCGCCCAGGTGCAGAAGGCCTTTAGGCCAGCAGAGGTGGCATGGGTCTCCTTGAGAGTATCGATCACCTCACCCATGGAGGCATCGCCAGGCTGGGTCGATTCCAGCTTGTCCATAAGCTCTTCGTACAGTTTGTTGGTCTCGACACCCGTGAAATGGAAGGCAAAAGCCTGAGCCAGGAGAGGCATGAGGCGGTACTGGTGGATGGCATAGTCGATCAGCTTGGTCTCCTGCACATCGTGAGGATTGGAAGAGAACTGGCGACGGACAGCAGCGTAGCGACCGGCGATGGTGACAGCTTTCTTGGCGATGTTGCCCGAGTCGACAACCATGGCAACACGACCTTGGATCAAGGCACCGTAAGTGAGCTGGGCCATAGGGGGTTCCTTAACCTCACCAGCGCGTGACACCTTGGTGTGCTTCATCAGCATGTTGGTACGAGGGATGCGAACGTTCGTGAACTGGATCCAGCCGTTATCGATACCATCGCGACCCATCTTCTTTCCGATATCGCCAATGTTGACGCCGGGCATCAGCATATAAGTGTGGGTATCACGGAGTTGAACCACAAAGGACTTTGTTCCGTAACGCTTACCACGCACGATCAGTTGTGCAAAGACGACGCAGTGGGTGGCCGTGTGAGCGGCACCTCCGATCCACCATTTGGTCGCGGTGATGGTGGGAGTATGGATAATGAATTGATCGGACGTCTCGTCGAACGTGGCGGTAGTCTCAAGTCCAGCGACGTTGGAGCCGTGGCCCAACTCAGTCATGGCAAAGCATCCAACCATACCATTCAGGGCCAGGGCACCCTTGGAGACCCAGTGCGAGAACTGAGCTGAGGTAGCAGAGCCGCGGAGGGCACCGAAGAACAGACCGTAGTGGACACCAAAACGGGTCCAGAAGCCGGGATCGATCAAAGAGATGGTCTGCATGCGCATGGTAAAGATTGGGACGGGTTCTGCAGAAACGTAGTGCACAATCGTGCGGAACTGTAAAAAAGAATGAGGGGGATTAAAGGATGAACTATGAACACTTTAACGGAGGCACATGCGGCATAGCGGTTCCATACCTTCTCCATTGTGCGTTCTCTGATCTGATCTTTGGTAACATCGTACATATCGTACATGCGGAAGGTGGGATCACGTTCGAGTTCCATCATGAACTTTTCTCGGACCTGATAGGAAGGTGTTGAGGTAATTGTTGAGCATGGTCAATGGTCGATTACATCTGCAGACAGTGGGGTTTCTCTAACGGCTCATCCGACGCGTACCTTGGTGAACTTTTCACCTCCATCCAAATAATAGGTCAACTCTCTGACATTGAACGTAGCCTTTTGTCTCTCCTCAGCCATAGACTCGATTGGACTACGAATTGGAGAAAAGGAAATTAGTATCAATATACTCGTTCGCGTGCATGACAATGGGTTAGACAACAAGCAGAAGTACAAGAACATACGTTTTTATCCTTGACTCCTCCTCAGCGGCACAAGGAGCGACCTGCAGGTGATTTTGGACATGGCTAAGGCGTTGTGAAAGGATGGACTCGGACATTATGTTTTCTTTGGGATATGACAGTGAAAGAAAGAAAGAGAGGAAGCAACTTTAAGGTGAATGAGATTTCAAAGATGCAGGGACGAAGAGGAATGGAGTGAGAAAGGAATGAGGAACGGAGAAAGACGAGAAAAGGGTCGAGTGGGCATATTTATATATGGCGATGAGGATGGAGTGTGCTTTTCGGCTGCATTGCATTGGATATCCAGCACTGACCCTCATGTGCTGGCTGGCTCGTTCCTGGGCAGAAGAAAGTGTTTACTTTAACGGATTGAGTGAGCCAAGCACAATGGACACAAGCCATTTTATGTCTTGCGGTACGGATCCCCTGGATTTCTTCTTCGTCACCTGTCAGGCGAACCAACGAACCGTTGGGGATGCTAGTCTGGTCTATGAGGCTGCCTGCCAAGGCCGGGCACAGACAAAGAGAGCAACTTTGCAGTTTGTGTCTTTCTGGTTTTTTTTTTTTGGCTCTCTTGCTCTCCAAAATTAGAGTTTGTCTTTCCTCGCGTGGCCCCTCCACACGGCACCCCTACCGAAACGCGTTCTTCGGGCAGTCCGCCCATCCCCAACATGGACTGATATCACCACTGCGAAGATATCAAAAAGGCCGTATTGCCTCCAGACTGTCTGTCATTACTGTTATTTTGCTGTGCTTCCGCGTCGATTCGATTCGATTTCAGCTGGTCCATGCCTAAGACCCAACCGCGACTGAAAGTGTCTCGCTCTTATTATACATTCCAGTCTCGCACCTTCCTCTTCCTCTGTAGATACCTCACATTCCTCTCGGTCGAGTCGGCCCTCCTCCCTTTCTCCTCGCTCAAAGCCCGCCTCACCTCATCTTCCCTCCAACTTTGCTGAACCCTCGGTGCAGTGTCCGTATTCTTGTCACACGCGTAAATACCACCCCCACATATCCCTGCTGTCTTATTCGCTTGCATATTTGCCGCAATGGCATCAGCTGTAACCTCAACTCTCGCCTCCGCCACCTTTGTCACATCAGAACCAACAGCGACTCAGGTTGCATACCCACCCAACATCAACCATGTACGTGTCTATGCTTCTTTGCGACCAAATCAGGAGACCTGCAATTGCTCCAACAATGAACTGAAAAATGAAAAAAAAAAAAAAAAAAAAACGGCAAATTAGGCGGCTGCATACATCTCTGGGAGAGTATTGACCATCGGGGGACTGACTCTGCTGTTCATCGGCCTATGTAAGTGTTGACAAGCATCAGTATACAGAGTCATTTTACTTTCCCCACTGAAAGAGACGCCCTCGCTGAGTGTTTTGTCCCTGTGTTCCGCCTGCATAGGCTGTATTGCGGTTACAATCTTAAGATTTTCGGAACAGGAACAGCATCCGGCGCAGGCCGTCGACCAGGAGAAAGCGCTCGTCTTGGACCAGAGTACTGTCAACAGCACCTTTCCAATCCGCGTCTATCCCTCGAACCAGCATCTCTTTCTTGATAACGACGCCATGCTGGTTGTTACGACAACTACTGTATCGCAAGAAGAGTTGACGGATCAATCGCGGCAACAAGAGAATGGCCCAGCACAGGGAAGTGAAAAGCAGATGCTTCATCCAACAGTTCAACATGCGTTCATGGACCTAGGTCGCCTAGGGCGATTATGGAATCGAGACTCCTCGCGCTTCTCGTCTGTCTGCAATTCTCCCAGTCCTAGTCAGGCGGCTCGAATGCCATCATTTACAACGACGATGATGCAGAGTACGCCAGTTCTATTATCGGCATCCTTTGCTGTGCCAATTCAGCCAGACACCCATGAGTCACCGGATCAAGTATCCACAGCTGAGGAGCTATGCTCGATCTGTCTCGGCGAATATGCAATCGATGACCGAATTCGGGTGCTTCCTTGTGGCCATGAATACCACGCAGGATGCATCGGTAAGTCTAAACACTAATGATTCGGCATTCTTGAAGGATAAGCCTGTTAATATGTTGAACTTGTTCACTGCATTCACTAACTCTCTGCTATACGTTCTCCTTTTATTCTAGACATTTGGCTTTGCCGCAAGTCGACGCAGTGCCCGCTATGCAAACACGATCTCCTGAACGACATTTCATCGTCCACTCCAGCACAGGTTCATTTTCTGGAGACGCCTTTTCCTTAAGATCTACCTTACACATGGGTTTCAGGGCAATTTTTCTTCCATCTCAATGTAGTATATCGTGTATCTAGGTAACACTTTCGACGAAACAACTGTATAATCATACCATTTCAAACTGAACTGGCACTCTATGGAAATAATGATTATGTTGTCGAGGATGCTGGCCGCTAGCCCTGTTTAGCCATATGGTAGAAAAAGTAATGGAAGGCGTCTCCGAGAGTCGAGATCTGAACAGTCCAGCAAGGCCGCTCCAGATGCCTTTTCCTGAAATGAGGTTGTCCAAATGTGATGTAGAGGAATTGCCCACCGACTTTGAGGACCCGCACGACCTCATCCACTTCCTGAGCTACAGTCCTGATAAGTTCCTCGTCTGGGTTCCAGACATCTCCTCGATCGCACATCAGAGCGTCCATGGTGCCCTTATCGATCGCAACATCAAAGCTGCCGCCCTCAAATTTAAGATCCTTGATATCCATTTCAATCCCTATTGTAGATATATTCGTAAATGTGTTTGTCAATGTCGGGTTGGTCTTTCAGTTGCTTTCCGATATATATTTAAGCGATAATGTGGCATTCTTACACTCCATGCCAACTCGGTCCTTGCACTTTTGAGTCATGTTCTCGATAACAGTTTTTGAGAAATCGATGTTGACAATGTTATGGTACCCGTCATCGTACATGTCCTCGGAAAGCGCTGGAATGGATAGAACATATGCAAAGGGAAAGGTGAATTGTTTTGTTGCTACAAAAGTCCAGATGATGAATATTGAAGAATGCGGTTATGAGCAGCCGAACGTACTAGAGTTCCCGCAGCCAAGCATCAATATCCTTGCATCCTTGGATTTTATATGCTCGTTCAGCAGAGGCTTCAGATCTGAATAGGTCTTGAACCAGTCGAATGACTCTTCCTTGGCATATCGTTCCTCCCTATCAAGACCAAGCACATCCAGTATCAATTGCTGAGCCAGATTCCCTCTGTTCAGGCTGAAAGTTCCTTTACAGAGTATCCTGTTACCAGTATTCCTGTCTCTTGTACGCTGTTGGGTCTGCGGGTACTTCGACATGGACCATAGTTGTTGAATGAGTTGTCGCTGCTGGGGTGCGTTGAATCACTTTGGGTTGATCTCTTGCAGAGTTTTAAATTCAATTTGTAGCCCATACGATTGTGACCAAGGGCTGAGTGCTTATACTCTAAACTCACCAAGCAGATCACTTTCAACTCACACCTTCATCACTCTCGCGCAGACGAAACCAAGAACAAGCACTTCCCAACAGCGTCATCACTCACAACAGTAGGGCTATGTCGTCAACACAGGATTACCTCAAAAAGTACATGTCCAAACCAGCATCCCTGGAGGATCACAAGAAACGAAAGATAAAGAAGAAAAAGGCAACGACCACTAAGACCACGATCAAGAAGGGCAACTTTGCGATCCACGACGAAGACGAAGTCTCATGGAACAACGTTGCATCCGAATCCGACGATGACAGTGAGTTTAACTGGAGATCTTTGAGGTCGGCTTGTGCATCAGCTCCACTCTTCCCTTTCGGATTAACCAACATACCCTAACTCTAACTTGAATTCGATCATGAACGAACGATAGTGCCTATCGTCGAGCAACCCACAGCACCAAAGTATAAGTCCAGTTCGAGCAGCTGGGAGAAGATTCGCGAAGGCGAGCCGGAGCCGTCCCGTGAAGCAGTGCTCAAACGAAACGTCGTGCCTGAGTGGGATGATGTCGAAAACGAAGACGAGCGGCCAGCGATCGCCGGCGTTGGTAAGGCCGCAAGATCCCTTGTCTAGGATGTAAATTTGTTGGATGCGTCGTTGTGAATTTGGATCGTATCTAACGTTTATAATCCTGCTACTACCTTTCCTCGCAGTTGTGGAAACAGTATCGTCGGAACGTCCGAAAAAACCTGCCAAGAAGACCTGGAAGGAACCAACAAAGACTAGCAACGCGCGGGAACTTTCGCCAGATGGATCTCCATACAATGGCAGGAGGAGATCGTCATCGCCATTACGGGGACGATCGCCGGAAGCGCAAAGAGGATTAAGACAGTACTCCCGATCACTCTCAAGATCGAGATCACCCGTTCAGCACAAGAGACAGCGTTCGCGATCACGCTCATTGTCACCATATTCCAGGAGATCGGATTCAAGTCCACGACGCAGATCAAGATCGCGGTCTCTTGAGCGCATGAGTTCAGGAGCTGCAGTGGGGCTGCAAACAGCAGCAAGCGTCAAGCGGGACATGGATAAGAGACAAAAGAACCATATGGATAAAATGCGTGCATTGGATCCATCAAAGAGTGGTCGCGACTCGGAGACGGTGTACCGTGATGCTCAAGGTGCGTCGAAGAACTAGACATTCGTTGTCGAAACTAATGATGCTATTTTATGTATTCGTCGCTAACGAAGAATCCCGCTCGTTTTTTTCATGGCAATAGGCAGAAAAATCGATCGGGTCCAGGAAAAGATTGAAAAGGCCGAGGCAGCACGGCGCGAGATTGAAAAACAGGAACGCCATATGGAGTGGGGCAAAGGCCTTGTTCAGCGAGAAGCCGAGGAAGATAGGAAAAAGAGGGAAGCGGAGGAGAAATTCAAACCCATGGCACGATACAGGGACGATGAGGAGCTCAACGAAGAACTCAAGGAGCGGGAACGGTGGAACGACCCGGCAGCGATGTTTCTTACTGGCACAAAGAAAAGCAAAAGGGCAGTCCGCAAGTATCCCCTCTACCAAGGAAACGTCCCACCTAACCGCTTCGGCATCAGACCTGGTTACCGGTGGGATGGCGTCGATCGCTCCAACGGATTTGAGAAGGCCTACTTTGAGGTAAAACTGGCGATCTGTGCTTAATGAGTGATATACGACTCTGTACACTCAGTCCAAGGGGATTGCACCAACGCTAACATTGCTTTCCATCTGAACACTCTGCTTTCACTACTATCTAGCGCATCAATACTCGAAAGAACAACGCAATGGAAGCACACATGTGGAGTGTAGAGGACATGTAATCTAGTCGCATAAAAATCTAAGTTTTATTGCTTCTTGGCCTTTACTTTCACTTGAAGATTGAGCATGACTCTCCTCTGCAATGCCTTGCCAATTTTTTGCCTTGCATTTAGCGTGAGATCTTTGATCGCGGAGCCATTGGTGCCCACAATTATTTTCTATGCGATTAGAAAGATCAATCAATTAGTAGTTAGTATGCGTCAAAAAGTTCACCAGCCAAAACCATTGCGGATCGAATTATTTATGTTACCTTCAAGCCCGGTCGGTCAACCACTAAATATTGGTCGATTCTCAATACATTATCTTCGAGTTCTGTCCATCCAACATTGACTTGTTTGACATTATAAGGCACCTTAAGCAATTCATACAGCTCCGACCGAATCATATCCTCAACTCGGCTCAAATCAGCCTGATCTGTCTTTTGATCTGCAGGATAGAGCCACGGTCCTGGCCGTGTGAGTGACAGGAGATGTGATCGAAGTTCCTGGATGCCAACCTTGGGTGTCTGCGCGCTGGTGTATATGGTCTTGACAAAGTTAGGGTATTGTTGACTATACTCCTGTACAAAATTCTGCAATCTCTCATCCCTTCCTTTGACTAGATCCATCTATTGAAAAGATAATTGATAAGCAATGAGAAATTGAACAGCGGTAAAAAGGACAATTAAAAATATTGGATCAAACGACATTGACAATTACCTTGTTGTAGATAATAGTCGCTGGTGGCTTCCTTTCCAACTTTTCGAGTCGCTGAAAGATATATTTCTCTGTGATCAGGGTGTGATCCAGCAGTTTGTTGCAATCCATGACCACCAGTAAATGGTCGGCGTCTTCAATGGCCTTCCAAGAAGCCGTGACCAACTCACGATTCAACCTTGACACATTCTTCTCAGGAACAACACCTGGGGTGTCATATAACACGATCTGCTTATTCTGATGTGTCAGCACAGCCTTGATCCGCTCCCTTGTTGTGTGTGCTCGAATAGAGACAATGGAAACAGTGCTCTGGACAAGATCATTCACAATCGTCGATTTTCCTGCGTTAGGTGATCCAATGATGGCAATCTTGACAATTTCTGCGTCCTCTGGCTGAGAGAAATCCCGAATAACGTTGGGAAGTCGGACCGTCATGTCTGCAGGACTGGCAAAGATTGGCATAGTACGATCCGGCTTATGGTCCTGTAGATCGGAAGATTTCTCATTCTCTGCGGATACTTTGATGGCTGGCGAAGAACTTGTTGGATCGGATGTTGGCTCTGAGGTGTTTATTGATCCTGCGAGAGCCTGGCGTTCCGTGATATCCCGTAGCTTCTTTTTCTTGTCGTAGAGTGTCTGCTTCAAGAGCTCAAGCGTCTTTGGTGTTGCTGGGATGCCCTCATGATGACTGCTTTTGCTCGGCTTGGTGGCGAGGAATCGCACTGCAGGGTATTGGGCTGGGGCTGAGCTTGAGCAAACAGGTGATGATGTGGCAAGTCTGAGGTTCAGCGGCCGTGCCGACCTGATAAGGGACGTCGCGCGATTCATAGGAAAGCAATGAATGAAAGCGTGGAGGCGAAAGAAGTGTTCGTTGTTTAGTTTGTTGAGAGTCTCTGACCCTTTGGTGTGAGAAATTATGTCCCTGAGTGGCTGGTATGTTGTTTGATTTGCCCTGCATCCCAAACCTTGTTCCTGGAGTAAAAGAAAAAAAAGCACTCGGTCCACTTCGTTCTCTTGCTCCGTTCCTACTTGCTCCACTCCCTCCCATTACCTTCACTCAACCCGCCATCATTCAGCCTCTTCAGCCAGTCTCGCGCATAATGAAATCCGCCTTGAAGTGGGATGTCCTCGCCAAGTGCAGCACCACCAAGGCCAGGGCTGCGGTCCTCACCTTGCCACACGGTCCTGTCAACGCCCCAGTCTTCATGCCTGTTGGGACACAGGGCACTCTCAAGGGCATCACTCCTGAACAAGTCGAGGGACTCGGATGTCAAATCATGCTCAACAATACTTACCATCTCGTAAGTAGTCTTTTTTCTATAAAAGACTGTGTTCCCCTTGTTAATCGTCCCACTGACTGCTTAATCCACTCGTGAACACCTTTTACAGGGTCTTCGTCCTGGTCAGGAACTACTGGATGCATGTGGAGGCGCACACGTTTTTCAAGGCTGGAACCGCAACCTCTTGACAGATAGTGGTGGATTTCAGATGGTGTCACTATTGAAGTTAGCCGAGATCACAGAGCAGGGAGTCCAGTTCGAGTCGCCCCACGACGGATCGTTGATGCTACTCACCCCAGAACACTCCATGTCTCTTCAAAATTCGATCGGAGCCGATATCATGATGCAATTGGACGACGTTGTCTCCTCTTTAACTACTGGACCCCGCGTAGAAGAGGCAATGTGGCGATCAATTCGCTGGTATGTTGTTGGTTTTTTTTTTTTTTTTTTTTTTTTTTTTTTTTTTTTTTTTTTTTTTTTTCGCTCGGATATTGCACGCCTATTGGGGTACATTCAAGCAGCTCTGTCTTCCCCTTCGCCGTTTAACGTACGATTTGCATCTCAATTTGAAATTTACAGGTTGGATAGATGCATCAAGGCACACAAGAAGCCAGAGACACAGAACTTGTTTGCGATCATTCAGGGAGGACTGGATCCAGAGCTGAGGAAGAAGTGTATTGACGAGATGGTTAAGCGGGACACGCCGGGATACGCAATTGGAGGATTGAGTGGAGGAGAAGAGAAGGACAAGTTTTGGAGAGTTGTTACGCTGTGCACGGATCTGATGCCCAGGACCAAGCCTATATACTGCATGGGAGTCGGGTACGTTCTCAAAATTGGTTGCGCTTCATGGATGAAGATCGATCTGACATATGCAGGACCATTATCGCTAACAGTTCCTGACTTTCTTTTCCGCTAGGTACGCGGAGGATCTGGTGGTGTGTGTGGCATTGGGCGTCGACATGTTTGACTGCGTCTTCCCGACGAGAACAGCGCGCTTTGGAAACGCACTGACTTCGACAGGAACACTGAGCTTGCGCCAGGCAAAGTTCAAGGATGACTTTAGACCGATCGAAGAAGGATGCGACTGCATTGCCTGCAAATCATACACTCGCGCATACCTGTACACGGTGGTGACCAAGGAAACGGTGGGATGCCACTTGATTTCGATCCACAACACCGCATACCAATTGCGACTCATGAGACAGATACGCGAGAGCATTATCGAAGATCGGTTCCCACAGTTTATCCACAAGTTCTTTAAGGACCTCTTCAAGGAAAAGAGTGCATACCCAGAGTGGGCCGTGAACGCGTTGAGGAGCGTCAACGTTAACCTTTTGAACGAGGATGTACAGAACTAAACGGCATTGTAATAAATGAAAAATGAACTTGCACAGCTAATCCATGCTCCTCAGCGCCAATGCAAAGGCCTCTTGTTTGTGCCTGACATTGTCCACTCGTCTTTCTTTTGGGTCTGGCATGGGATCCCATACGTCACGTACATGTACACGGTGTGAGCCCTCTTCCCCTGCCTCTTTCACCTGTTGAATGAACCAACCCCATCCTCCCTCCTTTTGCCTTCCTTCTCCCCCTTCCCCATCATCCTCTTTCTTTCTCACCCTCTCTTCAACACGCCTTCGCTTTCCCACCGTATCCTGGTGCTAGAGAACAGCCAAAAAGCCTTGTCTGGACACACCTAACCGACAACTGACTCGATAGGCGCCACCTTACGCGGCCTTACTCTCGTATTTTCTTTACATACACACACTGAAATTGGAGTTGGCATCCCTCATCCAACCAACCCAAACTCGATCTCGATCTCGCAACTAAAACAACATGGAATACGAAGACGTTCTTACAAATCAGCCCGTCGTTATTGACAATGTGAGTTCTTTGCTCATTCCGGCCCTGAGCTTGCTAGTCCTACCTTCAAAGCACGGCGCGTTCCTGAAAATAATATGTACTTAACCTCAACTTCCCCAACATCTTAACGTGATTCCCCTTTGCCATGGTCTATAGGGTTCGGGAGTCATCAAAGCTGGCTTCGCTGGAGATGATCAACCAAAATGCTTCTTCCCTTCCTTGTAAGTCCTCGAGTCTTCATGAGCAGGTGTTTGTAGCTGGGCACAACGTGGAGGACCCCCACCACCACTGCTACAAATGAAACCACAGCACCATCTGCATGTCCTTGTAACCAATTCATCAGCTAATACATCTGGTACTACCCTATCCTGGCAAATGAATAGCGTTGGACGCCCCAAGCATCTCAGGATCATGGCAGGAGCAGTTGAAGGAGACGTGTTTATTGGCAAAAAGGCTCAGGAACTGCGTGGTCTGCTCAAGATCAAGTATCCGATTGAACACGGCATTGTCCAGGACTGGGACGACATGGAGAAAATCTGGCAGTACATTTACTCGGACGAGCTCAAAACCATGTCGGAGGAGGTAAAGATGCGCGCGGTCTATGCTTTTTTTCACACCGTATTCGATATTGCCTCCCTTTTGTGAACACATCATCGCGGACTTGGCTAGCTATCGCACCAATAACCCCCTAACGAAGGATGGGAGGACGGCTAAGGGGAGCGGTGGTCGAGTGAACAGATATTTATTTATCATCAGCAGTGGAGAGGGATACGATGGGTGATATTCTGCGCCATATTGCCACATCACCATCCGTCCACTGTCATGTGCAATTTTTATTTTATTTGAATGTATCGGCATCATGCGCGCTGCTCTCGTCCTCCTCTATGAAAAAATGAACCACACGCGGACCCGGTCATCATTCTGTCCTGTGAAGCATGCTATCCAGAGATTAATCAACTGCTTGTCTTCCTTTCTTGCGCTCGTAGCATCCTGTCCTGTTGACCGAGGCACCCCTCAACCCAATGAGGAACCGCGAGATGGCTGCACAAATCTTTTTTGAAACCTTCAATGTGCCTGCCCTCTTCACCTCCATACAAGCAGTATTGAGTCTGTAAGTCATTGTGCGCAAGGCTACAACCTGGATCCGGATTTTTCAATTCAAGTGTCTGGATAAGAAAAAAAAAAGAAAGAACGGCGCTCTGACTTCTTACTCTGCTGCCTATATATAGGTACTCGTCTGGACGAACGACCGGTGTTGTACTTGATTCAGGAGACGGTGTGACCCACTCCGTCCCTGTGTATGAAGGTTTCGCTATACCCCATGCAATTCAACGTGTCGATATTGCCGGCAGGTATGTATCATGGCTAAAGCAGGGTCCGTTCTTGAGATCAAGCAATAGTTCTGGAGTCGAAGCAGCTTCTAATTTGTAATCTGAAATTCGCCTCTGATAGAGATGTCACGGAAAATTTGCAGTTATTGCTTCGCAAAGCCGGCTACCACTTCCACACCACTGCCGAAAAGGAGGTTGTGCGCATTATCAAGGAAAAGACGTGCTATCTGCCACTGTACCCTGCCAAGGAAGAGAAGGATGCGGGAGAGAAGAAGGAGGACTTTATGTTGCCCGATGGAAACATGATCAAGGTGAGGAATAGAGCCTGGTGTATCATTAGATTTTCAGTTTTTACTTGACAACTCTACATCTCTTGGCTGACCATGTCATAAACAAACTGCCTTGTTTTGTTGTAGCTGGGAACTGAGAGATTCAGGGCGCCCGAGATCCTGTTCAATCCAGAGCTTATTGGACAGGAATACCCAGGCATCCACCAGGTTGTTGTTGACTCGATCAGCCGATCGGACATGGACCTGCGCAAGTCATTGTATACCAACATTGTTTTGTCTGGAGGATCGACTTTGTGCAAGGGATTCGGAGACCGTCTTTTGCAGGAGGTCAAGAAGCTAGCTCTCAAGGATATCAAGATCAAGATCTCGGCACCCCCAGAGCGCAAATACAGTACCTGGATCGGTGGTTCTATTTTGGCCTCGCTGAGCACATTCAAGAAGGTAAAAATCATCCTTGCGGCTATATCTCCTTTTGCGTCCTGCACATTTTCTAATGCCAATGTATTCTTATCTCTCTAGATGTGGGTGTCCGCAGAAGAATACCAGGAGGATCCTTACAGGTGTTTCTCATCCATGTGGTAAAAAAGAAAAAAAGAAAAAGAAAAAGAAAAAGAAAAAAAAAGACAATGCCATCCCCGCCAGCGACGACCTTGGTACAAGATCACGGTGCCAGCAAATGTTTAAAATTTGCCTGGACTAAAAAAGAAAGAAAAGGTGTCAAGATGCAATAAACGACTCTTCAAACAAACAAGACAAGCTGGATATTACTCTACTGGTTTTTTCCTTTTTCTTTTTCTTTTTTTCTGGATTTTAATAACATGGAATATGAACAGCAATTTCTAAGAGAGGTGTCGATGATAGAGTAGAAGGGAACGAGAACGAAATGATAAAGTTCTTTACGAGGACGAAGGGAACTTGTCCCGCTCCTCCAAAAGGTCCTGGACACGCGAGATAACCTTGCGTCCGGGATTGGCTTCAGCAGAGCTCTTGTTGGTGGTGTTGGAGGCAGCGCCTTGGGGCAAACGGCTGCTGCCGTTGTAGTTGTAATGATCGCGGCCTCCCAATGATCCCGTAAGCCAATGTCCTGGTCCTGGAGCTGTGTGACCCAACACAACATTGGGGCGTCCGTCGGCGTCGAGATCGGCTCTGTAGACGTAGTATGGTTGCAGAGATTTGGATGGTTGCAGGGCGTTCTGAAGATGTGGCGCGTTGTATGTAGGTAATGAAGCAACGACACCGCAGACACCAATGACCTGGTTGCTTTTGGTTCGGCCCAAGCTGCGTCCCTGGACGATGGTTGGAGTCGAGGGCTCAAAGAATCCGTAAGTGGGTCCGACCTTGACGCGGGTGTTGGATCCGGTCAAGGGTGCTGTGGTCGAAGTGCCGGATGCTCCTGTGATGGATAAAACGCCGACGGTGGCCTGGGAAGTGGCGGTGTCGATAGAGCCGCCCTTGGTATCTCTGGGCATGATGTTCATAAAGTCCAGATGGTCGTCTGATCGGACCTTATTCTCGGCCAGGGCCTCCTTCCAGGCCTGTCTCTTCTCCTTGGCAGACTGAAGCAGTTTTTGGAATTCAGCGTCGGTCATGGTCGCGAGATCCTTCTTGACAGTGACGGGCTGGGGCTGTGGAGGACGCGAGCGCGGGAAATTCTCCTTCCAACGTTGCAAGAACAGGTAGTCGGACGTCGCGGACTGGAAGGGTGTCTGGTGCTCGGCCGTGTCAAGTTGTTCGATGTAGAGGTTGTGGGTCCTGAGTACGGTGGGCAGGTTGCGCTTGAGACCCCAGTCGCCGATCGCCTTAGCCTTTTGGGGGGTGGTGTAGATCTGGGCGATGTTCTTGTCGAAGGTGGCGAGGCGGGAGGTCCGCAACAGGTGTGAGAACGACCGCTCCATGGTGCAAGGAGATCTGGCGATGGAGAGGTGGAGTTTTGGGTGCCTGAGAGGAAATGCGATGGGTTATTGCCCTGAGAGTGAAGCGCTGGCTGTGTGCCCCCGTACAGCATTCCCCGAAGGTAAACAGTTCTGAGTGGCTTACGACTGCCTGAATTGATCCAATTGTATTTGGCCAATCAGAAACATTTTCTCTTTCCTAGGATATACTCACTGGATCAAAGGACGCGAGACGCGTCGCACGCCTATGGCGACTCTGCAGGAATATTTCGTGGGTCCTTCCCAGACGGTCTTTCCACTGACTCTTCGCCTGGGAGCCCACCGAGATCCCACAGAACCAGAGTTTCTAAAGAAGACAAACGGGCGCGAACAACGACATCGTAGATAAAAATAATACCAATTGTAGAAAATGAAGAAAAGCATAGATTTTCACCACACCGTAAATAGGTAATACAACGGCGAGGTTTGCAACTCCCCTAGGATTCTCTTCTCATCCAAAAGCAATGCTGATACTGTCGCAGAGAAACTTCAGCTGTGAACTATATCATGTATAGTATTCCTGCTCAAACTGAGAACAGCCAAGGCGAAATGAACGAGGAAAACGTCCATGACAAACGACCCCGGTCTATCACGCGAGTCACACCACAGGAGGTGTGTCAGTCAACTTGAAGCAAAGACAACTTTTTCTGGCGAGGGGTTACTTTTCCCAGATATAAAAGGGAGACTAGAGATCGTTGCAATCTCCACAATTCAACACCCTCTCCTCATTATTAAACGCACTCTTACAACCCTTCTCCCATCCAGAAGCAATTCCTCTCAATATGACTGACAAGATATCGAACACTTTCTACTCTGCTGTCGGTGGTGCCAAGGAGTCCCTTGGCAGGGCCGTCGGAAACGAGCAGCTCGCTACCGATGGTCAGTTCTTCCAATCTGCATCACCTTTGGGCGCAGCTCTAACGATAGGTTGACATTTTCTCTCGTTTGCGAGATACTTACTGCCATCTTTGTCATCCTCTCTGATATATCAAAAAATACCATAGGTGCCTCTCAGAAGGCCCAGGCCCAGGCCCAGGCTCAGTGTCAGAAGACCCAGCAGCAGGCCCAGGGCGCCACCGACAACATGACCGGTCGTGTCAAGTCGACCGTCGGAGCCGCCACTGGCGACCGCTCCATGGAGGCCGGAGGCCATGCTCAGCAGGCCACTGGCAACGTCCGCCGCACTGTCAACCAGTAAGATGTTTCCTTTGGAGAATCGGACACTCTATTCAGGGCCTTGTTTGTTCCAAGCTAAATCATTTGTAAATAAGAAGGCCCCAAGCGACTTCTTGTAAATAAAACCGATGTTAAAGTTGTATTACATGAAAAACGTTGATGGTTCACGGACATGTTGGCAACTGCGCGTGCATGGGCCACCTCCGAAATCTCACATGGCGAGAAAAACATTCTACATTAACGCATGCTCGGTAGTCGACGCAAGATGACTTCTTGGCTTACTTGGCAGGGGTACCTGGCCTGCTTGTAACGGGATAAATACATAATATGGAGGACAGGAAGACTCAAGAAGCAACAGGTCGGCTCCAATTACAGCAAAGCAGGTCGAACATTTAAAGTTGTATCCGACCCGAAAATTACAAAAACGAGCGAGTGATCGAGAGGCCGAGGGGTGGATGCAGATCTACTTTTCCACGAGCAATTGAGGACGGAGGAATAGTCCGTTGTGGGATTGCAACCTGCAGGAAGGGTCCGCCTGAGTATCTCTTTCATGGCCCTTACAGAAAATGAAGCAAGAAAGCACAGGTATCCTACTCTCTTCCTGTTTGTTGCTATCTATCCGCTTCGCGTGCTGCCTGAAGCACATGAAAATGAAAGATGCCCTGTAAAACCTTCTGAGTGTTTGGCCCATCTCTTTCCTCTCACTCATCCCTCATTGACTCCTCCACTCCCCGCCTGCCATGCGCAAAGAAGCATCCCTCATTTGGAAGTATATGGTGCCAAAGGCGCCCATGCTCATCGGCACCACTGTCAGTCACTACACTTTCGGACCACCCAAACCCTCATGGTCCTACAAGTTCAACATCACCATGGCCATGGCGAGAGCGTTCACTGCACACCTCGAGGACGTGCCCTTGAAACAGTCTCAGGCTATGAGTCGCCTCAATGACAAGTACGCGCCCATTCACTCGGGTGCCATTGCCTCCGAGTCGACTGTGCCCAGCACCTACAGAGACAAGGCTGCAGAATACGTCGACCGACTCCTCAAGGAGCAAGGCTTCGACTCAACAAAACTCGGCTGGGACTGGACACATGATCCGAGAGCCGAGAAGCCGCTCAAGGGGGAGTGGACCGAGACTAAGGTCAAGGATGAGAAGTTTGCAGAGGGGCGTACAGTCCTTTATCTGCATGGTGGAGGGTACTTTTTATGCTCTATCCGAACTCATCGCTGGGCTACATGGAGTATGGCGCGGCTTGGAGGCGCCAAGGTCTTTGGTATGATTTATTTGTATGCTTCCAATGTTCAGGATCTGCAAGGTTCCCTTTTTTCAGGTGCTGACTGATATAAACCGCTGCTGCATTTTTTGCTGCCTCTTCCCTACACTAGCGGTCGATTACCGGTTGGCCCCCGATTCACCCTTCCCTGCAGCTCTTCACGACGCGCTTGCGGCCTATCTATACCTTCTGGACCCACCGGCTGAATCCGGTATTGCCTCTGTCGATCCAAAGAACATTGTCATCATGGGCGATAGCGCTGGAGGAGGTATACCAAGACAACATTGCTCGCTCTTTTTTCTATTAACGTGAACCTGATCCGTCGCACGTCTAGAAGACTAAAGGGCTTTTTTGATTTTTTGATTTTTTTTATCGCTCAACAGGTCTGACATTTGCAACAATGCTCGCTATTCGCGATGCTGGTCTGCCAATGCCAGCGGGTATCATTGGTTGGAGTCCATGGATCGATCTATTGCACTCTATGCCGTCCGTTTTGGAGAACACTCTCTCGGACTACCTTCCCTCCGAGGGGTTTTCACATGGAGGACAGGCGTCGCTCAAAAAGCTGGCCAAGGTAGTGGTGGCGGCCGTGGGCACGGACGAGGACACGGTGCTCCAATCACTTCCTGCAGTGCAGCATTATACCAATAACCGCCTGCTGCATTGCAAGTACGTCAGTCCGATCCTCGAGGACAACCTGGAAGGAGCGTGCCCTATCTTGATGGTAAGTATCCTGGTCTTTTTTTTTAAGAGGGGGAAGTCTCATACTGAGGCTTGCAGTCTGCACTCGGTCGCTCACTTTTCTTTTCATTTTTTATTTATTTGTGGTTTATTAGATTGCTGGCGACGGCGAAATGCTTAGGGACGAATCGATCGTATTTGCCAAAAAGCATGCTGATGCTCCAGCAGGTGTCCAGCTCCGCGTTTACGACGATATGCCACATGTGTTCCAGATGTTCGGCTTCCTGCCAAGTGCTAAACACTCACTGAAAGAATCGGGCGAGTTTATCAGAAATGTAACCATTGGCGGAGCTGGTGTCGAGAACAAGACTTTAGAGAGGATCAATGTCAAGGGGGAGCGGCGGCCGCTGGAAGAGGACGCTGTGTCGGAGTGGAGAGAGAGGATCGGAAAGCTGGGTGGAGGATCAAAGTTCTTGGCCAAGCTGTAAGAGACACTACCATAATGAACGAAAATTATAATAAATGATAGGAATAATCTATTTGACAACCCGGGCTGTTACTCTTATTGGCAACCCCTGCACAAACCCCATGTAAAACAAGACTCGTATCTTTTGCGAATTTCAAGTCGAAACAACGCGGCGAGAGGTTGAGAACCATTCCTTCCTCCACCTGGCACCCCATGCAACCCTTTGCGACCTTGGGAGAAGCCTTCTTCATGACGGAAAACAGGGTTTTGTCGATGGGGGACTCAGCGATGACGAAATGGGAGATCAGTTACATTGTGGAGTCCTTTAAGAGACAGATGACGATCTGCTTAAAGAGCCGGGGCCAGGAACCATAAGGACTACTGGCATAATCGACATTTAAAAAATGTTGGCCTTACATGGAGTTAGTATAGGGGTTGCCAAATAGCAGTGTCAGCCCGGGTTGTCACCCTAGACTCCAGAGTTGTCTGATGCTGATTTGTGGAAAAAAAAAAAGAGAAGCGGATGGGAGTCTCCACCCAAAGCTGGCATGTGCTACAGCCCAAACTAATTCCCGTAATCCACCAGACTGCCCAGTGCTACCGCCATTTTTGCTGTTCCATTGCTGGCCTGCAACAGGCAGTTACTCAGGGGCCTCTTGCCTCGGGCCTACGCCCAGGACAGAATGCCCACACCAAGCTTCTAATGGGCGGTATACCTAAGTAGCCGCAGCACACGTTGACCCAGCCTCAAGCGATCCATCATCCCAATATCGGCCCAAACTAGGCTTACAGCAATCTGCTTACAACTGCCCGATTCGAAAGTAGTCGCGAATTCTAAGGTTTATATAAACCAAATATTGTGAGCAGTGGTGTATATGGGATTGCTCATGTTGAACAGTCCGGCTTGGTCGATAATTTGTGGTTAGAAATCATTGTTGGACTGCCTTGCAGGATTTAGTTGTAAAAAAATAAAATGGGTAGGCATCCCTCCCCCCCCCCCCAAAAAAAAATGAAAGCGATATGGCCGATACTACCAACATGCTACGAAAAAAAGGGACAAAATATTTGGGCGTAGCACAATAGGAAACAACGCGATTGAGGGCCTATGAGTTTACGCAGCATGGCACTAGTCGAAAAAAAGATAACTTGGAATACCTGAGGATGCACGCAAGCAAACAGGCATGCCGTAAAAAGAAGGATGTGCCAGCGCCGGCCAAGTCTTGAAGAAGCCAAGCACATCCACGTGGATGAGAAAAATGAAAGATAGGCAAGCTTTGTTCCTGTATGCAAATGTGCCGGCGCAGATTTCCGATTGTAGGCTGTCTTCTCCTTGTTTTTCCTTGCAGACAGTCAAAGCGTGGAGCAGTAAGTGTATATCCAAGTGAACAACGACCATACACAGCCCTGTGGGAGTTATATCTTGATATCTTTCCTGATGGAGAAAAGGCTGCTGCACTAAAACAAAAAAAAATGCTTCCTACAAATTTATAAATGGGACTTTTACGCTATTTGATCGATTGAATAAAGACTGTGTTCACAAGAGCAGGACAGCGCAATAAACCGATGCTTACGAAGAGGAAGCAGAGTATATCGATAGGGTCCTATCGCACCATAGACTTATTTTCCATCCTCCAAAAGCTTGTTCTGAGAGCACGACGAAATGGACACTCAATTTGGTAATCGGCGTCCAACCGGACAAAGCAAAAGCAATCAACCGTTTATGCAAGCAGTGCCGAATAATTACTTGGTATACGGACTTCAAAGGAAGCACAGCATCGCTTTGGAAAGTGTATTTGAGGGTGGGTGCGTGAGTGCCTAGGATTTGATTCGCTGAAAGATCTGACCTGCCGTGTTCATTCTACTTTTCTATGGACAAAGGTGATATCAAATGAGGATGGGCATCCATCTATGTTAGTTGCATACATCGACACAGAGTCTTGGATCAAGGTGGACTAGATCGAGCGAGGAAAAGATTAAGTGCACTCTATAGTTCTTGCTGTTCACGGTAACCGTATGGACTGTGTTCATGGGAATAACATTGCCTATTCGTCTAGCGGTTCTCGATCGGCCGTTGTGGATGTATGCTGTCGTGATCAGCGTACCTTGGTCTTTCATCTTAAGGTGTGCCGTCAACACAGTAGCATGGGTACCTTTTTTTTTTTTAATTTATGGATTTGTTCATCGACAGAGTTTTAATCCACTATGCCACTCACTGAAAACACCTCGGATCTCAAATTCAGCAATGGTGGACACACCGCTCAACAGCTGTAGGGTGCTCCAAGTGCGGCCGAATAAAACGAATGAATGCTCGCGAGGGAGAGATGAGGATATAAACAACAGACAGACCTAGACGCGTGCTTTTAGCCTCGTAGTCTGTTCATTCGACATCAGGAAAAGCAGCGAAGGAAGTTGATAAAAATAAAAACCCTAACGGTCTCTTCATAGACACACCGTAAACTTCATGGACTAAAGCATGGCCCGATTCGGCAATAGTTGTGGACTATATATAAGAAAGAGGCGACAAACGCGAACGAGTACCACTTGTAGATATAGTGAATGAGTGTTGCACGGAAAAGAATGGCAAACAGGGCGGCAAACAAGAACCGGTGCGTACAATTACAACTACTAGAAACCATAGAAACCACACAACATCCGGCCACATCAATAGCCAGTAAGTGAAAGAGGTAGTGAGTGCGTGCTCAGTAAATGCAGGCATTTTTGAAGAGCAGCGAGCATGATCTCACTGTAACAGAGAGAAGCTCTGGGCATGTTGTGTACGCATGGGGGCAGCGGTACAGTCTAGTCTGTCTGAGACAGCCTAGAGAAGGGCAGGGGTGCGGGCAGTGTTCGACAGCAAGACTGCAAGGGACGCATGGTCCTCCAGTGCGGGGTGTGCATGGTGTGCACTGTTTAAGGTTGTGTATGTGCTTGTGCACATGTAAGACAAGAGGGTGACACAGTTTTGCGGAGAGGCACCAGCAAAACACAGGGGCAGCCAGTAGTCGCGCGTCTATTGCGCTCGGACACCGTTTTTTTGATTGCTCTCTGCCAGATTCGCGTATTTATTTCGTCGCCGACTGCGTGTCCCACCCATCTCGCATGGCAGCCCAAAAAAATCATCTAAGCGAAAACCAAAAACACAGGGGCGATCTTCGGGATATTTTTTTCGTCCTTTGCTTTAAAAGCATCGTCCAGGGCAACATTCCCCCTCTCGATCCTGCTGCACTCTTTCGAGGACACATACCACTCCTCCCTCCGTCCCCCCATCTCTCCCGTTAACGACATATACCCCTCCCTCTCACTCCTCCCCCCACCTTCTCTTCCTCTCACTACCATCGCAACCATCTCAACTGAATATGGACGAGAACCAGGAGTTCGAGAATGAAAAGCCCGATTGCATCAATGAGAAGCTCCTCATCGAAGATACCATCGAGTTGGAGGAGGATGAGGACGAAGATGATTATGTGGATTACGTAGAGAACTCTAGAATCGAGGCCGTCCGACTAGGTAGGTGTCCCCACAGCGATCTAATTCACATCCATTTCAGACATCCTGATTCCCTCCATCGCTGACACAACATCCCTGCCTCCTTCCTCCCCCTTATACCACCCACAGTCGTACCTGTAACAGACGACCCCACCCTGGTCTCAGTCACCTTCCGCTTCTGGATCCTATCCTTCTTCTTCTCCGTCATCGGCTCCGTCATCAACCAATACTACTATTTCCGCACCACTACCGGTACCTTCTCCATCTTCTTCGTCAACTTGGCTTCCTATGTCCTTGGAAAAGGTATGGCCAGGACCCTCCCCAGGGCCAAGGTGACCATTGGTAACTTTGGCATGTCCCTCAATCCAGGTCCATTCAACATCAAGGAGCATGCCCTGATTGGTATTGCGGTCTCGACTGCCGCAACCTCTGCTTATGCCATCGATATATTGTCCGCCATGGACTTGTTCTTGCACCATCGCATCAACGCCTTCGGCTCCTTGGTCCTCATCATCACCACACAGTGCCTGGGTTATGGCATGGCTGGTGTCCTCCGCAAGTACCTTGTCTACCCTGCCGAAATGGTCTGGTGGGGCAATCTGGTCCAAATTGTATTCTACAACGCCATCCACAACACCGACGAGTTCAAGACCAAGAGAATGGTTCACGGCTGGTCCTACATGAAGTTCTTTTGGATCATCTGCGGTGGTATGTTCGTCTATGAGTTCTTCCCTCAATGGATTGCTCCCCTATTCGTCTACTTTGATTGGATCTGCTGGATCAATCCCTTCAACAAGGACTTCTGGGCCCTGTTCTCCTCCATGACCGGAGGTGGAATCCTCTCCCTCTCCTTCGATTGGACTTCCATTGGCGGTGCGACCCTATACCTGCCCCTTGCAGCCCAGCTCTGCAATTACGGCGGTGTCATCTTCTCGTACTGGATTATCCTGCCCATTATGTGGTTGACCGACAGCCTGGGCACCAAGACTTTGGGCCGTCCCCTGACCTCGCATCTTTTCTATGCGAACGGAACTAGTTTCGACGTTATCTCGTACCTGAACGACGATTACTCCTTGAACGAGAGCATGTACAATGCCGGTCTCCCAGCCAAGATGACCCCTATGTATGCTCTCTGCTTCTTCTTCTCCTTTGTTGCTCTGACGGGGTGCGTCTCTCATGTTATCTGCTTCAACGGAGCTGATATCTGGAAGAGCTGGAAAATGGCCATCGGCGACGAGGATCAGGATGTCCATACCAAGATGATGGGCATCTATCCCGAGGTGCCTCAGCTCTGGTATGCCGTCTTCTACGTCCTCATGGTCATTCTTTCTATTACAGTCTGCGAAGTCTATGGTCTTCAGCTGCCCTGGTGGGGCCTGCTCATCGCGTGTCTGCTCGGCTGGGTCTTGACACTGCCTATCTGTGCCATGAGCGCCATCACTGGTTTCGGTCCTGGTCTCAATGTCATCACGGAGTTGGTTTGTGGATACATGCTCCCCGGAAAGCCTATTGCCAATATGACCTTCAAGTGCTACGGTTACATGGCCATGTACCAGTGCATGACCCTGCTCTCGGATCTCAAGCTGGGTCATTACATGAAGATCCCTCCTCGTTCCATGTTCGTTGCTCAGTTTTGGGGAACCATTATCGGTGGTGTCTTCAATTATTTTACTATGATTGTCATCATCGACTCTCGTCGTTCGTACCTGGACGGCACTGATCAAGACCCCAACGGTCTCTGGACAGGAGTTAGCCCTGATACCTTCTGGGGCTCTGCTCTCATCTATGGCGCCTTGGGACCCAAGCGCATGTTCGACCCGAACGGTGACTACGGCTTCGTCTTTTACGGTTTCTTGGTCGGTTCCATCGCCCCTGTTATTCTCTGGGCCCTCTCCAAGAAGTTTCCGAACGTCGATTGGTCCAAGTTCAACGTCGCCATCATCGCTGGAGGCATGAGCGCTTACCCTAATGGTTACGTTGTTGGTATCTTGCCCTCGTTGATCGTGTGCTTGGTTTTCCAGTACTACCTCTTCCGATACCACAAGAACTGGTGGTCAAAGTACACGTTCATTCTGGCGGCGGCCATGGATACCGGTGCGGCCTTTACAGGTTTGTTCATCTTCCTCTTCCTTGGAGGCGGTATCAGCCCCCAGCTATCGGTTGCGGTCCCTTCATGGTGGGCCAACTACTATACCCCCGATGGCGACAATGCGCCCTACTTGATGGTCGACCGCTGTGGTGCTGCTGGCGGCAACTGGGTCGGTGGCGTTTGATTTGTATATATTATAAAAAACGATGCCTGTTGTGTTGAGTGCAAGATTGCCTCTTCGTATTATATCTTTAATAAATATCTCTCCATTGCTCCAACTACTGGCTACCGATGTTGCTGCCACACGTCTACAAGAGCGCAGAGGATACGGGATATGATGCGTGTTCATACAGCTTGAACTATAGTCAGCGACCATTCAGTTACGTGCCACTTTGCTGATAGATTAGTAGACGCACGCGAACCCTTTTGGCGAGGAGGTGTCGGAGATGAAACTACAAGGCAACGATCGCTCGCGTGAGTTGATCGCCGACCGATGTGATATGCTATTTCCTCCTTTGCGGCTGTATGCGTTCGCAGATTATGCAGTGCCCTCAGTATGGCCCGGGAGATTCCATGGAGTAAACAACGCTAAGAGCTATTGCGCAGATGTTATAAATATGCGACATACGGCAATTCGCATAGATGGTGCTGTAATCGATGGCTACTCATGCGTAAATGACGCTTGCAATTGGCCATGTCTGCAAATTGGTACATGTGGAGGCAATGGACGGATATCCCCTGCCGAGTTAGGGCTCATTGTCATTGTCATCGTCGTTGTCATTGTCGTTGTATTCACTTCACTCCATTCCTTTCTCTGCATCCCATTCCTCACCTACTCATTCATCAGTCGCACACACCTACACTTTTTATTTAATATATTCGTTGACTGCACCCTCAAACGCCCTCAAACACCCTCAGACATACCCCCTCCTTTAAAAATCTCACCTCGTATTTCTGATATAACGTACAGCCTCCTTCTCTCTCACGATGGCCTCCGTGTGGCCCCTCTGCAGTCTACAGCAAAGCAGGAGTTGCTGCCTGTCGATCATCCTCATCTTCACTGCCCTCCTCGCCCTCCTCTCTCAACCCGTTGCTGCCAATGTCTTCGGAATCCTCGTCGCACGGGTCAGCTATGATATCGTCAGTGTCAAGAACCCCACCGATATCAACAACCTCAGCATCATCATGGCAGGCAGTAACCTGCCCGTAGGTTCCATCGCAAAGACTGCCAGCATCCCCGAGGACGGATTATCGGTAAAGCCTCGTTAGTGCACCGAACCAATACTGTTTATTTCATATGGCTCACGAACGATTTGCCCTTTTGGGACTTGTTTTCGCATAGGGTATTCTCTATGATATGGGGTTTGCCTGTCAACCAGGATTCGACCCCAACACCACACTACCAACGCCCAACCTCTACGGCCTCCCAAAGATTGCATTGATCAGACGAGGACCCGCGGATCAGGCGGCGTGCACCTTCCGCTCCAAGATGCTTGCAGCACAGGACGATGGTGCCATCGCAGCAATCATCTACAATGGTCCGGGGCAGGGGTCTATCGACGCTGCTACAGCGGCTACCAACTCCTCGGACTCAACAGTCGGTATTCCAGGAATGTTCATCTCGTACGATGGAGGCGCTATGCTAAGGACGTGCCTTCAACAGAGCAACGACACAACCAACCCGAGCTACTACGACAGAGTCCGCATTAACATCCTGACTAATCAGAAGTTGCCAGTCATCTGGGAATTTGTCTTGATTGTGGTTGTCGTGCTCTTGGGTGTATCCTTCACAGTCTCAGGTACGAGCGCCGTTTTTTTTTTTTTTTTTTTTTTATCAGCTATTGAACCCCTTTATGTCTGTATCGTAGGGTACATGCCAACGATGTTCTTGCGCGCAATTTTTCATAAGAGCCCACGTCTCTAACCACTGTTCCTTTTGGGTTACCATAGTGATACTACATTGCCGACTGTATGCACTGAGGCAGCGATACAGAGCAGAGGCCCTAGCTAGAGGAGCCCACATACTTCCCAATGGAACAATCCGGATGAGAAAGACAATGGAAAAAACCGCATTGGACGAATTTCCAGTCAGGATATTTGGACAAGGCACCTCTTCAGCACCAGTAGCTAATGCAGTGGCTTCAACATCGGTATTAAGTCAGACTGATCAGCCAGCAAAAATAGAACACGAGATCGCCATTGGACATGATACTGCTGCCAAACGAACAAGCAATGACGGCATCGATGCTCAATCAAATCAGGACGGACGGGCTCACTCTCTCACCAACAAATCGATTCGATCCTTCCGGGCCATTACTGCTGCCCAGGCTCTGGAAGCTCAGCCCGAAAGCACCTCAAACACTGCAACTGACGAGATCGTCAATGATACCTGCGCAATCTGTTTGGACGAGTTTTCGGAAGGCGACGAAATTCGTACCCTGCCTTGCCACCACGAATTCCACTGCGAATGTATCGGTAAGCAATCGGGCTTTCATATTGCCTGTAAGGCCATACAGGGCCAATTTGACGATTGCATAGCTTACTAATCCTTGGCATTATCTTTAGATCCTTGGCTCACTCGTAAAAGTTCAACTTGTCCACTGTGCAAGTATGAATGCTCGCCTCCCCAAAGGGAAAGCGAAGAAGGAAACAGTCCAGCAAGTATTGCAGAGTCCAGGGTGGTTATGCCCAGCGATCGATTGATAGAATTTATCATGGGTCCAGCATGGGTCGCTGCCAGGACACAGTATAATCACAATGGAAGCGGCAGGATCGACCGAATCGGGAACTTTTTTAGCAGAGCAATGGATCGCATTCGGGGGCGTCCACCACGTCCCTTACCGTCTGCTACCGACCCAATATCACCATCTACCGCACCTACTACAATGATGGCGACTCAGTCTGACGAGAACGGAGATGTGCCTCTCCAACTGATTACACCGAATGGGATTGCGCCTATCACCTCAGTGCCCGCCCAAGGAAGCGACACCCCTGCCAACTGCGAGGAGCGCGCGGTAATTGTATCGATACCGCCTACAAATGACGCTGAACCATCATCAGAAACATGGAGTGATGGTCAACGCCGCATGTAAAGCACCACGTACCGCCAATTACCTATCTTTAGAGCCATGTGCCATTATGAAGGCTCTGTTGTACCATAGATCTCCATATTCTCCATATTGTTGAATAAAGTGTACTTGTAAATTACAGCATGCAATGGGTGAAGTGAGATACTCAGGGTTTATCAGAGGGTCCTTCTGTATGATTATTGGACTATTGAATTATTGGACCAACGATGGCAAGGGGGTAGCCTCGGCAACAGGTACGTGATTAGCAACGTCCTCTTCAGTCAGGTAAAGGCGCAAAGTCCATAAGTTGACGGTCTTATTGTCTTTGATTCTCTTGTCGTGAATGTCTGGCTGGAGAACGAAGCCAACCTTTTCCATGGTCTTTCGACTGGCCCAATTGCCTTCAAATGCACGACCGTTGAATTTGCGCTTACCGACCTCCATTACCGAGACCTTCCATAGTATCATCTTCAGGGCCTTGGCCATCAAGCCTTGTCCGTGGTATTCAGACGCCAACCAGTAGCTATCGATTGTAGAAGCAGTTGAAAATTACAATGTGAGTGTTAGCAGCTCTTCTGGACATTTTGTTTTCTCGGTCTCCTTTCCAAGCTGAGCGCATTTTTTTTTCTTACCCAGTATCGTCGCCATCCAGCTTGTCGTCGCTGTCGTTAGAGACGCCAATAGATCCGATGACCTTGCCGCTTCTTGTCATATCCCTGATCGAAAAATTGAGGGGCATACCCTTCTCAGTCATCCTCAAAGCACGAGAGTTGATCCAAAAATCTGCATCCGCGGGGGTGTAGGGGTTTGGTGGGCCAAGCAGCCATTGATAGATTCTAGGGTCGTTCAGGTGCTCGAGTAAGGCGTCCTTGTCTGAGGGAAGCACTGGACCGATCTGGATGGTCTCGGTTAACCAGATAGGCTTATAAGAATCGTGTATTTGATTAAGGCGTTCGAGCTCCTCGGGCGATGTGTTGCTGGTGTCGATGTTGGTGGCAGCACTTCTGACCACCTGCGTACGTACGATAGGCTCCCGAGCTAGGGTTGGTGATTCCTTGGGATCGACTGACATTTTGGCCCGTAGGAAAAGGTTGTTTTTAGTAGAAAAATGTTGAGAAAGCGATGAGAAAGGGTGGCTTTTATATCTTTGTTTCCCATGCTCATTCTTTCGATTCATGGTGACATCCTCAAGTGTTAAAAGTTTAACGGTGCGCCGTAACTCTAAATCCGTATGTAGAGCAAATAAAATGGGTGTCCTGGATGGTCGTCTGCATACTCCGTTTCATGCTGCGGCAGCACTGCTGGCTCATTTTGACCCAGTTCTTGGTCTGCTGTATTCAAGGCTGCGGATATTCTTTTTGAATGCAAAGCAACTAAATTATTCCCTCGTCCTACGTAACCCACGTTAATTATACAGCTCCTTGTCCTTTCCTCCTCCTTCTCCTCCTTCTCCTCCTTCTCCTCCTTCTCCTCCTTAGCTCATCCCTGGTGATATGCAGGGAATTAATGCAGCAGCACATCCTGATTGGAATGCGGACCCGTTTTTCTTTTCGCCACCATTTTCCAAGTCGAGTCTTTCGAGACCAAAAATGGAAAGCGCGTCGGTGGCTTGACCGGCTGAGGACCGTTTGTAAAGACATTTTTTTCGAGGACACTTTTTGTTGATCACCTTCCTCTGTCCATCACACAACATGCCAGCTGCCGAGGTCACCATCGACGCTCGTCTGTTCCACAGGAGGGCCAGAGGCCTCGTGAACCATTGGCGAGTACGAATCGACCATTTTCTTCAACGACACATACCATCTACGTTTTACTGTACAGGACTTGAACCAGATGAAAGCGACAATACAGGACGCGTCCTAATAGCAACGTTTTTACTCTTTTATTACGGAACATGCACTGCACTCATTCCAACCCTAGAACTCCAATGGCCCTGAGGACTCTTTTCAAAACGTCGGTACACTACTCGTCATTCTGGGTAACATCGGCGAAGAGGACAATATTTACCAAAAGACCACTGCGATGCAGGTAAAAGACCGACAAACTCATTCACCATCCTGCTCTATGTGCTACGCTTCCTGTGAGTTCCGTGGTCTACGAGTATTATGCTGACGCGGCCTACAACTGTGTACTGTGTACTGTGTACTGTGATAGACATGGCTCTTCGGATATGAGCTCACCCAGACGCTCATGTTGTTCACCCCAGACACTCTGCATGTCGTCACAGGAGGCAACAAAGGTGCGTGCGTGCGCTTGCACAGCGAGTACAAGTCGGGTATCCGAGAACAATGGCTGAAATAGCGTCTATCATCGCCTCTGACAACTACCGATTATTTCTCTTACATATCATTTAGCCAAGATCCTGGAGACATTAAAACAGTGGGAGGGCCCTCAGTTCCCAATCGAACTACATGTTCGTGGCAAAGACGAGGCCCACAACGAGGAGGTCCTCAAGAGACTGGTGAAGATTATTGCCAGTCATGGAGTGAGTGTCGCATCAAAGAAAAAAGAAGAAAAAAAGAGCGCAGGGGACTCCACAAAGTGTACAGGATTTCTAACTACTTTTGGTTAACCATATGGCGTAATAGGATCGCGTTGGAGTTTTCGCAAAGGATACGCAGAGGGGAGCATTTGCAGCATCGTGGAAGGCAGCCTTAGATAGCTCGGATAAGCCTATTGAGAGCGTCGACATGTCTACGGGCGTTGCCGAGGTCTTTGCTATTAAGGATGACGAAGAACTGGTACATCTTGGGCATAGCGCTGCGACTTCTGCCCTATTAACTGCTGTATGTCTGCTAACCATCGTACAACGTCTAAATTTCAAAATAGAGATCCACCAAGATGGCTGCCAAGCTGAGTTCATTGGTCATGAGGAATTATTTCATTGAAGAGATGTCCAAGATCATTGACGAGGAACGCAAGATCACACACGAGAAGCTGGCAGACAAAATGGAGGCCGCTCTTATGGATGAGAAAATGTACAAGCAACTGAAGTTCCCTGCGGATGTAAGTTTATCACCGAGGCTTTTTAGTTTGGCATGCGATTCGCGGCGGAACAGAAGTCGTGAGATATGTACTGATAGTAGTTGTTATTGGTATATATTAGGCTGCTTCAGGGAACCCAGAGTGGTGCTACACCCCGATCATTCAGAGCGGCGGCGATTACGACTTGAAGACATCCGCGGTTTCGAACGAGAAGGAACTGCATGCAGGCGCTATCATCTGTTCTCTGGGAGTGCGTTACAGATCGTACTGCTCCAACATCGGCCGCACGTTCCTCATTGACGCCAATAAGACTCAGGAGAAGAATTACGCATTTCTCTTGGATGTCCAGCGCAAGGTGCTTGATGCAATGAAGGAGGGCGTCTTGATCAAGGATGTCTTCAACCGTGCAGTCGATTTTATCCGTAACAGGAGACCCGATCTTGAAAAGAAGTTTGTCAAAAACCTTGGATTTGGTGTATGTATTTATGTGTCTCTGTGCTTGAAGGACCGCATTTCATCAAAGGAAAATGATAGGTAATAACTCTAGGGTCAACTCTTTGATGTCGATCATAGACCGGTCTCGAGTTTCGCGAGTCGAGCTATCTTTTGAACGGCAAAAACACCAAGGAGCTTCAGAGCGATATGATTTTCAGTTTGTCTGTTGGTTTCCAGGATATCGAAAACCCAAAGGCAACTGATGAGAAGTCTAAGAAGTATGTTTCCCAGAGTACCATGGAGCAGTGCAATGTGTTCCATAATTTTAACTAGGAGTCTTGTCTCTAATTTATCTTACCTACTCCCTGTTTCAACGAGTAGATACTCGCTTCTTTTGGTTGACACTATCAGGATCACGACAGAGGCGCCCCAAATCTTGACGAGTTGTGATACCAGCTTCGATGACATCTCGTATATCCTGAAGGATGTAGCAGAGGAGGAAGAGGAACCCGTCAAAAAGGAACAGCCTAACAGCCAACGCACAGCCAAATCTGCAGTTCTCAACACAAAGTTCCGTAGCGAGCAGGAGGAGGCGAGCAAGGATCAGGCGCGGAAGGAGCATCAAAAGATGCTGGCGGAACAAAAGCATGCCGAGGGTCTCGAGCGGTATGGTGATGCTGGTAGCCTAAAGAAGGACAATCAAAAGAGTGTCTTCCGCAAGTTTGAGAGTTACAAACGCGAGTCAGCCTTACCTAAGGAAGTCAGCAGTCTCAGGATTGTGGTCGACCAGAGGAACGATACGCTGGTTCTGCCTATCTACGGGCTTGCTGTCCCATTCCACATTTCGACTCTTCAGAAAGTCACGAAGACGGACGAGGGCGAGTTCTTTTACCTGCGTCTCAATTTTATCACACCCGGACAGCCCGGAAAGAAGGATGACACTGTAAGGAGACATTTTATTACAACCAGGCAACAGGGATGTCTGGGTTCATTTTTCTTTATCTTTACTAACATGACCAATTATCTCTTGCAATTGTCTAGCCCTTCGACGACCCCAACGCCAACTTTGTACGGGCACTGTCATTCCGCAGTGCCGATGGCGCGAGAATGTCGGAGATCTACAACCAAATCATGGAGATGAAGAAGAATGCGGTCAAGAAGGAGTCGGAGCGCAAAGAAATGGCAGATATCGTTGAACAGGACAAACTGATTGAGGCCAAGGGCAAGCGCCCACCACGACTCCCCGATGTTTTCGCTCGTCCTGGTTTGGATGGAAAACGTCCTGGAGAACTAGAGATTCACTCGAACGGTCTTCGCTACGTGTCGCCACTCCGGAACGAGAACAGGATCGACATTTTGTTTAACAACATCAAGCACCTGTTCTTCCAACCGTGCGACGGAGAGCTAATTGTCTTGATTCACTGCCAGTTGAAGAATCCGATCCTGATTGGAAAGAAGAAGACTGAACACGTTCAATTCTACAGGGAGGCGTCGGATGCGCAATTTGATGAGACTGGAAACCGTCGTCGCAAGTATGTTTATGGTGATGAGGACGAATTGGCCTCTGAGCAGGAGGAACGCAAGCGTCGTGCTGCTCTCAACAAGGAGTTCAAGTTGTTTGGAGAAAAGATCACAGAGCTGGTACGTGCTATGGAATTGGAATGTTTCTAAACAAAGAGGGCGGATCAACGCAGACACTGACTATATTATTGCTCAACTTTACATAGAGTGAGAACAAGGTCGAGGTCGATGTTCCTTTCCGCGACTTGGCTTTCAACGGAGTACCTTTCAGAACTAATGTTCTCTTGAAGCCCACACAAGACTGTCTCGTACACTTGAGTGAGGCACCATTCTTGGTTGTCACACTTGCCGACGTTGAGATTGTACATCTAGAGCGCGTGCAATTCGGACTTAAGAACTTTGATATGGTGTTCACATTCAAGGACTATTTCCAGCAACCCATCCACATCAACACTATTCCCATGTCGCAACTGGATAACGTCAAAGACTGGCTGGACTCGATGGATATCGTCTTTTATGAGGGACCCGTCAACCTGAACTGGGGACCCATCATGAAGACTATCCAAGAAGATCCGGCAGAATTCTACAGGGAAGGCGGTTGGTCATTCTTGGCAATCGAGTCAGATGCGGAAGATTCTGATGAATCCGGATCAGAGTTCGAGGCGTCGGAAAGCGATTTTGAGTCATCTTCATCGGAGAGCTCGTATGCTTCGGATGCCTCGATGGACGACGGATCAGAGGAGGAGGCTTCTGACGAAGAATCTGGAGAAGACTGGGATGCGCTGGAGGAGAAGGCCAAGAGAGGTAACGTTAACTGTCTTTGATCTACCCTGCTGTATCTTGACTCTGCTTTCTTCAGGATATTGCCACTGATATGTATGTTATCTCTGTTCTTGTTACTTTCGCTGCATAGCTGATGACAAGAAGTATGGCGCAAAGCGCGAGGCTGATTCCGACTCTGATAATGAACGCAAGAAGAAACGCAAGCGATAGATGGTCATCTTATTTGGCACTGAGTATAATAAATATTATGTGAATCTACCTTTTCCCTGTGACCCATGGTACGATTTAGTGAATGTGAGGGCCACTCCAAGCGAACCAATGCAGCCAAGGCGAGAGACTCATGGACCCCTTTTTTGCCGCTAGTTTTTTTTGTTCGCATCTTGGTGAGTTTGGTCAGTGAGTTTGCAAACACTAAAAATATAGCTATACCATACGACTCCCAAGGGTCGATATAGTAAGGTTCGCTGGATCAGGTGATACGCCTCTTCACTATAAATGATCTTTGAGAGTGAAAATCGTTCAGTCCTTTCGCACCAAACGGATTTTTGTATGTGAGCCAGGCAGCAGGGAACTGGGGACGCCAATCGATCGCACTGAACACCCATGGGATCAGGATGTCATTCATGGACCAAGTGGCACCCCAGAGAGATGTTTGGCGACATTTGGATGCATCAGGAACGAAACAGCGTGTATATGGATGGATCGATGGATACGGAGCTGGAGAACGGATACCCTTTTCTATCATTCCAGCTGTGTCAGACTAAAGGATGATCAGCAATATTTTTTAAGCAATCGCGGATCAAAAAGCTTTAACCAGCCGGAATCAGCCAGGATCAGTCAACAGTAACATATTACTGTTGGCAGACACCATGTTCGAGAACAGATCAGCAAGAGGAGCAGCAAGACTCATCTATTTCGTTTTTTCTCTTTCTCGGATCGGGCTTCGCAACTCGTAGTTTTTCGCCATGTCTGGACTGCCCGCTATTCTCAAAGCTACCGAAGAGGACATCAAGCTCCTTCTCTCTGCCCAGTCCCACTTGGGTACTAAGAACTGCGATGTCCACATGGAGCCTTACGTCTGGAAGCGTCGCGCTGATGGTAAGGAAGGCATTCTTTTATTATCTGGAGACCCTAGAATACGGGTCCATTGAATGGGCAAAAGGACGTTGAGGACCAACTTATCGAGCTTGGAGAAGACCCCTATCAGGAAGGCGACGAGAACACGACTACAACAGCAATTGCTCTAGGAAACAGTTTGCGACACATATTGCTTGGGGTGCATGCGATAACTCTACGAGGATGGATCTATTGGACCTAGTTTCGTAACCTGAGAGAGTAACAGCTGTCCGACAATCGCTACAGAAATGAGTTTCGACCACCCAGGGAGCAGCAAATTGAGCAGGATTGTAGCCGACGGTGGAGCACATACAACGACTCTGGATTGCTTCTATGGATTACGATCACTAACCTGGCGACACAACTTCCTTTTTTTTCTTTCTTTCCCGAACCATGCAGGTGTCCACATCATCAACATCGGCAAGACCTGGGAGAAGATCGTCCTCGCTGCCCGTATCATCGTCGCCATCGAGAACCCCGCCGATATCTGCGTGATCTCTGCTCGCCCCTACGGTCAGCGTGCTGCCTTGAAGTTCGCCTCGCACACTGGTGCCCAGGCCATTGCCGGTCGCTTCACCCCCGGTACCTTCACCAACTATATCACCCGTGCCTTCAAGGAGCCCCGTTTGATCATCGTCACCGACCCCTTGACCGACCACCAGGCCATCAAGGAGGCCTCGTACGTCAACATCCCCGTCATCGCTTTCGCCGATACCGAGTCCCCTCTCAAGTACGTCGATGTTGCCATCCCCACCAACAACCGCTCCAAGCACGCCATCGGTCTTGCCTACTGGTTGTTGGCCCGTGAGGTCCTCCGCCTCCGTGGCACCATCTCCCGCTCTGCTCCTTGGGATATCATGGTCGACATGTTCTTCTACCGTGATCCCGAAGAGAAGGCTGAGGAGGAGGCCGCTGCCGCCGCTGCTGCCGAGGGTACCGTCGCTGATGTTGCTGGCACCTGGGCTCCTGGTGAGACTAACCCTACCGGCGAGTGGACTGGCGAGGTCTCTGCCCCCGTTCCTGCCACCGGTGACTGGGCTGCCGATGCTGCCACCGCTGACTGGTCCGAGGCCCCCGCCACTGACTCCTGGTCTGCTTAAATTCATACGGACAGTTAGATTTGTCGATATTAATAAACGTGCATCTGACGACGTGAAAAACGACCCAAATGGCCGATATTTTGTCCTCTTTGATGGACTGGAATGCTTTGGGATAAAATAAGTAATTGAATTACTTCCAAATCGATAAACCTCCACACAGGGGCATTTGCGGCAATGCTGCCAGATATGATATACAAGGGATACAAGAATATTTATTTCGATCCGCAAGGTCATTGAAACTGAATTGAATTCATATTCTTCCAACTCGCAACACTTGGGAGGCCCAACAAGAAGGACAAGAAGAAATCTTCAGGCAATTAAGCCTGGGGGCAGTCGCGGGACTAACAAAGCAGACACAAAAAAGAAAGCGTATTGTTAGCGGATCGGATGTGAGAAGGTGATCGACCAATATGGCGAGAATGGAAGCAGCAACACAGAAAAGTAAAAAACAAGATAGGTGAACTTACGATGTGGCCGACCTCGTTACACTTGTAGCAAGCCTTCTCCTTGCGCTCATCGGGGCACTCGCGGGAGATGTGGCCAGAGTTGCCGCAGTTGTAGCACTTGGAACCCTGGGTGCAGTCGCGAGACATGTGGCCGAAGCCACCGCAGGTGTAGCAGCTCTTGCCAGAGTTGTTGTTGTTGTAGCCACCGCGGGAACCAGAGCCGGAGGCAGAGCTGTAGCCGCCAGCCTCAGGGCAGTTGCGCGAGATGTGGCCAGGCTTGCCGCACTTGTAGCACTCGGGGCCGGAACCCTCAGCGGGGGCCGAGGGGCAGTCACGGGAGATGTGGCCGGACTGGTTGCACTTGTAGCAGGTCTTTTCCTTACGCTCCTCAGGGCAGTCGCGGGAGAGATGGCCGGACTGCTGGCAGTTGTAGCTGGATTAGGCCAAGTTCGATTGAGGGGAAAAAATAAATAAAAGTTAGTATTATTAAAAGTAGAACGAATTATTGATTGGGTTAGCTCGACTGCAGCAAGGTTTTAGCTGACTCACCAGAGAGGGGTGCCGGAGGACTGGCAATCGCGGGCCTGGTGACCGGCTATAGTGGTCGTCCAAAGGGATCCAGTCAAAGCAGAGCAAGACAGAGCAAGGCAAAGCAAAAAGCAAAGCAAGGCAGAGCAGAGCAGAGCAGAGCAGAGCAGAGCAGAGCAGATGGGCAGTTTCACAGACGAAGCAAATCAAAGGATGTGCATGTAAAAGCATGTAAACACGCCATTTGTCGTCAGCAGAAAGATGCACAAATATTAAAAGAGAATAGAAAAAAAAACTATCAGCAAACAGGGGGACCATCTCATAGCATCGTCGTACATAGAAATAACTACGTCTCCATCCATCCATCCTTCTCCTCCACCTCTTCGCTCCTTCTCCACAATATCGACAGATGTCAATACATATGTGAGTGGGGACAAAATGTCATTTTGAAAACAACACCTCCTCATCCTCGCCTCGCTTTATTGAAGATACAAGGGCTTTATCGTTTCACGATTACATGAAAGAGGATATATGGCGGACATGGCACAGCAAAAGAAGACCTGTTGCCAAGAGCGGTTCAGACAGACAGACTGCAAGTTCCTTCCCATGGGGTCACAGAGCTACAGCCAAATAGCAACAGCTCGTGGTGCACACGTTGCTATTCAGCTGCAGCTGTGAACGCGAGCCAGCAGCACGAATGCGGTGGAGAGAAGAAAGACGGGCTTGTCTGAAAGCCAAGGTGCATTGTTTGGCAGGTCGTCCTTGATGTCGAGTGCCGGGCAAGATTGGCTGAAAGTCGATTGATCCAACTTATTCCTCTTCATTCAACTGCTTCACCAACCAACCAACCAACTTCTTCTTCTTCTCCCAACCAACTTCACCATCATCAAACGACAGCTTCAAACATCGAAACTATCACGGAGATACGTACGCTGGCCGCAGGTGTAGCAGGTGCGGGGGGGACGGAAAGACATTATGGAGACTTGGAGGGTTGGAAAGGGAACTGGGGGTAAAGAAGGGGGAGGGAAGAAAGGGAAAACAGTAATAGGGGAAAAAAAAAAAACTTTTCAAGGCAGCAGAGTGGGTCATGTGAACAGGACTGTCTTACGAGTTAGTTTATGCAAATTGTAAACAAGTGCCTGTTGCTTGGTCCCCAGGGACAGGCAGCCGCTTCTTCATTCACTCGGAACACCAGGCAGACCAAAGTGGTGGGCACTGCTTCTTTGGGACATACTCAACGAACACTTTATTCCTCCCAATCAACCATCCCCTCCTCCACCAAACAGCTTCTTCCCGCAATGGCATCCCTCTTCAGGGCACTCTCCAGGACACCTCTGCTCCTGAGTGCTGCTCGTCCCTCTACCTCTACTGCCATCCGTCCTCTTTCCTCGCCCTCACTTTTCGTCCGCAACTTTTCTTTTGGTTCGCCTTCTGCACCACTCTCTATCCGCAACCATGGCTCCATCTTCCCCTCCCTCCACAGCTCCTTCAACATGTCTTCAGCCGTCCGCTCGTTGGCAACACCCGTAAACAAGACCCAGCGTCGCTTCAACAGTTTGCAGCCCAAGAAGATGAAGTATCGCAAAAAGCACAAGGGCAAGATTCCAATCCCTATCGGAGGATCTACTAAGGGTACCTTTGTCGAATTTGGGGAATACGGGCTTCGTATCAAGGAAGGTGCTCGCTTGACGGCCAAGCAGATCCAGGCCGCCCACACAACCATCCGCAGGAAGATCAAGGCAGTGAAAGGATCGCAGATCTGGACCAGGGTCTTCCCAGACATCCCTGTCACGTCCAAAGGAGGCGAGAGTCGTATGGGTAAAGGAAAGGGATCCGTGGATTACTATGCGACCCGAGTCGGGCTTAACCGTATCATCTTTGAGATTGGTGGAGGTGGAATCCGTCGCGAGCACGCCAAGGAAGCCTTGAGATTGGCCGCGGCCAAGATCCCTGTCGCTGTTGAGTTTGTTGTCAAAGCTGAACAGGTGAAGCCGCCCAAAGTTCCTCGTGTCATCCCTGGCGCGCCTGTCCCTCTTAAGGCACTTAACTCTGCGTCTGCAACTGTTGTACCTATTACACCGGTTATCGCCAAGGAGGCCGAGATTGCAGCATAGTCTGCCAATTTCTGAAGTGCCTTTTTCTCTCTCTCTTTCTGTACACCACTCGTTTGATTTTCGGATCTGGATGTCCTTGTTTTCTGCCTTTCGCACCCTTTCATAGCGCTCTTCTCTGAGATAATAAACCGATCATAGACCATGCTGCATCAACTGCTCTGTGTGGAAATAAAGGTGACGTCACCCTTTTTTTTTTCCGAAGAACTCCTTGTCTCCACCACTAGCAGCTCGACGAAGTTTGCACAGACACAGTAGTTGAATCTTTTCCTTCCTTCCCTTACACCCCTCCATTTCATTCTATTCATCCTTTCCTCTTTCTCGTCCTTCGTCCACAATGCTTCGCAACCTTGCTCGTCCCGCCCTCCGTGCCACCCAGCGCCGTTGCGCCTCCACCACGGTTACACCCTCGGAGATCCCTCTTGCCAACCTCGAGTTGCGCTGGAAGACTTTGACCTCCCAGGAACAGGGCTCGCTCGCCAAGCAGCTCGAGCAGGCCCAGGCCGGCGACTGGACCAAGTTGTCTCTTGAACAGAAGAAGGCTGGTACGGAATGAACACCGATACACTTTAACGCCCAACAGCACCCAACCACACTCAACATTTCTTAACAAGGCAACACACATTTGCCGTCAGATCTATTCATTGAGAGGAGAGGCAGCACGGAACGACCCCGGAATCCGAAATCCGTTATGACACTGATCAGGGCGCGTTTTCAGGACACCTCTTCTACCTCTAGCAGGCTCGTCGCACCTCAATACTGCACTCTTTGAACCGACATTTAACTCTTTTTTTCAACCCACTGACAGCATCACTTTCATCAAAAAAAAAAAAAAAAAAAAAAACGCCGTGTGTCATTCTTCAGGCCGGGATGGAATCAGTTGCTCAATTGCTTGACTCAATTTAATTATTTATTTTATATTGTTCCGCACATCCATATCGACCGATCTAGCCTACTGGGTCGCTTTCGGTCCCCACGGTGCCCGCGCCCCTCTGACTGGACCCAACCATTCCCTCAAGGTCTTTGTCGGTACTTCCGCTGTCGTCGGCGCCGCTGGTGCTCTCTTCCTCTGGATACGCGCTAAGGGTATGTCATATTCTGCCATGCAATTGAAATAAGACCCCGGGTTATTATTTTTATGTTGTGGCGTGTCGTGGGCGCGTGGAGCCCATACATGGACATTCCGAATCCCTCACTGAGACAACATATTCGGGCGCAATTGCGACAAAGATAACCGGAACCTCGTGCAACCCAATCGATCTACGCAAATCCACATTGGAACTCTTTAACTCATCAACATATCCCGACCTTTTTTTCTTGTGCTCGTGCGGATTAGGTGGTGAGGCTCCAAAGACCACAACCAAGGAGTGGCAGGAGGCCACGAACGAATATGCTCGCGAGAACAAGATCAACCCCATCACTGGTATTTCCTCCGAGGGCTACAAGGGCGATGGTTTCGTGCATATCCCCAAGAACTAAACTTACATATTATATTACATGCATTGAAGAATCTCATGAACGAAGAAATGATAAAAAAGAAAGCAATTTGTTACAAGTACCACAAAACCCCTGGAATGTGCCATTTGAACTTTATGGAATTTATTATTTCTATGTGGACCTACTTGAGTGCTTGTTAAATGATAATGCTTGATATTAGCTTGTACATGCAGTTGTTAAAATTATAAATGCGTGTGCATGGCGTGGACAATGCATGGTCCGTTCAGCGACCGTTGTCTGTGAAGCGGATCGTGGCGGGCTCATCACTATCGTACAAATACTCTTCTGCGCCCTCGTCCTCAGAATCGTTCATTGTTGGTGGGAGTCCTCTGTACTGACGAAAACGCCTTGGTGTCGGCTGCTGGTATCGTCGGCGATTACCACCCTCCTCATCGCGGTCGCTTTCGTCGCTATCGCGACGGACAAAATCCTGATCTAGGTCATCCGTATCGTTCAGATCAAAAGAATTGTATCCAGAATGATTACCACTATCGTCCTGCAAAGCCTCGGATTGATGATACTGGGTGTGGGTGAGAAGGAGTGCATTGTTGCTCTGGCTATTCCGATCACGATGGCGGTGGTGATGCGGCTCCAGTCCTGGCGAAGATGAGCTGGTAGGGGTCCACTGATGATAGTTGCTGGTGTAGCGACTGTGAACGGAGTTGACATCGTCGTCCACGTAGAGCATGCTCCTGCCATAGTCGTTCGCAGGAAAGCTCCAGCCATCGCCAATCGAATTCCGAACTGGCACCAACCAAAGGTACCACACAGGTCCCAACACTTGCACAAAGTTTTGTCTAAGCAGTTCAAGTGAAGCGAGTGTTCATTATATGAGAAAAAAAGGGCGCCGACATCTTTCCAATAATGCTTCCAATGCCAATCCAGACGACATACTTCCTGCCGAGATCAAAGACGTTGAGAACACGACTGTGCATGACCTCGCCACTATTACCCATCTTGTATTTGTGTTTCTCGAAGCTCTCGATCGTCGTCTTGTTCGACTTGATCAATAGCGCATGGTGGATCGCAAACGGAGCCAGGCACAGTCCGAAAATCATACCGGCAATAATTATAAAGATCCACTGCGGATCAAATTCGTTCTCGCCCTATTGAAGTCCCAAAATAAAAGCAGATGCTGAGTAAAAGATGTGGCGATCAATTTGAAATCCAGATGCGGATGAATCAGTCCACTTACATAGGGGACGTTGACAGCCTCGGCAGCTACGGGTATGGTGCATGCCACAATGGCCACACAATAAATCGCCGTCCATAAAACAAACAGCTGGAGTAAGCGCAAACAAAGGGTATAGATGATAAAGCGGTATTAGAATGTTATCACTTAGGATGTCGAGTGTTGAGTGAACCATCTTTAAATCACACTTACAAAAAAGGCCTTGTAATTCTTGTGTCCAACGCAATTATTGAGCCATGGACAGTGACTATTAGAATAAAGGATGATGGAAGATCGTTTAAAAAAATAATTCATGGTCCTATCAGCGAGAGCGGACAGATAAAGACTTACTGGTCCATCTTGAGAACGCATCGTTTGCACGAGGAGCTGTTGCAGGAGCAAGCAATGGATGTTGAACGATAAGGGCGTGAAAATTTTTCAACAAGATGTGAAAGTAGTAAAGTCCTCGTCACCGCCTTCACTTACCAATGATGTGTTCTGTCAGGCTTTTCGAATCTATCATGAAGTAGGAATATTGTCAGGTCTTTGTCTAATCGCATACAAAATTTATTCCAGTGAAACCAATGGCGCTCATTTGCTGTCAAGCATAGGTGTCGACATACTTGCACTTTTGACAGTATCGCATCTTGCCATCCCGCTTGACTGTGAATCGCCGGATCGACCGCCCAAGGGGCTCGTTATCCTCTGCATCGGCTGCATCCTCATTGTCGCCATCATATCCACCGCGACCCGTACGTCGGCAGTTCTCCTGGAGCGGTCGATCATCCACGTTCCCATCCGGTATGCTCACAGCAGTGTGATCCTGTCGTTGTTTTCCAATAGACTGAAGAGGAGGCATTGGTGGCGGTACCAAATAGGATGTCGAAGGTTGGCTGTGACCATGCTGAGATGTCGTTTCCCGCGCCCAAGGGTCAATTAGTCCGCTGTCCTGTTCCGGGTCCAAATACTGTTGCTGACTGTGATCGGCGATATCAATGTCTTCCGGCAATATCTGACGTCCTTGATCCCTGGTCATCGCTGCTCTCCGTATTTCATCTGCCTGCAGGGGCGATTCGTTGGCACTAGATGGAGGAGACAAGTAAAACTGCTCTGGTTCTAACAGTCCCACATGAGCTGCGTCCTCTTGATCGATTATTCTTGTGTCATCCTGAGCGGCTCTATGATACCCTGGATGCACCTGTAGGATCTAGAAAAAAAAAAAAGACAGTAATGGAGCGGATGAAATCGTGAATATTAGACCCCATGGAGTTCTCCGACAATAACGCAATATATAACGATGGTCCATTCTTTGTTACCTCTGATGGATACCCTGGAGATGCAAAACTGGCAAGGGAGTAGCTCCAGAGGACAAGCACGACTATCGCTGTCACCATGCAGAGATATATCGTCCCTATGACATCCAGAACGAGTGAGTTGCTTGTCTCTTTGATTCTTATCCAGAGACAACAGTAATCTGAGATTTTTACTACCTTGGCCGACATGTTCGTGCGTGAGCAGGTAACGACATACAGAGAACGCAAACACATAGTAGCTCCATCCTATCAATACAAGGCCTGCTCAAGTCCATATTAAGAAGCGAAGAGTCGTTACGGACAATTGTTAATTGAGCGCCAAAGTTGTTATCGGCTAGGTAGTTAGACGGGCCAAAGAGCCTTCATACAAATAGCTACGGGTATCCATGACACGCCCTCCACACAGCGCTCTCGAACCCGCCAGGTCTGCATGGGTCTGCTTCTATGTTCTTTCGGTGGTTCGTCAAGGTGCTGTTATTATGTGGTCAAAAGTGAACAGGATGTTCAAGGGACAAGGATGAGCATGGTCCAGGAGTTCGACATCACATCAGGGACATCACAGCCGACCCAATATGCTGCCAACTTTCCACGTGATAGATTCTCTCAAAAGCGAACGTTGAAGAGGGTTTTATTTGATAAATAGTGCCTCTATGATGATCCATCTAAGGACGAAGTCGAGTTCTGCCACAGGTGTGGCAAGACATTGGGCAGATCCAGAATACTGCTGACTTGAAAATGACCAAAATTGGAGACCTCTGGATCGTCTGCAACATGAACTGCTGTCCATCCGAGATCTAAGGCTTTATCGACGTTCGCTGCCGAGTCGTCCACAAGGAAGCAATTAGAGGCGTGAACAACGCCTGCATCTCTCATGGCCCTGCGGAATGATTCTGCCTCAGGCTTGCAAACAAAGTTGGGCTCCAAATAGTCGCAGTATGTCAGGCCATCAAAGCATCCTTCCAAGCCCAAGCATTTAATCACTCGAAGTGCGTGCTGTGAATGCGTCGCCAGGGAAAAAAAAATCATGATTGTAAAATATGGGTTAGTAATGTATTCCTAAATGAAGCGCTCTTGTCAATTATTGTCTCGTATCAATCGATGCCTACGTTCTTTCCGGCGTTGGTGAAGAGCCATTTTTTCTCGATATTCAAGGATTTTATCATATCACGGAGAGGAATGTTCTCGTGTAAAAGATCTTCCAGCGGTAACGCGCCATCGACCTTGTCATCTATGGCGCAAGATGTAAGGCAGGATATTAGAATTCGCCTTTCCTTACTCACAACGCGGCCAGCGGCTGAACAGATAACAAGGGCCTTACCATAGTCCCTGACATCGATCTGTTATCGCATCGAGTGTATGATATGAATATCCGCAAGAAAAATCATGGTGAGAAAACTGTTCCTGAATCAATTAGTTCCTGTGAAACATTTTTTTTATAATACCTCTAATTGATATCACACATGAAAAAGAAAAACCTTTGCGTGAGAATCGCAAGAACAGCTTATACAATGTCAGTTGGCGCAAAGTTGAAGATACACTTACCAGGATGATGAACCACAAGCCCACGGATGGCCAGGCCATAATCGATGTAGTAACGATATGAGATATCGTGAACTAATGTCAACAGTGTGACAATAGCACGTCGTCAGAAAATATACATTTGCGCAATGGCGATCGCCTGAAATAAAAACATCGTTGTTGAGAAATTGAAGGTGCGCAATAGTACCTTGGGTGCTTTCAATTCCGACGTCATGGAAGTACTGCTCGATCCTGGTGGCCAAATTGAAGAATGAGAAGCAAAGAGTCAGAGATCCGCAGATAGATTTTCTCTACAATATCGAAATCAATTTGATCCGTCCTACAATACTTTTGGCGCATCATGTCTGGGATACCAGTGTCCTTGGGATAGAGGCAGTTGTCAATGTCAAAGAAGAAGACGCGTGGTTCATGGTTAGGAGTGATAGACCGGTCAACGGACTTTCCAAGGGCCTCCTGGCCCGCTGGGACGTTGATGTCGAGCGTGGATGGTCCATGGGCCACGAGGTCGTGGTTCCTGTTCACTGGCGTGGGTGAGGGTAGGCCAAGATTGGTGAAGGGCATAATGGGTTTCGTCCTGGCTGAAAAGATTCTACAAAAGTGTGGTCCTTGGTTGGGAGTGGGATGCAAGTCGTTGAGTTGGTGTTGATGGAGATGAGGAGTGATGAATAGAAAAAAGAAATGCAGCAGAGGGAAAAGTAAATCCGGTTATATCTTCGCCGATGACGAACAGTGACTCCGGCTGTCCGACGCCCTTTGTCCGCAATTGAAGTCATCCAACCGGATTGATTGCCATCTCCACAGCCTTTACGTCATTTGAGTGCCCATTATGTGGACCCAGGGCAAGGACGGATGAAGTCTTTTTCGTCCCAGGGGATAAATGTCCTATAATGGAGGGTCGAATCGATAGGTCGCTAGGCGATATTTGGATGGCACAAAGCGCGTTTTACTGAAATTGTCTATACGTAACATACATGTTGAATGAATGGCTTTACAAGGCTGAGAACCTGTTTGGACGTTGGGAAGCAAAAGAAAGAAGCAAGGATATGTTGAGATACTTTACATAAATGATGAAAAGAATGAGCAAAAGGACATATTAGTTAGTCTTCTCGGTGTCTTGCTTCTCGTCCAGGTCGACAGGTACGATGCCATCCAGTTCCTGAAGAGCAATCTCTGAGACTGGTCCCTTGAACCAGTGGCGTGCGGATAGGAACCAAGTCAGGGTCGTGAAGATCAACAAGAAGCCCACAGCTGCAGGTGTAAAGTTGAAGGCATTCATGTCGTCGACAGGCCAACTTTGAGGCAAGTTGAAGATGATGAAAATAAAGATGGTCCAGATAACGGCAATCCAGCCAACGGGTCTGGAGAACTTGCCTAAGTTGAACTCGTGCTGCACAAAGGTCGAAGCGCCGACGGTAATACGGAGCAGGATAGGGATCGCGTACGAGACCGTGAAGCCAATGATGGAGATTCCAGAGATGGCGCTCAGCGTTGCCGTCGATCCGAATGAGGGCAAAGCAAGGATGATGATGATCACGACCGAGAGCCAGACGAGACGGAGGGGCATCTGCGTGCGCCTATTAAGGACCGTCCAGTAGCGCGAGAAGGGAAGACCGCCGTCGCGGGCAAAGGCGTAGATCATGCGCGAGTTGGCGGCCACGGTCGCGATGCCGCAGAGGAAACCGGCAAAGACGATAATGAAGATGAGGACGCTGCCGCCCCTCTTCCCTGCACAGTCGATGAAGATCTGAGGCGCGGCACCAATGCTGCTGCTCAGAGTGGTATTGTAGTCCTGGATGCCAAATGTGAGGGCAAGGGCGAGGCCGAGACCAATCAAGACTGATGCAAAGATGGACAGCAGGATGCCGCGAGGGCCGTTCACGTACGATTTTTCGGTCTCTTCCGACATGTGAGCGGAGCTGTTGGGGGAGCCAGAAACGAGAGAAACGAACGTAATGTTATTCATCGTTAGTGCATTGTAGGACAAATAATGGGCGGAGCGTTAAAATGTTCGATGGTGGTCATATCACTTACGCATCGTAGCCAAGCATTGACCATTGCGACTGAAGCAAACCAAGCAGAAAGACAAAGACAGGGCTTGCACTCGACGAGGTCGTGTAGCCGGTATGGTCCTCAAAGTCTGTGAACACAAATTTGGCAGTCTGCAGCTTGGGAGCACCGGCTAGAACGACTATGATAATCACAATCGTGCCCACTATGTGAATAAAAACCGATACCAACGATGCAATTTTCAGAGCACGGCCACCGGCACTATTGACAAGACCAGCGATAACCATCAACGCTGCCATGATATAAAAGTTCTTCTTGCCGTCCGTTTCATACGTGGGCTGCCATACAGAGATGAGGTTGTTCATGAACGTAGCGGCAGCAAGAACAGATCCGGAGCATCCCGCGACTGTTACGAGGCAATGCAATTAGAGGAAATCAGTCAATGTTGCCACTTGGAGGAGGCACAGCAATGTCAATTGAATCAGATTGGCCCGGTTACCTTGTCCAAGCATGTTGAACCAGGCTTCGTACCAGGAGAACATGGGACCCCACTTGGGTCCACCACTACAGAGGCGAATGACAACGGACCATCAGCTAGTCAGTATACTTTGCAAACTATTCAGTTTAATGTAAACAGCAAGGCAACTTACAGCTTGGCGGTCCAGAAGTACAGCCCTCCAGCGGTGGGGTATGTACTGCAGATCTCGGCCATTCCCAAGCCAATGAACATGACAAAGAAGGCGACGAGGAGCCAGCCCCAGATGGCAACCACAGGGCCTCCGGCGGTCATTCCAAAGCCGAACAGGGGCACAATCCCGATCAGAACAGACGAGTTAGTCAGAGTGAATCCAAAATTCTGAAGTCCAGAGAACTGGCGCCTATATATCAATTGGATAGCAGTATTGGGAGGAAGAAGTGGCACTGTGTGAGATTCAGGTTGGCATCGGCGAGGGTTTTTTGTACAGCTAGTAGTTGCTGAGCTCATTGAGAACTCACTTCATATTTTGCTTGTAACCCAGCTGATGTTGCATGGGAAATGGAAAAGGAAACGGCAGAGCACAGCAGCTTTATTAGTGGGCGAATGCATATTTGTTTGTTGAACCAGGGTTGACAAATAGATCAGGGCGGTTTCAATTCCGAATGAGGGAGGGGTGCTGAATGAGAGAGTTCCGTACCCTGGCAAGACGAGCCTCATCCTCGTTGTAATCGGCGGCATGACCCTTTTCTGTGTTCTCCATTTTCGTCGGGTGCAAGGAATGACTTGGAGGGAATGAAGTGCAATGAAGAAAAGTTGCCTTGGCGCAGAAGAGAATAGCTAGAGTCCACTTATGAGGGGGAGGGGGCTTCGACCGGGCGGACCACCAAGAGGCACCGGCTTCGAAACCCAGCTCGGGAGGATTGATACGTGATTGGGGAATGGACTTGAAGTCCCACGTCTGTTCTATTTATATGGGGCGTAATGAGAGAAGAGGATGAGGTTCAAAGGGAAATCATTTCTATATCGATGCACCCCGTCTTCTGATGCCTGTCTCTCTGTCCAGTTGTTTAGGAGAGACTGATGTCGAGAAAGAACGGCAATCAATAGCCCCTCCTTTACCCCGCTATTGTATGCTTTTCCCAAGCACTCATAGTAGATGGTTCAGGGTTCAGGGGGAGAAACTTCTACTGGACCTTCCTTGGGTTCAAGCTCCTACTATGGGACCTGCTCCCTGCGCTTAGTGAGTATACTAATCATAGACCGCAATTGTATTTTCAGATGCAGTATTGCCATTAGTGCTAGCAGTGGTGATGGCCCTGGACATTCGGATTATACTCGCAAGCACCAGCTGAAGGACAATTTACTAGTGCGCATATACAATAGGGGTCCTCGTTTTTTTTATTGCTCCATTGCGCACGGTATTAAAGAGAAAAATGTTTGAGTACGCCGCTTCCACTCTCTTATGAAAGGCCTCATGGGAGGGCCGATGCTGGGACGTGAGTACTTGCTGCTTGACTAGATCCACTGCCGCCAGTCTGCTGCTCGTGCAGCAGTCTCTGTTGTTCCTTCAGTGCCTGCAGTTGCTCTTCTTCCTGTTGTTGCTGCCTGAAATATGCAGAAGCATCAAAAATCTTGTCCTGATTATCTGTCCGCTTGCTGTGAAACATAAAGCGAAATAAAAGAAACGACGTCGTCAAACATTGCACATCCAAGCTCATGAACACAGCAAGACATATTTAAGTCAATGAACAAAACTGTAACGCTTCCGTAACTTACCCCATCTTGACCGCTGCTGCAACATCAGCCGGTCCAGCGACAAGATATGGCTGATCTGAGAATGGATCCGCGGAATGTACTGCAGCAGATCCATTTGTCGCGACTCCCTTGCTGTTTCCGGTCACGGCGCCGTTGCCGTTGCTGTGAACATGACCGTTACCAACGCCTGCACCATCACCACCATCAAAAGACATCAAATCATGTGCTGGGCTGCGCTGACCATTCGACAACGTCTCGACATTGCGACTCGGGACTACATCAGTCATTTCGGACGCCTTGGTGACTTTGCTCAAGTGCTGGCGCTCCATCATTTGGTTATATGCCGTGAATGCCTGCACAAGTTCCTGGTTGCAAGCCAAAAGTGATGCTAGAGAAATATAGTTATAAGGAAAACGGAGTTGAGTGAGTATGTCGATCCATAGGCGTATATTTCGACGCTATATTTGATGATCAATACAGTTATCAACCATACTCAGCCATTGCTCGTTGGGGTTCGCCGACTCTGTCATTTCTGACAGATATTGCTGGATGCCGCGCTGGAGTGTGAGACATTTTGAATGGAATTCCTACGGTTGTCGATTGTGTTCATGATCAAGAGTATTAATTCGATATGTTCTGTGCTTATATGCTCATCCTGATAATAAGGCGCTGCCCCTTTAGTATACCTTGATCAATTCGTTTTCCTCGATAGCCTCTAGTTCCGGATCTGCAAATGACACCGCCTCAATCAACATGTGTGCGTTGTTCCGTGCGAGCTCAATATCCTGTGCCATTTGCCTCATTTGCTATTGTTGAATGAACGTGAAAGGATCGTCATTTGTGAATGATTCATCTAACTGAAATAGCACGGCTCTAGAAGCTACAGTAACGATGAACTTTCAAATACCTGTTCCGGTGTGATGGATGCGCGGGGTGGAGAGTGCGAGCCTTGTCGTGGGACGCTCTATTTCAGAATTCACGATAAAATGATTTAGTAAGAGGTACTGAATGGGGATTCAAGCACATTCCTTCCCGCCGAACGGTGCTGCTTACCGATCTGGGTGTGTTGTTCTTAACCAATGTGTAGTAGAGGTTTGGAATAATGACAAGTCCGGGATCTGTGGCAAAAACCGCCGCCCAGTCGTCCAATCGCTCCATGAGACGAATTTTGACGTTGGCATCAGTGACCTAGAATAAATCAGGTGTGTGGAAAAAAAATGACAGAAAACTCCATTAATCAAGATGGTTGTTGCCTGCCAATGCTTCCAATTTTCCATGGACTCCGCATGTTCCTTCACCGTTGATGTTGAAATAGCTACTAAACATTTGCATTCTCGTCTTTGGTGCTGTTTCTTACATCTGCAATAACCACAGCCTCAATATCGTCTGCGAACTTGGCGGTTGCTAATTGGGCTGTAGAGGGAGTGAAGAGGCGCCGCCAAGTGGAGATATTGCATATCAGTAAACAAACATTGACTAATTGCAAACGCACTTTGTATAAAGTAATAGCTCACCTTTGAATTTCGAGCCGCAACCATCCACCATTGCTTGGATTAACTAGAAGGGAAACGTTTTGCCAGGGCAAACAATCAGAAGAGTTCAGGCATTATACCCGGGGATTCACTTTCTTGTGCTCACCGTGATAGCGTTCATCTGCTGTTGGGGTCGTCCCAGTCGCAGCTTTTTTCGCAATGCTTTCGCAGCCTCCTTCGCGCTGTCCGGTTTTAGAAATCCCAAGAATAAATTTGCATGAAGTGCACAGAGTGGGACGACATACGTTGCATGAAAGACGGCAAAGTGAGAACAGTGAGCAGAGCAGGAAAATGCATAATATGAATCCACTGCTATTCGTGTCCTCGTTAAAGGCAAGGATGGATGCAGCCATTCAGTGCACTTACCCATCGTCCCTGGCGTTAACAGTCTCACACAAGCTTGAGACCGCCTCCCAGTTGGTGATGGCAGCCAGGCTGGTGATGCCCTCTGTTTACAGACAGACCCAAGAAAGTAAACGAACAAAGTTGAGTCAGTACGAACGCGGTTCGACTACAAGAAGAAAACGCTGGGCGGCTATGTGTTGTGAGGTAGACGATGAGTAGTTACCAATTTGGCTGGTGATGACTGATTGCTTTGAGAACAGTCCCATGGTTGGTTGTGGAAGAAGGAAGGAGGGATGGAAAGGGAAAGAAAGGCAGCAATGTACAAAAGGAAGGAGAAATGGAGCGAGTGCCAATAATGGACCAATTATTCTTTTTCTCTGTGGGGAAAGTGAGGAACAGGTCGTTGCTCAGAAAGCAGAGAGGGGCAAGCAGATATGGGTGTGGTGTGCGTGAAATGCGAGACGCTTTTTAAGGCCGGCCAATTGAGTTCTCGAGCAGACCATCATGTGATGGCTCTCCGGGCTGTTGCTGTTGTTCTTGGCAAGACGCGGTGTCGATTTGGGGCCCATCCATTTATCCGCCTTCCCTCACTCTCTTCGCTTGTCTGCGCTGCATCCTACAGATCAAAGACGATACATGGACATCGAAATTGAAGAAAGAGCAACCCACTCCATAGATTCAATTTCCACGCTGAAACAATAAGTCCAATCAAATTATTAGATTTGAAATTGGTGGCAAAGTAACTGAATGTCATAACACACGTTGATCCGACTACATTGGGCACAAATCGCCTTGCCACTAATAGCCTAGATCCTTTTTTTTTTTTTTTTTTGTATCGTATATGTTGAGTACGTCGTATGGTGTATGCCGTGTGTGCGTTTTATTGTCGTATGGTACATGTGCAGCCTATCCTTCCTCAATCTTCATCCGTGATCCTGCGGTAGCAAGCAAGGTACTTGTCGCCCTTGTTACGCTCCACCTTCTGGCCTTCCTCAGTAGCATTCCTGACATGTTCAACCGCTGGATCGTCGACCTATAAATAAGCCCAGGAGCATTGAATATAATTAAAAAACGCTGCCTTCAACTCAATGTGCACCAATTGATTATAGTCTAGGGCCCTGCTTTTACCAGCTCCTCGTCGGGAATCCTGACAAACAAGGGATGAGCGTCCAGGTGCTTCACCATCCATAAATGAAGATCCTTGACATCACTGATTGTATAAATGATTCCGCCAGGACGCAAAACATAGGCGTATTCGGAAATAAGCGTCGGTCTAAATAGCACGTCGATAAAATATAATAGCCATGATGAGCACCTGCAACGATCGACAGTAGCATTGTGTAGCCGCACTTACGTGATGATGCGAGCTTTATGCTTTCTTTTCTTGAAGTGAGGATCAGGAAATAAAAAGAACATCTTGGAGAGCTATTGAGAGGAATACAAATGGTGAAAATGACTGTATTTGTACCAATCCATGATTACGATTCGAGTACCGCCCCTCGACTGATCTACGTGATTCCTGTAATTACCTGGTGCTTCTCAAAAAAGTTCGGCAAGAACTTCATCGCGTTCATACGCAGAATCGAGACATTGTCATACGATCCAGGGTGGTTCTGACGCAGCGCCAAGATCTTTTGGTTGACATACTCCTCGACCTTGACACGGATCTCCATTCCTATTGCAAGAAAGATCCGTACACGCTTAGCATGAAGAGATGGCATAAAATTCTTGAAAATAAAAAAAGTTAAAACACATGCCACAACGACCAAAGCGCTTACCCAGCATCAATGTGTCGGGATACACGGTTGACAGGGCAATGAGAAGCCCACCGTATCCGCATCCGAGGTCGGCAAATTCGACTTTTTTTCCAGAGTCCTTTGTCACAGCTCCCTCGGCAGCAGCCTCACCATTCTTGGGAGCGAAATGCTTGGGATAGTTCTTGGACCAGTCCATGTAGGCGGGGCTCACCGGGCTATTCGTTGGAAGCAGTAGATATTGTTGAAAGAGATACCTTAATAGCTGTATCCAAAAGCTTCCGCGCGATATCGAGCACTCCAAACGATTGAAAACAAAATAACGAGGACTCACTAGTCGAGATGATGGTCCGAAAACACATTGGCGTGGGCGCGCTGTCGGAAATACTTTTTCTAAAGGCCATCCCAGGAGCGTTGTGGTGTTGTGGTGTTAGATACTCTTCTGTTGCTCAGTTCCCCCAGTGGTTTATGGCTGTCCAGACGTGTCGTACCTGTGGAAGGCGAACCTCGGTCGAAGTTTCCTCTGCATGCCTCTTCTCCCCTGTGTTCGCTGACGTTGTGTTTTCCATGTTGAACCGCCTTGTTGTTGAAGGAGAAAAGGGATGCACTGAGAAAGGACAAAAAAAAGTGATCAGCATGGCTCTCAAAGACAAACAAGCGCTCAGCCACCCCAATCGCATACTTCGTGCTGCTTGACTTGGTTATAGTCGCCTTCGCCGTCCCTCCTCCACCTTCTCCTTATCGCTTCCTAGTCCATCGTCCACAGACTATCCCAACGTAATGAATACCAGCAGGATGCATTGCCACTTCCATGTTAAACTACGTCTTTTATTTGCCATTAACTGAAACCTGTGTGCCTACCTCACTATCTATTTCGTGAACTAGGCGTGTAAGCGGAAATGACGAACAAACGACAGATGACCTTCGAGGCCAACGAAACAGTTCTCTGTTTCCATGGGCCATTATTGTACGAGGCTAAGGTAACGCCGCAAGGATACCACATCGACTGAGCCTTGATAGCAGGAGCATTCATGCAACCCAGACCAGCTCATTTACTTTCGAATTCAACTCGACTCTAGATTTTAAAAACAGACTGGAGGAGTCTCGATCCCCTTCATGGAGAAGAGGGTCCTGTCTATCTTGTCCATTACCGCGGGTGGAAGCAGACGTAAGCAACACTCCTTCAGCTTTAAGTCCTGCTATTGTGCCTTTCCGAACCATCTGTTCACTAACAACAAAGCCGTGTTTGAATGCTTTAGGTGGGATGAATGGGTTCCAGAGTCAAGGGCGTTAAAGTGGAACGAGGCTAATCTAGCAAAACAAGCCAGCCTGAAAGAGTCATATCCCGGTAAAAAAAAGGCTGTACCAAAGACGTCGGGATCAACTGAGAGCTCAGACAGAGGAAAGAAGCGTGCAAAGGATACAAGCGTGGACAAGGAAGAGGAATTCACAAAGCGACCCGAGATCAAAGTACCGATACCCGACTCATTGAAGGTGCAGCTCGTGGACGATTGGGAGAATATCACTAAAAACCAACAGGTTAGGCTCTTTTCGCCCACGGATTTGTACTGGTTTCGTTGTGGTGGACATTATCACTGAAACTTTTTTATTTGTAACAATCAGTTGGTGCCTCTGCCACGGACGCCAAATGTTGTGCAAATCCTGGAAATGTACAGGGACTCGAAAAAGGACAAGAAAGCGTATGTGTTATTTGAACGCCCGATGTTCATGAGCGATATAATCATGAATATGAATCAAGTTCTCATCGCTGATTTGTATTTATTGGTTTTCATTCATTGCGACACCAGTAAGAACGATGAGATTTTCCAGGAAGTGCTGTCAGGAATTAAGACGTATTTCGACAAGTGTCTGGGCAATATGTTGCTTTACCGGTTCGAGCGTCAGCAGTATGTGGACATCAGGAAAAAGAACACAGGCAAGGAGGACTCTGAAATTTATGGAGGCGAGCATCTCCTACGGCTCTTTGGTAAGTAGTCGCGTTTTATTTTGAGCGCGCTCTGTCTTGGTCTTCATGAATCTGACTTGCTATCTTTTCTATGTGCATAGTGCAATTCCCAATGCTTATCGCACACACACAGATGGACCAGGATTCAATCAATGCTCTCCGAGAAAATTTGGTCGACATGCTCAAGTACGGGAATAGCGCCCGGATTACGTTTAATTCAAAGGATGTCTCATATGAAGGAAATGACCGATACTGACAACCCATCGCTGCTGAACCCATGTTATGCCATCAATAGGTGGATGCAGAAGAACCACAAGGAGCTGATACTGTCAGAATACGAGAACGCCAGTCCTGCGTACCAGTCGATTGTCAAGTCATGAACCCATTCCTAAAACAGTTCTTCAAAAACAGCATTCGCGTACTACACTACCAAGTCAAGGAGAGCATGGTGCCATGTCCTGGCCTGCCTTGTCCTGTCCTGTCGTGCCGTGTTGTGTCCTGAGCAGAGCAGCAGCAGTCCTCGCATTACAGTTTCCTATGGCCGCGAATAAATGAAAGGAAACCCCAATTTATATTAAATTTTCCATGAACAATGAAAGCCCGCTGGTGTAAATATAGCGAGCATTAGGTTAATGCAGTGGGGATGGAAGGTCAAAGGGACCCCCTGATTGATGGCACAAACTGAGAACCATGCCTCGGCACTACTGCGTCATGGTCTGCAAGAGTGACACTGGCTGATCGCATGGTGTCCTGGTAGACTCACCTGCAACCCCCACTCTCACTCTTGACTCCACTCTCCATCCGCCCCTTCCCCTTTGCAGCAACCACCTTAAACTTCCTTGCACTTTTCTCACCTCGCACTTCCCAGCTCTTCTATCCTTCTCTGTCCTTTCCCTCTCCCTTGCCTCCTAGCATCGCATTTCTTCGACACTCATCTCAACCTCAACCTACTAAACTCGACTCTGGGGTTCCTGTCCTATCCTCACTCGGTTATTGCCATCTCTCGCGCAGTTGCCTGAACTATGACCGGACAAGCACCATCTCCGAAGCGCATCGCAGACTATTTTTTCATGGTCGGGCTGAGAGATGACTTTACCCTAACAGAGACACCAACAGAAGACCAACACAGATGCGAACAGGAGAATGCACATGCACATCGCATGAATAACAATCCACCAATTCTGTTCAGCAATGATTCCACATACAATCATACGATCGTGCACAGTTCACTGTTCAATGGTGACACAACGAACAAGAATACAGTCTTGCCACCATCTACAGCAATAGAGGCGGGGGCATTCACTATAGCGGGTCAGACAACGGCCGCAAGGTCGCCCAACCGCACACGGTCCAAGTCCATGGCGCAACCAGCTTATTCCCTTACTACTGCTACCGCGCAGATGCCTCCCACTCTTCCCAGCCATGGCGAGGGATGGCAGACTCAACAAAGTAAGTCCGGTCTTTCGTGCTTCATTGAGTCCCGAGATTTGTCTCTTCACAGTCTGACAATGCCATGTGTAAATGTATCCGGATTGCTCTATTCAACTTCTCAAATGAAGTTCTAAGTCCAGGAACAGAGCCTTTTGTCCCTCAAAGGGCGCCCGTAGCACGTAGGACAAGCATTCTCTCCACAAGATCGAATAACCCCGGCAAGAGATCGGGTACCGTGAGTGACATTAGTCGCAAAGGAAGCACTGGACTTCACCACAAACCGACCTATCGACACGTTTCGGCAGGCACGCTTTTCAAAACAGTACAAGAAGGAGTTGAGCATCCTCAACTTACCATAGACTCTCAGGCTGGACCTGGTAAGTGGTTTGCACATTCCGTACTTGTGCTGACTTATCTCGATCATACTTCCATGTTCTTTACTGAGGTACATCTGATTTTACATGGCACTTCTAGTATCCGCTTCACAGCGACATGGCACATACCCTACTACACCAACATCCGCCACGACTTTACACCAGGACAAAGCCGCTCTCTCTGAGCAGGACATGAAGACTTCGGCACTCAGTAAAAACATGGCCATGATGCGGAGTCGATCCAGGACATTTCACGGAACTCAGCATTTTCAGACAGACATCCATAAAGATGCAGCACAAAAACCACTAGATACACACCCAGCGGAACGTCTTTTTCAGCCTATCGTGACATGTAGATATCCAGAGAAGGACTGGAACGACGCGGAAGTGTTTCCACCGCATCTGCCAATGGTTAGCTGGATTTCGCGGTCAAATTGAATGCAGTAATGGTAAATCGGCCTCCTATGTCTTCTTTCTAACGCAAAACGATATGTGCATCTAGTTTTGTTTTCCAGGAGAGTTATCTTTCAAGCTACAGGAGGATCGGCCGCCAACGACATATCACTCGTTTGTTATGACGCAGGAGAGCGGGAATCGCTCATACGCCATGTGTGTAACACTGTACGAACGTCTACCAAAGCGCATGCAGTGGCAGTTTGATGCATTGTGTCAGAACTGGACCAGGAGTCATATGGCAAGTTGTTGATCCAGGAAGCTTTACCCGAATGGATTAATTCGTGCCACCACTGTCGCCCATATTGCTAACACAAATGCACGTCTCTCTTCAGTCCGAGAGCGAGATGGAATATGCGAAGGTCATCAAAGCAAAGATCTCTAGAGAAAAGGCGCTCTTGCGTGGACTGCAGGACAGACTACGGGAGGAGCGGACACTCGGAAGAAATGATAGCATTATGGAGTTGAAGCGGGATGTTGTGGATGTGGAAGAGAAGCTGTCTCTTCTGGAGGATCAAATGCAGCCATGGAGAAGGCTCTTTATCGAAGCTGAGGATGTCTGGGTCCCACGGTGCGTTGGCTTGATCAGCCCGATACCATATCATTATCTGCTGCGAGACTGGCTGCTAGCAGTTGTGGTCGCATGTTCAGGAGGAGTAGAATATCCGGGAATGAGTCTGAACTCCTTGCGACTTGAACGGTAAGCAGGAACGGAGAAGTGCCATTTAAAAGGACCAAAAGTCGGTTGCCTTCATACTAACACAACTGTTTATTAACAGATATGTCAGGAACATCATTCACGATGTCACTGTCCCGCCTCTTGGAAGGACGGAAATCGCAATTTCAGTGAACAACCGACTCATCTACGCATCTAGACCCGCGCTTAACAGCGTCCCCATTGTCAAAAACGTAAGCTCAGAGCGTTTGTCCTATGAGGACGAAATTACTGCAACTTCTTTCTCATGACATTTTCTCCTCCTTAGTTCTCATTGTTTCCGCTCTTCCGCTGTCTCTCATCCGAAAATGTGGTCACTCTCATGGAGGTATGTGTCAGGGATGAATATCGATCCACAGGATTGAGTTATACGAGGAGAGCAGCGATTGATATGTTCATCTGCGTAATCTAGGTCATGCTTTCCGAAGGCAGGATCATATTGGTGTCGTCGTACCCGGGGATGCTCACGCTCGCGAGCGAAAGCATTCTTTACTTATTCTTCCCTTTATACTGGCAAGGAGTGTATATCCCGATTTTGCCAGCCGCCTTGATGACATGCCTTCAAGCACCCGTGCCCTATATCATCGGTGTTGAACGGAGCTGCTGCGACCCTGACTTTCCGCCAGAGGATGTAGGGTTTTTTTAATTAATTTTACGGCTAATATCTATCATTACACTGCAGGAATTGTAAACTAGGTTACTAACTTCATTATTGGTTTCAATTTCATTTCACACGGCGCAATAGGCATGCGTGGTTGACCTGGACAAGGGTACCATCAATGTCCAACTGGCGCCAGTACCACTGCCGCCTCGGCCGCGAAGGAAACTTATCCAGTCCCTGGAGCAGTATTCATCCGCCTGCACTGCAGATGGTGCGTCCTCAGGTCCTCCCAAATATGTGCAAGAGGCATATCCACATTCTCGTCTGACCTTGTTCTGCGGTGTGTCTCGAGCGCCACGCTGGAATAGGAAATTGGACAGTCTGAGACCGCCCGTTGCCTCTACGCTTTCTGTTGCTACTAGTGCCTCCTCTGTTCCAAATACATCGCCAGCAGTCAGTAGGAAATCCTCCACTAACACTCTGGGACATCGTGGATTGAACCCGAATGTGCTGCCGATAATCCCCAAGGTTGATTTCGAAAAGGAGACATTGCTGGAGGGTTTTGGGGAGATGAAGGCGGAAGAGAGCGTCCCAGGCGATCCAGAAAGGCCCATGAGAGAAACTGTCAGTAAGAAAGATCTTCGATCGGTAGCAGACACGATGGATTTGAGGATAAACCAAATTGCGCCAGAGCAGGTAAGGCGAATGACATGCTATGTCGCTCGTATTTGAAGTAGGTATCGAGGAAACAACGATTAATGGACCTTGGCTACTTTGTAGGAGGTAACAGAGTCACTCAATATGGCAACACGTAAGATCCTATCCCCACAACGTGCTCGTGCCAATTTGTTCGAAGTTCCCAAAAAGCAGGAGGCAGGCGGAAATCAGCAGACGCCACGGCAACAATTACTTCAACCCGTGGATGCAGCTAGCAATCGTGGTCGCAGTAACAGCTATAGTACCCTTTTGACGCTATCGGATGGCATAAATGAGAGACTGGCACATCGAGCATCTGTAACATCGCTCGAGTCTTCAGGCTCGAGTATCTTCCAGCGGTCAGCTCCGATAGGTGGCACTCACGGGGCAACCGGCAGAGGTTCTCCCATGTCGACTATGACCTCCAATACCATGGCCAGCATCAATGGGCCAAGTTTTGCATTCTCGCACCAACAATACCCGTCCTCCTCGACCACTTCGCTTCCGCCACTGGTGCCGACGGACTCCACCAACAACAGCCAGAACCAAGGCGGTATCGGATTTATTGAAGACGAGATCGAGAGCGAACCTAGTCCTTCGATACCCATCACAAAGGAGGGCCACGTTCTCTCTATGGTGCCGAACCCTATTCCCATGTCTGTGCTCAACTGCCGCTGTGGTATCTGCTCGCGTGCCCTTGCAGCCCATCATCAAGTCTATAGATGCGATGGGTGTTCACTTTTTGTGCATGCGGGATGTATCGAGGAGCTGCTCTACCCCTGTGTGCCGCGTGGATTCGACGAGTCTGGGATCTGCTGGAGCGTCTTGCAGATGTGGGCAGGCCTTCTGAAAGGGTATCGATCAGGTATCCTTGCGGGACAAGCGCTGCAACAGCAGCAGTTTCAGCAGCAGATTCAGATGCAAATGCAGACGCAGGGCCATGGCCTGAGGGGATATGGGCACTCGAGACAGCTGTCAAGCAGTGGAAGTGAGAGCGAAAAGGAGAGCAAAGACAGGTTCTCTTGGGCCAGCTTCCGTGGGTGGACTAGTCGGAGCAGTGCTAACACGAGTAGCCCGGCACAGGCTCCAAGAAGTTCTACGGTGTTGTCTTCGGCCGCGGTTCAATCACAGCCCCCCCACACACAGACACAACAACCGCAGACCAGAGCAAGGAGGGGAACGAACAGCAGTGTCGTCAGTGATACAGTCCGGTTCCATCGCGACGTGTTCTTGAAGAGCGTGGACAAGGATGCCAGGGTAGGTGTTGCATATGTTTCTGTCTGAACAAGATACAGCAGCAGTTCTTCATCGACATTAACGTATGTGCACTCTCAATAGCCGTTTATGAATTCCTTTACCGAATCTCAGGCATTCGTGCAGTTTGTGCAGGACAGAGTCGATCGTTCCCCTGGAGACCCAGAGATTATGTTTTTTGATGAAGTGATCAAGGCTAAGATCAACCGCTCCCGCTTCCGGCTAGGCAAAGAGGAGACCAAGTTTCTGGATGTAAAGACTCTTATTTCTAAGGATGTTGATTTGTTTCCTTGTGCATTTTAGAGCGTATAAAACTAAACAGCTCGATGTTTCCGCGTGTAATTAGGACGCTTCTTATGGTATCCAAAGCACTGTCAAAGCCGTTGCACCGTCGGGCGAAATACAGGAGTATGGTAAGTACCTAAGGCTCTTCACAGCAAGTCTCGCGTTGCAGGTGAACACTCTCTCTAACAGCTTCTTAACTCTCTGACGTTTTAGATGATGACTCACGGCGATTTCCTACACATCTGAACCCTGCGTATTTATAAAGAAACGCTGTATCTGAACTTGACAATACTTTGCTCTTCCCCACTGCAATAAAGAAAGGGGGGAGTTTGGTCATCAAATATGGTCTCAATCTGGGCGAAGTCGATGCAAGATGTATTGTTGCCTCTAGGCTTCTTGTGGCCATTCATGCACCCATAATTAATTGATACATCGTACCCGTCTACATATGTATTACTTGCTGCTCTGGTTCTTGACCCAATCCTTGGTCGCTATCTCCAACTCGACCCTCTCGCCCATCCACTCTGGCATCCTGTCTACCTGTTTGAACCCGAATTTATAAAACAATCTCAACGCCGGGACCTGCGAACCCTGCAGCACGACCTTGACCGTCTGTACCTTGTTCTTCTTTATGAAGCTGGCGCTGCTGGTCGTCGTGCCGGCGGAGGGATTTCCACTCAGCTGATCCATCGCAGTCTTGAGAAGCAAGGTTCCACATCCGTTACGCTGGTGCGGCTCCTGAACCGCCCAGTTCACAAGACGGGCCTCGTTCGATCTTTTGTCGACCAAGGCGCCGATGCATCCGATCACGGGGCCGTTATTTTGCTCCAGGACCCAGAACCTGTTATCCTCCTTGTTGCTACTGCTGTTGCTGTTGTTCGCTGATGCGGATGATGCTGATGGGGAGGAGGAGGGGACATTGGAGCCCGAGGGTTCTGTGGATCGCTTCTTGAGAGACCCTGACGACGCCTTCGCGGCGGTTGCAGTGGCGGAAGTCCCATCCTTCTGCTGCTGTCCCTGATCCTGCACTTGTTCCTGATCCTGATCTCCAAAGGCATCTAATCTTCCCACGACCTCGGGTCCGGAGGCCGCGGTCGAGGCCTCGTAAAGCAATGTCAAGAACAAAATCGCCTGAGCCAAAATAACGGACCCCGCCAAGATCGTGAGGACCTCGCTATAGTTCTGAAGATGTGTTTGACGGAACTTGAAGATCGCGGTCGAGATCGCGGTCCAGAGGATTAGGGCCATGGGACGGAGCTTGAGGAAATTGAAGGAGGCAGGGACGGATCGCATGTGGGTGTCGAAGAGCAACTGGGCTACCCCCGGACGATTCGTAGACGAAAGCGCCTGGATCTTGAGTGAGGACGACATTGCTTGGCTGTACTCTTGTGGTATGTTGCTTTGACCGGCTGACTGGCTTGCTGGGTTGAGTGTCCGACTGAGTTGGGGTTTATGGAAGAATGAAGGAGATGAGGAAGGGATGAGGAAAAAGAGATGAGGAAGATGAGATGGTGGAGACTACTCCAGAAAGTCGCACGACTGTACACGGAGTACGATCCCTCCCCCCTCGTGAGAAGGTCGCTCTCACACGGTCTTGTTTAAATTGTGCACTCTTTTGCATTCAATTGGCGCAACCTTCATCCGCACAAAGTTCATAACGTTTTGTTTGTTTGTTTGTTTGTGAGTGGGCCAAAATTGTATTATATTGTTCAAGCATCGTAATGTCAATAAGCGAGAGCGTGTGTTTGTGTGAAGGCGATAGATGGTATGTAGAGAGTATCTGGCTGTTACACGAGTATGAGTGAAAGAGAGAGAGAGAGAGAGAGAGAGAGAGAGAGAGAGAGAGAGAGAGAGAGAGAGAGAGAGAGAGAGAAAGAAAGAGATGCGGCAGCGGATGGCTATAGAAAGCAGCAGTTGTTTGGTCCTGAACTCGAAAAAATGTCCTACAGTCGCGATCAAGACCAGACCTTCAACGTCGTGTCCCAGCTTCCAGTACACATCGCCATACCATCGCTTGCAACTCCCAAACAGCTGACACGGTTTTCGTGTCCCATCAGCACGCCGACTCGCTCACCACGCAGGGTGTCCCAGACATTACAGTTGAAATCATCGTATCCTGCAAACATGAGCCGTCCAGAGATCGAGAACGCGACCGAGGTGATGCCGCAGAGAATGTTGTCGTGTGTGTAGATGTTCATCTCGCGATCCGCTCGAAGGTCGAATAAGCGACACGACGCATCGTCTGACCCAGTTCCAAATGCATCGCCGTTGGGGAAGAATCTAGACGTGGGACAAGCATTAAAAAAAAAAGCATGATTTAGGGCCAGTGTTTCCCTTCAAAGACTCATCTCACGTTGCTGTTATCCTCGTGAGGGGACTTACTGCACAGCGTTGATATCGGATTCATGTCCAGTAAATGTCTGAACGCAGCGTCCAGATCGAATGTCCCACACTTTTGCTGTAGAGTCGCACGCTCCAGAAACAAATAAGCGCTGATCGGGTGAAAGCGATAAACTAGTTACAAAACAAAACAAAAAAAGCATAAAAAAAATAGTTAGCTACTACTTCATCCTCGTCTGCTCTGGTGATGTCCCCCTGCTATGTTCGCTTACCTCATGACATCGCCCGTATGGTCGTTGAATTCCATGACCTTTATTCCTGCATCGATATCCCACAGCATACAGCTCATGTCTCCACTCGACGTCAGGATCTGCCGGTCGTTCAGGAATCGGCAGCAGGAGAGATAACCAGAATGTGCACTCAATTCTCGTGCCACCTTCACAGCTCCTTCCCGAGTACGGAGATTGTAGATCGAACACATGTTATCGAGACCACCGCAGGCGACAAAGTTGCCTGTCGGCGCATAGGCGCAGGTCATGACCCAGGACGACCGCAGAGGGATGGCATACACCTTATTGGTTGTGTAAGCATCCCAGACGATCAACTTTCCATCCTGTGAGGCTGAGACCAGATGCCTCTTGTCCATGGCCCAATGCATGGCGTAAATCTTTGCCAGATGACCCTTGAGCACTCGTCGGATACGCATTCCGATGCGCGTCAATGGCTCCAGCTCTTGAGACATGACTCTCACTATATGACCAGGTAAGATTGAGCAAAAAAAAAAAAAAAAGACGGGTGAGAGATACATTCATACCAAAACAAAAAATAATACGGTGGCAAGCCAAATAATGATCTCCTACTTCTTTTTCCAACATTAAAAAAAGGTTTGGGCGAAGGCCAATTCAGGTTCAGAGGACTACTTACAGGACGTGTCATTGAGTGCGCTCTTCTTTTCCCTGATCTTGTCCTTCAAGAACTCTGCTTCCTTGCGGGCATTGGCAATGCGCTCTGCAATATCAGAACTCATGTTGATTGTCGTTTATGCCGTGCTCACTGGGACAGTTGATATTGTTGTGGTTGTTTTTGTTCCGTGTCGAAAAAAAACACTATATAAATGTCTTGCTGGGCAAGTGTGGATTTCACTAGAAAGAATAAATGAAAGAAAAGCGTCAGAAAGAGGATTTTATGAAAATTCGGCAGTTGTAAGACGATATAGCAGATAGAAAAGATAGAGAGGGGAAGAAAAAAAGAGGGATAGAGAGAGAAAGAGAGAGAAAGAGAGAGAAAGAGAGAGAAAGAGAAAGATAAAAGAGGCGATCGAAAGAAGAGACAAAAGAAAGCTTGTTTGCAATATGTTCATCTCCATTAACATGCATGGATGAAATGAGCTTTTTGAAGATATCATCATATCCATAGAAAAATGAAGGAGCAGCTCTGAAAGTGCGTATCCTCGGATCGCTCCTATTTCCCCATCAATCTTAGTGTATGTGAGAAAATAACACAGATAACACAAGGGTGCTATAGGTCTACACACCCAATGGATTAAAAAAAAGGTGAATGCTGCTGTGTTTGTAGTTGTACCAGAATAGTGGGTTGGGCTGTAGGAAAAAAAAAAAAAAAAAAAAAAAAAAAAAAGATAAAAAAGACGCGGGCACCGGCGACAATGGTACGTTCGAAAAAAGGTGTCTGTGTCCCTCGTTTGCCTTCCTTTTCGCTAGGATAAGCACAGGAGAAGTGCGCAAGCTGCGATTGGGCAAGGTAGTGGTAGTGCAACGATGAAAACAGAGCAGTGAAGGGAGAGCGGGAACACATACGGGACCGGAGTGTGCAGCCTAGCCAAGTATGGGCCGGTGTGCGGTAGATGGGATCTCGAAAGGAAAGAGCGAATGAGGATGGAGAAGAGGGAATGTGATTCGCAATCGAGGAAGCAGGCGACTAGGGAGCGAATGGTGCGGAAGTGGGTGTGCAAGCGAGTGATGGGGATGGAATGGGCGAGGGAGAGAAGGGGAGGCAGAGAAAGATAAAAAAAAAAGAAAAAGAGGGGTTGGATAAATAAATGTCAGACAGAGGACGTGTTCACCAATTGTCGGGTTCAGAAGAGTGTATGCGCGCTTTGCCCTTTGTCCTCCAGTCCGCTCATGCAAACCCATATCGATTGACCTGGCCATGGATCTCAAACACGCATCTCCTTCTGCACAATGGCGCTGACTGACTTAGTTTCTTCACAGCCAGCCAGACTGACTAGCCACTATGGGCGGAATCCTCATCGATACACAAACACCGTTGTGCCATCCGTTCTTACCAGCCTACCATTCCCCATCTGCATTATTTCTGAATACTTTGTGCGGACATAACTGCACCCTGAAGCCGTTACTCAAACGGCTGTTTTTTTGTTCGGTTCTGTTGCGCGTTGTGTTACATATTTGCTTCTCGCTCTCGCTCTCAATGCCCAACCTGGCAGGTGGCCATCTTCAAAAGCAGAGGGGGAGGAGGGTACATACGAGGGGGTTACACTTGGCGGACAATTAAACATCTTAAAGCACGGAGACAAAGAAGAAGAAAGAAGAAAAAAAAAAACGTATCGACATGTTCAGATGAAATGACAACAAAGAATGCAGGAGCGTTGAGAAGGGGAGGGGGTCTTCAAACATTGAACACGGAGACGGGACACGGCGCTAATTTTAAACAACTACGCCGATGCAATTAAGCACGATCCGCTGTCAGAACTTTCAGAGCATCCAGTCTTATGCAGTAGCGCCTCGCGTACCTTTTATCGCATTTCCTTTGATGTTTCTTTTTTCTTTTTTATCTGCATCAAGAGCGCGCGACCGGCATCCTACCTGCGACCGGTACCCTACCTGCGACCATTTTTTTTTTTTAAAAAATGTCCTGGGCAAATTATCATACTCGCGTAGAAGACAGAAGAGCACTCGTTCAAATCACCTACTGTCTGTCACTCGAACAACGCGTCCGTCTCCGTCAACAAATCCAGTCCAGCCCAGGCTGATATCCAGCTACACTCACCTACATATATTGTCCTTTTCTTTTGTTGTTTCCATAGGGTCAAAAAAAAAAGGGTTTATTAGTTTGAAACATCGCGGGGTAGCACGCTAAGGCCGATCAATGCGACAAGCTTTGATCGAAGGATACAGAATGAACAACGGGGGCGTGCATTTGAGCAGACGGACCGGGGAAGAGCAATTCCGCCAACAGAGTAGACTGGTACATAATTTCGATTGACAAATAACAGCCTTTATTGTACACGATTAGATAAGAAGACCTAACAACCAGAGATGGCATCCAGAGGTGCCCTGCACGTTGGTATATAGGTTGGACGACGGCAAAGGCAAAGTCCGCCTTAATCGATATACCGGACATCAGCATGTTCGCTCAGGAACTCCATCCACGCCTTCAAAAACGGATCGTTCTTGCTCAGTGTCTCAGAGTCTCCGACCACACAGAGCTGCCTCTTGGAACGGGTCATCGCCACTAAAACAATAAGAATCGAGTGCTTATATTAGTCGTCAGTACTTTACCCACAATGCGGACACCGCCGCGTGCTGTCTGCCCTTACCATTGAGTCGACGGCGGTCAGACAAGAATCCGACCTCTCCAGCATCGTTAGAACGAACCAGGGTCAAAATGACAGCCTGCTTTTCGCGTCCCTGAAAGCCATCCACAGTGCCAATTTCAATATCGGGGTAATCCTCTTTCAATAATTGTCGCAGCAATGCGTTCTACGAACGTTAGAAATAGAAACAAATGTCAGCCAAGGGGTTGAAAAAGAGTTCATTGGGACCGCATCAACAAACCTTACTGACCTGTGCACTATAAGGCGTGATGATGGCAATGTCCTCTGGGCCAACACCAGACTTCATCAAGTCCTTGACATATTCCACCACAGTAGCAGCCTCCCCTCGGTTCAACTTGCTGTCATCGGGTCCGCCGCCCACGGAAGACCCCCCTGGTCCATTTCCGTCCTGGTTTTCTGTCTCCTCAGTCATGCCAGCCATACTGGTATCCAAGAAAACCAACGCATGATCCACGTCGCTTTCTTCCTCGGACGGATCGCGTGCCTTTTTCACCCTCGGCAAATCCTTCAGCAGCCATTGTCGACAAGATTCGTCCGCAACGAGTAAGTTCTGGTACAATTTCGTGCTCGGGAAAGCCATGATATCCTCGTGCATCCGGTACTGTGTCACTAGAGTTCGCTTAATTAGCTTGGCACCATCTTTGGGGAAACAGCCCAGGAGTCGCACGAACATCGTGGTCGAGAGTAAGAATGATGAATAGTCCTTGTCCTTGGCGATCCGCTCCAAATCCAGTGCAGGGACCTCAAAGGATGCAGAAGCTCCGGCCCTGGCGGCTTTTTTCCTCTGTTCCTTAAGCTCCTTAGTAAGCGAGAGCGCTTCTGCCGCCAGGAGCGACGTAGCGCTGATTCCCTCTGAAACAATCGTCGGCGGTAACTGTAGATGATCCCCGGCCAAAACCACTTTTGCTCCCTTGCCAATGGCAATCCAGCATTCCTATCACCATAGCAAATAAACAAATTAATATGTGTATTCCAGTCCTTATGCGCAAAAACGAGCTGTCTGTGCATAGTTTTTGATCACTTACCGCTGCAGGAAGACGCATAACAGAAGTAAAGAGTTGTGCATGCAGTAAATATATGGGAAAGAAAGGGTCAGTAGATTACGATGGTAGACAGGTATGTAGTGTTGCGGATTTCCTGCTCAACCACTTTGCGGATCCTTTTGATCATTTACCTTCCAAGGCCTGTGTTGCCTCATCAATAATCACAACATCAAACTTCTCGCCCCAGAGATTCTTTGCCGCACATCCGTTCAATGTGCTCAAGACCACGCTCGCACTCTGGATCAGTTCCTTGACGACCAGCTTTTCGCGCGCCTTGAAATCCTTTCGAAGCTGCTTCACCTCCTGATACAGTTGTTTGCGCTCCGAGCGAAATTTGCACCGTTGGATCTTTTGAAAGGTTTCGTCCAGCTCCACACGGATGTCGTTCACGAGCCTTCCTTGGTCACTGGTCCTGGAGAGCACATCGAGCGAGTGATCCAGCACACTCGGCAGCAGTCGAGCTGGGTGGCCTGTCCTGACAATGTTGATCCTGTGACTAGCAAGACGCTCCACCAGGTTGTCTATGTTTGAAGACAAAAACCATGAATTGTCTGTTTGAATGTACAATAAAAAAAAAAAATATGCGGCGGCGATACATGCAGACGGATTCTTCCTTGAGACGTACCCACACTAATGTTGGAGGGCCCACAAACCAAAATCCGTTTCTTTTGCAGGACGAGTTGTCGAATCAACTCAACCAGCGTAAAGGTCTTTCCTGTGCCTGGCGGTCCATGGATCAAGGCCACCTGCTCTGCGGCCAGTGCGAATCTCACGGCTTCCTGCTGAGACGGATTCAAAGTCGGGTCCAGAAACTTGACCTTGGAGAGATCAGTCCATGCCTCGTCGAACGTTGGGGTTTGTGCACCGAACAACACGTTTGTCAGAGCCAGTGGCAAACTGTTTGCGGAGACTTGTGAAAGCGTGCCCTTCAGGAACTTCATTTGTGAGAGCATTCTATGCAGTGAGGTAGGACCCAGAGATCAGAGGTTGTATCTATATCAGTCCAACTTGTAAAGACAATTTCATCCGCACAGCTACGCCTTAGCATAATTATGCTCTATTGAATACCTCTCGTAGGTAACATTGTTAGCCAACTTGACACTAGGGTGAGGATGAAATCAAACCAGATACAGCTCCTGTTAGTAATAGTTCGATCAAAAAAACATATCATCTGGTCGACATTCAAATTAGAAACGATTCAAGCAAATTAGACGTACAGCCGACAGCGTTCCTGGACCTCCTTTGGGATCTCTTCCTCATTCTCTCCTTCTTTCCTGGATTTGATGGCGACAACGATGGTGGATTCTGTAATTCGAAAGATGACGCCGTCCAGTTTTGGTTTCCAGCCAGCCTTCATGGGCTTTCCCTTGCTTCCTGTGCCATGTTCCTCCAAGGCGACGATATCCCCAACTCGCAATCTGTGGGTGGGCAAGGCGGAACTAGTTGATGTTGCGTTCGACAGCTCAAGATCGACTAAACTTGTTCACGTAAAACCAGAAGCCCTTTTGTTAGACCACTGAGAGAGATCGCAAGTAGCACGGAGGAGGGGCGAAAACAAAACTGTCGGTTCTCAATTGGATGTACCTCTTTCCACCTGCGCCAGTCTTCATACCGACGACTGTCAGCCCTAATACTGCAAGTCCTCGCTTGGCGAGTTGAGCGGGCGTGCATGCTTCAAACACTCGCTGGATCTCCTGCACCTCAAAATCGCGCTCGGCCTGGACCAGCTTTTCCTGGTGACCTATGTTGTATTAACAGGGTCAGTTATGCAGTTCTGGCCAGTAAGCACAACGAGGCTTTATAATACAGTAAGGGTTGTGGATACCATACTTAAGAATAATTCGGGATCCATTTACTGATGAGCTGCAGTCGGAATAAGGCGCAATTAGTTGAATGAAATGGGGGGGCGATGATGAGTGAATCTTGATTTGTATTTATCTCTAATGAAACAAGTGGTTGCCGCAGAGGTTTGTGGACCTGAGTACTGGACGCGTCGCCTCCAATTGGATTGCGGCACCATAAAAAATCAATTGTCCGACCGAAAACGCGTCTTGTCGCGTACGCGTGTCATTATCTGGACATTATACGTGCTCGAATAAGAATCCTCAAAGGCGAAATGGGCTCTCCGTCCTCAAAACCACATCAACCGTCGCCTTGCTAAATACCAACAGCTACAAAGAAAACAAAAAAGCATACTACATAGGCAAGTTTAGATACCATCCTTTGTCAGTTCATGGCCAGAACACTGTCCCATGGTTTTATTCCTCTCGAACTGCATCCGAAGCGATTAACTTTGTAGCTTTCTTCGTGATCGTTGCTACGCCATCATGTCTTGCCCATTGCTTTCTTCATCCCTTCGCCTTCTCAGTCACTGGCTCCCAGGCATCCTTATCCATGACCAGTTTATTCTTCAAGAGCGTGATCGTCAGTGCTGTCGCCACAATCCTGGCATCTCATTCACTGTCCTTGGCCACCTTATCTGCAACTGCTGCGGTACTACTGACACACGAGAGCATGGTTGGCTTCCACCTCCTGAAACCATCAAACGTCTACAGGTCTCTCGAACATCTTAAATTTTAACCAAGTTAGCCCGTGAGCGGGATGTCTTGGCTGTTGCAGTCAGGACGGTCCTCATTACTGCAGTCCGAGCAATTGCGCCAGCACCAGCATCACTAGTGGTGGTGGTGGTGGTGGTTTTTTCGCCTAATCTTTTTACGCGTCCTCCGTGCTTCTCCGCCTTTCACAGATGGTATGACGCGTATCCAGATATCGAATGACGCTGGAACGAGAGTGACACCTGCACTATATGCATATACTTGTTCAAGGATATACCAGAATTTCGTCAGTCGAGACTTTGGGGTGTCATAAACTACGGAGGGATGATTTGCAGTGCCTGAAGCAGCTTCGGAGGTACCAGTTGTGGTAAATGTGCACATTTTCGTCCGTCAGGATTGTCAGCGGCGGGCTTGATCGTTTCCTCGATCGAGGCTTCAACGATGGAGAATCGGATTTCTTGTCGTCCGCGACCCCTTCAGGGGCTAATGTACGTTGCACAGGAAAGTTCAAGATCTCTATCATGAATCTGGATGGCTGTGGGAGCAGTCTGTACAATGGCCCGAGACCAAAAAGATCTCCCCCCTCTCCCTCCATTCCCGCGTAGTGTCTTCACTGAATGGAACAACGATCCGCCGCATTGCTTTGCTATGGGCCGACTTTTCACAAACCCAAGAACAGGTATTTCAGAAACGTCTGAGATGTGAGGGTATACTTGTACATGTGCATGAAGCTAGGATGATAGGTCGGAAGGTGAAGGCATGCAGGGCTGTGGGGCTGTGAGGCTGTGAGGGAGGGAGTATGTGGTAAGTGGGATGAAGAGATGCCAAGCAATGGTTTAGGATTTTTGGGCTTCTATGGAACGGGGAAAAATAAGTTGTTCGCTTTTCCTCGCTCACGCTCACGCTCACGCACACAAAAAAAAGTAGATTGGCCTGTCATCGTGCATGCATAAGAGGATATTCAACCACAGGGAAGGAAGATAGGATTTGAAGATTCCAGTTGATCATGAGGAGTGGTGGATTCCAACACAGTGGACCGTGCCATGGGGGGCCTGCTAAGGCACAAGAAGTGGGAAGAGGTACAGGTACACAAGTACCATATACGATATTGTTGGGACAGCGAGCCCGGACAATGACACGACACCTGCCAACAAAACGGGGGGTATGTGAGAGGATGGGACCGATCGGATGATCCTGCGTGAGCAACAAGAACTATGACAGCTGTAAACAACGACGACAACAACAACAATACCAACAACAATAAGGGCTGGTAGACTCACAAATTGACGCGTCCAGCATGTGTTTAGGTCAGGGTTTGCCCCCACCCCACCCCCCCTCCCCCTCCCTCCCTTTCCTTCCCCTCCCCAAATAGAATGGTACTGATTCTCGGGAAGACAACCACAGGAATGTGCAAGGGACATACAGAACCGTAAAATGTATCCACGAGCTACCAAAAAAAAAAAAGGGGGGGGGGGGGGGGGGGGGGGGGGGGGAAGGGAAGGGAAGGGAAGGGAAGGAAAGCGAGCGAGCAGTTGAAGCACAGTTCCACGATACTGCCAAGAGATGCCTTGCCCAAAATACGTGCGGTACGTGTGCGGATGGCGGGTATAGGTAATGCGTAATGCGCTAGACCAAATCCACGGAACTTCAGCGCTCTCTTGGCTGTTTCTGATTATGATATTTTATTTGTTTGGGTCGCGCTTCAGCTGCTAACTGCTATGGCCGAGAAAAGAACAGAGATGCAGCAGGATGATGTTGTCCTCGCCCCCCTTCGCCTCCCCCTCTGTATATAGCCAATTGTCAATTGATCCCTTACGTCCACACAGACTACTTCCAATCGCCTATAGCCCATCAGCATACATTATTATCATCATTCGCTTTTATAAAGCTCACTCAGCTTCGGCAACCTCGGTCCGCGCCTTTTTGCTTTTCTTCTTTCTCTTTCTTTTTCTTTTGATCCGCTCTTTAACCTCTTTAACCTCTTTAATCCCTTTAATCCCTTTAATCCCTTTAATCCCTTTAATCTTCATTACTGGTTCTCTCACTTACTCTCGCTCACGCGCTCATCCACACACTCACTCGTAGCTTTATCTCCTTCCTTCAATCTCTCTCGCTCCTCGCTCTTCACCGCACTTGGCCCATCCGTACCAGAATCTACCTGATCTGCACTCCCCTTCATCGACCTACTGGCACTTGTCTGTATCCCCAAATTTCTCAAGGATCACACTTTTTGTGGACTAGCCCTGTACGAAATCTTTTTGGACGCCTTGACCAATAATCACGTCCACCATAAACGTCCTACCTGAACGCGTCCTTGTCCCGACCCGTCCCTGCCGCGTCATAGTTCGCTGTATTGCTATCGTCATCTGGAAAAAGGTAATGAACGGATGACATATATTTTTTTTTTTATTTTTCAAATCGATCTTTGGTTTGCCACCAATTCTTTTACCCGCTGTTGTTCTCCTTTCCCTTCCTCGGTTCATAAGAGCACTACGGCGATGAAAACAGAGCAAACATGACCACCATCCACCCTCCCCTCCCCCCTATCTGCCACCCTTTGCTCCCGTACCATTCTTCGCTCTCCCATTCGTGTTTTCAGGGTGAGATGACCCGATCCCGGTTAGGTGGGGAGGGAAAAAAGTACTTGCGAGGTCAGCTGCATCATGCGTGGATTGACACGCATTGGTCTATGGTACTGTTTTTTTTTTCATGGGAACAGCCCGGAACCCATTTGGACAATGTGAATTCATCATGCAGACCCTCCTCGTACGTATATAGCTTCAACCCCCTGTGCTTTCCGATATTTAGTGAACGACTTCAGCGACCAATACAACGACGGGCAGCTGCAACAAACTCGAATACAATGCAGCTGGATCACATCACATTAGATTCCACTGCATTGTTCAACATTGCTGACAGTGATAATGATAGTGAGGATGGCAGTAGGGATGACAGTGAGGAATGACAGTGGGAATGACAATGAGATTGATAAGGATAAGGATGATGAGAATGATGATGATGGTGATGATGATGATGATGTGTGGTCCTTCCCGGCAGGGCTGTTCCCCGCTCTATTTTGGTTCCTCCGTGTCCTTGGAGTCTCCCGCTCTCTGTCTCCTATTCCTGTTCTCCTTGAGGTTCAAATCCAATCCAAGCAGATTGTACACATTGACAAATGGGATAAATTATATAAGAGCGAGAGCGAGAGTATATGCTTGACCCATTGCGCTGGGGTGTCCTCCTGCGTCTCTCATATGCAAATCGGTTGAGGGAGGGAGAGGAAGAGAGAGAGAGAGTGTGTGTGTGTGTGTGTGTGCATGTGTGTGTGACAGAGAAAGAGGAAAGACACAGTCCACACGCGTCTGTGGCAAAGCACTCTCCCACCAGTTTTACTGTACGCAGTGGGCGGATGGGCAGACGGGTGGATAGGCAGATGGATGGGTGGGTGTTGTCGTCGTTGGCTGCTCCTACTGGTACTGGTGCTGCGAGTAGACATTCTTGGGGGAGTAAAGCGGCTTGACATTCCCACTCTCTCCCTCCTGTCCTTCTGATTCTCGTTCACTCTTGCTCGTGCCCGTGTCCGCATACTCGCTCTTGCCATGCACCACCCTCTCGCCCTCTCGCCCTTTTGTCCCAAGCATCTGGCAGTCCTCTGCTATCCACAGAGGCCTTTGATATCGCTTCCTCCTAACCTGCGTTCCCGACTGACCCACTTCGTCTCTTCTTCTCTTTCTCTTTCTCTCTCTCTCTTCTTCCTCTCTTCTTCCTCCTCCTGCTGCCTGTATTTCCATCTCCCTCTTCCTCTTTCCTCTTTCCTCTCCTCCTCCTTCCCGCATTGTCGCCCCTCTTTGGCTATCTGACACACAGACCACCTTCGCCCTTTTTTTTTTTATAGTCCCACCCTCGCTTGTCATACCCTCTTGTCATCATCATTCATCATCACCCCCATCCACTGCTGCAGATCGTTCCCTCCCCCCCTTCCCCCCCAAATCGCACCATTACCTTGTATACAAATAAGCCCAAACCCACCTCCCTCTTTTTCTCGCCCTTCACCATCTCACCCTCTCCTTGCTCCTTTCGCTCCTGATCCGCCCTTCTTAGCTCCTCACCATCCCTCACCGCCACCCCATCCAGAGCACAACAACCATGCCCTCCACCCCAGACCTCCCTCTTGAGATCTGGTTCCAGATCCTGAACCAGACTCTCAGCCTCCTCCTGCCGATCGCCACCACCCCTCGACTCTACTCGACCCACATCCTGCCGCTCCTCCTCACATCTCACACCTTCTACGAACACTGCCATCCCCTCACACACCCTCATCTCCGCAAACACAGACTCCTCCAACTGTTCACCCGCTGGAAGGCTGCTCACTCGCGAGAGGTCCATTTTTACCATCACCCACTCCGGAACCACGTCCGATACGCATTGCCGGATCGCGTTGGCAACCCGCCAGGCGAGGAATACGAGACCCTGTACAGCTTCATCAAGCGCGCCTACCTCTTTGGCTGCGAGAGCGTTTGTGGAACGGTCATCCCTGTCGAGGGCGGACTGGAGCCGCCAGTCTTGACACCCTCTGCATCTGCACCTGAGGCACCGGCACCGGCCCAAGGAAACAATACCAATGAAGGAACAGTCAACCCCACAGTGACAAATCACTCGACACCGGCATCTGCCACAGGCACAGGGGTCAGTGCGGGTAAGTGCAAGAACCCTGTCTATCCATTGGTTGTGTCACCAGGCTCTATTCACGTAAAATGCGCGAGGGATATCTAACATATGCTTAATTTTTTTTTACTTTGATGCCATCCTTTTATCTCAGGTGTCGTCCTTGCTCCCCCGCCTGCACAAGTAAGCGCACCCCTGACTACCCATCATGGCGGCGATGGTGGCGGACAGGGCTGGAAGAACCATGCTCTACAGTGGCATGTTGCGAACCCTACATTTGCGGCAGAGGGCACAATTGAGCTCTACCGCGACGTTGTGGAAGAATACCGACGCGTGGTCTGCGGCAGCGCCGCCGCCAGGGAGCGACACCGTGAGATTGAGCGCGCTATGGATATGATGAGGAACCCTCACCGCTATACCGAACACTCGGTAGCAGAATACCAGTGCCAAAAGGATGATACGATTGCAGAGGAGGATAACGCGGAGGCCGATGACGAGGGTGAGGGCGAGGAGGAAGAGGAAGAGGAAGAAGACGACAATGAGATGATTGAACAAAATACAAACGAGCTTCTGTCCGAAATCGAGGCCAAGGGTGGACTCCGTAGACGGGATAGCGGCCACGGGCAATCATCTTCCGAGATGGATATTGATGACGACATGGATGAGGAAGATGATGAAGACATGATGTGCGTCGGTAAGCGGGGGCGGGAAGAAAAGATGCTCGCTGACCTTGAGCTAGCCAAGCGGGGATCCCAGACAACGTCGATGGATTACCAGCTAGAGAGCGGCAGCAGTAGCAGCCATCGCCACGGTATGCGCAATCGAAAGTTGGAGCGGTCCGTTTCTGCAGGCGAGCAGGAACAGATCATCATGGACATGGCCCTGGACAAGCATTGTCATCCCATGTCGCCGTCGGTCGAGCCCCTCTATTCCCTCGAGACAAAGCCCTATGGCTCTTCATCTCCGTCCTCGTCCTCCTCATCTCTGGGGCAGACACGCTCTGGATCGCCTGCGCCCTTTACACGCCCCGCGCCACCAAGCCGCAAGACACGAGAGAACGGCAGCTACAGCCGATCAAGGTTCTCCAGAACCCTCCAGCGCAGCCACTCAAGTCCAGGCACCACAGACGCTGCCCGTATACCCAGTCTACCTCTCTTCAGCAGCGCACGGTTCTTTGGCAACCCTTCTTCGCACCCATCCTCCCTCCCACAGCCATCCCCTTCAGATCCCTTCCCCGCGAGCCAGAACACCAACAATAATAGCAACAACACATCTATACTTGCTCCCCTTTCAAAGTCATCTCTCTCCGAAACATCCTCACAGCAACAACAGCAGCAGCAACAGCAACAGACACGACCCCTCAAGGCTGAGGATCTGGATTTCGATCTTGCATCGGCCTGTGCGAACACATTTGCTTCGGACCTGGCATTTGTCCTGGCCCGGGTTCCCGGACTGGGTGCACATTTCCATCGATTTGAGCAGTTGGCCAAGCTGAAGCTCCATGTGGGCTGGGCTAAGCATGCGCAGAGTCGTGGTGGGAACGATGTCTTTGTCATGAGCTGTTCTAGACTGATCAGTCTTTTGGCACCTCTGGCCAACACTCCCCTTGTGAGCGAGCGTGCTGGTTAGAGGGAAAGAAGGGGAGGAAGAAAAAGGAAAGCGACAGCGACAGCGTGAGTCTGCGTATAAAGAGACGAGACTATTACTTTAATGTTATAATAATTGTTACCATAAAAAAAGATAATGAAAAAGAAAATGAAAAGGAAAAAGAAAAAGAAAAAGAAAGAAAGAAGAACCTTCAACCTCGCTGGATGCGCCGATTTCTTTGTTTTTTTGTTCTACTGTTTTTTGCTTCCCGCTGTAATAAATAAACTCGACTCCCCTGTCCTTTTGTTTCGATCTTTTGCGCAGCAAAGCACAGCAAAACACAACACAACGCAACACAACACAACGCAACACAACACAACATAGCGCAGCACAGCACAGCATAGCACAACAGAGCACAGCAGAGAACAGAACAGAACAGAACACCATAGCACAAGAACACAGTATGTAGCCAAAGGACGCTCAGTCCCATATCAATGAAGTTTTATTTTATTTTTTTTCTATAATGTACAGTACAGATGCTTTTATCTCCCCTCCCCCTCATTCCTTTTTATTTTGCCAATGCAGCGCTGGCGATGCCGTACCACAGACTGAGACCCCCGGCGAGATGCCAATAAGAATGTCCACAAAAGAGCTTGAACCGATCAGCCGCGAACATGGACAAGCCCACTAAACCGGCCGCGAGTCCGATCCAGGCCTCATGGACGGCGAACCCCCAGATGGAGGCCGGGATCATCAAGACCATCAACGACAAGGAGAGCATGGCAGTACGTCTCCAGGAGACGATGAAGAGTGTGACCATGCTGATGACCAGCAGATAAGGGGTCCAGGCGCAATGGACGACAGTCGAGATCAAATCCGGGACCATCAGGGCGTAGGGTTCAGGGAGGGATCGGAGGAGTTGGATGGTATTCATGTAGAACATGATGGTAGCGAAACAGGCATCGAGGGACGAGAAGATCTTGTAGAGGGTCGCGTGGTAGAGGGTCGAGGTCGCGGCGGTGATGACGGAGAGGAAGATTGCGAAATGGGTGATATGGATATCGGGCGAGGACCAACGGAAGCGGGGGTCGAGGTAGAGGAGCAACGGAAGAGCGAAGCATGGGGAGCTGATTGTGCAGTAGAACTCGGCTAAAAAAAGGACATTGAGATATATACATGTAAGCAGGAATGGTTAGCAAAAAAGGAGCACAGACGATTACTTTAACGGACGGTGGGGAGAGGACGAAGACATCAACAACAACAACAACAACAACACGTTTCTAAACCATAAAAGATGACACATACCAGCCCAGTGAACAGTCGCATATTTCCTCTCTAATGTCACCACGGTGGCCTTGCTGAAGAGCTGTTTGGTAAGCGGTGCAGATGGCGATAGCTGCTGATGATGATGATGGTGGAGACTGTGGCTATGACTCCGGGTATGACCATGGTGATGGTGGTGGTGGTGATGTCCGTTCGAATGGTAATGCAACCGCTCGTCCCGACCTGCCTTCGTGATCACTCGCGATAGCCAGGTCAACGGGGACGTGTATGTGTTCTCCCGCGACGACATTGTTGGTGGTCCTGTTCCAGGCCCTGTTCCGTGGCCGGCCTTTGTATTCCACAGCGGCACATTCGTCGTCGATGATAGTGAGGAAGGAGAATGGATTGAATAGGAGACACTATCGGCGGTGGCAGAGGCGGATGATTTTGATCCCCACATCTCGTTCTCGATGTCATTGGCCGAGATGGCAGCAGTGTTCAGGCTGGGCAGTCCCAGGGCGATGGCGCGGGAGGCGCGGCGCCGCGAGATGTTCAGGGGCTGCATCGGCAGTTGGATCGGCAGGACCTCTTGTTGGAGCTCGAAGGGCGGCATCTTGTTTGTTGCGAGAGGGAGGGGAGGGTATCGGGGAGTGGAGAGGGGAGGGAGTGTATGTTGAATTAGTGGGGTTTTTTATTTCTCAGGGACAGGAGGGGAAGGGTTAAGAGAAGAAGATATGATTTGCTGTGTTTGAGAAAGGGGGTATAATTTGAGGAAACAACAAATAGAAATAAAGGGAAAAGAAGATCTAAACTTGCAAGGATCCGAGAAATGATGATGCAAAAAGAAAAGAAAAAAAAAAAGAATCGTGAATAGAATGGGAATGGAGACTTTGCTGATGCTCATCCATCCGTTTGCATTCTCATGCGACAGAAAGCCAAAATAAAAAATAAAAAATAAAAAATAAAAATAAGAGATGAGCCAAGGCGATAGGAATAGGAAATATGAATAAAGTAAATAGCAAGGTTAATAGCACTAAAATTAGAACGTGTGCTTGTTGCAGTACGGCAGCAGCAGCAAGGCTGTGTGTGGGCAGATTCGAACTGGAGGGAGGAGGGAAAGGGGAAAAAAGGAAACAGCCTTTTCTTGCAGCAGATGGCAAGAGGGAAGGAAGTCCTGAAGGATGGAGAGAGTGATGGGGGAGGAGGGGAGGAGTGTGAGGTGTAAAGTAAGTAGTGAAAGACAAGAAAAAGAAAAGTAAAAAAAGCAGACGGGGAGAGGGGGGTTGATAAGGGCTAGAAAATACAAAGTCCCAAGAGCACAACAAACTTGCGTTTCTCACGAAGGTTCTCACCGGAGCGGATTGATCCCCACCGGCCCATCCGGGCTTTCTTCCAAAAAAAAAAAAAAAAAAAAAAAAAGGCTGTTTGACTTCCTTCTAGTTTATCTGTCTGCCTACTATCTTATTTTGGATCCAATCTAAACCGCCCTTGATCTCCTTCAAGTTCATCGATACCGCCTCAAAGCCTCGGTATGAGAGTATCGCATTCCTCCATCACCGTTATGGCTGTCTCGATTTTTGGCTGTCTCGACTGAGGCCATAAATTAAATTAAGACGGCTCTCTCTGTCTGATGTGCCCGTGTCTGCATGGGTCATTGATTGGAAGAGCAGTAGTGCCTTTATAGTCTATCATAGATGTGTCGTCGAATCGCCCATGATCCCATACATTGGCGTGCACAGCCTGGCTATTCACTTTGTCTCAAATCCTCGCTTCAGAAACAGAGTGCTTTTTTTTTTGGATCGGGCTGCAGATCAAACAAAGCTCTTGGCCCGTAAAGATAGCGAAAGAAAAGAACGGCATCTCAAGGTCTAGAGTCTGGATTGTGATTGTGTGTCCGCACGCGGGAATACTGCAGTCGAAGTTATACTCCCGGGAATCAAACATACAAGCAAAGATGAGTGAGAAAGATAACAGCGAAAGCGGCCGTTAAGATTATTTTACACCCGGGTTTCTCTCGCTCTCTTTCTGTTTTCTTAAACGGATTAGACATCACAACGTCTGGCATGCAGCAAGATGAGCAAGAGTTTAAGGTTGAGGGGCGGAACGGTGAAGAAACACAAGGTGAGGGCTGGAAAGTTCAATCGTCGAGGCAACCTATCAATTGGCCGGAGGAAAGAGTAATAAACATCGAACCAATGACAGCGTGGCAACTTCCTAGACAACCTAGAAAACGTATATGTGAAAAGGGAAGTGCTCTCCTTTGTACCACGCCATAAAAAAATCATCACAAACAACAATTGCACTTAATGAAGGACATAACAACATCCCCCAGGATTTTTTTTTTTTAATTTCCCCCCTCCAAGAGAGGAAGTGCGTCGTGTAAGAGGGGAGTAGCCTAGTATGGGACGGTGGGGAGAGAAAAGTGAGCGTCGCTCATTGGGCGGTTGCACGCGTATGTAAAAATCCGGACACAAAAGCAATTATGGTTTGTCTACCACGCGGCTGCATACCCCATAAAAACTATTGGCCAATCTTCGTTGCGAGCCTGGACAAGGAAGGCCATGAAGGCAATGCATGCCTACCGGGGCAAATTTATACTGCGAAAAGCAGCAGAGGCACGTCTTTATCTTTAGACAACTTTTGTTGCTGGGGATTTCGTGAGTCGTGTGCTCAGAAAAATCAATTGCCGGTTGTTTGGTACGCACATCGGCATCCTACCCAGCCGAATGACGCCCTAATAAGGGTACAGAGATGAGATTGCAGGAGAAGAAAAAGGTGCAGCCTTGGTAAAATCCAATAGCTGCAAAACGTCAGTGCGGACTAAACATAGATCAGTTTGGGACTGTCACTCGCGCGGCAACCTGCAATAGTCACTTCTGGATACCTGAACCTGATGTCCACGATCGTGTGAATCGTCCAGCTGTTGGCACCTTACCTCATGTTCTTGACCTGGATTTGGTTTTAAAGGTCATTCAGTGAGATTAAATCATAGACTACAAAGTGCGACGTGCCGAACTACGCGGCAAAAAACTGGTCACGATGATCACGAGGCGGTACAAGTCGATCAGACCAGGCGACAAGAGTGTGGCCTTATTTTTTTTTGGAGGAGTAAGAGACATCAATCCCGGGAAGAGATAGAGCCGATGAATTCACTCAAACAGCATAGCGGAAGAGTTAGTCCAGCTGGTCATCTTTGAGACATAGCGTCGTCACCTAACCGTCTAGATGGACAGAACTATAAGAATGTTGTCGCGTTCACCGAAAACCACCGGAACCATCGAAATAGGGCCAAAAACGTATTTTTTTGCGATTGATGTAAGAAAGTGCGCCGAGGATTTTAGCACATGGTAGATCAATCTGATTTCTGGATTCCCGTACTGGACCATGCCACAGACGCGTCCCGTACGACCGCATGCAGAAAGGTCTACTCGGGTTTCACATACCAAAGGGAAGAAATTTTTGGAAACGCCCTTTAGACATCTGTAGCTGGTGTCCGCTGCATTCCAAACAATCCATGTCATGATATACGGTACCATCTTCTCGGGATTTCTCCCACGATCTTACCTTGGACATCATCGAACCGACTTTGCCATAATTGCCTCATATCCGCACACGCAGCTCTCATCCACGTTTTTGCATAATTGTCTCAGCAACGTATAGTCCCGCACCCTCACCTCTCACTCTACCTCCTGCCTTCTCGTTCTGCTTAAACGATAAGAGTTCGCAGGTGCATCTTTGATTCGCTTTTTGGTTGTGGGTACGAGATGTAAATGTACATTCATTAAACTATTAAATACTCATAGTGGTACTTTGGTCAAATTTCATTTCAAAAACGGACCACGCTTCAGTCTTGACTCGACCAATGACTGCTAAGGTACAGGTGCCTGGTCTAGTTACCCCTGATCACTTTGAGGGAGGGGGCGGATGCTAGATGAAGGATCACGCTCTGAGTGCTTGAGACATTCATGATGTACAATACAGTAGACTGAAAGGCGAACCCCCATCCCCTACCCCCAGGACAAAAAAAAAAAAAAAAACCCAAACCCTGCTTGTGATTTAGCGTTGGTCTCTTTTGTCGAAGGATCGTCCTCCCGCATGATGATGTACCGGATGTATAAGGAATATTTTTTTTGTGCAAGTGTACCGTATCTGAGGTAGGACGCGTGTCATTAGAGAATACCTAAAGCGCATGAACACAAAACTTCAACTATTTCGTCGCCCACTCTCCGCAAACGCGTGTGTGTATTTAGGCATGCGTGAGGATGTACGTGGGGTATGTTTGTAAAGAAAGTCTTTTTTGAAGAAGAAGAATGGGAACAAAGCGTTGATACAGATGGACGAGGACATGGTAGGAGTTTACTATCAGGCCGAAACAAAACAAAAAGGATGGATTTTACAGACCGAATGTTTACAAATGGGGGAGTCGAACGCGACAAACACACAGCGCATTCTTGATCCACAATCTCCCGACGGGCCGTTCACACGAACTGGAGAATGACTGTCATAGGCGCCCTCTGGCGCAAAGGACACGGCACCTCAGTTTACATGTACCGGAACTGAAGGGAGTAAAAAAAAAAAAAGGCTGGAAGAGTGAGTGCATAAAAAGATGGCACATCTATCATCTATTAAGCGAAAAATATTCCTGAATACAAGCGGAGGAAAATAACACTGTTTCTTATCGCATTGAACAGGTCCTTATCCGCTCTCTCTCCTTTTGTTGTTCATGCAAGCGCATGGAGAGTAAATACAAAGAACAATTTTGCATGGTTCATTTCCTTCTTAAGTCCTCGCCTCGAGGCCGCACGTTCAAGTCAAGGTCTTGATTACATTTGGGAAGCCCTATGCGATGCCATGCGATGCCGTGCCATCCCATGTAATATATTGTCATGTCTCAGTTGTGCCTGAACCTTGTGCCATTTTAGGAGGTTGGACTCCTTGCACCTTGTCTCCGTCCTGCTTGGAGCCATGGGCGTCAAGGTCGACACCAAAAGTGAAAAAGAAGAGTAGGAGAAGCGTCATGGATGGGGGATTGAATGAAGAAAGGAGCTCTTTACCATGCAGATGGGACGGTGTCTCTGCGAGCATTATGAGGAATAAACACGCACATGCGTCTGGGAGCGGCAATGGCATGATGGGTCGAGCACTGCTGCAGGATCTCTTCACTCGAGCGTACATACGCTGCACTCAATTTCCTGCACTCCCCTAACCAGTGGGGTTGCCTCTCCCTCCCTCACAGACGCCCCGGCACAAGGCTGCTTTGTTTTGACAGGTATAAAATGGCGACGCGTTCCCTACCTCGCGATCTGTTCTGTTCGAGTCATTCAGCCTCATTCTGCATACCTGGACATCACACACATCCACCCCCTTGAATTAGCAACCGTATCGCACATTAACAACGCACAACGTTCTGGTACTCCAGCCACTTCCGTTTCTTACTTTCTCTCTCTCTCTCTCCCTTTCACCACTCCTTCGAAAGCCTTTCTCGCCTCCTTATTGTTGGTCAAGGTAAAGAAAAAAAATCAAATCTTAAGTATCCGAACATGGTTTAGCTTTCCACTTTCTGGTGCCGTTTATCTTATGAGCTGTGACTTATTCTGTGGCGCTCCGCACCTTTGAGAACACGGAGTTTTTTTTTTCTTTTTTTTTTTTTTTTTTCCCTGCTAATGGCGCCATGGATCCCTCAGAAATACGAGAACGAACTGTTGTATTTTTATCTTTCTATACCGAGCGGCTGTACTGCACTTCTGCACCATTGCACCTTGTTTTGGCGAGGCTCTCCTGCCGCGTTCCCATTGTGCCTCCGATGGTGCAGATGATAGTTGAGTTCCTTCCCTTCTCTCTTGTACCACATCGCCTCCATGGTGCATCGCGCGTCCTTATCTTGATTAACAGCAGGGGGAAGGGGGGAGGTCTCAGAATCCAATATATTCTACGACTAGTTCAGCTAGTTCCTAGTCAAGTGGCGAGCACAATGAGAAAGGGGGACCATGGACGGGAGCGATCTCACACGTGTGTGAAATGGTCATCACGGCAATCTCTTCAGTCCGCACAGCTTTTCTTCTTGGAGAGAAGAACAAAGAGAGAATGGGCGCAGAAACACAGGCTGCGTTGTTGTCGTTGTCGATGCAACTCTGTTCAACCCCCTCATTATTTGTGGTCGTCCATGGGTTATTTCCGGGATCGTGATGAACTATACCAACCTGCTTGCGATCCCCTTTTTGCTCCTTGCAAAAATGCTGCTCCCCCCTTTCTAGTCCCTCCCAGCTGTTAAATGACGCTGAATGCCCTTGTTTTTTTTTGGTACCTTCATCGATCACCTTACATATGGAGAGACATAGACTGGGTCCTGGCGAGGTATACCTTCGTATGGGGAACATGTAGACCATGTATGCATGCATGTGTGGGCGTATAGGCGTGTCTGACCTACCCGATATGCCCACCAGGACCTTTTTGTACATTAGTCTCTGCTGTTGTGCCTGTCTTGCCTCTCCCTCAGACTCAACCTTCAAACCTTCACTAGCATCGGACCATGTCCCTTTAGCTTTTTATATATGTATATATTTAAAACAGGTGTGTTTGTATGGGATATTACTCACACATACACAGCATATAGCATGCGTACCGCCTACCTTGTATATCCCGCTCCCAACAACCTCGTCAAGGCTGGATGCTACTGCACTATCCCATTTTGTGTGTCTCTCCCCTGCCCTTACTCTGCCTTTTGTAGACCTCTCCGCAATGCATAATGGCACATTTGCTTGGGTAGACGCGCAGAGACTGGGTGCATTCTGTCCCATACACAGTATACACACATATAGCGAGAGCCTAGCGACTGACCATAGTACAGATCTTTGTACAAGCCATGTGCGACATAGGAGACATAAGAGTTGGTTATGCTCGGGACTAGTGCTGGCTAGTGGTTATCCGTGTTGGTCGTCATTACCAGGCACTAGCTCGAACACTTGTTTTACACTAGAGCGGGTCCTTCGTTAAAAGGCAGTTTTGGTCGCCCTTTGTAGTCCAGTCAGTCCAGTTTATTTTCAGTTCTAGTTCTCCGCAATATAATTTACAACGCGTGCTTATTCAATGCTTTCTGTATGTCCTACGGCCGGACAAAAAAAGAAAAGGAAAACTCGGTCTGACCTGCATCCCTTCCTTTTTCCCTCTGCTCTTTCTCCGTCCACGGTTGTTTTCGTCATAGCTCACATAGTTTTCTCATTCTCCATTAGAGTTGGGTTCAATAGGTCCTAATAGCCCCAATCTATCAAGGAAACTTTCTTGCAGTCAAACACAAACAACACACACATTCTCCAGCCTATTGTACCGCTTGCTGTAGTGCAGCATATTCTCCCCCATCTACCCATCCACCCCCCTGCCCACTCAGATTGTCCTACATACAGAAACCTTTTCTTTGGCGCTTCTTTCTCTTCTTTCTTTCTCTTTTCTCCCCCACCTCTGGTTGTCTTCTCCAGTCTTTCTTCGGATATCCCCATCACACTCTCTAGCTCTCACCCACTCACCCACTCACCCACTCACCCCACACTTATACTCTTCACACAGCACATTTTACACCCACCATGGAATCAGTCGCACACTCGCAAGGAGATATCCAACCTCCATGCTCAGCATCCTCCACCTGCTCTACATCATCCACCTCGAGCTGCCCGGGCACAGGCATTTGCAAGTCCGTCCAGTTCTCGAGATTTATCAAGATCTCCTTCACATATCCCGGCGACGAGTACGATCGCTCAGCACTCGAGCCATCAAAGCTCACCACATCCGAAGTTTCTGAACTAAAGGAGATGCGTAGCCATTGGCGGCAAGAAATGAACGAACGACTCGGCGCGCTTGAACGTCCCGAATCACCAGCCTCACCAGTATCGCCAATCTCACCAGCATCATCCCCATCATTCTCACCCTTGTCCTCCTCCTCATATCCACAAGAATCGCATCCATTCCATAGTCGCATCCATCCTCATGCGCTCCTCCAGCCTGCATCGTCGACTTGCTCACATGTGTCCCCTACTTGCTCGCCTGTGCTGTCACACCTGGATAGTAGCAGCAGCAGTGAAGACGAGTACGAACCAGTGCAATCTTCTCAGCAACCTCACACGCTCACAGCCCAACAACAGCAACAGTACCAACGGTTGAAGCGCTTCAGTGGAAGTCGCAACAGCCTGAATGGGATGATGCACCGACACAGCCATCTAAATCAGTCCAAGGAGAACGTGCAGTGCATCGCCTAAGGATACGAATCCTCTCTCCTGCAAGACGCAAGGAGCCATTACCGCCCCTTCGTTCCAATTACAAGCACTGCATCGCCCATTGATGGACCCGTCCAAGTCATTATTATCCCATTTCTTTCTTTACTGTACAAATCCTCTTTTTTTCTAAACGTAATTGTTCTCCATCCGGGTTCTCATTGGACGGATGATGATTACTGGCCGACGACGCATTTATTTTTTATTTTTTTTACGACAGCACAAATCCTTCTTTGAGCATTTTATTTTGGGGGCTGTGAACCGCCAAAATGCCCGTGTTCCCATACGCTCATTGCTGTCTCTGCGATGCCATAAGCATGCAGCAGCACACGGACCCGGAAGCGCCGGCCCGTGACCTCATCATGATGAGGGATGGATGGATGCGGCGATTTCTTTTATGTTATGTCTACGCTTTTTTTTTTCATCCTATACACTATACACTCAATCCTGTTCACGTTCACGACTGCGCGCCTGGTTACAAATGATACCTTTCTTGTTATTTTATTCTTCTCTTTCGTTCTGCTGACATGATAGACTCGTTCATTTTTCGTATTTCATGCTCCGTTGTTTTTTTTGTTGTTGTTGTTTGTTGTATAGTTGTTATTATGTGTTTTGCCTCCCTCTCCCCCATTCTGTTCTTCTTTGTGTAAAATAGCTGCAACTTGTTTGATTTGCCGCCTTTTTTTTTTTTCCTTTCCTTTTCTTTTTCCTTGTTCTTCCTGTATACCATCATCATCAAAACAATACAGTACATATACGATACAATAAAAAAGTTCGCATGCAATGCAATGCAAAAAAAATAATAATAATCAACCAACCAACGAGGATGACTTTGCAACCGTGCTTGATGGAACATGTATCTTGTGGAGACAGTTCATAGAAGTGGACGCGTGAGATAGCTGCATTCAGTCCCTTCCCCCCCAACCCCTACCCCCCTTCTTTCGGTTCCGCATCCACACAACATGCGTGGAAGCCAATGGTGGATAGGATAGCCTTTAGGAAGATCATCGCCAAAAAAGAAAAAGAAAAAAGAGGAAAAACATGGGACGATCATCTAACAACAAACAGCCAATCAACCTCGGCAGTGAACAGATCGCCTCTTGTTTTCACCCTTTGTTTTGTTTGTTGTGGTGTAATGTTGCTATTTTGCCGCCCATTTATTTACAGTCTAGGGTAAAAAAGATGGACGCGTTTTACAAAAAAAAAGAAAAAGAAGAGTATCAGAAAAAAGGTGCTTGTAGCCCATTGTTTTTTTGATTTTTGTATTTTTTGTGTGACAAACAAAGGCCATCCCACAACGCGGACGAGGGATTCAAAAACGTAGGGGAAAATCGGGCGTAGGGGTGGACGCGGCGCGTGCTGCTTGCCATGCTAGTAGCACAAGTAGTAGCAGTAGGGGGATCGTCAGGATAGGGGTGTTCGAGTGGGGCGGCGGGGGAAGGGGAGGGGAAAGAACAAGCTGATTGACGACGAGCTCATTTCTCGTCCCTGATCGGGCACTCACGCGCGTTGCGTTTGCATAATGTGCCTGAAGGAAAGTTGCCCATTGCCTTGATGAAGGAACCTGTATTTCCTTTGCCAGAAAAAAAGGTATAGTTTCCAACAATGGCGTGCGCCTTCCCCTCCCTTCATACTCAACCAAAGCGCGTCATATTTGTATTATAGGAGAAAGGACCAGAATAAAAGAAAGCGCTTTTAGGCCCCATGGTGTCCTCTCCATGATCAGGTTTTTTTTTTTTTTTTTTTTTTGTTGTTGTTGTTTGTTCAAGTTGGCATGTCAGATGTTCGAGTGTATAGCATGCAGATAGACTGGAGTAAGGTTCTGGTGAACAAGCGCGTTTTCCTTTTGAACCTTTCTTTCAAACCCGAAAGTGTATCAGCTCATCTACACTCATGCTCGCTCGATGCTTTTTTTCTAGTTTCAATTGGCAAAGGTGCCTAGATGGTTCCTTTTGTGTATGTGCACAAGGTGTGTCACATTGCACGGCTGCATGCATGTGCATGCATGTCGGTATGCATGCAGGTAGACCTTGCGTGCGTGCATCTGACAACAAAAACATGGGCGGGTGCTCTTGCTGACCAAAAAAAAAAAAAAAAAAAAAAAAAAAAAAAGAAGGCCAAAACGCAGAAGGGAAAGGGCGGGAGGACGTAATTCATTTTGATCGGCCCATTTTCATTTCACTCGACATCTAGACGAGCTTCGAAGAGGCGGGAGAGAAGGGTGCGAAAGTATGAAATGTTGATGACTTTGCTTGCAGAAGGTGAGGAGAGGCAACTTTTTTTTCTTTATTTTTGGGTTGCTCTTTCTCTATTCAAAGGCGGTAGACCATCTCGTACCATGGATCTGGACCATGCTCGACCCCACTCTGTCCCACGAGCTCAAAGCCAGCCCCTGCATAGAGGCCGATAAGCTCCTTGTGTGCAATGAGCAAGACTCTCTCTAGACGACCGGACGTTACTGTTTCCTCCGAGGAGACCGAGGAAAATGTCACGGACGCATTGATATTTTTGAGGTGCTTCAAGTACTCTTTCATCATCGTGCGCGCAATCCCCTTACGCTGATATGCTCCTGCAACACAAACGGAGTGGATGCAAACCGATGAGCCCTTGGGATCATGAGAGGACATGGATGCATGGGTCAGCGCCTTGTCGGAAGATAGAGTTGAAACAATATATCCTACGAGGACATCGCTTCCGTAATCGTGTTCTTGTCCTTGTCCTTGTCCTTGCCTTTGCTCCTCTGTTTCCCTTGCTGCTTCAGCTTTTGTGGTACGAGAACAAGGCGTGTAACATCCCAGGAAGAGCTGTGGTGCAGCTGTCTGGCGGTAGACAAGGTTCTCAAGGGATGCTGCCTCAGACTCGGGGTATTCTGTCGTCGAATATTAAAAACAAAAACGTCTAATCAATTATACTGTTACGGCACCCTTTTTGCATAAGCAATTGAACGTTTGCAAGTCTTTCTTTTTATTTCATTTTTCAGCCAGCCAGTTACTCTGAAGCAATGTACCTGCGATTTCAATGTTATAGGCCTTGAGAACATCCGAGGCAGGGAGCAGTCGGTATTCCAGCACCAGGTCCTTTGTTCTCGAATCCGTCATGGTCTCAGGAAGCGAGTGTTGGATTAAATGTAAGATATAGAGACGTAGCGGAGGGGTTGTGTCTTGGAAACAATGGTTCTTGAGGATTCAACAGCGACGGTTTTCTTCATTCCATCAACCCATCGATCAACGCCCAGCAGCGCTCCAGTGAACTTGTGACTGTTGAAAATTAGGGTTCCTGGCACACAGATCGTATGGTAACCATTACCGACACTGAAATAATAATAAAAATAAAAATACTTTATCGACCTCCGTCTGTAGCTTTTCTGTGCTATAGATGCTGAAGCTGCCTTCCTTCCTGTCCATGACCAATGTGCCATGTCCGGACTGACAACGGACTCGAGGACCATTATCGATCATGCGCGCGTGGGGGTCCAGGTATAAGCAATTGCACGTAAAGATCTCTCGTGTATTCAACGTATAGTATCGCGGCGTTGCCTTAATAGTATCAAGCATTCACATATAATGAAAGCATTAAGGTCGAGGGTGCAATCCAGGCAGTGTGCAATCTGGGCTTGGGGCTCAGAGAAAACGCGCGAGAGGAAGAATTTATCATGATAAGCCAGCACTTAATGCACTTTGACAATCGCATGGATCGTCAGGTTGGCGTCCTTTTAGTCCAGAATCAGAGGGCGCAAAGACAGAATTCCAGGAGGAATACCATTTACCCATGACATTAGTCAAGGCCGGGATGCTGGCGCTCAAGATTCTGAAGCAGGAAAGCTCCGATATGGGCGTCAATTTCAGATCTTTCCAATTGAACTTGGCTCCTGCAATCCCTTCGAAGTCTTGATCCCGACAGCTGTTGATCCCAGCCAGCAGAGTAAATGAGCAAGTCGGAACAGGTACTAGAAGCGAGCAAGAGCTTTATGTAGGGCGTTTGAAAATGGTTGAGCGAATCGAGCGACGTAGTGTTCCTGGAATCAGAGACTTTGCCGTACTTTGATGGCCTCGATCGTGCACTCGACTTGGAAGAGACGCCTTCCGAACGAGGAAGTGTTGGCTCCTCGATCGTACGCTGACGTGTCATGGACATGTTGAATCGTGTACTGGAGGTTGAGGAATGAGCGATGTGTAACTAGGCCTTCAACTGTCCGACGTTGAAGCAAAGCGTGACTGACTGGTTGCCACCATTTTTTTTAGAGCATTCCTCCGATTTCGCTTCGAAGAGCTCCTCCTATTGCCACCTTTCCCTTTTCCCTTTACTCTTTCCAGCAGTCAGCTCTTGGTCCGGAATAGCCATGGCGGACTCTTCTGAAAGCTCTCCCGAAAAACCACCCTCGCCAGACAAGACAACCGCGACCACTCATCTGGATGACGACCCCTCCGTCCCGAGTCCTCCGTTCCACGAGCTGGTCATGCTGCTTGAGGATATCTCAAGGCGTCGCTCCGAAAAGTCTCAGTTTCTTCGCAGATACTTCAAAGTAGGAGCATCTACCTACCATACTTCATTTTTATGTTGATGAGTGAAACATTTCTCCCCCACATACTTGGCTGATGTTGTTCGATGTAATCAACATATCTAGGAATGGCGCGAGAACGGACATGGGGACATGTTTCCAGTCATCAGGCTGTTATTACCTCAGGTTCGTAAGTCTTTCATTTCTGTCCTAGGCTGCTCAGCATCGATGACTTCTGAAGGAACTAATCAGGAGGTAATCTTTTTCGCATCAATTAGCTGGATCGCGAAAGAGGGCGCTATGGATTGAAGGAGCAGAAGCTGGCCGATCTGTATATCACAAGTTTGAATATCCTTCCAGGGTCTGATCCGGCCATTAAACTTAAGAGCTGGAAAGAAGGCTTACGGGTAAAAAATTCCCTCCCTCATGGTGCCAGTTGGCCATCGAGCAGATGTCCGTTAATATCAATGTTTGAAAACTGACAAATATGCCTTGTCAATCGCAGGACTCTGCTGGCGATTTCAGCTTGGTGGTGCGCGAGGTAGTGGCTAGCCGTTCGTTAGTTACGCATCCTCAAGGACAAACGATCCGGGATGTGAACAACCTATTGACAGCACTTTCTAGAAAGTGAGTCTTTGCTCGGAGATACGTTAGCAACCCCAAAGTTTGCGCTCATCTTGATCGCTAATACCGTTAGCGCGCCATTCATGTTCTTTGATAGAGGGTCCGACAATGCGCAGGTTTTCAAGACGCTTGTGCAGACCTATACAGCTTTGGAGAACAAATGGATCGTGCGCATCATCAACAAGGACCTCAAAATTGGCATGAGTGAAAATTCTGTCCTGCCATGTTATCACCAAGACGCCATAGAACTCTTCAATGTCTGCAGTGATCTCCGGAAAACTATCATTGACTGTGCCGACCCCCATATCCGCATCTCTACCTCTGCCGTGAACCTTAACCAGGCTTTCAAGCCTATGCTGTCCAAGAGACTTCCGAGTGCCAGGGACGTGATCGAGTGTATGGGGAACATGCCTTTTTGGATCGAGATAAAGCTGGACGGGGAGCGCGTGCAGGTCCACAAGGATGGAGAAAACTACCGGTATTGGTCCAGGAACTCGACCGAGTACACGCATCTCTATGGCGCGACACCGAACGAGGGTTCCCTGACACCATTTATTCATCCGTTGATTAATCCCAAAGTCGAGAAGTTGATCCTGGACGGAGAGATGGTCGAGTTTGATCCAGCAACTAAGGAGATCATTAACTTTGGAACTGTCAAGACGGCCGGAGGCGACCATTCTGACGATGCGCACAAAAGACGACCATTATGTAAGCTGCCAGGCTCTCTCACTGGAACTCCTCATTATGCCGATACGTTTTTTTTTTTTTTTTTTTTTTTTTTTTTTTTTTAACGCTAACAGCGTTGGTCTCATACTTGTCCACGGTTCTGTAGTGTTTGTGTTCGATGTGTTATACATGAATGGTGCCTCGATTATCGACCAGCCGCTTGAGACTCGCCGAGAAATGCTCCCATCCATCATTCCAAAGCAAATCGAGGGTCGTCTGGAGATCCTCAAGTATCAGATCGGAAGCGCGGAGCAGCACATCATTGATGCGGTCGACTCAGCCGTCATGGATCGCCAAGAAGGCGTAATTGTTAAGAATCCTCGGTCTGTCTACACCCCCAATGGCCGTGGAGAGGACTGGGTCAAAATTAAACCGGAATATGTCGACGGAGTTTTCGACAGCTTGGACGTGTTGATCGTAGGAGGATACTATGGAAAGGGCGCAAGGGGTGGTCAAGGCGTCATTGCGGCGTACCTTTGTGCTGTGCGCGACAATACCTCAAAGTCACCTACAGGCAAGCAATTCCTGTCATTTTGCAAGTTCGGCTCCGGATTCACATACGAGCAGATGGGAAAGTTTAGGCAAGTCATCATTGCCATTTCCCAAGCCAAAGCATGCTGCTGCTGCTGCTGCTGCAAAAAGTTTTATCAATAACACCACATATCCTTTATATCCCTGTATGAGTAGCCAGATATTGGGGCCACACTGGAAAGTATACAAACATTACAAGGAGAACCCGTGGGTGGAAATGATCGATAATGCCAAGATGCGTCCGGATGTCATTATCGACCCTGAAAAGTAGGTTGGACGACTATTGTTTCCTGGCTAACGTGCAGGTTGCCCTCCGATGCTTATATCGACCACACTTACTGAAAATCTATATTTTTAGGTCAATTGTAGTGGAGGTAAAGGCTGCAGAGATTGTTTCCAACACGGACTCGTATGCTGCAGAATATACACTTCGGTTCCCACGATTCCTGCATGTCCGAGAAGACAAAGATTGGACATCATGTATGACAATGAGTGAAGTGCATCGCATGTTCCGCGAATACAAGGGAAAACTCTCCACGCGTCAAAATGATATGAAACTGGGTTCGAGGTATGGCTATTTCCAAGATCGTACCTCCTGCTGCCTTAATGGACTCCACTTTATTCAGCATTTTTTATATCTTCAATAGTAATCCAACTAAAACAAAGAAGAAACTGATAGGACCACGAAAGGTATATTCCTTAATGAGCTTGAGCATGCGGACCAAATTCTCAGTTAGCACTAACAACTTCTCTTTGTGTTTTAAATGTGTAGACAACACAAGCGCATTTCTTGCGTTCGATGGTCGGAGATATGAGTGCTGTGAAAATGGAAACGGATCTATTCAAAGGCCAGGTCTTTTGGATTGTACGTGGCGATGAGGAGCAATCCAAACCAGAGCTCGAGATCATGATAAAGCGGTTCGGAGGAAAGCAAACACAGTCGGATCAAATGGAGAATACTGTAATTGTCGCCGGTCTCCATGGTATGATTGTCGAGTCATTGTCGAAATCGATATTTATTATTCTCTTAAAAAAAAAGGAAAAAAGAAAAGGCTCACGTCTTCCTTCTTTCTTTATATGGTATTTTAGGACCGGATTTGATTGGCCTAAAGAAGAAGGGTCATAGGAATATTCTGTTACCTACATGGATCCGCGACTGTGTCAGAGAGCAGCGTTTGATTCCCTTGAACCCGAAGTAATAGCTGCGATATTTTCGTGGTAGTCTCTTGGCCATGATTCTACTATCAGTAATACTCATTTTCGGTCCATGACTCTCGGCATCTATCGCTGTAGGTACATGATGTTTGCAACCAAAGAGACCGAGCGACAGTTCCGGATGATTATGGACCAGTACGAGGACTCTTATACAGAGCCACTGACCCTAGATGGACTCCAAGAGGTAAGCCCCCATTCGAACTTTTCTTATATTATACGTAACGATATACAATGGCTTTTATTAACAACATTGTTACATATTGCGGTTTTTATGGCATTATAGATTCTGGATAAAATGCCCAGCAGGACGGAGGTCGTTAAGCGCAGGCGCTTCCGAATCGCACAGGATCGTGCCTCGAAGATCAAAATCAAGCGTCTAAACAACCTGGAAGACCAGATCAGGGACTCTTTGTTCGATTCTGAAGTTAAGCATATGTTGCTACAGATGGAACTTGATAACCCGGATGGGACTTGGGAGCGAGAAGATCATGAGCGGGCGAGAAAAATCGCAGCGGAGTTGACACGGCGGTACTATGGGCACGACGGAGAGATTGAACCGCCGTTGGGGATGTTCCAGGGCATCAAAGTATTTGTGGTGTACCCACCCACGCCCTCGGAATACTTGCGGTCGATGGCGTCGTTGACGGATAAAGTGAAGTATGAGAATGATGTTGGAGGCGGTAATCGAGGAGGATCATCTTCGTCTGTCGTGTCGCCTTCCACTCTGACAGATGGTGGTTCGTCGCAGGATTGCCTGTTTGATGTGATGTCCAAAGCGATCGATCTGTGGTCGGCCAAGAGAGACGAAACAATCACTAATAAGGTGTCGAGGATTCATAGCGTCGATGGCGACGTTGCCGCCGAGGTTCCGGACTGGACCTATGTTGTTGAAGAGACTGCGCGACAGGAGGATTTGGAGTACATGCTGACTAAGCTAAGTCATTACCAGCTATGCCGGAGCAAGTATGTTGAACCATCGTATCTGTACTATTCTTTGTTCTCTGCGACGAAAAAAGAAGTAACCATCTGTTTTTCGTCGTCAACTGGTATATATTATATGTCTAGTTTGGAGTCGGTATGCCAGATACTCGAGGTCCATGGCGCTCAGGTTGTACCACAAGAGCAGTGCACGATCAAGAATTGTCAACAACAGCTCCGGAATCGCATTAGTCTCAATAACGCCAACAATAGCAATCACAGTAAGCACGACAATACAAGCAATGAGAATGACGATGTCGGCGTCCCACTCGAAATCGTAGTCCTTTTTGACCCGCTCTATCTTGAGTCACTCGATCAGTGGAAGAACGCCATGCGCGTGTCTGTTCTCTACGGCTCTGACGCAGGATCGTTTGAGGTCCCGCGGTTGGTCACGTCCGAATGGGTCAAGCATTCTCAAAAGAGCGCGTATCGTCTGCCAGAAGAAGGATATTATCCTACTGCGTAACGATAGTACGACGTAGTCAAATTCAAGGAAGTCCAGCAAAAGTTAAGCGAACGCAGATATACCAATAACATAATTATAATAAACAACATCTTTTAATGACGGCTCTGAAAGATGGTTTTGCTATTAGGGTCTGAATGCCTATAATTGACGCTAAGGCTTGCCAGCGTTCAAATACTCTTTTTTTTTTATAGTCACCTATTGTTTGTATTTTCGTTGTGTTCTGCAGCAGTATGCCGATCTGTCTTCTTCTGCAGCAGGAAAGAAAAAGAAAAAGAAAAAGAAAAGATCTCCGCCATTGTCGCCACAACATTTGAACAAGCAGGGAGTGGGAAAAAAAAAAAGAAGAAAACACGCATAGCACCATGTATTTTCTCCTGAGCATTCGAACCGCCGCCTGCAGCACTCTAGTCGCCAAAAAAAAAAAAGTAGTAATATGTATAAAGCTATCAAGGTTGTGTCGGTGGTGGTGGTACAGACGAAATGAACTGCTTGAACCCTGCCAATGCGTCAGGGTGGTTCCAGAAAATAAGAGATACCTCCGAATAGACCTATAGATGGAAAAACATTCAAAAAGCGGTCAGTCCTGTTGTCGAAGTTAGATTCCTGTATTGCTAGACGCAGAGTAACTATCAATACCTGGTCGATGGTCCATCCGTTACGTTGGTATTTCTCAAGTGCAAAGATGAATCGGTCGTACATTGACAGGTCGCTTTTCGCTTCATACTATCAAAATCATGCATTCGAATGAAGTTAGAATACTTTGACCGATAACAATAAAAATCAATTCTCGTCGCCGCTTTGTTCCCTGTCTAAGTACCTTGACAGTCTGCACAAAGTCCTTGGCTTCAATGAAATCGGGCGAGACGACCAACTCTTCTGGTGGTGCCTTGGAAATTACGCGGGGTTCCGTCACCTCCACACCAGACACCACATCAGGCAAAAACTTGTGGAATCGTTGCAGCAAGTGTGGGTGGTACCGCAAGATGATCGATACGTAGAAGTAGAGCTGTAACAGAACCAGATATGAAGCAGAAATTAATGAGAATCAGTGACCCTGATTTTTTTCACGCGTGCAGACTCAACAACGCTTAAGGAGCCTTCCATAACATACGTTTGCATAAGAGTGATCCTTTTGGAATTTCCGAAGAAGTGTGATCAGATGCTGATACATGTCTGGTTCCTGTTGCGACCGTTCCTAGATGGCACGTTGAATGGTTTGGAGAATAGAACACAACCAATCGTCAATATCATCATAAGGACTCCTCAAAGTCGGTACGGATGACAAGGGTTCCCAATGTCCATGTCCAACTCGCTCCAGTATTCGCACCTTGATTAAGCTGAGGAAATCCGCTGCTGCGTGTCCGTTGTTAAGAATCTGGTTGGGATTTCCTTGCTGTTGAACACCGGCAGCTGTGATACGTCGAATCGCGACAGTTTTTTTTAGAGGCAATCAAGGGAAGACATAAGAGCTAAATCAGTACCTGGTTCGTCATTTTCATTCAGAGGCGGCATATACAACTTGACAAACACATACCTGGTGTGCCTATCAATGCCCCGGGTATAATCGAAGAGTTTACTGATGCTGATAATGGTAGAGATGGCGGTACTGCAGAGACCACCGGTGCCTTTCCTACAGTTGCCTTATAATCCGAGTACATCATGGGCTATGGGAAGAGAGAATCAAACATAAGATAGTATTAGGTCCTGCGACACACATAGAAGACGTCCAAATGAACATGTAGCGTGCTCCAATATCCTCGACGCACCGGCACCAATTGGTTCAACAGGCCCTGGGCTTCCGGCAAAAACTCCTTGAACCCAAGCAGCAAATCTGGCTGGTCCTGGAAAAGCGTCATCACGGTCCGTACCAGTTGATCTATTGGCATACTGCAGTAAGAGAATGTTCAGCCAATAAACGAAAAGGTTAGCCGTAATGTCCTGATAGAAAGTTCCATCATGTAGACGCTGTGCCCAATGAATCAAGTCCGTACTTCAAACCATGATATTGCTCTAGCGCAGACAAGAACTCTGTGTAGATCTTGGGATTGTTCTCATAGGCCTTCTTGACAGACCCAACATAGTCCACAGCATTCCTGTAAATGGGTGATTGTTGTTTAGTAGGCGGGATTCCCGTTGCTGCGCTGACAAATGCAGCTGCTCCGCCATCCTGTAACGGACTACTAATGAAGGAGCAGATCAAAAAAAGGAATATTCAGTCATTTCAGCATTCATAATATGCATTTTCCTTGCTGTCTTTGTACATGAGAGTATGGTTGATACGACCAAACAGCCTCTGCCATGAACAGATGTGTACCTGCATGCAGAACCAGGATACTTGGCCTCCAGCATGCTTTTTGCGCACCAAGAAAAAAGACAGCAAGAAACACTTACTCGTTGCCGCCCGAGTTCTGTGCCAAAGAAACCAGCAATTCGGCCACAGCCATCCGCGATTCCGGTTGCAGGTGCGATTGCTCCATGGCCCCCATACTGCTCTGAACCGCACTCGTGACATCGCTCATAAGGACATCGCTCGCGTGGGACGGATCTCCCGAAAGTTCAGTGTCACCGCTATTCAGGGCAAGGCTGATATTGTGGATGGTGTTAGCGGTGTCCAGAGGCACGACCGCAAGCGAATGTGCAAAGGACGCAGAGGAACCGGTCTCGTCCTGATCCATGGTCGAATCCCGAGGCGTGTTCATCGCGTGTGGTTCTTTTGATTTCTGGGTGTCTGTTGAGATAGTAGTAATTGTTATCGGTATGTCGACCGTTGTGCTCTGCGTTGAATGTCGTCCAAAACGATGCGGATCGCTTTGCGCACTTGTCAACGGAAGGCGATTTCCAAGAGGGTTGTTTACTTGATTAAGAGGATCAGGACGAACTGGTGGCGAACAGACAGCGGTTGTTCAAGAAAGTAACTATAATGAAATGACATGCAGATACAAATATGCACAAGAATGTTGAGAGTGAGCTGATAGAACTCTACGCGTTCTCGATATTTGCGGTGGAGCTTGGATTGTTCAAGAAAGAAGCGTAGGTGGAAGAGATTCTGCAGAGTGGAAGAGAAACCATGGAATAAAAAAATAAAATAAAATAAAAGATGAAAAATGAAAAAAGAGCGATATTGAATAAAGCAAGCGCGTTCTCAGGTTCTCAGGTTCCCAGGTTCCCAAGGGTCTTCAGTTGGCGTTTGTGATAAAAATGCAAAGCGTGGATGGAGAGCAGTGGAAAGTATTTGGGGCGTCAAGTACAATCGTCTAGACTAGATTCATTCATTCCCTCCTTCAGGGCAGGGTCCTCCCGATTGACATAGATTCAACAACTCACCTACCGAAACGGAGGGGGTGTGAGCCAAGGTCAAGAAGCGATATGAATATGGGAAAGGGAGAAGGAGTGGAAGGGAAAGACGCCTTTCCGCGATTGTGTTCGTGGTGCTGATGGTGGTTGTTGTTGTTGTTGACAACAATTCAAAAAAATAAAAAAGACGAGCGAGCAAAAAGAAGCACAAGGAAAAAAATAATTCAACAAACGATGTGCTCCAGCTCGGAATCGAGGGTTGGTCCTCACTTCCCCTTAAGCACTCCTTCATGATTGACAGCACATACATATCCTTGGCGTCAACACCGGTGCCGAGTAATACAGTTTATTGGTCATACCGAGATATCGAGAGCTCCATTACTGCCTCGGTGTCAAAACATTACGCACGCTCTTTGCCTTTCGAGGACCTCGGGGCCTCCACTTCCTCAGGCTCGTCCTCCAGATCATCCAGGTCCGCCACTGCTTCCGGCTGCGCAATGTACACATCCTCCCATGTTCCGGCTATCATATCCATCAGAAGTTGAAAGGAGAAAAGAGAGTGGCATAGTAGCTGTCATTAAAAGTACATCATTTCATCATAAAACACATCGGAGCTGAGGGGCAAGAAACAGGAAGCGTCCTCTTACATGGTGTCTTGAAAGTCATGGCAACAACCTGCTGATCCACAAGTCCCGAAGCCGAGAGTGTCTTGGAGTCGATCAACTGTAGGTACTGACTGGGATCCTTTTTGTTTGGGATATGCAACTGGATATCAGATGGTGAAGTCACCGAGGCCTCTGCGGCGTCCTTGTTCTTGGTCGATGATAGCGCTGTGACGACTCGCTTTTTCAATGCCAAGACCGTGTCCGCATTGGGATTCGCAGTGTTGATGAAGATGGTCTGGGTATTTCGCTTGACACGGTAGTATTGAGAGAAGGCCTACACAAAAACGATAAAGGTCGTGGTCAAAGGTCGTGGTTGCGTGTTCCAGGAATTCGTTCATGAAATGTCGCTCATCGTCTCTTGAAGAATGTCCATAGTGGTCTTTATTACCATGCTGATTCCGATGCTGTTGAGAGGAATGGGTTGGTGGTGATAGTAGTAGTAACAGCAAAGTAACTATTCAACGACCTGCGCTTTTTGCTGAAGTTAAAAAAAATGGTGGCGTTCTGAAGCAAATGGCGAATTACTGATCTAATGATACAAAGAAGTATGGTACAGGACGCAGGAGGAAAAAAAGAAATAAAAAAAGGCCAGCACATAACGATCGCCTTCAGTGCAGATGCAGGTTCCGGGGCCGCATCGATTTGTTCTTGCTCCAGGAATGGTCTCCTTTCTCATTCCTCACGGACGCAAGCGGCTCCTTCTGCCATTCCAGGAACCAAGGATGCTTCTCAGGCGACACCCATTCTCCTGCTATCCTCACCTGCTCCGCTTTCGTTTCCACTTCATTGTCCCGTTGCTTCCATATATTCGGAGTGTCCGAACGCGACGAGACCGCCCGCATGGGTGAAATCGACCTGGATCTCGAGCTCAAGCTCGCCGTCATCCTGGAGAACTCATGCCACGACGCCAAGGAGGATCCCGGGCTTTGATCCAGTTGCGTGCCTGCTCTTCCATGAGCCCACGTGTTCGAATGATTCCTCCCAGAAGCACGGTTGTTTGGCGGTGATCGTAAGCTTGGAACGGCACTCCTGTCGCTACTTCGTCTATCCTGATGCCGTGTTTGAGGTTCTTCATATACCTCGGTCTCATCAGCAAAAAAGTTCTGGATACTCGGAGAGGTATTGTCTGCAAAATCGAGCGGGGGATGCAATTCGAATGGCTTCCTCCTGCCTCCGTGCCTAATACTGTTGTTCGCACGTTGACCATGCTGACGAGCTCTAACTTTGGTCAACAATTCGATATCCGGGGATGCGTCACCCTGACCAAACGACATAGAATGAGAAGCGAGGTGCTTTTTGAAGGGCCCGAAAGGATGGATGCAAAATATAAAGGCGATATATAAACCAGCGTCAGCGCAAAGTCATAGAAATGGGTAGTGTCCAGCAGCCGATAATGAGCACGGCATGTAAACGTTACCGAATCCCAGGTTATCCAGTTCTCGGTGTCCTCATGGCCCGAACGCGTGGGGCTGTTGGTCTGTGCCACGGGACTTTCGAGATTGGTCCAAGACATCCGTGGCCAGTCATCCCCCCATCCGTTTTCGTCGTCGGACTTCTGCTTGCCCTTGTCCTGAGTGGTGACCCATCCATCGTCATCCTCCCTATTCCTGGCTGGCCCTTTGTACTGCCGAAGCTGTGCATCCCATGTCTGATGCAGCTCTAATTCGTCCTTGCCCAACATATTCCTCTCCTTTGTATAAATCGGCTCCGATGAAAGCGCCCATGCCACTCCTTCCAATACGGCCCGAAAAGCATCTTTACTCCTGATCTCGATCCATACCAGAATATCGTTCGACCGAGGCAAACAGTCCGGAGAAATGCCCACCGACATGCCTGCGCTCTGACTCACTTCCTTGATATATTCCAGCGTCATGCCCTGACGTGCGCACGACTCTAGGTCTTGATGCTCAACAAGATAGGACATGAGACCACCAGATAAATGAAGCAAAGAGTGTGCAATTCTTTCGTGCAGGCTCAATATGATGATCAGCGGCTTGCGCTTGTCTCCGTGAGGTTGTGGAGTCAATCGCGCCTGTCGCTCCTTTTCCAGATGGTAATCCGTCTTCCATGCAGCGGGGTCTATATCTTTCTGACTCTGGTTACTTCTCCTATTGATCACAGCCTGCTTCTCGTAAAACGCCAACGCCTTCACGCCTTGCTGCTCCATGTCCATCGCCTCTGAATCTGAGCCGAGCTGCCTGTCGATATCATCAGGAATGGCGTGTTGGGCAGTGTATAGATCAGTTGCGCCTTGAGGTGCATCCTGTATTGTGCTAGTCGAATCACTGGACCCTCCTGATGGCGAAAAAGTCGCCGCGCTCACGCCTGAAGAGTCGGACGATTCTGTTGCGCCTTGTGGGCGCATGGGCTCTGCTTGGTCTGTGATAAGAAAGCTATCCACAATTGCATCGACTACATCCTTAGCTCGGCCATAGACATCGAAGCGATAGTCAACTTGGTGGATAATAACGGGGTATTCTTGCATGACATTGTCGGCACATCGCAGGATATCTGTGTTGGTCGGGCCCAAGAGAAACCGCAGTCGGACGTTCCGGAGTGAAGGCGTTGACGATAACGGCTGCGGCGCCGGCGCCGGGGACCACATGTGACCTGCTTGGTCCATGGCAGGTTGAGGCTCGAATCAATGTCCACGCGGCGTGAGGTGAAAATCAAAGTGTGTGGAAATGACAAACGAATGTGCTTCAATACATTCCATCGCAAAACAAAAGGCACTCAAATCTAATCCAATCTATCAGGGGGCATTGACTGCTACGCCACCAACCTTCTCATTTATCCATCCATCCTTTTCTGCAGTGGAAATCAGACAGTAGTTCCGTGTGATAGTTTATTATGGCGGTGGAGGTGGTGATGTTAACAGGGCAATTATGGTTTACTATAGTACAAGGTGAGTGGGTGTGTTTTTACGTGCGCTACATAAGGATGCGAGAGAGAAAACAAAAATGAAAAAGAAAATGCTTATATGATAACAAAATGCCCATCTCTATGGCTGGTCCATCTATGATTGCCGCGGTTCAGGTATTGGGGACATATCGCTCATCTCGGGAATAGAGTCGTGACCAGACGACATAGAGGTGAGTGAGCAGGTGTCGACAGAATCCATATCTTGCTCCTCGTCATATCTTGTCGAACCAGAACTGCTAGCGCCTCCAAAGCTGACTCGTGTCGCAATAGCTGGGGCCAGCCCCACGGACGTATTCAAGTATTCGTGCGGCTGAAGATGACCATTCAATTCTGGCAAGGTGGATGAAATCCCTGTGGGAGGTGGCCCCACCGGATGAGCACCAGCTTGAGGAGGTGGGCTTGTCGCCCAGGACGAGTACAGATACGGATCATGCTGCGACTGAAGAGGATAGGGAGGTATGGACGGCAACGACTCTTGAGTGATCGTGAATGTGAAAGCTGTTCCTGCCAACTGACTAGCCGTGGAGGGCTCGATTCCAAATCGAGAACTTGGTGCATCATCGGCCATAATCGATATAGACGGTATCCTAGATGAACCTTGCGGGGATGGAACAGTGAGATGCTGTGACGGCTGCGTCAAATAGGACGCATCCTGCTGAATCTCAGCCATGAGCGGCGCTCTTGTGGGGCGAGAGACGCTTCTCCGGATCTGATGATGGGGATGCTGTAAGGTTGGCGACGGCCATGTCGTTCGATCCGTCATTGAAGACGCTGATATGACAGAGCTGCTCCTCCGCTTGGACTGCGTTGAGGTCTCCGTCGACGAGGACATGTACGAGTTGTGGCTGTCGAGTCCCGAGTGCGCTGGATCCTCCAAGTCCTTTTCCTCAAAATCATGCCCCTGGCTGTTCGACCGCCAGCATCGCGATCGTTGTCCGCTGGTCCTTGAGCCGCATGCAGTCTTTTCTCCCTCGCTGGTGGCGCAGATCGTACTCGTGTTCTCCTCGAACGAGCTGGAATGATTCACGGATGGACGTTGTTGATATCCTGCGCTGCCCTCCCGAGTTAATGATTGACAGCGCGAATCGGTTTCATACATCCCCTCCTCCTCATCGTTCCCGCCCTCTTCATCTTCGCCATTGTCAACGGTGGTGTCGGTGATGGTCCTGCAGACCAGAAACATAGCTGCGATCGAGAAACCGCACAGGATCCAGTTGGTGATAAGATAGGCAAGCAAAGGCGTCTGGGCGAGATCCAATGGTGCAGCAACAGCACCCCCGAGCGATTGAATCGACTTGAAGAATCCTGCGTACCTTGATAGCTCGTCATGCTTGTTGGAGAGAGCGCCCATGAGCCAGTAACAGTAGACCGCAAAGGCTGCATCACAGAAACCGAACATTGCATAGATGGAAAGCGGTCCTGGATAGCTGTCGGCGTGCTCGTAATCAATGAGCTCGGAGCTGTTGGAGACCTTCCGCTCCCACTTATGTCTGAGCTGCATGATAAGGGCGCCGATCCAGGTGGCCATGAAAAGTGCTGCAATGACGATCAGCCCGAGCATGGCTCTCCTGGGCCTCTTCATGGGTAACCGATCCAGCAGGTATCCAATCATGAGGGCGCCAATGATTTGTGCAACCCAAAAGAGTATCGAATTGAGCGAGCGAGTCCGGATGTTGAAGTTGAAGCCGTTGAAGTCGTTGAACTGATAGGTGTATGAGAAGTTGGAGAAGAAGAATGCTGGGATCAAGAGAAGCATTCGCCAGTCGCAAAAGACCGAGAGGATGGCGAGGAACTCGGCTTTGACACCTGCAAACTTTGCGACAATAACGGGCTCGCCGTTGTCTCGAACAATACTGGAGGGGCGGACGAGGAAGATGGCTAGGAAAGTGGCGAGACCCATGATGACCATGTAGACAATGTAGGTTGAAGACGAGACGTCGTCGGGATCCATGCCTGGGGCGCTGTTCATGACAAGCGGAAAGACTGAGCCTAGGACGGCGCCGAGGTTAAAGATGGCCCAGAAACAAGCTATGTATTTACCCTTGTTGTCTTCTGTTGGATAGGACATCATCATTGCGCCCTGGGTGACCCAGATGAGACCTGCACCGAGGCCGAGGAGGATGCCAACGAGGGGTGGATAGAGCGAGTGTTCGTTGTCCTTGGCGAGCATCATGCCGCCGGCGTAGAGGAAAAAAGAAAGTCCACCGAAGGCTACACAAAGCCTTGGCCCAAGCATATTGTGTGTTCCCCCAGCAGCGAGGAATCCGAAAATATAGGTGATCGAAGACGAGGTGACAGCGAGGTTTTGGGCGGTGGGTGAGTGTTTGCCAGCGTTGCCAATGGAGGACATGGCATTGAACATTCCAATGGTGCCGAAGCAGATGACACCGATCAGAATGATCTGGCGCATGGCTTTAGAGACCATGGCTGGTGCAAGGAGGTTTGATAATTCAGCCGACTAAACAGATATTGAGGTATCGGATGAAATAGTGGAGGTAAACGAAAGAAGATAAAAAAAGAAAAGAGGTATCAAGAGACAGAACGATTGCAGAGGGTTGGAACAAGCACAATGTTCATGCCAGCGACTGATAACAAAGAAAGTCTGCTTAAAGTGAGAAGAGGAATAAAAGGAGGGAGGATGGATCTGTGGTATAAAGATGCGAGGAGAGATAATGAAGGGAAAAGTAGAGGAGGTTGTGGAGGAGGGTGTGGAGGTATGAAGGAGTGAAGGAGTGAAGGAGTGAAGGAGTGAAGGAGTGAAGGAGTGAAAGCACAGCAGAGTGCGAGAAAGCGAGAATGGGTCGGTTGATGGGTTCGTGGGGGTTGGGTTACAAGAAAGGGAAAAGAAAAAGGACGCCGGACGGAGCACGAATGGAAGATACGACCAGTTGATGCTAGTGGTGGAGATCAGGAACAATATTAGGAACTACTACGGAGGGCAAGAAAGCTGGAGTGTCGATATTGGCAACAAAGATGAAAGGGGGAAAAGAAAAGAGGAGCAGGAGCAGGAGCGAGAGCAGGAAGAAGAAGGGCTGTGGATGCGATGTTGATCCGGAGGAGGATGGGCCAGTGTGCGTGCGTAGGGATGAGAGTAGGGATGAGCATAGGAGTGAGAGGGGGGTGCCTGCAGGCTCATGGTCTAACATAACCGAATTGCCATTCCCTGCGCTCTTGTCTCTTTTCTTTCTTCCGTTGCTTCCGTTCTTTCTTCCAGCCAGCCAGCAGATGGGGTCCACCCACATTCAGTCCCTGTGACCTCGACACCTTTTCGGTCCAACAGGGATCGACACCATAAACCAAACCGTAGGATGTTCCTTCCCTGCCCTTTTTTTTTCTTTTCTCAGCCAAGTTAGTCCGTCAAGTCAATCATTTCAATTGAATGCTGTACGACCAGGAAAAACGTTTGACCACCTCGATAGGAATTTAAGGTCGAATTTGAGAGCAACCAGAAACGAATGAAAAAAAAAAAAGAAATGGGGCGTGCGTCAGTCATCATCACTCCGAGTGCCTCCCCTCCGCTTTCTACACTCTCATCATTTCCCCTCTTTCTCTTTTCATTCTTGCTCTCGCTCTAGCTCTAGCTCTATCCCCACATCCCAGCGGATAGACGCATAAACACGCCTGAGCAATGGGAGGGAAAACATATAACTGGTCGCATGTGCTTGCTTACAGAACACAGAGGGTATGACGCCGTTCTGGTGCTTCCTGCCCCTGTTCCTGTCCTTCTACGCTTTCCTTTTCCTCCAAGACAATCCAGTGTGGTGTGAAAAAAAAAGCCTGAAAAAAAGAAGGATTCTATTCTCTGCAATTCGAAACACTGGATTCATTAAAGGCGTCTTTGACAAGCATGCATGCCTTCGCTCAAAGTCAGCATGATGTGGATACATTATTCGTGTGCTAAGGGATTAATTGAATCCGATGTCATGGCGAACAAAAAATAACCTTTTTCTTTAAAAGTAGCTACCATGTGGTTAGAAAAAAAAGAAAAAAAAGGACATAGCGGTAGACGGTTAAAGACTATGGTAAAACACCCGAATGGATGAACGTGTTGAAGTCTACGTTGTGTGTGTACATGCTCATCGGGTGAACTATGGCTGGACCCTGCTCATAGCAGCCACTCACGCTCCTTTCTATCAACTACGGGAGGTTTATCAACTAGCATGGGGTGCCTGCCCTTAATAAAGATGGAACTGTCGGTCGCGTATGCAGTTAGAATCAGCAAATCTAAGGCATGGAGGGCGGCAAATCTACTGAAGATGTTCTTTCAGCAGCAAAGCAATAGTCATCAAGAGACTCTAGGGCACATTCAGGAAGCGAAGGACGCTGTTGAACGTTTACTGTTTAAGAATTTAATCCAAATGCAAATCAAAAGAGGGATATCAACAAGGAGAGGTTGGTCCTGGCCAGTTTTTATCCGCTAACAGATAAGAGAGGTTCTATCAAGTAGCCAAAGTCTACGTCTAATTTGGACCCATGAAAAATATCAATTAAAAGAGGTTATCAACTAAGAAGCAATCAACTAAAGCAAGTTAGATTTGGCCAAGGGAACGTGAAGGAGGAAGAGAGAGGGGGGTTGCAGCCGCTTCCCGCATCGTCTTTATCTTTCCCGCCTAGAAGCCATGCACACTTGTAGCCATGCACACCTGTAGCCCCGAATAAACTCACGCACGCGTCCTAACAGACACACTGGCCATTTGGCCATATGGCCTTGTCCACTAGGCCAAAGAAAGCGATCATCGTCCGTCGCGTGTCCCTCGTCGTCTTCAGACACCATTGCCGCCAACTTTGTTCGCCTGCGATGCTCTGCCCCCGCCACGTCCTGGCCCGTTTCTAGGCAGTATCCAGGGGACACTTGATGTCCAGTACACACACAAACACCCTGTGGACGTGTATCCCATCTGCTTGTCCTCTCTGCTGGGCACGACCCATCCAACCGAATCATCCTTTTGTGCATGAGATTCTCCATCATCCACCTTGCATTTCTCGACCATCTTCATATAGCTTACCGCCATTATTCCCTTCCCTCACACTAAGTGCTCACTCGATCGATCGTCCAATCATCTCTCTCATCCCCTTACAGCCTTCACTTCTCAATTCACCTTTCCTGTCATAAAGGGCTCTTCACCTACATAGTGTCTGCATCCGCAATCAGCATCCTTCCCCAGGCACTTGCTCAACCTCACTCTTTCCCATACGCTCTGAGACGCCCCAGCTCATCTGCTCTTTCCAATATCCTTAGCTCTCTGCGCTAATTGACACTGCCGTACCGAAAAAGTCATTCCTTCTTGCCGTCCGAACCGTTCCTCGTCGCGCTCCCTCGCTCCCTCCAGAGGACACATCCGCGCTATGAACGGAATGTCTGCTTTTAACGGTCGGCATCAGCCCTCCAGCAACCCTATTTTGGTCCTGGAGCCCATCAATGACACATTCGCACTCAAATCCCTCGAACTGCCAGAGCAAACCAAGGTCAAGATTGGCCGCCAGACTGGCGTCACCACCGCACCCCATCCCTCCAATGGCTACTTTGACTCTAAAGTCCTCAGTCGAGTCCATGCCGAAGTCTGGTCAGAGTCCGGCAAGGTAATATAAAGGAGTGCAATGGAAACAAGGCCTGCAAATAGACACGCATCTTGACAGCAGACCGTTAATGTCAACTCTAAAATGTCATGTAGGTATTCATTCGTGACCTAAAGTCAAGCAACGGCACCTTCTTGAACGGAAGAAGACTTTGTCCCGAGAACACGGAAAGTGAGGCATTCGAGCTGAACCAGAATGATAGCCTTGAATTTGGAATCGACATCATGGACGAGAACGGTGCCTGTAAGTACCACATGCCTTGTCATTTCATGAATTTGGATGAAGACAGCAAGCGGCTCCTCGGACAGGACAACAAACAGCAGCAATATCAGATGCCATAATAACGTTTGATGAGGTGCATGAAAATGAGATAATTGGATAATTGAGCACGAGGTCATCGGGCAGCAGCCTTGGTGTTTTCATTTTTGAGGGATTGTGCAACCATTCCATGAGCCATGATGTATGTTTGCCTAAGCCCATTGGGATGGATACTGGAACAAAGCACGCACACTAACGCGGTTCTTTTCGCTGTTGCGACCCCTTCAAGTACTACATGAAAAGGTCTCCTGCAAGATATACATTTCAAGAATGTCATATCCTACCCCTGGGAGCTCGCCCCTAGAGTACGCACCAAAAGATATGAATGCAGTGAATATGAAACCGAGTTTGACCCCGAAAGTTTCTAAGCGCTTTCTTTTATCCGTCTTATTACCTCATTACTTCATTAAACGTATAGTTCGCACGCAAAGATCAAGCCCATTTCGCCCTCAGGATCAGGCGGCAACTCTGTCAGGATGAATTCGGCTGCAATAGGAGGACAAAGTGAAAACATCGATCTCATCATCTCACGGTTGCAGAATGAACTTACTCGGTCACAGGAGACGTATGCCGATCTTGGCTTCCTGAAACATAGCTTGGGCGAACTGGAAAAGGCGATTGTTTTCAACGGCGACGATAGAGATACCCAAAACAAGAGCTTTGCAAATACCAATGGACGGTCATATTCAATGACAGATGCATCCTCAACTGACTATGAAAAAAGATTGGAGCAAAAGGACAAGGTATGGGGTATATACTCAAGCGCGTAAATTTGGCTACATCCACTGTCATACTCAGCTGTGTTAATTATGTCCATTTCTCTTGGCCTCTCTTTCAGGAACACGCGGCAGAAATAGCGAGACTCGTCAAGGGATTTGAGGAGACCAAGGCAGAGATGGAACGGCAGCGCGAACGAGAACTACAATTCGCCAGGGAGGAAAATGAGAGTGCACGTCGTGCACAGGAACGAGCAAATGTCGCCCTGAACGATGCTGCCTCGAAAATGGATTTCATTATGACTCGTATCAACAATATGATCAAAGAGCACGAGCAGGAACTAGATATTGTCCAAAAGGAGAGGGCCGCTGCGCTAGTATCGCTGGCAACGATGGAGGCGAAGCACAAAGATGAACTTAATAGGCTGGTTTTGGAGGCTGATGCGGAGCAGGAGGGACTCACAAGGAAACATGAGCGAGAACTTGCAGAGGCAGTCGCTCAGGCACAAGCTGAGGCAGGAAAAACGACGGATGCACAGGCACAGGAGGCCGACCTCATTTCGCTCAGGGAGGAAATCAAACTGCTTCGGGAGGCTGGTGAGGGTCAGTCCAGGAAAGTCGAAACATTGACAAAAGAGAATAAGGAACTGTCTGAGCAGTTGAATCAAGTTAAGGCAGAGTTGAAGATAGCTCGAGATGAGGCAAAGGGCAACACTGCAGGCGGTCTTGATACCCTGGCGCTGACCCTGGATGCATCCGGCAGCAACGATGACGGCAACAGGAACGGCAACAACAGCGACGGCGACATTAATAACAATAACAACAGCAATGGCAACCTTAATAATAACGGCAACAGCAATAGCAGTGGCGGTGTCAATGCACACACGAGCGGCGTGGAGGGGGGTCTCAGGGCAAGAAATGTAACAGGATCATCGAAAGCGCCATTGTCAACTGCTGCTCTGGTGACTGCATCTATGGATAGCGGATCAGGAGAAGGAGAAGCTAGACGAGAGTTCTCTTGGCCACAGTTTGTATTTCCCATGGGCAAGAGGAACCCAACGAGTCTGAGTCAGGTAATTCATGCGGTCTGTCAATTGTCGTGGACGTGAGCTTTGCAAGGTGGGCATGATACTCAATTGGACCCACGTTTGTCTTCTTTATACTGTAGCCTTCGACAATGCTCTTGTCTAGCGGGTTCATGCTGGTGGGCCTTGGCGTATACGTACTGTGGCACAAGGCAGCATGACTGTCGGCCGAAGATCAAATCATGTAATAATGGACAGCCACGGTCTTCATCTCCAATGCAGCGTGGTGTGATGACATGATTTGACAAAGAAACAGATCGAGTAAACGAGAAGCGCGCTTTGATATAACCCAAGAAAACTCTGTGGATGCGCCTTGAACACGCTTCGAAATAAGCGACTAAAATAAAGCTGTGCTTACTTAATACATGTAACACGTCTTGAAATAATTTTACAAGTGCCTCGGACGAGCGCCTCAGAGCATTGCTTACTCACAAAGTAAGGCGAATGAGATGGATCTCATTGTATAAGGCAACTGTGGAAAGGGACATTTAGGAACGAAAATATATAATTTAAGGAGTTGCAAAGCAAGTGAGGCAGCTTCGTCCCCTCTCACTTACTCACATGGGCGCTATTGGGACCACCAGTGATCAGCGTCTTGGCCTATGTGAACAGTAAACGAGTGTGCCTTTGTATTATGGTGACCGCGTCGCCTGAAATCTTGGTGTATGTACACGCTGTTTTTTTGACACCAAATATCGGTGGGATCTCCTGTTTTCATACTACTCCTCCTACGCGTTATGTTCAGGCTGGCGATCCGAAAATCAACTGGACGCGAGTTACATGAAGCAAAATTAGAGAGCAGACTTAGATCCCCCCCGCCCCTGTAAGGACCGAGAACAGAGGAAGGGATAAAAGAGAAAGGAGAGGGAGAAGAAGCGGATCGGCGCGTGGCGTCTGTGTGGAGATGTTTCGGATAAGGTTTGTGGGGAGCGAAGCGAGAACAGACCCTGCCAGTCGGAGTCCAAGACGAGGAGGGGATAAACCCGTTCCGTGAGCAGTGCATCCATCCCCCCCGCCAGTCTAGCAGTCTAGCAGTCTAGCAGTCTAGCAGTCTAGTGGGATTAGGCCAACAAGTAGCACTGGAGAGACATACCCACGGCACGGCCATCGAGCGAATCGTCTTCCATTCCGTTGTCGAGTCCATGGAAAAACGCCGTTCAACAAAAACGGTTTCCCCCCAGCGTTTTTTTTTTTTTTTTTTTTTTTTTTTTTGGCTCACTCCACACTCTCACGCATTCACCTCATCACTCCCCCCACTCTCTCTCTCTCTCTCATCCCTCATTCTGCATTCGCTTCACCAACAAGCTCCTCCTCTCCTTCCTCCCTTTCCTCCCTCTTCAACTCCACTCCTTTGTTCTTTTTCCGCCCACACCAATGTCTGCTCTCCGCTTCCCCAACTTGCCGCCCTCTGAGCCCCAGGGCTCCGATCTCCTCGCCCAGGAGCGTGCAAAGACCTCCTTCAGCGTCCACGAGCTCTCCACTTTCCTCTATGGAGAGATTTACCTCGAGAACCAGGAGCGACTCATGGCCATTATCGAGAACGAACCCGCCTTCGACAAGTCGAACCGGTACTTCCGCGGACGCACCGAGCGTTTTGCGGCTGCCTTGCGCAAGGACCATGCTATCGTCAAACTAGCCCAGAAACACAAGTGGACCCCAGATGTGTTCATCCAGGCAGAGCAATTGATCGACGAGCCTGGTCCCTTTGGTCTCCACAGAGGCATGTTCATGCCCACATTGGCCTCCCAAGGCACAGAGGAGCAAATCGAAAAGTTCTTGAAGCCTGCACAGAGATATGAGATCATCGGATGTTACGCGCAGACGGAATTGGGCCACGGTTCGAACGTGCAAGGAATTGAGACGACGGCGACCTACATCCCTGAGACAGACGAGTTCGAGATCCATACCCCGCACTTGACAGCATGCAAGTGGTGGATCGGAGGTCTGGGCAAGGCCGCAAACCATGCTGTGGTCATGGCTCGGTTGATCACGTCTGGCAAGGACCACGGCCCTCATGCGTTTGTGGTTCCTATTCGTTCGATGGAGGACCACACATTGCTTCCAGGCGTCATGGCTGGAGACATTGGTCCTAAGATGGGGTATGTTGTTATCCTTGTCGCTCTGTTGTGTCTTAATTGGCTATGTACTCAATTGATGAGGGAAGCGGCTCGGCTTGGCAAAAGCGAACACAAGTTATCGATACCAGATATTGTGGCCGGAATGATCGATCGGCTGCGCACAGACATCGCTGCAACGTGATCTTTGCCGCTAGCAATACTCCCTAACCTTTGTTCATTTCTTTTGTTCACTAGATACAACACCACCGACAATGGTTGCATGTGGTTTGACCATTACCGCGTCCCTCGCATTTCCCTCCTCGCAAAGTTTTCGAGCATCAAGCCCGGCTCAGGCGAGTATATCAAGCCGCCTAACGCGAAGCTATCGTATGGAACCATGGTCTTAGTCCGTGCCTCCCTTGTGGGCGCGGCGCGCCAGGGCATCGCCAAGGCTGCGACCATTGCTACTCGTTACTCCGCCATCCGCCGCCAATTCGTTGACAAGGACGCGCCCAAGAAGTTGGACAACCATGTCATCGAGACACCTGTCCTCGACTACTCGATGCAGCAATATCGACTTTTCCCAATCATCGCTGCTGCTTATGCGTTCTTCTTGACCAGCAAGGAGATGATGCGATTGTACCACCTCAACATGAAGAATATGGCCTCGGGTGATTTTTCGTTGCTGGCTGATGTCCATGCCTCAAGCTCAGGTCTTAAATCCCTGACCACCACCATGGCTGCCGCAGGGATCGAGGAATGTCGCCGTGCATGCGGTGGTCACGGTTTCTCTACCTTTTCGGGACTTCCTCTGTTGTTGCAGGACTATGGTAGGTTGATTCTCGTTTGTCCTTCACTTGCGGCATTTTACTTCCTGGTATTAGTGTATTAACACTTCTTGCAACGACTATACCATTATGCGGATGCTAATAGTCCCCAATGTGACCTGGGAGGGTGATAATTACATTCTGACCCAGCAAACGGGCCGGTATCTGTTCAAGTCCTTCCGCGAGCTGGTAGCGAAACGTAACTCTGGCAAGCTGAACGCCAGCCAGGTCAACAACCCAACGCTCGCCTACATGAACACCTACCTCGAGAACCCGCAGCTCAAGTGCCCAGCCACCTCGGCAGCCCAGTTCCACAATCCTGAAATCCAACTTGCTGCATTCGGCCACCGCGCTGCATCATTGGTCGCACAGATTGTGCACGCATTGGATGTGGAGAAGCGCACCTGGAACTCGATGCTGGTTGACATTTACAACGTCTCTGTGGCCCACTGCCAATTCATCCTTGCTCAAAATTTTATCCTGGGCATCCGTGGCGAGATGTCTCAGCCCGATGGTGGTATCGACCCTGCAAAATCCCTTACGCCTGGTGCGAAGGAGGCATTGAAGGACCTGTCGGATCTGTTCGCGATGCACACGATCCACAGGCAGCCGGGCGAGTTCTTGACATCGGGCTACTTGGAGGCGAAGCACATTTCGATGCTCGGGGAGGCGATCATGGAATTGATGGCGAACAAGATTCGACCAAATGCTGTGGGCTTTGTGGACGCATTTGCGTTCCCAGATTATTTGCTAAACAGTGCGATCGGTGCGTTCGACGGACGGGCGTATGAGCGCTACACGGAGATGGCGACGCGTGAGCCTTTGAATCAGACGGAGGTTGTGGAAGGATATGAACAGTACATTAAGCCGTTCACGAACCCGAAGGGATTGAGGGGACACACTCTGCAGGCGAGACTTTGAGAAGCCGATAACCGATAGACCAGCCTAGGCTCGACCCAGACTGGATGTTTGCAATTTCCATTTTCATTTATGTTATCCGGAGGGGGCTGGGTCGAGCCTAAGACCAGCCTACAGAGGGCCTCGATCCGAACATCTCGTCGAACTTGCGGAGCAACACCGGCCAGAGCAGTTTGAGGCCATTAATTGTTATGAACAAAGCTATAAATAAAGCACATAGACATGTCGAACATCGTTGACTAACGCCACCAATTCTCTGGGACACTGACAAAGTCTCTGCTCCGCATTTTTGGCGGCGTACAAGCATTTGCTTCCTCGCTCTCATCTCCAAACTGACCATCGATTACAGCTGCACCAAGTTCATCAATCCCATCCACCATGTCCTTGGGACCGTCTGCGAGCTGGAAGAGCACGTTCTTGAATGTGCCCCCATTGACAAAGAGTGTATCGACAGCCGTGACACTGATGACAGCACTTGGGTTCTTGCTCCGCCTTCGGGACCTCGCCTTCTCCTACAGTGCGGCCGAAGGTGCCGACTATGACGACTCTGAAGCAGATCTGGTACCTCTACTAGCCCTTGTCCCTGTCTCGTAAGTGTACCAAGGATGGAACGACCATAGACATGGAAGCAAGCAGGAACTGGAAACTACGGAGACTAAATCTCTCGTCTTCAAATGGCTCAAATGATAAATCGGTTGTTTAGGGCCCCATATCACCTCTGGACCTTTGCAACGGCATCGTTTTTTGAACGGAATATCATAAAGGCAAGTGGAATAAATGATGCATTGGTGTCATCAACATGATCAGTAGAGGATGGCATTATGAGGATTGTATTATGGGAATTGGATACGGCTTGTTCACCGCAGACCGCAGGTACAAAGTAGGAGCAATAAAAGCAGCATTGTCTGACTTCGCGTCTCTTTCTCGGCAAGCATTTTTCTAGTATGCCATCAATACCGCCATTCTCCTGGGCTGTGGTAAATACTTGGAGCGGGCCTGGGGATCTCGCGAGTTCTTCAAACTCCTCTGCATCTCCAGTATAGGTCCCATGCTTGGGATCTACCTGACCTACCTCTTCGGATATGTCATTCATGGTAATGACGAGCTGCTGTAAGTCCATTGATATCTCGCATTGCTGGCGCTATTACACTTTTACTATTGCCTTGTGACTATGCCATTTCTTGCATCAATATTTTTTTTCTTTGGCGCAACAGGGCTTTTGACACTGATAACTATGATGCACCATTATTTCGCCTTGGCGATAGATATGACACAGAGGCATATGGGATGACAGGCGTGCTGGCAGGGTTTTTGGTCGGATTCAAGCAACTGTTGCCTGAGTACCTTGTCACAATTTGGGGCGCACTCTCAGTCCGCGTTAAGGTATCGCTTTCAGCTTCGTATATCGGTGACATGTGGACCATTACAGATGCAGGGAGCGGTAGCAAGGACAGACCTGGTTAACGGCCTCTCTCCCTTTTCTTTTTTTTTAGTCACTGCCATTACTGTTCACACTCTTTATGGTCTTTGAGGGTCTCATCTCCCATACCCAGATCCAGTTCTTGATGGCCATTTATGGCCTCTTTCTCTCCTGGATCTACTCCCGCTTCCTCAGAGTTCAAAATGGCATCCGCGGTGACAGAAGCGAGACGTTTTCGTTCGCCTCATTCTTCCCAGAGTTTATTCAGTAATTTATCGGGTTCATTCTATTTGATGTCTTTCGCACCTTTTCCCATGAATGACAATGACAAGTTAAGGCTCATTGTTCGCACTTGATAATCGATAGACCTCCTGTCAAGGCCATTTCAGATTTTTGCTTCGGGGTCCTGGTAAAACTCCATATTTTCTCACCCACAGGATACGGAGGCTTTCATTACGACCTAGAGAATCCTCAAATGGCCGGCTTGGGCCATACATTCACGCAACCTGGCAGTCTCCGCGCTGAAGCCGAGCGGCGGAGGTAATTATTTTGTCATTGCTTGATGATATATCGCTTCGAAATGGTTTTTAACCAGGCTTAACACATATCTCTTACAAATGATATGAATATGAACAGAACTTTGGCATTAAAGACATTGGACATGAAGATTCACGCAGCAGCTGGAAATAACAGCCCATTTTCAGGATCAGGAAGATCCGCCGGATCATCGTCGGCAGCGCCAGTATCCTTGCTATCATTGTCCGCCGAGCCGTTGCCTTCAGCGGACGATGGTGAGGATGAGGTCCTGTTCGATGCCACAGCATTGAATGCAAACGAACCACCGGCATTGGAGCGACCCAAGGAGACGACTAGTAGCGAAGCAAAATCGGAAGCGGATATGGTATAGGCTGCTATACACACCAAAAAAAAAAAGAAAAAAGAAATAGAAAAATTATAAAGGCTGCATCAAACCTATTGATTTGGTCAACGATTTGAGTAAGGGCTTGACTGTCGGTCGGAGTGCTGATTATACTACCAAAGAATTGGAGTAGTTCTTTTGGCCTCAATTTTTTTAAGGTTTTTTTAGAGCGTTTTGATGTTAGGGTTTATTAGGAGTTCTTCATGAGTAGAATCTAGTTATCCGGGGAGCTGGCTGCATGAAACGACGCAGAGCGAATGTGTTTTGTCGACAAAGTACAGTTGCTTTGGCACCAGGACGCAAATTACTGTGGTATCTGGAGTCTGAGACACCTTAGACTCTATTCGCAAAGCGTATGGATAGATTGAATGACTGTGTCCATTTGGCCCCCCCTCCCCGCTTCTGCTCTGTGTGCTTAGCCCAATAAACATCCATGCTGGCTTCCTGGCAGTAATCGCTGGGACTAATGACCAATGCGTGCTTATCTACTTGGTTGCATGCAGCAAAAACATCCGTGCACCTGCACGGAGGACGTTGTCGGCCAGCGAGTGACGCTCCTCATCCCCCTGACCCTCCTCGTCATAGGTCGTCTACGCGACTTGAAACAAAAAATAAAAAGCGCGCAGTGCTCGGGTCTGTTGACGCCCTCTTCATTTCTTCAACATTTCTCATTCACCTTCTCATTCTCATTCTTCATTCATGTTCCGCGGTGCTTCCTTTTTCCTGCTCCTCAACTGGGTCTTTGTCGTCGTCTGGTTCGGCTCCTCCTTTGAATCCACAGCTGCCACTATCGTCGTCCTTGTACGAACAGCCTGCCTGTGTAAAAATTAACTTTTATTATTCTCCGGAGAATGGAATAAGGGAAGACTGACAATCTGCTCACCCTTTTACTTTTTGCAAACCCTGGCCCTGTCTGAGCACATAGGCGACAAATGATAGTTTTGTCGACAGAACAGCGGCCTTCGGACCACGAATCCCAGGACAAGGGTTTGTGCTCAACCTGATTGCCGTCGAGACGCTTGATCCTACCCAGGAAACAACCGCCTGTCGCCCAGTTTCTGACGTGTCCATCGCTGGGTCCTGGGCCGCCTTGGTCGAACGTGGAGGCGACTGCAGCTTTGTAGAGAAGGTCCGCAACATGCAGGCCAGTGGGGCCAGGGCTGTTATTGTTGGCGACAACCAGCGCAGTGGACTCATTACGATGTATGCGCGAGGTACGGACAATGGTGCTCACACGCAACAACACATGCTTTGAATATGTCGCACATTCTCTTGCTTGCCCTTGCCTTTTAATCCCCACCGTCAATGCGTTCTCATTCGAGAAAGAAAAAGAGGGAAGAATAGACCGCGTGCTGGTTCAATTGATTGGGACACAAAGAAAGGAACCACATGTTGTTGTATAGCATCTGTTTTCCATATACTCATTCTATGTCATGGACGATAATGGCTACTTCTTCCTCTTTTTCCCCCGTCCGCAGCATATGCAGTGGAAAAAGGAGAGACATGTAAAAAATCTTTGGATCAAATGAGGACGCAGACAACAGACGTTGGTTGAATCGCTTGTTTGCAACCATGAACACACAAACAACACATGCGTACCACACACTCGCACTCACAAAACAGGCCTAACCGACCTGCCCTGCCCTCTCTTGCCCTCTCTTTCCCTCTAATGGAGCCCCTCCACATACCATATTTCCCCCATACAGCATGCAAGGATCATATTTTGCTCCACAAAACGTGATGCATATCTTAGTATCGTTTTTATCCATGAGGGCCGCCCTTTCTTTTGACGTTAATACGTCCAACTTCGAATTGGTCCATAATAGAAGACACCTCAGATGTCCTGATCCCATCTGTCTTCATCGCCCAGCACCACTACCGGGAGCTGCGATACCTTGGCATAGGGTTCGGATGGGACTTTCTGATCAAAATGACGCCCGATGATCTGGACTGGTAAGTGCATCCCACACTCCGATCAAGAAACAGGAAACAGGAACCAGGAACCAGGAACAAAATACCACCTGATGTTAGACTCATATCCTAACCGCCAGATCTGTAACTACATTATCCTCTTGCGTCTAGGCCGCTGCTGGACGTAATCATCTTCATCGTCCTCTCCCCCGCGTTCGTGCTCTTCTTCCTCTACTTCCTATGGCGTGTCCGTATTCGCCAACAACACGTTGCAGATCTGGCGCCAACCGAGACCGTGACAAACTTACCCATCAAAATCTTCTATGCTTCAAAGCTCAAGGAGAACGACCCTGTTGAGTGCGTGATCTGTCTGGACGACTTTGAGGACGAGGCCGAGCTACGCGTCCTGCCCTGTCGACACGAGTACCATGTCGCATGTATCGATAGTTGGCTTACGACGCGCAAGAAATTTGTACGCTTCTATTGAATCTACCGCTGCTTTATGCGCTCTGTCATTATGCTCCGAGCTAATACCGTTTCCATTCTGTTTCTACAGTGTCCGATTTGCAAACGGGATATCTGCACATCTACGGAATCAACGCCTCTGCTTTCCAACAACGCGTCATCGTCATCCTCATCCTCACCAACTGCCACCAATATCCCGCGACGAGCACTACCATCCAGCAGGGCGAATCCTCAGACCAGCGCTGCTCTAGCGAATCTGTCCCTTCTCGCGCCTCCTCCTCCTCCTCCTTCAACTACATCCTCTTCATCGTCCTCTTCATCATCCTCTTCAGGGCCCTCTTCGTCTTCAGCTAGACCCTTTCTCAGTAGCATCGTGGCATCCACATGGCCACCTGAGAACCATCGATCCAGTACGGGTCGATACGATGGACCATCCACTTCTGAGAATGCAGCGACTGTTGCAAGAAATCCAGGGTCATCAGTACAACCACAAGTACAAACAGTTCCAGGAATACAACGGCAGTAGCCGGACCATGCCATGGAGTAGGAGCGTTTTTTTTTTTTTCGGAGGGCTTGATGTAGCCGGAGATATGGAAGATTAAGAAGAGAGATGTTGTTCTAGGCGCATTCCACTTCGTATAGACAATAAATCAGTGCTATTGGCATCTTGTTAGCAATACGCGATGGAGCCAGGACAGATGGAGAAAAAGAGAATGGATAAAGCTCAGCTTTTGAATTTCCCTTGTTTCTTGACCGCATAGCACAAGATCTCTTCGCGCACGAGGAATGGCGCTGCAAATCAAGCCATTGGATCGGAATGTGTGCGCTGCAGGCTTATTTGGAATAGCAGATGGAGGGAAAGCAATATTCAACGGAAGAGCTTTCTATATTGGTTTTGAGTGAACGGGCTAGCCATTGGCGTAAAGTACAGTCTCAGTACAATGGTTACATGTAGCGATGCTGTGTATGAGTTGCCTCGACAATGCAATAGAGCGTCGCGGTATAGTATCCGCTTCTCTGATATGCACTCCGAGTAACTAGATATAGATAGCACCGCGAGTACTTGCCAAGTACTCTTATAGATACTCATCCGTGAGTCAAACATGAAGGTGGGAGCCCTGGACGCGTCGTTTTGAGAATACAACTATAGGGGCGCGAGAGAGATCAATTTGCGCAGAAAGCGCGTTATATATACTTCAAGATTGCATTACGCAGATTACCCTCCAAGAAGGAAGACCTTGGCTCTGTATTTTATGAGCTGCAGAAACAAAGACACAGAACTGATCAAAGACCTTAAGGCCCACATGGACTTTGCAGAGTTTGGCCCTGTTTTCTCTAAGGATATTCTGTCGACGCGGCTTTCCAGACCTGAAGTACGGACACGTAAAAGTCAACTCGATGGATTACATACTCGATTATCTTCATTTTTTTTTTTTTTTTGTTTAAATCAGTCGACAGTATTTGAGGATTAGCAAAACAGTTTAGAAAGGATCTTGACCCAACTGGTCAAAAGAAATCCTGCTTCGATCCAGGCAAAAGGAATTGGTATTCAACCATGAATATGTACTTGGTGTAATAAACCGGGAGCTGGACCTGGTCTTCGGTGTTAAATCGTTTCGTGCCGTGAATTATGGACACTCGCAATTCCGCATTGTCTTTCGTCGCTTTGCAGCTCATATATGACTTGCATGCAATGAACCATACTTTGGGCGGAGTAGCGAATACACAGGGGTCCCGAGAGTGCACCACGCCGCTTCATTTCCTGAAAGGGTGGCTGAGGATTTGAATTGCTTCAAGCCAATCAGAACTCCCAGCTCAGGGGCGACTGTACAGCACAGAAAAGGACCGATGCATTCCATCCCGCTACTTGCTCACTCCACTTTCCATTCCCACTCGTCTGTTCATTCCCTGATCACTAGACAATCGTCATGTCCAACTACAACGACAGCCAGCGATACACCTCGAACTCGGGCAGGGCCCCTAACCCTGCCAAGAACCGCCAGATCCCCAACGACCTCAGGGCTAACGGCACCAACGGTGTCTTGTGCTTCGGCTGCGGACAGACAAAGACGCGTCTGGCATTCAGTGAGACCCAGCTCAAGAAGGCCGCCAACAAGAAGCACCAAATCATGTGCAAGAGCTGTAAGTCCACTACAAACCACTGCATCTCACACTTTTTGCTTTCGTTTCGCTTCTTGCTTTTGCTTCAAAACGACAGCTATGGTTCAGCTCCAAGTCAATGCACGACAGTCTACTATACCACAGACGAAGAGCACCGATCATTAACACTGTCAACTGTTGCTTCATGTTGTAGGTATCCCCGCCCAGCCAACCACACTCAGATGTATAAGGTGCTCAAAGTCACTTCCCATGGATAGTTTCTCCAAGGTATGGTCCTATATCAACGTTGGACTGAGCTGAACAGGACTGGACATTGACAGGTGGTAATCCAAGGACCGTGATTGACCACTGACAGCCATCGGTATGTATTTGATCCGCGCAACTATAGACACAGAGAAAGCGTCAGGAGAAGGCTACATGCATCGAGTGCCGCACTTCTATTGACGAAGACGACTCTCAGGACGACTTTGACATAGAGGAGGACCCTGATTGGTACGAGGGCGATATCAGGGACATTTTGTAAACAGGACCTGGGTTGGATTCCTCAGCTGGGTCAGCACACAGCGCTTTCCAGGACCCACCTGAGCTCCTTCTTTTCTGGCACCATATAGTATTCGATTTGATACTGCCTTTTCTTTTCTCTGTCCATTATTGAACAGGGCAGGGGTTTTTTCTCAATAAAAAAAGTCCAATTGGGGTGCCAATTGGCAGCCTAATTAAAGGGCCGCAACTTTTTTTCCTTCACTGCACAATCATGTGAGAGCAAGCCACCACGCATTTTTTTTCCTTCGCCCGCTCATTTCGATCCAAGGAGGATCCCTCGCAGCACCTTTTTTTTTGTTTGTTCGTTTGGTTGTTCGATTCGTCACCCTTCTCCATAGCCGACCAAGCTGCCCTAATTTATATACATTAATCCCACAGCCATGGCCACGAACAGCATCAAGATCTTTGCCGGTAACTCCCATGTCGAGTTGGCCAAGCTGGTTGCTCGGTAAGGACATCTGACCGTCGCTGTTCGTTTTCGGGAATGCCTCTGGGGAATCAAAGGACGGCCCAAGCAGGACACAATCACGCCAGAGCAGGAAAAATGACCACATATGGCAAATACGACGACCACTATCAGCGGCATACTGTGTCAACCCTACAGAAACGGCATGGGACACCATACAGTTCAACGACCGTTGCTCCTCCGTCTCCGGCACAAGTGGGAGCTCAGTTTGCATTTTTCTCACGAGAAACCTCAGCCCCGAGCCATGGTTGTTTCAGTGACTGTGGGCGGGCCGCATATATATTTTTTTTTTTTTGCTTCTCCACTTTCTTGTCTGAGCGTTCCGAGAGTGGCCGCTCACAGCATATTGAGCAATAATACTCACCATGCAATTGGAATCCATCGCTGCTTCTGTTTGATAGCCGCCTCGGAACCGAGCTCTCCAAAGCTGTTGTGCTCAAGTACTCGAACCAGGAGACCTCGGTCACCATTGGAGAGTCCGTGCGTGATGAGGATGTGTACATTATCCAGTCTGGGTGCGGCGAGATCAACGACAACTTGATGGAGCTCCTCATCATGATCAACGCCTGCAAGACCGCCTCTGCTCGCCGTATCACCGCTATCATCCCCTGCTTCCCCTATGCTCGTCAGGACAAGAAGGACAAGTCGCGTGCCCCCATCACCGCAAAGTTGATTGCCAACATGTTGACCGTTGCCGGCGCCAACCACGTTATCACTATGGATCTTCATGCCTCTCAGATCCAGGGATTCTTCAACGTTCCCGTCGACAACCTGTACGCGGAGCCCAACACTTTGAGATACATCGCCGAGAACATTCCTGATTACAAGAACGGCGTTATCGTCTCGCCTGATGCTGGTGGTGCCAAGAGGTAATGAACACGGCTGTGCGACCATGCTTTGGAGTCACACTCGATGACCAATCGATCAATATCGCATATTGATTCTGAATGATCAAGCGGCGCTGACGAACTGTTTTCATCACTTTGCGGTCGCCACTATGTAGAGCTACGTCGATTGCCGATCGTCTGGACTTGGACTTTGCTCTGATCCACAAGGAGCGCAAGAAGGCCAACGAGGTCTCGAGGATGGTCTTGGTCGGAGATGTTAAGGGAAAGATCGCAATTTTGGTAGATGATATGGCCGATACCTGCGGTACTCTCGGATTGGCAGCCAAGACGCTGGCAGAGAATGGTGCCATCAAGGTCTACGCCATTGTCACGCACGGCATTCTGTGCGGCAAGGCTGTGCAGGTCATCAATGACAGCGTCCTGACCAAGGTCGTCGTCACTAACACTGTTCCTCATGAGGATAAGAAGAAAATCTGCCCCAAGTTGGATACGATTGACATCTCTGGCACGCTTGCTGAAGCCATTCGTCGCACACACAATGGAGAGTCTGTCAGCTATCTTTTCAACCATGCTGTCTAAAAGGCATTTATATCTCCCCACTCTCACTCTCTGTTTTACATTATTTTTTTCTTGTCTTATCAAACCGAAGCATTGGGACTTTATGGCCCTCGATTTTTATTACACACACACACACTCACACATTCATCAACTCGCACACTTCTCATTTTCACAATAAACACTTGGTCTGAAAACAAACAGAGGAGGAGAAAAGAAAATGCGGACGGGCGGAGTGAGCATCGCTTCTCCGCATTTTTAAAATCCAGGGGCGCAATGAGCCAACTTTAAATAAACAGCATTGGTTGGTATTCTTTCAGACTCCCCATTCTTTCAGCTTTTCATCTTGCTATAAAACGATCAAGACATTTCCATCTACCATCCCCACTCCCGAAGACTCCATCCCGAGTCTTCACAAGACGAACACAACCTCAAGCTGGCTTCGATATCAGGAACACCGCTTCTCGCACCCCAACCGAGTCATTATCCCAACCAGTCACCCTCGCCATCTTCAGGGATCAAAGCACAGGTTGAAGAGTCCACTCGAGGGCACGGCCAAGATACCAACACCACTGGAACAACGCCATCCAGTACGGTCATTGAGCCCACTAATCCGTCAATACTTCGACAAAGGCGTGCCACCAACGTACCAGACGTACCAGACGCACCAGCGAGTAAGAGCCTGGACGGTACTGAGCTCGGAGTGGCTGAACACGACAGATCATTGACCCAGCCTTCACCGCCCGAAAAGCAGGACCTGAACATGTTCCGGAGACAAGACCAGGGCAACGGAATTCCCTTCTATCAGTCTCGGGACGACTCCGATGACAAATACGGCAAGGCACCCATGGGTGTCCACTCACAGGTATATTGCAGGAAGCGGTATCGCCATTCAGATCAAGTCCTCTATCGAGTACACTCGGTTATCCGCACATGTTTCTGACGATGTGCGATATGCTTAGAAGCAATCTAGGTTTCGTATTCGGCGCAGGCTGGTGGTCGTCGTCGGAGGTCTTTTTGCATTATCCTTAGTGGCTTTACGACGGACGCTGTCGCCAGTCCAACGCCCCGGTGCCCCCCTTTCATCATCAAAAGGTACAAATGCGATCCAGTAATAGAATATGGCTGATCAAATAGTTTTTCTGTCTATTCTCACATCTGTTCTATTCATTTGATAATGCGCAGAAAATATCGGAGGCCGCATTAAGGCGCCTGCGTCGACTCCAGTGCTGTGGGAAGAGCGCAAGGACAGGGTCAAAGCGGCGTTCAAGCACTCCTGGGGTGCATACCGCAGGGATGCTTGGGGCAAGGATGAATATCACCCTGTCTCAAAGACGGGAACAAATATGGTTAAGAAGGGACAAGGGTTCACGATTGTCGACTCGTTGGATACGATCCTAGTGATGGGTCTTAAAGATGAGTTCGAGGAGGCCAGGGCATGGGTCCGTGACGAACTGGACTTCAATCAGGAGGGACAAGTCAACCTATTTGAGACCACGATTCGAGTGCTTGGTGGACTCCTGGCCGCATATGATCAGTCGGGTCATGACTCAATCTTTTTGACCAAGGCTGTGGATCTTGCGGATCGCCTAATGGGCGCGTTTAAAACTTCGAGCGGGATCCCATACGCAGATGTACATCTTCAGAGTGGGCGCGGTGTACCGGGACATGAAGGCGGCATCAGCACAACATCGGAGGTATCGACACTACAGCTGGAATTCAAATATCTGTCGTATCTCACAGGCGATGACAAGTACTGGCGCGCGGCTGAGAATGTGATTCTAAAGATGAGGGAGCTGGACAGTTTGGATGGGTTGGTTCCTATTTATATCAATCCTTACAATGGCAAGTTCCACGGAGAGGAGATCCGACTTGGTTCACGCGGCGACAGCTATTATGGTAAGATTTACTGTATTTATAGGTCTTCAAGGAGGCAGGAAGGAAGCGCTGCCAGGTTCTTCTTGCTAACATCCTTGTGTGTTTGCTAGAATACTTGATCAAGCAGTATCTTCAGACGTCAAAGACAGAGTCGGTTTACAAGGAGATGTACGACCATGCCATTTCTGGAGTCAAGAAGCACCTCATCGGCAGGACCATCCCGAACCATTTGCTGTTCATTGGCGAGATTTTCAAGCACGCGCCCACGGCACTTAGCCCAAAGATGGATCATCTTGTTTGCTTCTTGGGCGGAACAATGGCTCTTTCCTCGACGGAAGGAAAGACGCTCAATAACAAAGACTTTCCCCGATCTGGATTCACACGTCTGGAAGAGGAGGATTTCAGGATCGGAGAAGAGCTGACGGAGGCTTGCTACGAGATGTACAATCAGACAGAGACGGGATTGGCGCCCGAGATCGTTTATTGGGTGCAGAACAAGGATCAGATTGTAGGCAAGAGTGAGCTGGAGCACACACCGGGATCGGACTTTATTATCAACAACAGAGATGGGCACAACTGGCTTCGACCCGAGACCGTCGAGAGTCTTTTCTACATGTGGCGGTTTACTGGGGATGAGAAGTATCGGTATGTGTTTGTTCGCGTTTGATATGAATGCTGCTTTGTCTTGTAAACGACAAGAGTCTAATCTGTATTTTTTTTTCTCTCGCCATCTTTTCGCAACATGTATTGCAGCGAGTGGGGTTGGAAGATCTTTGAGGCCATAGAGACATACAGCAAGGTCGCTTCTGGCGGATATAGTTCTATCCATGACATTCGCCGCAAGAACAACATTGCGTTCTCGGATAAGATGGAGACGTTCTTCTTGGCGGAGACGCTCAAGTATTTGTATCTGCTCTTTGGACCGAATGATGTCTTCCCGCTCGACAAATATGTTTTCAACACGGAAGCCCATCCCTTACCGGTTTTCGTCCCACCTAAGGATTTGCTGGAGAGGATCCATGCCAACAAGGAGGACGATAAAAAGGATATGTTTGCAAAGGTAGCTGCGGATGCCGAGGCACGGGCAGCGGGAATAATGGATAAGCATGCGTTGGAACAGATAAACGTGCCAGGTCCATCAGAGGAGCAGGTAACGACAGCGGATGAAGTTGATCAAGCGCTTAAAGAACTTGCAGTTGAGAAGGAGGGAGAGGAGGATGGCGAGGTCGAGGGGATTCCAGAGGTCGAGGTTGAGTATGAGGAGCCCTTGGACGAAACTGTGAATGGTGAAGACAGCGAGACAGGCGAGAAGGGGCCTTGAAGGGCGAGTAGTAGCTGTGGTTGTACATCACTCCACAATAAACCAGTATATTGCCCCTCCTTCCTTCCTTCCCTTGACCGCCTTCGATGTCTACCATGTGTACTATATACCATACGGAAATGCGCGGTTCCATGTAGAAGAACATGGACTGCTCAACAGCCAATGGACGCACGGCCTCGTTTTGGGTGATGCAGACATGGGGTGCAGGGCATTTTCTTTTTTCTTTTTTTCCCGCGTTTCTTTCTTTTCCCTTCTTTCCCTTCTTTCCTCCACCAACCTTTCCTCGATCTTTTGCATCCGTCCTGCCTATGCTCTCCCAGCTATTCTCCCATGCGACTGCCCCTACACCCGGACCCAGAAACACATAGGCAATTCAGCTCCATCCGTATATCCACCTTGCATCCATTCTATCCCACGCACTGCACGCACCCCAGGAATACACAGCCGAGTTCACACGCACTTCTACTTCTTTCCTCGCTGTCCATACAAGCCTCCAACAGCAAGAGCGGTCGCCATGGAAGTCAACTCAAGTAAAGATAGCGACACCTCCCTAGTGGACATGCCCCGCCAACGCCAACGGTCCGCCCCTCATCACAGTCACCAAAGCGTGCTCCGAGGGCTCACAGCTTTGCAGACAGTTCCAGCAGCCCGGCAAGCGGCGCTTAAACATGACATCTTTGGATCAGGGAGTTTTGTCCAGCGTATGGAGCAGCACTGTGAGCTGCGAGGCCACGATGGGTGTGTCAATACTCTCGGATGGGATGAGACTGGCGAGTTCTTAGTTTCGGGATCAGGTAGGAGGAACATGTCACGATGCTTTCGTCTCTTTTTTTCTTCTTTTTCCTCCAGGTGATCTAATACTGATACCTACACAATAAAATAAAATAGATGACCTGTCATTAAACATCTATCGGCCTCTGGACCCCAAACCACTGGTGCACAAGATCCCCAGTGGACACACCAGGAACATCTTCTCGGCAAAGTTTCTCACGAACAGCTCCGCTACTAAAATCGTCTCATGTTGCGCGAACGGAACGACACTGTTGACGGACGTGAACAAGTTTGTGGAAAAATCGCCGCTGGGGGACTGGATGCCTTCGGCCGGTTTCAGTTGCCACGCTGACATGGCCATGACTTATGAGGTTATGCCCGATCTCATAGACGGGCACATCTTCTATGACTGGTATGTCATACACTGTGATCAAGATGGGTCAATGGGAATATATGCACGTACTACCGCACAATGCCAGTGAGCTAACACTTTTCTCCTGTTTCTTTTTTTATGAACAGTGCCGACGATGGCAAGATCAACCGATATGACACACGGATCAGGACCAGCTGCGATTGTTTTGATAGCGATTCCGACTGCGACCTACATACTTTCATCAACATTAACTCTCGCATCAACCTATCTACCTCAAGCATGTCTGTAAACGATCGCCTCTTCAGCGCCTTTCATCGTCGCGGTATATCTGCAATTACTCAGCGACCGGAGAATCCGCATTACATTGCAGCAGCCTGCGGTGACGACACCGTGCGAATTTACGACAGTAGGAAAGTGAGCGCAAGTGATCACCGCTCCGGGCAGGTGTACAGTATTTCACCATTTGTGCCTAGTGGATGGGTCATTGGCGGCGACGGGGAGCTTCAGCGCGGCAACAACAAGGAGAGGAGCTCGATCGGCACCAGAATTACATCGCTCAAGTACGACCCCTGCAGAACTGGCCAGCTCTTGGCGAGCTACAGTCGAGGAAATTGCTACTTGATCGATCCTTCAGGTCTGGTAGGGCGTTTTGAAGAGGGGATATCCGGAGGTCCTGCTCTGCGCCGTACAAAGCATGAGCGAAATCACGATGGCGATGCCAAGGGGAAACGGAGACGGAGCCCTAGCGCGGGGTCCGATCATTCATCTGCGACCAAGAAATCTCCAGGATCATGGTCGCCCACCTTACCGAGGGGACCATCCGCTTCAGATACCAGCGCGGGGGATAGGAAAGATGAAGCGATGGTCTCTGTTCCTGGAGCGGGGGCTGGAGGCGAACCAGGCGAGGCGCAGCAGAGTGGACGGTCAGGCCATGTACGGTTTCGGGTCCATGGCGAGGACAACGACCATGCCAGCGAGCGCGGCGGACCTCAAGCCAGTGATGAACCAAAGGGTGCGATTCTTCCGACATCTGAGGAACAAACGGTGGAGGAAGGAGTAAAGAAAATAGACAAGGAACGCGAGATTGAAGCTAGCGAAGAGAAGCCCGAGGAAGATGATGATTTTTGGATGGACACTTCAGACTCAGAGTCCGAGGCAAGTGAAGAGGAGTTGTCCCGTCAAGCTGTCACGGATGACAAGGAGTATTGGATGCGCAGGTCTTACAATTCTGGAAGGACAGACATTGTACAAATGTACTCGGGACATCGAAACGCAAAGACGATGGTATGTCCTATGTCCTCTTTGTAGATGTTACATGCTGGGGATGGTCTCCGTCCATTGTTCTGATACTAAGCAATCTTCATCATTGGCTATCTTTATAGATCAAAGAGGCCAACTTTTTCGGGCCTAACAGCGAGTTTATAATGTCTGGTTCGGATGATGGACGAATTTTCTTCTGGGATAAGAAGACAGGAAAGATCTTGAACGTCGCCAGGGGCGACAAGGCAAGTTTTTTTTTTTTTTTTTTTTTTTTTTTTTGCAAGCAGAGGTACTTATGGAATAATCGAAAGAATATTTGGCTGCTGAAAGTTCATTTTTACTTTGAACTTGTAATAGCACGTTGTCAACTGTCTACAACCGCATCCAGTATCAAGCTTGCTGTTGGCGGCCTCAGGAATCGATCATACCATCAAGGTCCTTATGCCTACCGCTGAGGAGCGAGTAGATCTTTCAAAGATACGAGGCATCAAGAGATCCACCAAATCTCCACACGAACTTCAGCCAACCAGCTCCACTGAAGCACCACCGAGCGCCAATCCAAAGGACAATCTGGATCCTGATCATGCATACAGCAGTATCCCGCAGGAGGATGAGAGTAGCGATGATGATGACGATGATGATGATGACGATCGTCTGCCACACCACCTCTTCCTTCAGATCATAAGCCAGCTTGTACAGGCACGGGGGCCGAGACACGGGTCAGGTCAGACGTGGACGATCACTCGCGCACCAGGCCAAACTTACGCCACGCTAGATACCTCTGACAGTGGCGATGAGGACCATGACGATGATGAGGACCACGATGATGATGACGAGGGCCATGGTGACGACGGCGAGGATCATGACGAGGACGACGAGTAAGTCGTGTACGGCTGTAAGCGACAGGCTGATGTTATATTTTCAGCAGCATTTTTTGACCACGACTCCAAGCAACAAGGAACCGGGCTTCGTATCATCAAGCATTGTCATCTATTTTCGAGTTGCATTTATTTCCGTAAGTCTACTGCGATTCTAAACGAATAAAAAAGAATAAAAGCTGTTTGCGGATAAGAAACAAACAAATACGTAGTTCAAAAGGAACAATGTCTTTATGCACTCGCAGATGTGAGGCCAGAGTGCCGAAGGAGAGCATCGACCTGCACGTCATCCCTTCCTCTGAACTCCTTCCAGACCTCCTTTGGGTCGGTTGCGCCACCATAAGCCAGAACAGTGTCGCGGTATTTGCGTCCAATGCGTTTCCTTGCATCCGTGGAACCTGCTTGCTCCTCAAGCGCAGCATAGGCATCCGCTGAGTACAGCTCGCTATATTTGTACGAGTAATAACCCGCTGCGTAGCCACCGCCAAAGATATGGCTGAATCCGCACAGGAAACGGTCCTCGGCGACGGGTGGGATCAAGCAGGTCTTCCCGGCCATGCGCCGATCCACATCAAAGATGGATTCGCCCTCTGCTGAATCCTGGCTACCGCGCGCCTTGTAGTTGGTGTGCAACTCCAGGTCCAGAGTCGCAAAATGAAGCTGACGCATCATAGCCAGACCCGCCAGGCACTCACGACTCTTCATCACTGTCTGCTTCATGTCCTGGGGCATGGGTTCGTTGGTCTTGTAGTGGCGGGCCATGCGATCCAGCCATTGAGGCTCGTATGCAAAGTTCTCCATAAACTGTGAGGCGACCTCGACAAAGTCCCACTCCACGCCCTTGATACCCGAGGCCTGCGGGTAGTTCACCGTGGTCAACATGTGCTGTAGGCAGTGTCCGAACTCGTGAAACAGCGTCGTGACATCCTGAAACTTCATCCTTGAAGGCTCCGAATCGGACATGGGCGGCGGCTGGTTGCAAATCATGTAGGCGATAGGCACACGGACATGGCCGCTCGAGGAGTTCTTCATACGGGTTACACAAACGTCCATCCAGGCGCCCGACTTTTTCTCCTCGCTGCGGCTATAAAAATCGCCATAGAAGTATGCGAGCAACTTGTTTCCGGGGCCGTCGTCTTGTACCTTATACACCTTGACGTCCTTGTTCCATGTAGTCACATCTGCACTCGACTGCTCTGCGGGGCTCATCTCTGAAACGTGGATGCCGAAGCTATCCTTAGCCACCTCGAACAACGTGTCCATGACTCTGGGGAAAACCAAGTACTCTGAAATTTGATCCGCAGAGTACTTGAACCGATCCTTGCGGAATTCCTCTCCAACAAATGCAGTGTCCCAGGGTCGAAGTGGCGTGGGTTGGTTCAGGCGGTCCTTTGCAAACGTCGTCAGTTCATCGAGTTCCTTCTTTGCGGCAGGGAGAGTAGCCTTGTAGAGTCGATCTAATACTTCCGTCGCCGTTTCCACGTTCGATGCCATCTTTTTTGATAGCGACAATGCTCCGAACGAAGAGTATCCAAGCATGCTCGCCTCTTCCTTGCGAAGGCTCAAGATCTCGTTGATGATCGGCTCGTTATCCTGTTCACCCTCCGAAGCCTTCTTGACATTTGCGCGATAGACCGCCTCGCGGAGATCCCGGCTCTTGCAGTTCATCATGAATGGCACATAGGTAGGTGCATCCAAAGTGACAGCCCAAGGGCCCGTTTCTGAGTTTCCATCTCCGTGGCCCCTCGCTTGCGCGTGCTTTGCCATGCTCTTGATCAAACTCTCAGGACATCCATCCAGTTCGGCTCGGTCGGTCACGACCTTGGCATAGGCTTTTGTCGCATCCTGAACATTGTTGCTGAACTTGAGACTCAGTTGGGCCTTTCGTTCCTGGATCTCGTTGAACCGCTTTCGCTTCTCCGGGTTGCCCTCGCCCTCGAGTCCGAAGGCCACGCCGGAGAGCTTCATGCCTTGGATGGTCTTTTCGACAATGCGTTGTTGCTCTTTGTCTAGTGAATTCCATCGCTGCGGATTCTCCTGAATCTTAACTAAGGCATCGTAGAACTCGAGGGATTGACCCATCTGGAGAGAAATTTTGACGATCATAGGCTGGATCGCTTCAACGGCCTTGCGGAGTTCGGGAGAGTCCTTGACCATGGATAAGTGTGTGATCACACCAGCGGCACGCTCTAAATCGTCCTCCAGATCCTGAGCTGTTGAATACGATAGATATCAAAGAAGATGCGTAAATAAAAGATGGTCATTGGCAATAAAGGGAGCGTTGAGAAGCAGCATAATCAACAGGCCGTACTCATGCCCATAGTGCCATCCCACGTTGGCGTAAAGTTCTGGGATCGCTCCGCGAATGTCTTTTCGATATGCTGAACCAGCGCTTCCATGGCGGGTACGACATGCTCAGGTCTGATGTCAGCAAAGTCCGGGAATTCGGTCCAGTTTAAGATCGGATTCATTGTGAACTCTGCGCTCTGTTTCGTGCCTGAGGATGCTGGGGTCTTTTGGACAATAAAGGGAGCATCGGAGACGGTTGCGAGTGCACGGCGGATTGTCAAGGGTGCTCCAATAAGCAACTGCCTGCCTGCTGGACCAAGGATTGTTCTCTGACGGAAATTCTGCTGAAGTGGTCGTTTAGTGAGCGGGAGCGAAGTCGTTCTGGTACTACTGCTGTTGTTCCTGGTCGAGGTTCGGGAGAATAAGAGACGCAGCTGCTGTGCGGACGAGGACGGGGATACCTGTGCCCCTCTGGGCAAGGAGGAGGAAAGTGAGGTGAATGAGCGAAGCATTGGGTGATTCTAATTGAGTGGTGGTGAGAAGTAGAAGATCTGATCCCGGTTACCCACGGCCTTTTTCGTGCCACCAACGCCGAGCAAAGCGCAGCTGTTGGGCCAGTCGTGACTGGGCAAAGACCACATATTTTGACAGTGCAAAAATGAGCTATGTAGTTTCTTTCACTCTCGCATTCAGGACCAAGGACTTGAACAGGATGGGAAGACCGCCCAAGAACCAGAGCGCGTCGCATCTCCAGTAAGGATTCGTCAATGGCAACTCGTGAGACATGAGCAGGGTAACTGGCGCCGGCATCGTTTTTGGACTAAACACGAACTGCGCTTTGTTTTGTCTGATTGCAGCGGCACACGTCCAATTACCTCCTATTTTTCCTCCAACTCGGATTCGAACTCAAGGTAACATAGCCTAGAGCCATGTCCTGCAATAATGCCACTAAAGAGGATGACACTGTGAACTCTTTATTAACGAGCTGCATGCATGCATGGCCACTGTCTTGTAGTTCACACGTTCTGTCAGGTGCAAGGTATCATCAAGGACAGTGTACAGGGAGGACGGCGCACTGGAAGTACAGGGGAATACCGGACTGACAGCATTGCAATGAATACCTACTTCAATCTTTCAGGACACGGCTTATTGATTCCTACTTTACATCGGGTTCAAGGTAGCAATAGGGCTCACCAAATACCATTGAGACAGAGCACTTGAGGCCTAGGAAATGGACGCTGACACATCCACATGATATTCTTAGGCCAAAAGCACAGCCCCTATCGCCGCAACCTCATCCAGGACCATTTTCTTCACAGGATACAGAGCAGGAAAGCACGTCAACTGGAACTGTAATATCTGAGAGCATCCCGTCCTCAGATACTATGGAATCGGATTCTGTCGAGTCGTCCACAGCCGAGCCATTGCGCAACCCCTTCAGTTCACAGGACCTAGGAAACTGGGACAATGGCGGCGGCGATAACGATCTCGACTCACTCGATGACAACCCTTTTAGTCCAACAAAGGCAAGCATCATAGCGGAAGCAGAGTCAGTGCAGGAGGAAGATGTTAGAGAGGAGGAAGAGCCTTTAACGAAGAATACAGACACGATTTCAGAACTTGAACCGATCAACGGTCTGGGACTCATGACATTTAGCTCTCAGTTGTCAGGAGAATCTCTTCGGAGGTTGGCATTGTCGCCAAGGAAACAAAAGCGGAAGAAGGAGCTTTCGCCGGGCATGATGCCATCGATGCCTACGCTGACATTTTCCGAGAAACTGGCTGCGGAGATGGGAGAGATCGGTGGAGGAGAGGGCAGCTTATTTGGGCTTATTAGGAAAGCGAAGCCCTTGACGCTTGGAAAAGTAGCTGTGGTAGATGGATCGGACTCGGGGTCAGAGGCGGATTGGAACGATGACGAGGTTGTTGCGACCTTAACGTCAAAAAAGAGTAAGCAGGGGGTCCTTTTTGATGGCAAAACGTCCTGTTTTATTTTCTCAAGTTTTCTAAAAAAAAAAGTCTTCTTTATTTCCATCCTTCTTCAATCCAAAGCTGAAGAGCAGAAAATGAGGGAAGAAAGTCCAACGCTTATACTCGACTCGGATGATGACTATCCAAATATTCATAAATTCAGCAGCAACAAGGCGCCAATGGTGAGGATACTGTACAGTACTGCACAGCGCAGCGCAATGGATCCAGGTTTTACTACCGAATGACGGGATTTGATTTTAACTGACGGCATTATTTTACCTTCTGTATCCACCAGATGCTTGAGGAATCTGACTCGGATCTGGAAGATAACCCCTTCTCGAGTCATAATTCCATCGCCAGCTCGCCTACACCATTGACAATATCCACCTCAGATAAATCAGAGGAGGACATCAATGTAGACCTAGAACTCTCCGAGGACGATAAGCTTGATGAAGATCAAGCATTGGCAAAGCAGCGAGTAACTCGATCATGTACACACGCGGTGACGCCACCAAGGTCCGGACGCACCCTGCGGAGTGCCACCTTAAAACCTGCACCGACACTGGCCAGTCTACCGAAGGGAGCCATCAAACCAGCGAGAGCGAAGGCTGTGCTCTTCTCTCTGGATTCGCTACTCAAGGAAAAGAAGCGCAAAGAAAAAATCGGATATGACATCGAGGCCGCAAACAGCATGATGACGCTAGACGACGAGGTAATGATCTTAAACAGCCTTGCACAAGGACTGATGGCATCTGACTCTGGCTTTTGTTTTTTTATGTTAATGCTGATCACTGCTTTGCCTCATTTTCTGGACCTTAGCTTCTGGAAGAATACGACGAAGATGATGACGAGGAGGCTCTCTTTGGAACTGAAATGATCCCCAAGGGTGTGCTTTCAGAAGAGCAGGAAGGAGTGCTGACTGATATTATCGAAGACGAGCAGAACCAAACTGTTGAGGACATTGCAGAGTTCTTTGTCCACTGGCCATTGGTAAGTGGCCGTAAGGAATTTGTAGAACTCGTGCAGATGCCTCGCGGCTGTCTCCATTACCAAGTGCTAACTGTAATTGTATGGTTAGGAACTCGTCGTTCAGCCCCTCGAGCAAGAGTTGTGCGATAAAGATCTGGACGACCATATTGTGCAAAAGGTTTTGAAGGCCACGCAGACAGAGATGCAGAGGAACCAGTTCTTGACCTCGCCATTCCTCATGATTATGAGTTCATCGCCTTGGACGATGCCACGATCGCTATTCCGCTGGCTAGTGCATGTCGTTGCGGTGGAACAGAACACAGCTGTTACATTATCTCTCTTTGCTCTGCTCCAGAGGGTCTTATCACAGGTACCTTGTGGCTTTTTCTCTCGGTTCTCCACTCATTGTATTTGCGATCAGTACTGCTCAGTTTGCTCACATATCATTTTTTCCTATCATGTAGAAATCAGGTGTGCTTGGTGTTGACCATCAGGACTTGATCCGTGCGTTTCGGATGTATGGTGCAAAGGACGAATATCTTGATCCAGACTGGAAGGTGACGCCAGTCACCCGCGAGACACAAAATGAACGACTAATCCGTAAGACAGCAGCCTTGCACGCCTTCTCATCCGCTTATAGAAGCACCCTTTTGGATGAGATTCTGAAGATTAACACTGGGTCCCTGTTTCGTCTTTACGTTTTAGTCCCGGAGACGGCAAAATTCCCCAGACAAAGCTTGAAGGCGGTTGTCAAGTTGGTCACTATGACTGCAACACTAGAGTAAGTCGTCTCAACATCGCTATAAGATCTGTACTCTATACATGATATAGGTGAATCAATTGCTGACCAAAAAGTCTTTAGTCCTCAATTTTACAATGTGGCCGAGATTCGGAAGATTGTGAATTTGCTCATGAGGATGACAACGGACCCAATCATTGGTGACGTCAAGTCCTTGCTGGGGTCGACCATAGTCGCTTTACTGGATGCCATTCCTGCGGATGACTGGGAAGTTGAGGTATGTTGCCTTTCATCATATGGCGATAATGTTGGACGAACTGAAAAAAGGTGCCTATGCTCATCAATGTTCTGCATTGATTCCCATCAATAAAGCGCCACTGTCTATGCGATGAAATAATTCAGACACTTGGGACGTCCATGCCGTTCATTCTACTTGCACTACGCCAACTACCCTCTCTTTCCATGAGGGTGGCACTTCTCCGGCGAGGTATCGCTCTTTCATACCTGGGCTTGCCTCCGATACCTGCGGGTGAAGTTGCTCCTGACCTGGAAGAGTTGCATCGTGCACTTTTTGTCGACAAGGGCTTTCTGGTCAACTCTACGACAAATTATAAAGATCTCGGCCGAAGGATTCAGATATTTGGGTTCTGCCTGGACGACGAGCAAATGATTGCGTCGTATGGGCGCATTGCACTCGAGCCGTTGCTGAAAAAACTGCGCATGATGCATGGGAGGATTGGTAAGCACGCTGAGCACCGTTGTGGCGAACCCTGGATGATCATTCCTAGTATAAAGGGAGCAAACTCTAACGATGAATTGATATCTTTGTACTCAACAGTTGATGTTCGTGCCGCCTTCATGGAACGTACTTTGGTAAGCATAAGTTTGAAGCACAGCCCCTTGACTTGTTAGTCCGATCGTGCACAGACCAGCTAAGGCTTCAACCTTAAATCTTTATTTTTTATGTAGACAAAAGACATGATCCAACGACTGTACATACGACTCTACTATGCTGGTATACATCGTCAAAGTAAGGATTATATTCTCAGGTCATGCGCTGGGGATACATTACTCTCGCTTGAGTACTGGTATTAAGCATCCACATTTTTCTAATTCTATAGCTGCCATTCAAACGACTATCAACTTCGACAACGCTGCTTTAACGAGGAGCGGGGCCGGCGATTCAGCTGCCATTAGCGTCCAAGATTTGCGCCTCACCTCAGGACTTACCTCGCCTTCATAAGAGACTGGTCGAAGACATAGAGGGGTCTTTGATGTGAGAGTTTATTTTCGTATACATCTTGGGCCCGTCCTTTGTCTTAGTTCTTTTTTTTTTTTTTACTAAAATTAGCGAGCCATTTGTACAATGTTATCTGAATAATGTGGCATGTACTTTTATTAAAGAATACCGTCCGCCCACAAAAACTTGAACGCGTCATTTTGGCGTTTTTCAAGATGAAACCAACCAATAGAATATGAAAACGCGAGAGATGAAGTCGTATAACTGAACGAGGCTAATATCGCTCTTTGTCGACCGGTACGTCACCGCATAGCTACAACACTTCAGATACCATGCCAGCTACTGCTTATAGCACTGCTGGCACATCTTACTTGTCTATCAATCCATTGGCGCACCTGTCCATATCGTCTGGCGCATCTTTTTCTGTGTTTTTATTAAGGATTATTGCTGTTCTATTCTTTTCGGCCATCTGTTGTCACCTTTCATCATAGCGCACTCCTACTCTCCTTGAGGCTTCTTAGGTTCTTTCTCTGCCTTGTTTTCAGTCTTCACTTTACACTGTCTTTCCCTCTTTTTAGTTCAATACTGTTCTTGACTCGCTTCTTCTTGGGCCCTCCTTTGCCGCTGACCTTGTGGGGATCCGGCATGTCATAAATACTATCACTCCCTGCGATTTCATTACCGAGCCTATTGATTGCCCTCATAGCCAGTTCGGACCCAGCTTCAAATGGGGACATCCGATCATCCGATCATCCAGCGACCGACTCCATATCCGAGAACATGCTACCCCGGTTGAGGATCCCTCTCTGCTTGTTTTCCTCAAGCGCTGTCCAGGACTCATGGACCTGACGCTTCTGGCCATCTCTGAGACTCGTGCAAGGAACCTAGTACGGCTATTCACGTTCTACTGCTCCAAGGCTGACTTGGTACAGCTCAGCAGTGGTTTGGATGGGCGCCAAGAGTGCGGTATGGAGTCGGCTTGTTTCGCAGAGATGGCCCTGCTACATAGACACCAGCAACTGTGGAAGTATGTGTTCGCTATGGAGGGGGAGGGGGGGGGGGGGGGGGGGGGAGGGAGGGGTTATTAACGAGAACCCTCATAGACATGGGACTTATTAACTATGGTCTGAAGGAGTCCTACAGGTGGGACAGAAAATAAGCAGCGTACTGCCCGCCCCGACTAGCGCCGCGACGAATCCTTGGTTTCATAACCTACAGCCGCATGAATGGCGTGCCAATGGCTCCTGCTCCCTACGTGGCCTGTTGTGCGCGAAGGTCATCCTTTAGCCACAGTCCTCTGAAATTTTATAGAAACGGCATCCTCCCAGCCGCTCCATCACGTCCAAACGCTGTTGTCCAAAATAGTACCGCAGCACCCTCTCATCCGCGGTGTCGTTGATTTCTTTTCCATTTTATGTGTTCGCTATGGAGGTATGTTTTTTTTTATAACAATTTGTCTCTGGAGTCGATTGACCCTGCGGATCTATCAGACCTAACTAGCAATGATCTACTACAGTCGTCCTTTTCACCAAAGTAGAGCCGATCCACAGTCGCCAAAAGACAGGTCACATTCCTCGGACCTGCCCCTAGGACTGTGCAACAATTGCCACGCCTCATCAGTGTGTTAAAAAGCTGAGAACTCCTTGTTACAAAAAGGGTATCTTCCCCATCCCCTTCATGGTTCTCAACCGCCTCCTCCTTTGCAGGCAGTCCAGCAGCGTCCGATCCGCTGCGTCTGGGTCGAGTATGGAGTCAGGGTAGCTCCCGTTTGCATGGTCGGCGAGCAACGCACCACACGGACAGTGGTCAGCGTCGCAAATGTATACATTGCCCTCACTCCAGTCTCCTCCAGGGCCCTTGTATGATACGCGTTTCATCTTGGCTGTAACTCCCCACTCTCTTTCCCGAGCAATGGTCGCGTTGCAGCGTGGTTTCTAGATCATCTCCGTAGCCTGCGTCTCAATAAAGCTGACAAACTTGTGGACGACCTGTCGCGCAATCGAAGATGGCGAGGTGAATGGGCTACCCCACTGCTTGATTAGGTTGATGGGTGTGATCCCGCGGTACAAATCGCTAATTCTCCAGGTTAAATCCGGAGAGCGGTCGATAAAGTCGTCGCCTAGGAGCAGCGACTGAGTCCCACCGATGCAGGACAGTCCTTGGATATGGGTCGATGTCTTGGGACAAACCCATACGATGGGTTTCGGTGCAGCGGCATGGGCCTTGTTACAGGCAATGTCGTACTCATGCTGCTTCTTGCTTTTCTTGTTGTATGCTGCCGTCTCAGCTCGGCTCCACTTGTCGATCTGCTGCAGACCATCGTGCCAGATCTGTTTGCAGACATCACCATTGGCGCTGCAAGTCCACAGGTGGTCGTTGTCCTCGTCTTGGATGTCACAGACGCAGTAGACACGGTCAGAATAGATGTCAGGATGGCGAGCCTTCATGCTGTTCATAGTGGGAAGCATATCATGCAGCTTCTTGATGTGGTGCGTTCTCCGACGCGTGTCTGCGGCGTTGCTGTAAAACGTATGTACAGATCGCCTGTCATGAACAAGAGCGAAGGTCGATCGCCATTCGATGTCGTCAAGGTCTGAAATCGCTCTCTTGACACGACGTTGAGCTGTCCAGGTCTGGCGTCGTCGGATGGTTGTCTGGTGCTTGAGTAGCTGGCGCAGATCGTGTTCAATGATGTTGTCATGGCAGTATGCAAAAAGACTATTGTCCTGCTGCTCACTCAAATCGACCGACCACGGTGTTGATTCGACGCGAACAGCGCTTGTAGCCACCATGTCTGCGAGGTTGTTGCCGGTATTAGTGCTGTGCCCACGGACCCAGACCACATCCACTGTTCCAGGCCTATCTCGGACAATCTTGTGTAATGCTGCCCAGAGTCCTGAGTACGTACTGCGCAGTCGCTTACGAGGCAGAGTGTCCGCACGCGAATGCACCAGCTGCTGGTATTCTTGCACGACGGCTTGGTTGTCGAGTTCCACAATGATGTTCTGATCTGGTGGGGCAGATAAAATAGCAGCCAAGAGGCCCATGAGTTCTGCTTTGACTGAAGAAGCGTAACCATCTGTTCGTCCCTGCACCAGCCTGGTCACCGATTGTGATCGATCCACCACGCCGAAGGCCATGGCCACTTCCGCTGTACCTGCATTGAGCATGGAGCCATCAGAAGAGATGACTCGTGGCGTTGTGTTATCGACATGAGTCTCTCGAAGTCGTGTAGCAGCGTTAGCCTCCGCGATGGATAAACTGACGGGTCCAATTATTGTCCTGTCCGACTGCAGCGCTTCCACCTCGTCGTTTAACTGATGCTCGGGCAGCAGAGGGTACATTTGGCAGTACGGTCGCCGTCTTAGCTCTTGTTGCTGTTGGCGTTGCTATAGGCGTTGAAGGCGACGTTCTTGGCTGTGCTGGTGTCGACACTCTTGTGCATACTGGGCAGTATACTGAGCATGTATTGCTTGCTTTGCACGCCCGGAGTGGGCGTTGATGTCTTTTAAAAGCTTATCTCTGCGACGAGTAGCAGAATCCAAAGCAGCCTGAGACCGTCCACGTAGACCAATAAGGAATGTATGGAATTGGGTATTGTTGAGAGCGAGGAGCGGTGAGAAGTCTTGGATGGAGGTACGACTTGCAGTCTCGTATCGCATGTGGCGGGCGCGCGAAGCACGGTGCAGTTTGTTGATCTGTTGCTGTAGGTCTTCGGTAATAGCGTTGCTCTCGGCAGTGTGTATAGCGTGAGTATCGGATTTTCAGAGCAGACCTGTCATGAAGCCGAGAGAGTGCAGCATCTCTATCACTGGCGAGCGCCGCGAGCCTAGGGTTGTGCTCCACCCGCTGAGGGAGCAGTAAATTCGCGGGTATACGGTGGGCAGCAGGCACGGTGGGTGTGCTGGTTGGATCTTGCTCGACGGCCCCCATGTCAGTCGATAATAGTGTGCTTGATTGTGTCGGTGTTTGCGTGAAGAAATTTTCCGCGGGGTCAATGTCCGTGCGCAGCGCATCGCGCACAGGCTGCTTTCCTTTGTCTTTTTTCACAAACAAACAAACCTCCTAGTCACCTCTGTTACTGTCATAGCATGCAGCAATGGCACCAGGAGGTTTATAAAAATTGTTTTCCTCTGCGCCAGCAGCGGTCACTCGGGCCTGGGCTTCTGCACGTCGTCTAGCTCGGGGGTCAACAAGAGACTCATCCTCGGACTCACTGCTGGGAGTAATAGACAAGTAGGGTCGAGGGATATCATCCGATAGCGCACCAGCAGCTGCATCCTGACCAGGTTGCGTTTGCATATTGTCGGAGTCATCAGTGTATTCATCCGAGTCTTCTTCAACACCGGTACAAGGCGTACCGCCGACAGGTGGAACGCAGGCGTGGCGTCTCAGTGCAACGTACCACTGACGCTGCCGACCTTTGATGTGTAGACGCCGGCGTAGCTCGTCCCAGCTCGCCAGTTCAGTACCATCTGCAGCGGTGACATCTCGCAGACGTGACACATTGTCCTTCGCGAGTTGACGGGCGACCTTGTGGTACACCTTTGGTGGCAGAAGGAGGGCCACCAATGGGTTGGACGCAATAGCGGCGGATGGTTGACGGAAGGCGACCTGCCGCTTGTGCATAAGGCGACACACATGGCCGAGAAAATTGTGTTTGGAGAACTGGGCTCCAATAGCAGGGACTTGGCACGGCGGAATCGGCAAGCGGCACTCAGCCTGGTGTGCATCGGATCTAGTGGTCATGACTTGACCCACCAAACCTAGGTCGCTAGATCGTAGCAAAGCAGTGGATATCTACTCTTCCTCTTGCACATCTCCAAGGTGCCGGAGCCCGTAGAGTCGACGATGAAAAAGAATGCTGTTAGGCGTGCCTTTCGGCAACCCGACTTTCTGTCGAACCATCCCAGCGTACTGACCGACGATCTTGGTAATTTCTTGATCAGTCAGGATGGTTGTCGTAAGGCGGTACAGAATTCGAGAGATGAGCACGCTGTTAACAATGAAAATTGCCTATTTATCTGTAATAGCTTTCCTGGCTAGCAGAGAACACATGGACTTGACTTCCTGTTGTACCAGCTGGCGAGTGTGGGTGCCCTTGCCGTCGGCTGAGAACCAGACTCCGAGCATCCGGGAAGCCGTCGCTGGCGGGAGCGCCTCAATGGTGTCGCCACCAAGCATGACGCTGCGGTCCTCGGAGGTGGGGTTAATGACCAAAAGTTCTGTCTTTCTTGGGTTGATCTCGATAGAATTCAGTGAAAAAAAACTCATCACAATATCAATGATCTCTTGTAGAAATTCTAGGTTAGGCGCGAGCCAAGTGGTATTGTCGACAAATGCAAGCGCGGCAACTAGGATCTCCGCGTCTGGAAGCGCAGGCTGAGGGAAAGACAGTTTGTGGTGTCCAGCCAACGCAGCTTTGCGCATGACAGGATACCCAAGCCCGGAGTCCATGACCACCGCCAGCAGTGTTTCATACGAGATGCGCCAGAATAGCGGGCATTCGACCCCTCCCTGGTCCAGTCCGCACTGTGGACTATACTCATCCGCGAGCCCAAAGGCCGTCAAGATCTGATTTTTCTTTTTAGCAGCAATCGTCAGGCAGAGTCGCATGAAGCGGGGCTGTATCTTCAAATGGCACATGCCTCGCTCGAGCATGCCATCGGGGCCACAGGAGACAGAATCGAAATAGCGCCGCATATCCTGAATCATCACCCACAGTTCCTTGTTAAATTCTCGCGCGTCCTCCATGACCGAGTTAAGGATGTGAATCGGGTCCTTTGTCATTGTACCTTTCATTACAGAAAAATTCGGACCACGTAGGACGTTGTGGCGGGCGAAGATGGCAGCAAGACGGTTAACCAGGATCGTGAACAGAATTTTTCTTGAGTGCTCTAACAACGCTATCGGCCGAACTTCACTGATCTTGCCAGACCATGACGGACTTTTCGGGATGCAGTAGATGGACCATTGAGCCGCACCGTGGGTAGAGTGCCCTGAGCAATGCAAGCTTGCACGAGGAGCACAAAGACCGAAAGCGCCACTGGTCCAAGGTGCTGTAACAGATCTCCAGTCAGCCCTGATATGCCTGGGGCTTTGTTGGTTGGAGCGGATTGAATTGCAGCAGCAACCTCGTCGCGGGATGGAGTGTCCATGAGAGCCTCGTACCAACTCGCATCAATGTCGCCTCTTGGCTGGTAAGCATCAGCCCATCGCCCCTCCAATGGCCTTCAGACGCGTTCAGCATGAAATGTATCGCAGAAATACTGACGAACCGTTGTTTGATATCCGTCGGATCATCTGTCACATAGAGTCCGTCACCATCGTTCTCCACCACTAGTGATCCAACTGTACACGACCAGAGGATATGTCCAGGATACTGCGGATGGTTTGTCGTGTGCGCGTCTCGAAATTGATGTCGCGGCGATCGGTGTGGTCGCTGATGATCATCTGTCGATGTGTATCCAAATACTCGCGATGAGCTAGGCGAGCAGCGTGCCATTTCATCTTTACTGTGTCCAACCAGGCTTCCCACGTGGCTGTATAGTTGTTGGCGTTGGGCATGGGCCAATGCTAAGCGTCGCACCATTTATACCGTACCATTTGTATATCTCCTTGCGTGTCAGAAGCTTGAGAGTGTCGTGCGTGGCAGGCTGATCGATGGATACCCGACGAACGGAGCGGATAATATATCCAAGGTCACTGACCTTCGCCTGCAGCCTATCTGCGTCGCGGCGGGGTGGGGGACACCGCTAGTCTTCACACACGGAAGGTATGCATAGGCGGCCGACATTACGATGGAGTGAAAGCGGTCCCAGACTGGGTCGAGGGCACGGTCGCAAGGAGTGCAGGAGTGGCGAGGGTTGACTCGGGATCACCATTAAGAATCTCTGTCAGTCCGTACTCTTCTAGCTGTCCATGAAGAGGAAGAAGTTCTTCAACCTGTCTTGAGAACGTGGACTATTGCTCCGCGTTTGCTGCATCGAAAAGAATCTTTTTACTCTTGGTACAATGTGCGAATCTGACATGTTGTGGCGTCGGATTAACCAGCTTGTGTAGGTCAAAATTGGCTGCAACCAGAGCCTGATCGGATCGGATAGGAGCCACTAAATCGTTTGTCTTAACGTCAAGCAGGTAGGAGGTGAGGTCAGACGAAATCCACGCCATATCCAGGCGACTGACGCCTCGGAACGTAAAGGAGGGCTGCGTCGGATACAGGAGTCGAAAGGTATCCGTGAAGCTGCGTGTGTCAAGCCACGAGAAAAGTGGCAGCTCGGGAACCGTCGACGTGTAATCGCCAGACCAACGGTCCATAGAAGGGTTGACAACGCCATTAAAATCGCTAATCAGAATTACTCGAGCCCCTTTTGCTCGGAGAGACTCTACTTGGCTCTTAACCCAGAGAATAATGCGCTTGTGTTCTACGCGCGTTTCGGAAGAGAGTGTGGGGACGTAACAATTGATCACAGCCAGCTGCAGACCTCGCTTGAAGCCAAACAGAGCCATGATTCCCCTCCCATTGCCGTCGTGAGAGGAAGAGATAAGAAATTAAAACCAGTCATGAGTAATCAAAAGACCAACACCTTTGCCGTGGTGATTTGCTGAAGTGTGTTCCCAAATTCCCATTTAGGCGCATTTGTGAGGTTGTGGTAAAAGGCGTCGTTCCTTGGTTTTGGGTACTTTCGTCTCTTGTACCCCGATGATGTTCAGCCCTTGCTGAACACCAATGTCGCATAGTGAAGAAAAAAATTTGTCGGGCATGCCTCCACGAACGTTAATGGAGGCAGCACTGAAAGTGTGGAATGGGTCGTCAAGAAATGCAGGGTCCAGGTGGCCGTGCGATAATCGAGATCAGGTGTATCAATCATTACAAATCCTCTTCGGTCTGGTCACACTCCGCTGGAAGGAAGCGCTGTAGGGTATCACCCTGGTCTTGGATGCGCTCCCGCTAAACTTTGTTGATACCAAGGACCCGGTTTACTTCAGCAAGGTGGCCGCGTGCAGTATTCTCTGCGCTCTCAACTCGTTCGCTGGCCACCTTCAACTCGCGCTGTAGCTGCGCAATGGCCTGTTCCTTGTCCATTTTGGCAGGAGCCATAGATCCACTAGACCCGTCTGATCCACTGAGGGAGCGATGATGGCGTTTGCCGACAGTGATAGCAGACTCAGCAGTTGGAGCCACATATGGTGCGAGCCCAACCCGAGCGGCGACGACGGCTGGTGCGTCCTCCATCTCATTGTCCTGGTGAGTGGGCTGAGGATTGGGATTGCGTGTTGTTTCTGTAGCAATTGAATTACTGTATCGAGCTTTGATTCGAGTCGCCCAATGCGCTGCTGCATGATCTGTCGTCCTTGCTGCACGGCGTTCGCTATGGAGGTATGTGTTCGCTATGGAGAAATGAGCTCGCCATGACCAGGAGTCGAACCTGGACGGAGCGAAGAGCCGTGCACGGGTATAAGAATCGACGTGAATTCTTTGGTCTTCACCAATCACAGTGATTCATGTGTCGAGAGGGTCAACACCATGTCTTCTCGGCTAAGAGGGTTCTGGGTTATGTATTGAAAAATATTCATGCGAAAGGCCTGGTGCCCCTCGACACGTCTTTGACTTTTTTTTCCATGTGCTATATCTTCTTTTCTTTGTTCTTTTTCTTTGTTCTCTTTTTCTTTTTTCTTTTTTCTTTTTTTTTTTGGCGCGTTTATTCTTCCACACATCACCACATAACAGCAACATTGACTCTATACAACCATGGGTGCAGCAGTATCGCACGAACATGCAAAATTACCCTTCGCTTACACCTATGCCCGCAACGAAGATCACGCCTGTACAGCCTCAACCTCTACCCCCTCATCCTTAACCTCCAGCCGACAGCGACTAGCCCATCGCCTCTTGCTTATCAGGAACGCCGACTCGACCTCCGTCACACCTCTGTCAACGCATCGCCCACGCTTGATGGACGAAAGGGTCGACCTAGGATCAATACCACCGTACACAGCACTCGGAATCGCACCGTCCACAGCGGCACCCTCATTGATTTCTCACTTGAGCATGGACGATACGGATTCTGATAATGATGAGATCCTGTCGCTGTGCTCGATCCTAAACCAGGGTCCTGAACTCGAGTTGTAATGGCATGCGATTGGTCAGGAGGACCAGGAAGGATATTACCTCAGCAATAACTTGAATGTTCCACTACCGCATCTGGCTCAGGAACCAGAGCAGATACCTACCAGGGCACAGACTCTGGACACGAAAGCGGTCTTTGCCACTCTCACTCCGCGACCCTGAAATCCATATCGAACCAGATCGCGAATGCGGTCCCGACTAACCTTGAAACCGTTATAGACCCCTATTCACATACAAGGGCGGGCTCGCTGGTGTCGCCCTCTGTCGCTATCGCTATAGGGATAGACCCATCCTTGGAATTGCGGTAAATTAAGGTCTATACGTACTAAGTAAATAAGGGATCTTTAATAGTACCGTCCGGTCCCCTTTATACAGGTCGCCGGATGGTCTTTTCTAGGCAACATGATCCTAGTGAAGTATATATCCAATATGGCACAGAAACTACTCGACACCTCGCAACGCCATTATTCATATCGACAATAGAGCAGTGGTCCAACAGTTTGCGGCGTTAGTCAAGAATCGACATACAGCTACTCCGCGACGGCGGTTGAGAGCAGCATATGCCAACTGGTGGGCCGTGATCTACGAGGCTTACGTGCAGCAGGGCAGCAAAATAAATGTTCAGTGGGTTAAAGGACACAGTGGCGATACTGGAAATGAGGCAGCTGACGAATTGGCGGACAAGGCACACGACAGCGGGCGACGGCCATGGCAACTGAACACACAGTATTTCACGAGCATGAAGACACATACGACCTTCTGTGGTCAGCCAGCGGAGGACGACATTCGCCAATTGATCAAGCATCAGTCTGCAGCCAGAAACCATCATGCATGGACTTGTCAACAACGAACGAAACAATTTATTCAGCAGTGGGAAGAAGTGGAGTGGCGATCCAGCCTTGCTATAATACATGAGAAAAATCCGCTAGGGGGTTTTTTCACCAGCCTTGCGGATTGCAACCATCGGTCCCACAGGATCAAGAAAATCCATGGTATGCTGCCAACCATGCAGTATATGCACAGGTGGAAACCGAATATGTATACCACTGACAGATGCCAAGTGTGCCTTACCATGGTGGAGGATACCCAGCACCTCTGGGTCTGCAGAGCCACACAGAACAGACGACAGGAAGAATGGAGAAAGACACTTGATGGGGTTCTAAGCCTTGGACGCACCTTGGTGGATAAGGCGAGGAAAAAGTGGTTGCGCGACATGGAGGAGGCAATCAAGGATGGTCGAAAATTCACACGCACCGAACCGAGTTTTACCCCGTGCGAGTTAGACAACCTTTGGTGGAGTCTGCGTGAGGTCCGGGGAGTGGAAATGATGGTGAATACGCGGTATGATGACTGGATAAGGCTGCTGGAGGAGCGGCGAGACAGGGACAATGGTGACGAGGACAGAGAGAATGTTCACGAGGAAGAAGGGGAAGGAGAAGGAGTGGGCAGTCAAGGAAACGTACAGCAGGCAGCACCGCTTACCAGGCTCTGGACAACGACAGACATATATCACGGGCTCGTACCAAAGTCCCTGACAACGGATTGGGCGCTGCTCTTTAAGACGTCGAAGAGTATCGCGGCTTACCTGGTTGGACGTTTTGTAGAACGAGTTGAGGCTTTTGGCCGAGAGGAGCTATGGAAGGAGCGATGTAGTGCCACAGTGGCATGGAAAAGTCCGAGGGCATATGCACGAGGATGAAGAAAGCCGGGGTCCAGGTAGGAGGTGAGGCCCAGGGCTTTGTGAGACAACAGCCCCAAGAGGAGGTTACGACAGCGGCTATGAGGAGAGCGGACGGCCGCTTGGTGGACCATCTCCAGGGAAAGATGGTGTTGAACGAGATGGAGAGAGGAAGGAGGATAAAATTTATATTGGCCCGTGATCTTGACTAAGAGAGGACCCATCGGACCCGACAGGTTGCGTAGCGGTTTTGGGCCCCGGCTCAAGTATGAGAAACCATGCGACTCAGAATGTGCATCATAGGTATTTGTTTCCTCATTTTACATTAGTTTAATGGGGGCCTCCTGATAGCTATCTTTTGGTAACTATCGGCCGGCTGACAGTCCAAGCCGAGGCTTGGACAATGCAGCCTGTGGCACGCCTGCACGCCTGGGGGGATCTGGCGTCAATAAAAAAAAAAAAAAACAGAAACTACTCGACACCGCCTGTGCTGATCTGTCCATTGAATCTCCGCCACACACCACAAACACCACCATTGCTGCAACTACCACCACTGTTGCCACCACTGCATTATCCTTATCAACTCCATTGCAACTCTCCAATCCTGAGCAAAAAGTCGGGGGTGGATCAAAAGCTTCTGAGCCGATTGAGCGTCCGTGCATTCAACCGACTCGACATTGTTGCGCTTGGAGATAGTTCTTTGTGTTCCACACTGGATACAAGGGTCTAACGCACAACTACGCACACTGTAGCGAGTGATCAGCACAACAGTCTTCTTGTTTAACTGGAACAAGGAACAGAAGACCGCTGGCTTCGATCCTCCTTTTATACAGGCACAACCCCAAAACCTAATATCAAATCCTGCGTACCCTCGGTGGCTGCTGGCCAACAACATTAAAAGTACTCTTTCAGTTCATTACAATAGGATCTGATAGACTCGGATGAGGAAATAGACGAAGACAACCTCAAAAAAGACCGTATTAACAAATTGACAGGAAAAAAATGGATATCATATCCGCATTATCATCGTGGATCTATCAGACGACGACAAACAAGAGGACATGTCTTTCAACTCCTTCAACACAGAGCCAACGTTTTACTCCTCTCCGTATCAGCACGGCTTCAAGCAACGACGAGGCGACACACAACCGACGGAGATTTATTTCCGTGCGGCAAAGGGATCGGGCTGTGGTAGGGTCAGGATGGTGGCTTCGAGGGAATGGTTCACATTCCCCAGGGCTTCTTTGGAGAGCACCAGCGTCACTTTAGGCCGGATAAATGACGTCCTGACGAAAGCCTTAACTATGAAGCTGACGAGGCGGGTGAGAGCGACTATGCACGAACCAGAAGGTCAGGCAGAGGCAAGGACATCGGAATCTTTAATCTCGACCACTCGACGGCGACGCTTGGCTCAGCCAGCTGTTCCCTTTCGAATTACTCGATGCTGATAACGACGGATGAAGATGTAGCCCATCTCAGCCATATACGCTCTCTGAACTGCCAAGCTTTACAATTATTGGACTTTGTTCCCACGGCATTGTCAAACTATCGTCCAACATTCGTCTCCTGTCCTCGGTAACTTGCCTTTAAATGTAAGCTATGAAAATCATTTGCATGCATGCCTGCATGTTGTCGCTTTCTTTTTTTTCTTTTTTTTTTTTCTGGTGAACAAGAGGGAGAAAACTCTGCACGAGCTTTTAACTCACTCAGTTTGATCTCATATACCTGCGAATCCAGTTGTTGCAACGATCTGTGTAGTATCCCTACAGAGATTGGACATCTATGGAACTTGACACTCCTCGGCCTGTCCAAGGACAACCCCACCTCGTTACCAGATTCGACCCAACAGCTCACGCGACTTGTCGATCTCAAACTGTCCTTCAACTTTCTCGAGAGCCTCCCTACAAACATTGGGAAGCTCACAAAAATGAAGTCGCTCTATCTCGACAGCAATCGTCTAAGCCGGATCCCTGCTGAAATCGGAAACATCAAGGGTCTTGATGCTAACTTGCTGGAATATAGGCCCTCCTCGCCATCCAGCAGTTAGGGCGCATCCCGTTCTTGATTCTTGGAAAAAAGATCGATGCCCTTGGCGCAGTCTCTGAGGAGGAGCTTCGCTCTCAACTCGGATTGATTCAGGCCACTGGCAAGGGCAAGGTCCCACTGAAGGACATGCGCCTCATTGAGGTCTTTATGTGCCCAGTCGTCATTGTCTTATCCCGATTATACTAACTGATTCCGCCTTTATGTATCGCTACGTTTCCTCTGGATGTCCTAGTACATCTAAGTGACAGTCATATCAACATATCTGATGTCGTCCGAAATATGTAGCTGAATTGCACAGAGCCATTTTTTTGTCATCCAGCTGGATTCTATCTTCACCGTTACCTTCATAGCTTTTCCGTTCTCCCTTTCTGCTTTATAATACATTCATTTTTTATGATATATAATCCCCTGTCGAGTTTATCTACGCACATGGGTTTAAAGAGTATAAATAAGACGCAAAAATTACAAAAGACCTTAACAAGAGCGTGTTTATTAATGACAGCAGCAGCTGCGGACACCGAGACGCGTGGACAGAAAACGCCCTGAAAAGGGCCACATGCAGGAAGGCGTGTCTGAGGAGCTAGCTCGTAGTGCTGTTGTGTGGGCCAGGTCTACTGCACGCACCCGAAACGGACCAAGAAAGCATTAAGGCAGTAACGAGCTACGAAAATGGGCTCCAATTTGCTAAAACAAGCAAGGTTGCTGATGTCGCTTTCGTCCTCAGTCATATAGACTACATCTTCATTCATTGATATGAACACTTACTTCAAGGTCTGCATAAATAATGATCTTATTCGCAAAGTCTCCTTCCATAGCCATGGTCTCACTACATGGCTCTAACCACTTCAAAGGCACGTACGATTCTGTGGAGCTGGGAGTAGAACAATGGCAACCTTTGTGGATGACGGGGCTCTCGTCTCTCCTGACCAGGCTTTTGAAGCAAACCTTGAGAATGAACATGCACATGTACTGAGCGGGTCGTGATGTGTGATGTGAATCCTCTTCCAAGGATGTTAATCCCCGCTGTCTTCACTCTCTCCATAATAATAAGAGAGTGATACGGCTAGGGATGAGTTCTTATTCTTCTTGTGACCTTGTATGGAGCTCCTTTATCGCGAATAGATGGAATGTTGCACAAGCTCTTTGATTACTAAGATCAATGTGTTACCATCGAGGCTGTGCACCACGCGGGCCAGATATACGTGTCGATCACTATGTCCCTTCAATGCAGTGCGAGCATCAATTGCAACCCCATTATGCTGCTGGCAAAGGTTTTTCTTGCTATTGCACATTTTCATCGTTTGGTTCAATCTTCACTCTTTATTTCATTCTCACATTGGCTTTTGTTGATTCTAAGGTGTGGGGTTCCAAGCGATACATACAAAGGAAAGTGGATTGGCTTGCCATCAGTCAATCTTACTTGGGAAAGTAAAGGCTGTGCAGGGTACACCGCGGGCAGGCTGCAAGCCATGGCACCCCAGAAAAAACCACAAGGGAAAAAAAGTTCGGCTTTTGACCTTATTTTTTTTGGAGGTATTTTTTTGTCTCTCTTATTTCTTTCTTCCTTTTTTTTTTCTTGTTCTTGTTTTTGTTCTTGCTCTTGTTCTTTTTTTTTTCTTTTTTTTACGTTCAGTTTCTTCCGAGAGTATATCCCTTTGTTCAGCGACATCGTGGCACCTTTGGATGTGCTCCGTAGTCGAACCGAGCCATTCGCTCTGAATCAGGCACAAATGCAACCATTCAATACTCTAAAAAATATGTTGACGAATGCACCAATCTTGGCATTCCCTGACTTCAGCGAACCATTCTATGTCGCAACAGATGCTTCAGATGTTGGTATTGGTGCTGTATTGTACCAATTACCACGCGGAAAGGAGCATCCAAAAGGCATCAATTATGTCTCCTTCATGGCTCGTTCTTTGCAAGAAAGAGAACGTAAATACAGCGCTACGAAAAAGAATTACTTGCAATTGTGCTTGTTCTGAACAAATTCCATTACTATTTGTGGGGAAGACATTTTGATTTGTACACGGACCATCGTGCCTTAATGTTCCTGCATTCTCAACAGAATCTTAATTCCATGATGACAGCATGGCAAGGTACCATTTTGAGCTATTCATTTACCATCCACTACCGACCGGGAATTATTAATATTCTTCCTGACGCTTTGTCGCGTCTATTCCCGGTGAGGAAGCAGCAATCACTCCACACAGAGGAGCAGAAAAAAGCTCTTGCGTACGTGCACATCCTTCAAAATGAGGAAACAGAAAGAGCGGTAGTGCCCGAAAAAGAAAGAGATGAAACCATGTATATAAAGCGCATACCATGGGTCACCTTGATACAAATGCTACGGTGAATTCAATCCATCAGCAAGGGAAAACTTGGCCCATCTGGTCAATGATTGCTTAAATTTCGTAAAGCGATGCCGAGAATGCCAAAGGATGAACATTGCTCGCAAAGGGTATCATCTTATGAAGGCAATCCATGCACATTTGCCTGGTGAACACATTGCGATCGACATTGCAGGCCCTTTTGAAGAGTCTGAAGACAAAAATGTCTATTTGTTGATTATAGTCGATATGAAACAAGACGAGAAGGAGTGGAGAAAAGAACTACTTTTAATAATATTTACAGTGCATGAATATATGTAATATTATCTTTGCAAGACCAACAGACTGATTCTCATTTACTACACCACAGGACAAATGCACTTTTTGGAGTCTCAAAGTGTTCTGAATCGTTTGTTGCTGGGATTCAGAGCAGGCAAACACAGTGGGAGTTGGCACAGCACGCGTTTTTGGCCACTCAACAACCGCGTTTATGGATACGGCGCACAAATAAGTTGGAACCACGAGTTGTGCCGCAAAGGCCGTGAATAGATTCTCAGCTTTTAATATTGAAACAGAAGTAAATGGTGATATGGAGGGTAATCGGCGACGCACGCGACACGCCCCTGAGGGATCCTGAAAAAAAACCCGAGAACGAAGGCAAGGATCCAGGATTAATAGGCAGAGGTGTCGTTCGTAATGGAAATCCTCTTTTTGCACTTTCTGGGGTCAGTGCACTCGTCCGAGCATTGCTTCTTATAGAAGCTGCGCACATCGGCCGGGACGCCGTCGGGGGGAGGATGGAAGACGATATATTGGGCCGCAGTATACTCGACCGCAAACTTGTGGCCATTAAAATCTGACCAATTCATAGCGTGATATTGCTTTTGATCCTTAAATGTCGGCTCTTTCAATCATCGCCCCAATGCCGCACTGTCGATGCTATGTTCACTTTATGAAGGGGTTTGTTTAAGTCAGTCCACCGTGCCTGCATGTCAATGTAGTCTTGGGATATGTATCGCCGATATTGGTCAACACCGATCATGGTTGCACAAAGAAAATTTCAAGGGACTGAGGAATCTTCGATGGTACTTGCAGCAAATTCGGCAATCCAATGTGAATCTTCATGTCAATACTTGCTTCGTTACCCAGGTCATCCACAATGAGAACAAGTAATGCTTGCTTAAGGTCTTAGCGTGTTAAATCAACGGGCTTCTGACAGCCAAGCGTTCATGGCGACGTTGCTTTTTTGATCCTTCGTCGGCTCTTTCTCTCCTTCCTGCAGGAGAATTCCAGGGCGCGTCGATTTTGTTCACTTGTTCTAGTTATATTTAGGGGTTCTATTATTCAGTCTCAGACACGCACGCTTTCTGACATGCCCCGATGTTGCCTGAAAGTAAGATAAAGCTTTGGATTAAACAATTGTACTATTTTGTCATTAAAATTTTAAGGCAATTGGTTTTCTTTTATTTAAGGGGCATGAATACCTTGAGGTCGGCTCTCTGGCTTTCTTAAGAATGTCTTAAATTCGGGGGTTCGTATGGTTGTACACCTCAGCATGTCCACGGTCGGGTTTGGAATGATGTCTCCTGTTCTACCTACTCCCTGCAGGACAGGCGCAACCCCCTCGTCGATTGTTACCATCAGCTCGTGAAACGCCTTGTACTGACTGTTCATCAACAGAAGGCTCTTCAGGCTGTCTGGAACGCTGTAGTCCTGCTCGTGTGACATGAGATACATATTTCCACACCGCGCCATCAGGTAAATGCTCATGGTATCTGCTACGACCTGAGCTCCAGCCAAAACGGCATCGCGAACGCCATACTTATCCTCGATATTGTCGAGCGAGTCTTTCAAGTTGAGACCTAGACGTACAACGTCTTTTGCGTTTTTCTTGTGCTGTTTCTGCTGAGCATGTGACGTCGCCTCACCAAACGCCAGGTCGCAAATGGTCTTATTGGAGGCATCCTTCAATTCCAGTACCATGTCAGGCTCTTTGCGACTGCTCGTGGTTTGGCTCGAAACTGTCTTCTTGTCGACACTAAATATACTCAGTAAATAAGAATTAGGTCAAGGAGGCCTTAATCAACAATGCATAAGCAGTACAAATTTTGGAGGTTTTGACAATGTCTCCTTTACAAGTTAAAAAACGTGCACTTTTCCGTGTTCGCCATGAATACTCTGCAAAGTGGGGTTATATAGGAGGAGACTCCTGTCGATTCGGAATATGACTTGTCGTTCACCAGTGGAAAGTCATTCAATGCTGAAAGGATGTACGTCCACAGCTTTTGGGACAAAGAGCTGGAGGGGGGCGAGGAAATAATCGCAGTAAAGGACTCTGCTCTGTCAAATTTCTTGTCTTCTATTACCTGTTTTGAAGATCAAAAGATGTAAGTGAAAGCGCATGTCTCCTTGTGCATAGTTGAGCATCAAAAGCGAAATCTTACATCAAGCCAGCCCCGGACTTGCGAGCGCTCAGTAGTGACATCTGCAGTCTTCCAAAAGCGCGTGTGGAATAGTACTCGTAGCTTTGCAAGAGCATCTGACCCAAAGTGTTTCTTCTGTAGCTCCGTTCCACCATCCTTAAGAAGAATGATGCCCGACCTGCCACTGCAAGGTCATGACAAACATGAGGGCAGAAAGTTAGTCACAAATGCAGCTCATGTCAGTCATCTCAAGGTCGCACGAAGTCCATACAACTTACAGCGCCTGGTCCGTATGCTTAATATAAACCCGACTTCTTTTCACTTCCGAGAAATAACTTTGAAAACCTGCTGCGACATTAACGCCTTCAAACATCCCTTTGAACACAAACCCTTGACTTGCAGACTCAGGTAACAAGTAGTCTTCCTCATCCTCGTCCATCAAGAATAGGCTCTTTTCAGGGGGACCAGAGGTAACGGTAGGTGGGCTGTCAATCGACTCTGTTCCAACAACTGTGGGCGAAATGGCTAATCAGAGTGCAACAAGGAATGGATGTCAGTGGCGAGTACACAAACACAAAGAGGCGCAGTGTCCTTTGGTTCGCTCTTTCAAAGTATTACTCACATTTGTTCCTAGGAGTTTTTGGCAAACCAGTATTCTCATTGTCGAATAGGCCACGGGGGTGCTCCTGTCCTAAATGTACATATTCTATCAGAGTATCAGGGACTGTATAAAGACATCAAAGACCAACGGAGTGAGATAGTTGGAGTATAATCGACAGGTTGACACTTCATACCTGCAATGGGAATGAACGTTGAACTTGCATGACCTTGCTTAGGCTTATGATCATGAATCAATGAGGTCGAATCGGCGACAGTCTTACCACCTCTGGGTAACTGAGACTGAGGGAGGTCGTGGTCATGTCCGTCTTTGGAGCTCTGGTCACTGTCATTCTCATTGTCATTGCCGTCTGCAGATCGATCATCGACAGCAACACGGAGCGATGTTCTTGATGAGAACGGTAGTGGTGAAGGTGTCCACGACGACTCTATACTCGGAGCAGCGTTTGGAGATTCATCCACTAAAAAAAACAATCGCAGTTGAAGACATTATCATCAATCCTAAAAAACCTCCATCTTCCAACCCTTGAAATCAATATGAAGGTGCTTACATATTTCTGTGAGGTTCTTTTCAAGTCTTTGAGATGATATCTCCACGACTTTGAGTTGGTGTTCCTGGAACGCCTGCTTCATGCCCCGTTTGAATTTTTTCGCGGCAAGCTCATCCACTGAATCCAGTAGGAGATGCTTCTCTGACTTCCATTCCTTTTTAAGTCGCGTCCCAGTTTCTTGAAGACACTTGTCATTACTCTCTTTCAATTTCGGAACGAGTTTATTCCACCACTCGTCTTGCAGTCGCTTCTCCGTGGATTCATCCTGCACACTCGGGCCTCGACAAGAAATGATATAACCTTCAGCGCTGTACTCTCCTGGACTCGTGTCCAAAAAATATTGCGGATTGGATAGCGGCAGCAGAGCGGTCACCTCCTTGATCGCGGCTAAAAGCGACTCCTTCATGCTCGCTATTATCGGAGGAAATGACGATAAGGACAAGATCTGTCGCATTATACTTGCTTTATCCAAGCAAAACATCAGTACACAAGGAGCATAAATACCTCGAACGGTCGCTGGTCCAGGTCGACAGATGAAAATAAGGATGTTAGTATGTCGATTATGTAAAAATCGGAGACATAAAAAATGTATAATAAAAGAAAGCACACTAAAAGTGCAATCAGCAGCCCCCTTTGCTAGAGAGGCGCCGCTGACATGTGTTGTCCAACCACTGTGCCACACACCAATCACACTTCCTCGCATAACGGTAATGTGATCAGCTGATGAGTATTTTATCCTCTTCCGCACGCACAGCGAGAGCTCTTTAATCCATAGCGAATAACCCCGCCGCAGTAGGGGGATGATCCAAGTATGGTGAGTCCACAACCACATTTTCTCCCAGCCAAATGAAAAGCACACCAAAAGTGCAATCAGCAGCCCCCTTTGCTAGAGAGGCGCCGCTGACATGTGTTGTCCAACCACTGTGCCACACACCAATCACACTTCCTCGCATAACGGTAATGTGATCAGCTGATGAGTATTTTATCCTCTTCCGCACGCACAGCGAGAGCTCTTTAATCCATAGCGAATAACCCCGCCGCAGTAGGGGGATGATCCAAGTATGGTGAGTCCACAACCACATTTTCTCTCATCTGGCATTTAAAAATTTAATAGCAGAGATGGACAGGACATTACCTATGGTGACGAACAGGGCGTGGGGATGTTGAAGAGTGCGAGAGTGTGGCAAGGTGCGTAACGATTACAAGGGCGTGATGAAAAAGGCGACGATGTTACGTCATCCACGTTATTTCCGTACACAAGGTCACGAGGGGCAGTCCTCCTCACGTGGGGGCCATCTTTGGCAGGAATTACCTCTATCACACACAGGATATAATGATTTCTAGGATATACGCGCCTTAGTTCAACATCCTACATAGCAAAGTCCATCAACACCGCTTCAAATGTACTCCTCCTTTATGGTGTCAATAAATGTCATTAAGTACTAGGTCTACAGCGCCTTGGAGGTGTTTTAGGCGAAAATGGATGGACATGGTATTGAGTGCAGTTTAAATTGCTTGATCTAGAGACGAAGGTTGATAGCGATCGCTATAGAAAATGTGTGGAGTGTTTTCTAAAATGAACAGCACCATTGAGGCATCTCCAAAAGCACCCATACTTTCTGAAAAGTAGGAACTGCCAATGGAGAATGCGATGCGTATAAAATCTCTACATCTTTCTATATAAAAATTATAAGTTCACTTATACGCAAAGTCGTCGAGTGTCTAAAAAAGACTATTTTCTATGACATGCTGATGGGTGAACTCGATCATTTATCATTCAATTTTCTTACAGCTACTTCTATTCTGTTACTATACGCTGCCTACATTCTCTGCTGCATCAGCAAGGGCATAGGGCGCTGATTGAAGGGTGGAGCGCAATTTTCTTTGACAACCAAGCAGACAATAGGCAAGAATGTGCTCTTCATTCAAGCATAACTCTATCAATTCTTAGCGGATTCCTGTCAAATAAATTTTGATATCTAAAAAAAAACCAGGACTATTACTCATGCTATCCGTTTGGTTGCGCCGTTACTAAAGGTTATGTAGCTAACAGTTTTGTGCTGTTGGAGGCGTAAAAGGTGAAATTTTAGGTACAAGCCTTTCCCTTCGCATTGGTTTTGTGCGGAAAACTTTAACCATAAATTTACCCCACAGCGTGTGAATCCACCGTTGTTACTTCCTCAGTGCACTTTTTATTTCTTGTATTGTACTTATTATATCTCTATAAAGCTCCTAGAAACCCTGCTTACGCCGTTTGTTGCTCAGATCTTGACCCGGCTGTGGACGAAGAGAAGGTTCATAAAGGGCCAAAACTTGTCGCATCAGATCTATCAGCTTCTCTTTGTGAGGTAGTAGCGCTGTTCGATCTCGCAATGTCTCCAGATCCGTGAAACGTCGTGCGAGGTGATTGAACCCACTCAACGCGATATCATCAGAAAGCTTTTGGTCCTCTTGTGCAGGTCCGAACATGTCTAGCCCAAACTGTGCCTCATAGTTCTACTGTTCTTCACGGTAAAACTTCATTGGAAACAACTCCAGTTGTACCAGAGCGATGTGTTTGCAGTAGATGGTATATGAGCGGAAATATTCACAAGTGCAGCGGATGATGTGCCCGGTAGGGGTTTTACTAGAATCGATCTCGACGTCGTACGTTGTCCCGAGGCGAGTGAAGGATTCCACTATGAGCATCGTATCGGAACTCTGGCTGATATAGTCGTCTCTGTATCTCCTTACCGATCTCGTCCTCATATGCTCCAAGGCTGCGTTAATCAGCTGGAGTTCCTTTTTCTGCGCAGGATTCATTCGGCCAACGTTGACAGCCGACCGCATGCACTTTTGCTGGAAGTGTGGGACAGCCATGACTGCAAGAACGTAAATGACGGTGTCCACTCTCCGCTGTTGCTTGTCTCGAAAGAAATGGCGCTTCAGAGTATTGTGCCAGGACTCAATGTAGTTGTTCGTATCAATGCTTGAATAGGACACGTCTTGACGGTAGCAGATCATCCAATGTTTCTGCTTGTCTTCGGCTTCAGCCATGTTTTTGCCAAAGTAGTTCTTGTCCATAAATACGAGGAGCTCTTCGTAGTTCGACCATTTGTCTCGGAAGTTTGCAATTCGGTTCAGTGCGGCTGCTTTGTCTTTCTCGTACAAGATGGCACGGAGATCAGCCCTGACCTTCAGCAACAGATAACATAATGGTATCAGGGTCGATCCTGGTCAACACCAGCTAGGCGGCCTTCCGGAGACAGCAGGCAATCCGGGCTCTAAAGAGCGGTGAGTGGCACGGAAAGTGGACCTCTGCAACAGGATTACCACTCGGTTACTGTCACGAATTAAGGTTGAGGACAGACTTGCGCTCACCTCAATTGACCCTAGTGGCTTGTGATTACCTTGCGTCTGCTACGCGAGCCCAAATCACGTCGCGTCTTCAGAATTACCCCAAACGGAAAGCATAACTGGTTTAACGTTGCTTGCCCGTTTCAAGTAGACGATTGCCCGCGTCCACCCTTGTCCATTCCATTATGTTTCGGTCCCGAGTACGGGAGCTTATAGGACATAAGCTACCGAGCTGGGGTCCCGAGTCAAGTTTTATTCACATATAAAAGACATAACTAGTTGCCATAATCAAACCTCAGTCTGCAATAAAATACTTTCCTGCCCTGTACTCACTCTTGCTCTTACATTCTCCACTTGCCTGCCAGTCCAGATCTTGACAGTTACCAAGCTGCACGGTTACGACACACAGAGCCAGGATGGGAGCCCGGCATCATGACAACTCCACTACGACACTGTACAATAGGCCCCAGACATGTATATATAGACCCTACTTACGATCATTAAACAGCATTCATTTCTACGCATTCCTACTTGACCACTGCCCTTGACCCCTTGACTCTGCTGCTGTTGCAAGAGTGATGACCACAGAGATGGGTGTACAACATCGGTTGGTCACTCCATATCACCCTCGAGCCAACGGCGTAGCCGAGAACCATGTTAAGACAGCTGTAAACATTATCCGTAAAGAAATCAAAGCGAAGAAACGCAATTGGGACCGACATGTCACCATGGCTCAATTAGCCATGAATACGAGAATTGTTGCGTTGCACAACTCGTCCCCTTTTTCGTTATTTTTTGCCAGACGTTTCAACGGTTTCCATAATTTTTCAAACGACAAGGATGAACGATTATCCCATAGTGAACTCTTGGAGCGACTTCAATACATGACTGAAGTTGTCTTCCCAGCTGTGAGCGCCAAGTCGCGTGCCACTCAGAAGAGAATGATTGAGCGATTCAACAGAACGGTACTGCACAATGAGTTTCCGGATGGAGCCAAGGTCATGACTCTCGATCCTATCTTGGGTGATAAATTGACACCCAAGTATGAAGGTCCTTACGTTGTTGTGCGTAGAACCACAGGCGGTGCGTATGTTTTAAAGGACGGCACTGGCGATTTGCTTCAACGCCAGTATGCCCCATCCCAACTCAAACTCGTACTCGACGACTACGACGACACCACTTACGAAGTAGAAGAGATTCTCGAACATCGGGATGATTCTGAGGGGGGAGTGGAATACTTCGTAAGCTGGAAAGGGTATACAGAGAGGACCTGGGAACCAGAAGAGAACTTTGTTGAGAGAAAGTGTATCACAGACTACTGGAAGAGTCGCGATCTTCCTGGACCACCTTCTCGACCGCAGCCTCGTCAAACTTTGAAGAGCCACAAGGCAAAGCAGAATCAGCAGGAGACACTATTGACACAGCGTCCAGTAGCACGTAAAAATAATATGAACAATTCTGCTGATAGTGTAACCACCCCGAAACCTAAACGCGGTCGCCCACCAAAGATTAATATAAGCGCAATTGATCGAGAGCTACCACGCACGAAGACGCGGTAGGCCACGAAGCATATCAGCGAGCAGAAAGTAGAGGAGTATGAGAAGGGGTTTTTTATGTACTTTCCCCTTGAATCACGACAGAGGTTTTCCTTCGGGCTTTCCCTCGCAAGGCCTTTTTGCTTTTTGCCTTGTAGTGATTATTACAATTGTCATGTAGAGGTTTTAAACTTTCCTCTGAAATTTATAATTTTATTTACCTTGAGGTTTTCACTTTTTCCCTCACACCGTAATCAATCAGCCCAATATGAGCTTGAAGACCTGGCTTACGCCTCCCATGGGAGGGGAGCTGTGCCATATTGGACAGATACTTCACTAGGATCACGTTATGTAGAAAAGGCCGTCCGGTAACCTATATAAAGGGGACCGGACGGTGCTATTAAAGATCCCTCTCTTGTCTCGTGCTTACTTGTATTTACTTAGTACGTATAAACCTTAATTTATCGCACTGGGTAAATTCATCTTGGGCGGACATGACTGGATTGGAGAGTCTGCAGTGTCAGGAACAGACTTGAAAGAGTGGGATATGTGTTATGGAGGAGACAGACAGTGGACAAGGTAAGGAAGAAATGTATTGCAGACTGAGGTTATATGCTATGGATTCTATGGCTCTATTTATGTGTTTCTAGGATTCTTGGTCAGGGTACTGTGGTGTAGTAAATGAGAATCAGTTGGTTGTTCTTGCAAAGTTAATATTAGATCACGGGGAAGAGCACCGCCCCCAGAATAAAAGAATAAACGGTCTGGTACCTGAACCAGAGTCTTCTTTCCACCAAAATCATTTGTATCACACATTGTATTCGTCCAGATTGTCCGGATAACACCGCATCAACGACAGGTACTGACTACCACCGTCAGTAACCCATGCAACGAGATACAATCAACAGGGAATGCCGATCCTGATCATTCGCCACCTTTGCGCCGTCAATCGCTCTTATTTAGACATTGTACTTGCCCCGCAGCGCTTCCCCGATTACCGATCGTCTCATTGAGCATCCGTCATCGGCCCACCCTCGTGAAACGGCATTATAAAGGTACAACGGAGGCCTGATCAGCAACTATTGGCATACAACGACTCCAGAGGGGTGGACTTCATTGTCACGACTCCTCACCTCATCGGACATCACAATATGCGAACTCCTTGCAACTACCCCAGTCATTCCCAAAGGAATATAGTCCTAGCTCGCACCATTTAGCTGAATAGATCCCCATATTTATTCCTTCCATTTACGTCTAGTCTATTTTACCGTTGTGTTCTTACATTCCGATCTAAAGGAGGACCCTGCACCACGAACCAGTAAGTGACCGAAGCACAGCCTAGCCGAAGTCCTATTCGCGTGGTAACTCCCGTTGTAAATAGAACTAATGGTAGAAGTTATAGAACCCGTTAGTAGACCCCCTACACCGCAGTACTCGGATGGCTACTACGGGACGCGAGGTATATTTGCTAGGAATAGCACAAAGGTATGGATCAGGTGCAATGGTTCTAGACGGGCCGGACAATGGTTCTAGGCGGGCCGGATAATGGCAATATCAATAAAGATACTTCGTTGAACATATGTTGATCGAGCATACGGTGGCAGAGGTACGCGTGCAAGCGCGTGAGCGCGTAGAAGCAGTCACAAATCAATATGAGCAATTGTGTGCGTAGCTCAACTGTCACTCTGCACCACACGCTATGGTGCTACCCGTGACAAACGCACTCCGTTTTATACTGAATGATACTGAAAGAAGCTACGTAGAAAATAAGTAATAAAATGTAAAGGCAGAAGAAATGCCTCATTGCAATGTACCTGGTAACAGGACCAATCTGGTACTTAGTACATTGCGCGGAGCAAATCCGATCTAAACCTAATGTACAGGAAACGTACATCGCGGTCAGGACGCGTCGAAGTACTCGGCGCGTACTGTCGCGTAAATGACTGCACGTGACTGCACATTTGGTTTACAATGTACAGTCCACTGCCTTCAATTTGCAAATTGAAGGATTTCTTGCTTTTTGGCCAATCAGAACACAGTCTACTATTCCCCTTTTAGTATTTCCTATTCTAAAAACTTTGTCACGTGGCAGTTATGATGGGTACGCATTTATTAAATAATGGAATTCGAAGGAGGGAAGCGTTTATCTAGCTTCTCTCTATCACTCTCAAAGACATCAAGTTGCGACCTGCGCTGCGTGTAATAGTCGTCGAAATAGATTTCGTCCTTCTTGATACTGCGATCGTAGGCGAGCTCTAGGTGCTCGCGGACAGTCTCGTATTGTTCTTCCGTACCAAAAAGCGGGTCGAGGGCTTCTGCAGCTGCCATGAGGACCTCTGGTGAAAATTCCTTCCGCTTCGCCTCCACCACCACCATCATCTCCTCATTATCACGTTCCTCATCAAAGTTATCGGAGTCCAGACAATCAAACTCGGTAATGGGAGACGATGGTGTTTCGTCCACGTAGCAGTGCAGAACTCGGGTTTCATGACCCAGGACAAGTGTGCGGGGATGGTAGCTTGTAGGCACGTCTTCAGCGGGCGCAATATGAAAGTCCATGTCTTGGTCGTCATCCGATGAATCGAAATCGTCGAGCATATTAGTGTTTATGGGCGATGGCTGGTTGTAACAGGATAACCCCGCTTATAGCCCCGACTCCGAAAGGACTGGGGCCTCGGCTATAGACAACCGGCCGGGCCGGAACCGGACCGTAGACATAGATATATAGACCAGCTAGTTGCCATCTTAATACAGCACGCATTCCAACCCTTTCCATCCTTACCCCTGCCCTCGACTGCCTAGAGCTATTACACTGGTCTGTTTTGAAAAAGCGAATATATGTCCTGTTGCTTCGCATTTCCTCTATTCTCTGGAGAGCAAGTGCTGGTCCCCCCAGCTCGCGACTCAGCCGGCCATAGTGCTGTTGTGGAGTGTCTAAAAGCGACACGAGCTCCGGGTCCTCAGGTCCAAACTGGGCTGATAAGTCATCAATGGAGCGGTCAACTTGATCATTTGAGATGCCATTGAAGGGCGACGGTTCGAAATAGACACTCGGTATAGGGGTTGGCAATTGACAAACAGGGTATGAGGTCGACAGCTGAGGCAGCTCATTGAACGCCGCAATATCTTCAGGGCTGGCAGTGGCAGACCAATGAATCACAGATTCATGTCTCAGGATGGCCGAGGACGGATGTTCGTCAGTAATCTGCTCCTCGTCGACCTCGATAGGTTCCTCTGGTACCGGGACAAACATCTTCTGGTTTATCTGATGAATGTTCAGCCGAATATTCTTGAGAGCAGCCATAACGTGTCTGTCTGGAACTGAGAAGGAGAGATCGTACTTGTGGCGGTTGTTGAAAATAGGGACATGGCGGAAGCAGTTGCGAATGGATTCTGGCTTCACAAGGTTCCACGCTTGAACAATGTGCTTCCATGCATCTCTGTTGGGAATGTTGGGACTCTGTCTTTTAGGTACGTCTGTTCCGTTCGCTAAGGCTAACTGTTGAGCTGTATGCAGTTTGTGGCGATGGGCCATTGTTGATATTGTCAGAGATTTGTATCTCTGTGATTGGACGGTGGTCACATGCACAAGACCAGAGGACTTCGGGCTCTTCTAGAAAAGCCTAGGAGTCCTGTTATCCTAGGTGGATACCCACCTACAGCCAGATCCATCCAGAACACTCTCTTTATTAGTAAGACCCAGCTTAGTAATACTCAAGCTGTAGACAACTATAAAAGGACGCGCCTAGTCTAGCTAGTTAGTCAGTCTTGTCTAGTCCTAGTCCCTGTCATAAAGTTCCCTGTCTCCAGTATCCTCTTGTCCCAAGACTCACCTTGTC